TGGCGGAATGGCTGGCCGCGTTCACAGATGTGCTCGGTAGCGGGGATTTCAAGAATGGTTTGCCGAAGCTGTTTCTCAAGGAGGCGTATTGGAGGGATCAGCTGTGCTTGAGTTGGGATTATCGTCAGTGATCACCCCATTTTTCATACAAATATCACAATGTTATAGAGATTTGTGGGCTCATCAGATGGTGGATGATGAATAGATACGCTAAAGAATACCGAGACTATGGCGTCATTTCTGTCCTCTCATCCCAAGAAATGCCGCCTTCTCTCCCTCTCCCTCGATGATTCCAGTGCCCTTCGCAAACCGACCGTCGCGCCAATCGACTTTGTCGGCGACGTTCAAGGCATCTCCTCGTTCTTGACACTCGAGACAGATGTAGGGAGGGGTCGTGGAATCGTAAGACTATGCAAAGATTCGAACGACGGACAATGGAAAGCATTCACGCTGTTTACTGCGATGCATGAGCTCAAAGGGTATGAGGAAACTACTGGATACCGCCGACCGGAGGGGGTGCAGCATGGAGGGAATCCAGGGAGGCAGAACTGGAAGGATAGACGTGAGGTTGAGTCCGAATACAAGGATGGGAGGGAGCCGACTGTGCTTATAATTGGTATGTAACTCTGGTCAGAGAGCGCCATGCAGAAGATTTCTGAGCGGCTTTCTAGGTTCCGGCCAAGCAGGATTGACGGTGGCGGCTCGATTGAAGCAACTTGGCGTGGATGCGTTGTTGATTGATCAGAATGCTCGCATTGGCGATAATTGGCGCCAGCGGTACCATCATCTGGTCTTACATGATCCCATTTGGTATGATCATTTGTAAGTGAAGTGAGTGGAAATACTTGCGAGCATGCTGAGACAACATCGCAGACCATACCTGCCGTTTCCAGAATTCTGGCCAAAGTTCACACCCAAAGACAAGCTGGCTGATTGGTTTGAGACATATGCTTCGTCGCTGGAACTCAATTGTTGGCTGTCCGCCAAGACTACTTCACTTACGTATGACGATGCTAAGAAGCAGTGGACTGTCGAGCTTGATCGAACTAAAGATGGGAAGCTAGAAACTCGTGCGTGTGGCTGCCTATCCCGATTCGGTCTGCGCTTACTTTGCCAGGCACTTTACATCCCAGGTTTGTCGTTCAGGCGACAGGTCACTCCGGTGGGAAGAATTTTCCGTCTTCAATGACGGGGATCAATGATTTCAAAGGTGATGTTCTTTGCCACTCATCCGAGTTCGTGGGTGCAAAGCCCAACAGTCAGGGCAAGAAGGCCATCGTGGTCGGTGGTTGTAATTCTGGTCATGACATCGCGCAAGACTACTTCGAAAATGGATACGATGTCACCCTAGTCCAGAGAAGCAGTACTTACGTGATGTCTAGCGAGGCGGGTCTGCAGGTTTTGCTTGGTGGGTTATACGAAGAAGGAGGGGTATGTCTGGCACCGAGCCGTTCATCTGCGCTTGGATATGATTGTACGAACGCTAATCTGTTGATAGCCACCAACCGAAGACGCGGACCTAGCATTCATGTCAATTCCCAATCCCATCCTGAAGCGGCTTCATGTAGACGCAACCAAAGAGATTGCAAAAAGAGATGAGAAACTGCTGAACGGCCTGACCAAGGCGGGTTTCATGCTCGATGCAGGACCGGACGACTCGGGGTTGTTTATGAAATACTTTCAGCGAGGGGGCGGATATTACATTGACGTTGGAGCATCGCAGCTGATTGTTGATGGAAAAATCAAGTTAAAGCAGGGCGTTGAGATCACCTCCGTCAACGCTCACAGCTTGTCTTTTGCAGATGGCACTGAGCTACCCGCGGACGAGATCGTGTTTGCGACCGGCTATTCCAACATGCGGTACGCTGGCTTCCAGTTGCTTGAGTTGAGATCATGCTGACTTCCTTGTCTTAGTGAAACCTGTAGGAAGATCTTCGGGGATGAGACTGCCGAGCGTGTCAAAGACGTTTGGGGATTTGATGAGGAGGGCGAGATTCGGACCATGTGGAGGCGGACGGGCCATGAGGGTCTCTGGTTAATGGGCGGCAATTTCTGCTTGGCGAGATACTACTCTCGTATGCTCGCTCTTCAACTGAAGGCTTTGGCGGAAGGCGTCATGAAGTATGATGAGATGTAGTGGTGTGGATCGGACTGGCCTGTCGCTCCATCATAGTACCAAGTCCACGACGACGATAATGCACCGGCAATTGTTCAATTCACCTGAGCATGAAAATATAATGTCCATGAACAGCTCAGAGACAGGATTGCACATAGTCGATGTCCAAACTTGAACGACGGAAACGCTCAGCCCCCTTCGTGACTTTCAACAGAGCCCAGGTCGATGTCGGCCAGGAATCGGTCAGCCTGTACTTTACTCCTCTGCTCAGCAATTCTCTTTCGCCTTTCCTCGATTTCCTGGCGCTTCTTCTCCTTCCTTGCCTCTCTTTCTTTTCTCTCCTTCTCCGTTTGGAGGCGCTCTTTTTCCAATGCCTCCATCTCCTTTTTTCTGCTGTCGGCATCCTTGCTGAAGGTATAGAAGCCCGTGCCTTTGGTCCTCACTTCTGCATTTGCATCGTAATGCTTCTCTTCAGGTGGCGTAGCGGATCGATCTCGTTTCTTCGCCAGATCTTCCATCTTCTCTGTCGTCACATCATCTGGATTAAACGCATTGTATTGCACGGTATCGCCACGAATGACATTGCTCGGCATTTTTGGTCGTGCTGAAAATCGCTCTGCCTCTTCCGCAGCATTGGCTTGTATTCTCATGCGTTTCTCTTCTCGTGCAACCTCCGCTTTTGTGCCTTGTCTTTGTCTGCCAAACTCATCCTGATACTCGACAAGCTCTTCATCTGAGTCGCTATTGCTAGACCCAGAAGATGTAGCATCATCTTCCTCGTCCCGGCCGCTCGTTTCTTGCTCGGCCCATTTTCGATCGAAGTCTACCAACGTCCGGTCATCACGTCCATCCTCTGGTCGAATGTAGTCGCCTCGCTTCATCGCAGCATAGATTCGCGCCTTTTCCTCCATTCGACGCTTCGACCTCTGTAGAGCTGCTGAATCGACTCCACCAATATCGACGGCGGTCTTGTGCTTCTGCTCCCCATCTTCAGATATATCAGGCGCAGCACGCTTTCTGCTGTTCTTGTTATGCTGCGTGAAAATGTCCGGTTTGGTCTTGGATGGCCTCGGTCGGCCAGCATTTGTCCGCGAGGAGTCTTTCGATATCAGAGAAGAAAGATGTGTGGAGAAGGCGAGAGAGGTAGATGATGAGATATCCTTTGTCTTGGTTTTGGATGGATCCTTCGTGCCATAGAGAGAGTTTGCAGCCATGTCTGGCTACAATGGCTGATGCAATGGTTCTAGTTTTACTGTAATTTGGTGTTGCCTGGCAGGTCACACAACGCGTCTGTCCTGGCATTCAAAATTGCCCCGCGTCATCCCCGCTTTGCATCGGGAAAAACGGTTCTTGCTTCACAATGACCTTGATTGGGCGACCTGAGAAGTGCGAAGGATGAGTCGGACATATGTAGCCGTCCTTGGTATGGTTTTTGCACAGAGATCCCATTGAACCTGTCACTGACTCTTTATTGAAGGTGTCGGCGGTGTAGGCAAAGCCTTCCTCTCCCAACTCTCCCTTCTCCCAGATCACCTCCGACCGGCCCTCATCTTCCTCTCTCGCTCTTCGAAGAATATTGTCTCCAAAGACTACGAACCCATACAGATCTCGCAATACCCGTCAAGTCTCGCGTCGTCCTCTTCTCCAGTCCTCAAGCTCCCAGAAGTTGCCCAATTTCTCTCGAATGCCCCAGGCCGCTCGATTGTCGTGGACAACACGAGCAGCCAAGATGTCGCAGAAGCATACCCTAGTTTCCTCAGCAAGGGCATCTCAGTGGTGACGCCGAACAAAAAGGCATTCTCCAGCAGCTATGGCTTGTGGGGGGACATCTTCTCCGCCGCATCCAGCACGAATGCAATGGTCTACCATGAATCATCTGTTGGAGCTGGCCTACCCGTCATATCCACTCTGAAAGACCTCGTCGCAACAGGCGACCAAGTAACAAGGATCGAAGGAGTCTTCTCCGGCACCATGTCATACCTCTTCAACACGTTCTCGCCAGCCGACAATGAGCCAAGTGGAAGTTGGAGCGAGATCGTAGCCAAAGCCAAGGAGGCAGGTTTCACAGAACCCGACCCAAGAGATGATCTGAATGGTATGGACGTTGCGAGAAAACTTACAATTCTGGCCAGAATAGCCGGTCTCAAAGTTGAAGGACCCACCAGCTTCCCAGTGCAGAGCCTGATACCCAAGGAGCTGGAAAGTGCAAGCTCCGCCGAGGAATTCATGAGCAAGCTACCCGATCACGACAAAGATATGGAGAGATACAAGAAGGAAGCCAAATCGGCTAACAAGGTGGTGAGATACGTTGGCTCAATTGATGTAGCGTCCGGGGCAGTGAAAGTAGGTTTGCAAATGGTGGAATTGGGCACTCCAACGGCCAGTCTAAGGGGCAGTGACAACCTTATCTGCTTCTACACGCAGCGGTACGGCGCGAATCCGTTGGTCATTCAGGGCGCGGGTGCAGGTGCAGAAGTCACAGCTATGGGCGTGACGGCAGATCTGCTCAAAGTGGTGGAACGGCTGCGATAGACCAGAAAACTCATAAGATGATAGACTGGCTTCAAAAATCCGCGTCAAATGATTCAGTTAGGCGTATCAACTTCGTAGGTACTTCTTCACCGCTGTCCCCCACTCGCCTCCACGCTTGTAGAAATGCATTTCCGGTATATTCCCCTCCTTCAGTCCGTCAATGGCTGCTGCAAGTTCCTCACCAAGGCCTTCCTCCTTGATCTCTCGGAGCGGATACAGGTAGGTCTTGATACCGAAGACCAGCGCCTTTGATTTCGGGAGACGATGCAGGGTCTGTCTTTCACATCGCACAAATGTCTAGAAGATAATTGATCAGCCGATTCCTCGAATCCGTTTCACGATCAGCCACCTTATGCGGGGGGCTGTTGCACGCGATGCCAGGCCGGATGGCAGGATGGCAAACTCACCTTGTCCGGATCCAACTCCCCAGTAAACTCCCGCACCTCATCCCCTTCAAGCGCATGCGTGGTCCCCAACCCAGGCTGAAAAAGCTCCCCATCCATACTAACACTCCAATTTGCCCTCTTCACATACTTCCCATCCTCCAGCTTGGCAAAGAAGCGATCCATACTCCCCTCCAGCTTCTCCGCGTACCCGGGCACCGGACCATGGATATCACGTAATTTCTTGCCCAGCTTTTCTGCTGGATTGAAACCGGAGGGACAGCACGCAACATACGCTTCAAGGACATATTTCGCGTCCTTCTTGACCCCTCCCTGCGCGTTCGTTTCAGGGAGGAGGAGCAAGAAATCTTCGTCGAGATGCCGGCCCAGCGTTCGCAGGAGAGCGAAGGTCGGTGTTGAGGCACCCGTGGCAGAAGTGGGCAGCATTTCCCCGGTGACGAGATTTTGGAGCACGGACGCTTTGCCGTATTCGTACTCGGTGTGGTGGATGCGGAACATGGTCGGGTAGCGGAGGGGTAGGTAGGTCCCTGTTAGGAAGGAGTAGAGGTCGCAGACGGCGGGCCGGATGCGCTTGTCGTTGTTGACGCCGATGGCGATCGTGGTGTTTTGTTCTATGATACGCCGGCGGTGAGTTATGCGGGGTTGATAGTTTTTGTCCATCAGGAGAAGGTCGTTAGGGTCGAGAGTTTCCAGAGCTGTGTCACCGTCTTCAGCGGTTCAGCTGAGTAATCCTACTGGTTTTGGTAAGAATGCTTACCCATGGTGAGATGGTATTTGGGCTTGAACGGCCGCAGTTTTAGAGGCTCGGTCGTTTTGAGATCGAATTTCTCAAGCTCCGTAATGGTTGGAAAATCTGGTGCCGGCAAGGCAGAGTGTTGCGGTACTTTCTTCGCTTCATCCTAGAAGATGTCAATCTCTGTCGCATAGCTCTCCGAGCATGGCTCGAGCTTTCGCGTCACGATATACAGTGCAAGAAAGGTCACATTGCAATAGCATTACTTGTAGAACATCAAGCGCAAAGCATGACAAGAAAAGCGACATAACCAGACAATGTCAGATTTAAGATGTCATGTCATTCGAGATGAGAACCCGGCCTTACCCTTTTTCTCTTGTTTTGCCATAATCCAGCTCCCACGAAGAATAAGAACATTAAGACATTGGAATAGTTCGTGAGTATGAACAGCGGCGTCCTCTTGATCTGCTCCCATGATGGCGCCTGCGCTTTCATCGAGTCGAGTAACGATGGAAGTGATGTCGGCGAAGCCATTTTGAACAGCCAATGCAGCTCTAGTAATACTGGGATATAGAGCTTAAGATAACAATCGAAATTATAAGTAGATTTGATTGTGATATTTGCGAATTTGGGGCCGGAGAGAGATGAGTTTCGAGGTAGGATCAACGACAGCTGCAGATAGATGGCAGCCCGCATAAGCGGATAATCCTTAGCGTTTCCCAGTTGAGCTAGTACCCGCCTTCCGTTTTGGGCAGGCAACCTCTAGGGATTTCTATGCAGAACGAAAATGAAAATCTCTACGAAATATTAGAATCCACTGCTCTCAGCTAGCCAGCGTTATCAAGATAAAACTGTCCCTCGAGAATGATCAGCCAGGTCATCACCATGATCCCCCGCAGATCTCCTGAGCGAAGCCAAGGCGCTAAAGGAGCGGAACCGAGAGGAGAGTCTTGGCTGCGGACCTGTAGAGATAGATGGCGCATATTCAAGAGCAGGTCGAAAAGTCTTGCAAACTTCGCTTTTCTCAGACAGTGACAATTGCCAGAAAATGTCGAGACCCATACCAAGGCACTCCTCTATCAAAATGCAAACAATTCACCCACCAGGCATCCAAAATTGTTTGTCCTGTACCATACGCTTGAAATCCAACGTGGAGTACTCGTGCAGCTCGCTTACATGAGTTTGTGTAAACGATCGGGTTGGACTTGTGTGATAATGCTGACATAGTGAGCAAAATTGAACCCAAATCTATTGCTTCTGGTTCTAGAAAAGGTGCATCGTATATCCAACATGGTGGCTTCTTTGCCCTTATCTGAGCCATCAGTGTGTCCATCAGATCAAATTAGTCAATCAAACCAAAACAAATCAGTGCTTTCGTCAAATCAAATCGGCCTCCGTAGATTTGACAAATTGGCCAAACTAAAGTCTTGACAGAAAAGTCTCTTATTTTGAATTATTCAAAGATATTTTTGATAGAATAATAATGGTCTTGGCGGACACTCGATCTAAACGAGAGAATTCAAGTTGTCTGACGCTATTCCTACACATTACCCCTGAGTTTCGCCTGCTTTTCATCAGTCGTTTTCGCCACATTTTCGCAGCTACTAATTTTGCTGCAATTTGTACTTATTCCTACGCGCCCTGCGCCTTTGAGAGAGAACTGAGCCATTTCTTCTATCTATCTGACACAAGTAGAAATATATTGCTTACTGAGATTTGACTCGATTTGACAAATCTGTGAAATAAATCAAATCACGGGTTTTGGTTAAATAATAGTCAAAGCAAACCAGGGCCTCGATTTTCCTTGTTTGACTGCACCGAATCTTGACGACTCCAAATTCCATTTCCATTTTGAGACCTGAGCTCACGTGACTGCAACCTGAGCAATGAATAAGCAGCCCTGAGCTGTAGCTGTGCAAGGCTGTTCCGAGCTTGAGCAGCCCTGAGCATGCCTGAGCATTCACTGAATTCTACCCTGAGCTCCCCGTGGGGCCCAGTTTCTTCTCCCAGCTCGGAGCCCAGTTTCGTGCGTTTCAGATTATTAAGTTGTAATTTCCGGCCCTTATTACTCGCGTACACTTGCCCTTCGATCTGTATCAGAGAAGGTTGCTGTCTACCGGAAATCTCCTTATAACGGAAGCAGAGGTCGGCAAGAATTGTTCCGTTGTCCAGTCTTTACTGTACGGCGGCGCAGTTAAGCGCTAAGGTTGTGATCTACGAGGCCAAAGGGCCAGAACGTGATGAAAGGCTACCGGGGTGCCAAGTCGTATGAACCCTTCTCTACTGAATTTCAGCCCCTTTGCTATCGTAGTCAATCCTAGGTTTTCTGAACATTCAACAACCCATGACAGGTATATGTATTTGTTGGGGTAACTAGTCGAACTGAAACCGATCCCAGCATCTTCTATTCGGCATTTCTTATCGTTTCCTCCAGGCGCTGCCTCTGCCTCCTGGCCATTACCTCAGCTTCCTCTTGGCGCACTCCCTACCACTGCCTCTCTCATGACCACCGTCTCAAAAATAAATGCACCGCGTCCCTACACGAACTACGCGTGATGCGTGGAATCTTTGTAAGCTCCTTCCTACGTGTAAATTACCCCCTAACTAGCTACTTGCAAGTGCGAATCGATCATTTGTGAAGCTTGGGGTAGTTAGTTACATGGTCACGAGCTGTATCGCATGGGAAGTCGCACGGCGAGATCTGTTTCTTTTGCTTGCATTCTTGATTATTTCATCGATATGTTTCGCGGCGATTGGGCATCTCGTGCCCCAGCTGAGGAGAGGCTGCATTTTCTTGTTGCGTTGGAGCATGCAATGTTTTTTTGATTTACCACTCTGTGCTTCCAACAAGAATCTGAATGATAGCCAGCCATCCGACCTTTTTATTTTACCTTTTCCGCTTCCATGTCTGGTGTGTCAAAGAGGAGTGAGTCGTTACAGTTCGACACAAGGTTTATCGTAGGAGGTTTAGGGGATGTTTTTCTGAGCCCATAGCATCCTCCCGAGCACAGTTATTTAGATTCTAGGAATGAAAAACCAGCTTGCTTGACCCAAAGCTCTGACGAAGTACTTAGCATCACTTCGACATGTCCTTCAATGTTCTGTATTGTTATCACTTTCATTTTACAGAACCTCCAGCGCCCCCAGCACAATTACTAGTATTGGACCAAAAGGACCGCGGCCCTCAGAGGACCGAATAATAACTTATGTCTGACAACTAGCTACTCTGAGCAATTTGATAACTTCTTCGTGTCCGTTCTCTACAGCTTTGTCCAACGCTGTCTGACCTTGCCAATCTTTTAAGTCTGGATTGGCGCCTACATCTAGGAGCAATTGGGTTGACTCCTTGAACCCGGACCTCGCTAGCCACAATAATGGCGATTCACCAGTCTCATCTCTCGCGTCTATGTCGACTTGGCCTGTTGATAGGAGTATGTTCACAATTTCTAGACGTTTCTCGGCCATTTTTCGTGGAGAAGAAGGGATGAATGGGTCGTAAACTACCGCTCTGAGCAAGGTTGTCCTGCAGTGGCGGTTTTTGGTATCCGAATTAACCTTGTCTGTCCCCAAAAGCAGCTTAACAATCATCTCATGCCCCTCTTGGGCTGCCCAGATTGTTGGAGTACGGCCGCTCTTATCAGATATTTCAGGATTCACCTTGTCTGTCGCCAAAAGCAGCTTAATAATCGTCTCATGGCCTCGTTCGGCTGCCCAGCTTAGTGGAGTTCGACCGATTCTATCCAATATATCAGGGTCGACCTTATCAGTCGCTAAAAGCAGCTTAGTAGCTGTCTCATGACCCCTTTCAACTGCCAAGTGGAGTGGAGTTTGGCCCCTTTCATCTGTTGCATTAGGATCGACCTTACTTGCCGCTAAAGCCAGCTTGATAATCGTCTCGTAGCCCCTTTCAACTGCCCAGCCTAGTAGATTTTGACCGCTTCCATCTGCTATTTCAGGCTTAACCTTACCAGTCGCCAAAAGCAGCTTGATAATCGTCTCGTAGCCTCCTTCGTTTGCTCGAATTATTGGAGTCCGACCGGCTTCATCTGCTGTATTAGGGTCGACTTTGTCATTCGCCAAAAGGATTCTGACCACTACTTCTTGATTTTTCTCTACCGCAAACACTAATGCAGTTCGATCATAATAGTCCTTCAAGTTCAAGTCAACTCCATCAATTGCTAAGAGCATTTTAACCATTCTTTCTTGTCCTGTTTCGGCCGCTAACATCAGAGGACTGAGGGGAGTCCTGAGCACTTTAACGCCAGGCTGGCCTTTTCTCTCCCTTAGAGATATATAACGTAGTTGATTCGAAGCATTATTTTTGCTATTCAACAGGGCATAAAATATTGCTTCAGACTTTGCTTGTATCGCTAGGTGTAGTGGACCTGGATAGCTTGTAGGTCTGTCTCGTTGATCATTTAAGATGTCACTTCGCTCCAAAAAATATTGGATAATCTCCAAGTGGCCTGAAGAAACCGCCGCATCCAAAGCCGTAGACTCCATGGACTCTCGGCTTCCTTCATGGTTTATATCGGCGTCCCTGTCCAATAGCATCTTGCAGACATTTAGGCGACCATTCTCCGCAGCAACGTAAAGCGGTGTTTCCCTCCCTTTTGGACGACTTGCCTTGTTGATATCTTCACCATTGTCCAGGAAACTTTTGACAGCCACGATGTCACCTCTGGCACAGGCTTTAAGTATGCTGTCCTTCTTTCTTTTGGTTGGTGGCTCGGGAAATGAATCTTCATCGCCATCGTCTTCGGGATGACTGTGTATTAGATGAGACTCAAGTTCCACTTCCGTCCGGAATCCTAAGGTTGTATAAGGACAAAATGGTTCGACGCAATGGAAAGGTCGTTCATGTTCATTGAGATGGTCTTCTCGTTCAGTCTTTGAGTTGAAACCTGTCGTGAATAGGTTGCACGCAAGTCTAGAGCATTTGAAGAGTCTCGTTCCATAGATATCGCGCATCATGTCTCGGTCTGTGTCGTCAGACGTCGATCCGTTGCCCACCGACTCAATGGTGCCTCTCACATGACAGGCTCTCCACTCTAGATCAAACCATTGACTCCAGACTGAAATGTCTTTGGGAATGAAATCTATAAGGTGTCCGTCTTCCTGTATACTCCCGAGATATTGAATCTTTTCTGGAACGCCATATTCGTTGACGAACGACCGTAACTGAGAGACTAGCTCATTGTGAGTATCGACTGATATGTCAGGGGGATTCTTTGCTCGTAAGGAATATGTCATGTGATCAAGCCAATGTGAAATAGCGTAGTCTTGCAGGGCATAATAGCCACTTCTAACATGGTTGTTCAGCTCATCAGCTTGAGTAGTATAGTCAAACGGGCTTGATAACAAATATTCCGTACAGAATAGAGCCATCTTAGCATGCTGTAGCGAGACATTTAGCAATGCCTTGCGAACCAGAAAGCTGCGACGAAATCAGAAAAAGGGTAGGTGCTGGGGCAGATATTTCTCACTCGCGCGCTGTATCATGCACCAGGCTTAAGACAGCCTCCGTCTGCGGCTCCCAATCTGCACTTTGAAGGTCAATCAGCGAGCCGCAAAGCTTCTTGCAGCTTTTTCGTAACTTTCGCCCTTTAAAGTCGCAGGTATTACCCTTTGGATCGATGAAAAATATGGCTTGTACCTCCCTCCATTTCAGTGGCCGTTTCGCGCATGCAACCCAGCTAATGATACTTGTAGCTGCTGTTCTTTGGGACCCTTCTTGAAGACGTTTGAAACAACACGATCATAGCTATAATTTCGATTCGCCAGTCAGCTTAAACTTTTCCGGCAGAAAGACCAGAGAAAGGTCATACGCCTGCCCTAAATCTACCGGAAATGTAGTCGGCTCAAGTTCCTTACGAAGATCATTCTGGCTCGTTTGATTTCCGAGATTTTCCATCACCAATTTTGCAAACAAAAACATACCTAGAGTTTGACTTTAGATTTTCACCTACTTGGAGGGAAGAGAACACGTCGATGAAAGAAGGATTCTTACTCTTTGCACTGCCCACGACTCGCGTCACAATCTCTGTCTCATCCTCGGAGCTGAGTTCGAAATCTGCTTTAAGAGCATCTGCTTGCTCTTTCACGTAGCGCTCCACATCTTCAAGATGACTGGGGTTCTCGTCCAGCGTAATGTCTGCCGCCAACGACAGCTCTCTTTGGAGGGCGTCCACACGTTGGCCGACGCATAGAAGGCGGATATGGCCAGAATCCGTCATGCTGCTTTTTTCTTGCTGTGATTGAAACCAAGAAAGTGTCTTTTCAGCTTCATCTGGTAAGCATTCATCCAGGCCATCCAGAACAACAAAAGACGTTTCTTTGCTGTCGAATGCCATTCCGGCAAGTTCTTCTAATATCATCGTCACTCCGGCTTGATCTTTTGAGGAACAGATGTTGTACAGAGAAGAAATCAGGGCGTGGTCCTCAGACAAGAGCTGAGCCACTAGTGCTCGAAGAATGCCGTTGAAGTTGTTCTTGTCGAGTTCTCCATGCTTGCAATAGAAGAAGACTACAGGCACCGATTTGTCCTCTTGGAGTCTTTCAATCATGAAAGATGCCAATGTGGTTTTGCCTTTGAAGAAATCAGTTTGTCTTCAAGCTTTTGTGAGAGTAGGCCTATATTCCAACCTGCTCCTGGAATGCCGTGAATATAAAGCAAGGGATTCCCTTCGGCACTAATGTTGGCCCATTTCTGGAATTTCTCATCCAGCAACACCCATGACCCCGACGAACGACCTTCTCTATGCTTTGATGCCGCACATTGATCCAGATGATAATTAGGAGCATTCAACTTCTCGAGAAGAACGGAGACTTGCCTCATTTGCTCCCGGCCGACTATCTCTTTGAATTGCAACTTAGTAAGTTCGTGCAGATCTTGGATTTCGAACAAAGTGACGGTTCCTTTTTCGCTTTCTATCAACTCTTTGTGCCTCGCCAGACTGTCTAAGATTCGTCTGAACTGTGTCTCAAACGTTTTCCAAGAGAATCGAAAGAGCATTTTCCATCCTGTAGTGATGTAACGAGTCAATACGAGGCTGCTGGACGGATAGGAGGGCTCACCGGGTCTGGTCACAAATTTAATTAAACGCGTTATAATGAAATTCCACAATGTCGCAAAAATAGAGCTCTAGCGCTCCTCGCATGGCCGGATTTCCGACGAACAGACGCTCGTACTGCATGAACGAAGGAAGTCTTTCCCCAATCTCTTGGTAGGCATCGAGAACTATATCCAGAGATTCGATCCAGGTGTTGGTAACCTATGTTTTCATTAAGCTCAAAGCTAAGACTTGGTATGTCAAGGAGAAGGTTTGCGATTTTCATACCAATAAAATGAATCTGATGGGTCCCTAGATAATAGATCACCATAAGTTTCGCGAATAGAGTCGCCAATTAAGGAATTACCAACCCAGACATAGCCCAAAAAAGGTGTGCAATTAAGGAAAGCTTCTACAACTTTCCTATACTGATCCATAGCCTCAAGAAATGCCTGCAGCCTCGCCATGTTTCGCATCTTCTTCTGATCTTCTCTTTCCTTCTGAAGATCTTTGACGGTCTGACGTACATCTTCAAGGCTGCATCCAGTAAAGTCCTGCCTTTGTTTATCCGTGAGACTCATGGCAAATTTTTTGCTGGCCCGTTGGAAGCAGGTGCTGAGCGAATGTAAAGAGGCTCTATCGGTCCGATTGGCTGTAATCATAGCCATGATTGACGTACAACTCAGTCCTATTGAAGATTGGATTTAGATAGATTTCGATAGATTTGATGAGTTATGGAAGAGAAAGAAGACTTCCACGTAGGATAAGGTTGCCAACGGCAAAAATCGCAAGGCTGAATCCGCCAGACATCAAGGCTGTGCTTTGGGCAGCCTTGTTCCTTGTCACATGACATGCCTTTTCTGCCTTCCAATGCACCTCATCCTTCGAAGTCGACATGATGCAGCTAGCTTGTCATTCATCTTATGATGGAATCTAGCAAACGAAAATTTGCATGCCTCGATGGTGGGGAGAACGGAACTCGCAAGAGTTTGATCGCCTGTGTTGAAGATCCGCAATCTCAAAGGTAAGTCACACTGGTTGAAATGATCACAGTTCCAAGGTACCCAAACCAGCCCCTTACGAGCTCCAACACTTTGAATCAATCAGTGGATTCCTGCTTTGCCACGAACGGCCGGTTATTTGCCTTACATTTTTGCCAAAAAGACACGTGTCTATCAGGAAGAAGTCTATGACCACTTTGCTAACCGCAGGCGAACGACTTCAAGTGCCCAATTCCGTCAACAAAGCAATGGCTATCTTTCACCCTACAGTCCAATTGCTCCAGTAAGCGGAGATCCTGATATTCGAATGTCGGAGGAAGCCACCGGAGAATTTTCCACTCTCACTACCTGTGAGAGTCCAACACTGACCGCTCTAATTTCGAGTGAAGAAATCTGTTACGGAGCGGTAAGCACACGAAGAGGCAGCTCGTTGTTGTCACTAGAGTTCCGGCTGATCAATAGGATAGTTAGTCGGTGCTCGGGTCGCTTGTCCGAATGGCTTCGGACTTGATAAATCCATTTTCTCTTTATCTACGAAACCCACTGGAGCCCTGAAAATATTCGGCATTACGCCCAGGGAAAGGTACTACTATGCACTTTGCTCCCCTGATGGACACTATTTCGCATTGATTGACAAAAATACTACTGGAACCCTCGAGGCCGTCCAGGAAGTTGGGAATGTACGGTTTCAAGCAATCATCCTGGAAAGTGCCAGAAACAGACCTGCGCCGGCTGTGGCTGCGAAAGGCAGAAAACCAATTTTGGAAGTCTCAATCAATCTGTATGGTGAACCAAGCTTAGCAAAGAAGGTTGGACGTTTACTCACCGAAAGGAGACAATTTCTGCAGCATCCAGACTCTGTGGACGCTGGAATTAGGTATGAAAATCCTCACTATTTCATGGCTCCAGGAAACACCACAGACCTTAGCGAGAGCATCGGACGTCTTTGCTATTCCCAGAAGTCTGCAAACATGGTGTCGCAGGAAATCGGCAAGATACTGGAGTCCCTGGATGTCGTTGATACGGATATTGGCCTTCCAACATCGAATGTTCTTTTGACTCCACTCTTAAGGTACTAAACCGTCTTTCTACCTTTCCAGAAAGATGCTGATTCTACAAAAGCCACCAGGAAGCAGCACTGAAATTCATTCGTCGTGTTGAGAGTCGAGACATCCAGGCATCACTTTGGAGGGAGAGCGAAGAATTGGGATCACGGTTCGTCAATATTAGAAGGAGCTCTCCGCTTCTAACAAAGTGCAGTGGCTTCAAGCATCAAATGACCAATGAGTTCCAGCCTGCCTTGCCCATGATCTCCGCGGGGGGCATACTAGCCGATGATATGGGCCTCGGGAAAACATTGACAATGTTAAGCGCCATTGTACTCTCTGCAGACGAAGCTTTTTGCTTGAATGAATTCACTCCTACTGCATCCGTCCTTAATGAACTACTGCAACCAACCATGGCGACTCTAGTCATAGTCCCATCCGTTCGTGAGTTCAGTTGCACAGTACACAGCGGACCTGAGGATAATTGACTTCGGATAGAGCTCATTGAGATGTGGAAGACAGAGATCGCGCGGTTCGGGACCTTAAAGTTCATTGAATGGTACTAGCTAACACCGAAATCAGCCACATTGCGGAGAATCAGTTGAACGTGGCCACATTTCATGGCAAAGATCGTGCTAATGAGCCATCAGCCTTTTATCACTCAGACTTGGTGCTGACCACTTACTCGACATTAGTGATAGACTTCCAGACGATGCAGGTCTTGTACCGCTTAAACTGGTTTCGAATCATTCTGGACGAAGGTAGGAAATGACATGCCAGGATTTTGGTTAGAGAAACCATGAACTGGAACGAGAGAGCTGACTTTTAACAGCACACTGGGTCCGGAACCAAGAAACTGAGCACTTTCGTGCCGTCGACAATTTACAAGCTGACCGACGGTGGTGTCTCACTGGAACGCCGATTCAAAATAGGCTAGAAGACTTGTGTGCTCTGGTTCGGTTTTTGAAAATAAGGCCATTCTGTGGGAAATCATCAAGTGCAATGTTCAGGCAATACATTGTTGATCCACTTTTTTTGGCCGGCGAAGACCCTTACCGAAATCTTCGACAGTTGCTTCAAAGTGTCTGTCTACGGAGAACTCAGAACCAGTCTAACTTTCCTGCAACGTATCAACAAGTTACGCTTACGCTATCACCATTGGAAAAGGTACACTACGACGAGGTCCTCGAAGAAACCAAAAGGAAAATGGACATGCTTGTTAATACCGGTTCTCCTCTTCAAAAGTATGCTCAGCTCTTCACAGTCATGCTGAGACTTCGAAGGCTTTGCAATCTGGGGCAGCTATCCGCAGAATCAAGATCCCTGTCTCCTTCAATTCCATCCTTGCCGAATTGGAATTCCGCCAACACAAACAGTAGCCGCGACTTCGAATGCGAATTTTGTACGAAAGAAGATCCTCTAGATCTGATGAAAGACCTGAAATTTTGTCCTGACTGCTCACGAGTACTAAAGACCGGGCATTTAGAGAACAGGAATATATCAGAGAGTCTCGAAACAGAGTTCCTCCGCATCCCGAAATCTCCGTCCTGTATCGAGGCCGTAGTTTCCGATGGTCGGTGTCTAGCTTCATCGCAAGGGTCATCTTTGGAAACTTGTCTGTTACCCAAAGTATATCCTACGAAACTGCTCGAGGTTGCATCCAGACTTCAGGAAAGTCATTGCAAATCTAAAAGGTTTGGTGACCTTTTGCAAGGTCCTGTTGTTGGTCTTCCTGACACTTTTCTAGTATTGTGTTTTCCTGTTGGACGAAGACACTGGATGTTCTTGGCCAATTACTCAGCGAGTCTCGACTTCAATATGTTCAAATCGAAGGGAATGTCAGTGGCATCGAGCGTTCGAAGCGCCTCGCAAAATTTCAGGACTCCCCAGAAATTGCAATACTTTTGATGACCTTTGGGACCGGGGCTGTGGGGTATAGATCCCCTTGAACAAAGTGCCTTACAGCTCTACTAAAAGCTTGTCACAGTCTGAACCTCACACAAGCCAGCCGGATCCACATTGTGGAGCCTCAGTGGAACCCGACCATCGAGGTACAAGCTATCGGAAGAGCATTGCGTCTCGGCCAAACGCAACATGTCACAGTCATACGATATATCATGGAGAATACTATTGAACAGGTTGTCTTCTCCGGCCGAAATATTTTATCGTTGCCAAGCACTAACCCCTGTCTCTAAGAATATTCTTGCCATTCAGAAGCGAAAGGAAAAACTTGCACAATTTGCATTGCAAGCAGATCTAGAACAGTCGCCGACCGAGAGATTTGAGGTCAGCGGGATTCACAAACTTATCTACTATCAGGTCCTTTTTTTGCTAACGCAATACAGGAACTGAGATCTATCTTGAACATCCCTTGACAACCCTGATATTAACAACCACAGGCAGTCCGTGACTTGGAATTCCGTCCGGTTCGGGGACTTGGGACTTCACAACTGTCTACACTCCAAAGAGAGAGGAGCAACGACTCGAAGAAGACAGACGTGGTGGTGCTGAACAACTGTCAGAATCTATGTCCCAGGAAGTGTCAGAATATATGTCACAACCCGAAGATGCTGAAAACAAGAAGGCCCGTCCGGTACGGTCCACGCAGGGCTCGCAGTTAACAAGCCAGCCTCCTCCTGTTGATGCTACTGCTGCTGCTACAGCTTTCAATCGGTCATCAGCCGCCCACCCAAGCAGAGGCAAGTACGCGGCGATCGACTCTTCGAAGTGAATACCAGCAGCAACGGCAAGAACCACCGTCACCCGTCAAAAGGGTTTAGATAAATTCCACCAAAAATGAGCGGTGCGAGTGTCCGCCATGACCATTGCCTGGTTGGATCTGGTGCAGAATTGGTGCGCACGCCGGGCTCATGTCAAAGATTGGCACCTCGATGGAAGATTTGCTTGTTATCCTCATGTAAGGCAGCCAGGGACATCAACAGCGTAGCGAAATATAGATGATTCAGTTGCTTCTACCAGCGGGTTATCTCTAGACTATACAAATATCACTTTCCATCCTTTCCAATACTCAAACTCAGACCTGAACGAATATCAGCCCTCCGGCGTCGTTTCCACAACCGCAAAGCCAACAACATTCGGCCCCTCTCCCTCTGCTCCATCTCCCATCCTCCCTTCCCTGCCATCCCTCCTCCTCCTCCTTTCATCCAGCATATCAGCCGTCTCAAAATTCTCCTCCCCAACTCTATGCTCATCAAACTCATCCCTCCAGTCCACCGTCACCTCCCTCTGGCGTCCCATCCTCGAGAACCGTGCCCACTCCCGAATCAACCTGCGTTCCGTCTGCCCGTCAGCCTCAACAGCATCATCACCGTTTCCATCCTGGCGATCAAATCTCAATCTGCGTGCCGCGAATTCCGGCGTGATCGTACCGTCCATCTCCAACCCCACAGTCACCGCTGCATCTCCCCCCTCGCCTTCCTCCCTCTCCCCCTCCAAGCCTCTGACAGCTGACCCCCTAAAGGCCTCCATTCTGACGTGTCTCCACCTACCAAACTCCCTCGCTCTCCGCTCTCTCATCCTCGCCGTTCTGACCGTCGGGCTCTGTGCCCCCACTTGCTCGCCATCGTGGTCTGCACCAATCAATCTCCCTGTTGTTCTGATTTGTCCCGGTGGGGCGGTATAGGCGACGTTTCGTTCTGCGACGGCACGTCGACGGGGAGATTGCAGATCCGCCGGGGTTTGGGGCTGGGTTCGGGCAGGCAGCTGGTCATTGTAGACTCCAAAGGTGCCATTGTGGCGATGAGTGGGGTTGCGGGGTTCGGTTCTGGGAGGACGCTGTGGGGGTGATGATGAGTCGAGGCAGGAGGAAGATGGTTCGGATGAGGTATTGGCTCTTGGTGGGATGGAGGGGAAGTTGACGGGCATTGAGGTTGTTGCAGGTGGATTGTCTTCCGCATCCGTGATAAGTGGTCGCTCTGGTAGGTTGGGGGAAAGTGCTGCGGTTGTGCGAGGATGTTTGATCATACTCGTATTGAGGCTGTCACTGTCACGGTTGGTTAGCAGATTAGGTGAACTGGGTGATGGCTGATAAGGAACAGCAGGCTGATTAATCGTTGACGGTGTAGACGACCTGGTCCGATCAGGAAGAGAAATTTGCAACGAAGATGTTCGTCGGCTTATTGATAAGGGAGGCGGCAAGGTCAATGGGGAGGAGATCTCTGGGTCCAGCCAGGAGGGTGACGGCTGTGCATTTAAAAGAAGGCGTTTTTGTTGCGGTGATCGTTCTGAGGGTTCTAAAGCGGACCCATCAGACTGGTCCAGACGATGCCAAACAGGCGAACTGCTGCCTTGATCACTCTTTGGCTGGCTGGGAGGAGTTGGGGGACCAGCTTCTGACGAGATATACGTGTAAGTTCTACTGCGCGGCCTATATGACCTCGTTCTGGTGGCAGGCGAAGGCAAGAAGTCGTCGAGTCCAGCATCGATCTCATCTTGTTCCTCACCACGATCCCGTAGTTCATAGTCTTGGCCAGATGACTGCGAATTGGTTGATGACTGGGAACCCGCAGTGTGCATGATCCGAAGTAACGAGCTCTGCCTTACAGCTGCATGCCGATAAGGGACCGCGCTCTGCATCACAGGCGGAGAAGAAGGCATTGACGCGGGAGAGGACGACAGAGGTTCTGGCACCGTGGATGATGGCTTGTTCTCTCTTTGAACGTTCTCGCTGGACGATACCGTTGGAATTGAGGTACTATCTACTAGATATGGTCAGAGGACGTGCTGGGGTCAGACTACTGTCTGACCTACCAGAAGGTCTGTGCCTGTCTCTTTGCAGGACATCTGGCTCTACACCCTGACTCTGCTTTGTCTTGGCCTGAGAGCATGTAGCAGCTTGTGTCAGAGTCAAGACAACATCGTCTTCGGCATCACCGCTATTGACCTGGCCCTGGCGTTCATTGTAGTATCGTTGTACCTCCTTTGGTGTGAAACCTTGGGCATATAGTTGCTGCTTGATCTGGATCTCCCGGAGATGGAATTCGATATCGCTTTCGGACAAAGCAATGCTAGTGGGAGGGAAGCGGATCATGCTGGATGAGTGAAAATACAATGACGGTGACGGTGACGGTGATGGCAGAGAGACAGAAACATAGATAGACTGAGAAAATCAGATGCTCTTTCTGGACTTTCTGGACTGTCTGGACTTTCAGGGAAGAACAGAAGCAGGGGAGGAAGAGTAGTGCTTGAAAGTCAAACGGGCGACAAGGATAAAGAAGGAGCAAGCCGACTTCTGGCAGCATTGCTCATGGTTTAAGGGAGGAGGCCCTGATGAGAAGCTTCGCCTTCGCCTTCTCCTTCTCCTTCTCCTTCTCCTTCACCTTCACCTTCACCTTTACGAAACATACCGCAGTACACGTCTACGCCTCGTAGTGGCTTGTTGATGCCATGGCCAGACCTTGGAGCGCCGCAAGAGGCCATGTTTCTGCCGGGGTGAAGACGCCAGTACTAGTATTCCACTCTAGTAGTCCACTGCAGGTCGTCAACGGTCAAGGTTCTGGAGTCTTGGGGCTCTTGGTGTCGTAAATCGGACTGGAAGACTGACGATCGCTGTCGAGGGACATGGAGGGCTATGGAGGGACATGGAGGGACATGTAGGCACATGTAGGCACATGTAGGCACATGTAGGCACAATTTCCTCTGCTGATCGGGGAGCACAGACAAGCAGACCCCCTGGCATATGTACTTCATATGTGCTCCATATGTAGCAACTCGACAGACCGGCAGACCCTGTTAGACACCTGTCCTGAGCAGAGATAGATACGATACTAGGTCATGGTCGAAGCGCCTCATCTGCATTCATCTGCATTCTTCTGCTCTGTCCCTCATCTCAGCCAATCAATCCTCCATCCTCCATCCTCCATTGTGCAACGTGCATCGTGCATCGTGCGGCGGCGTGCAGGGTGAGTTGCGCGTCACACAGCTACAGAGCGCAGAAGGAAGCCAACTAAGTCCCTGAGCCACACTGCCTTACATACTTAGGTACAGCATTTATTCCCCGTTCTCCATTCTCCCATTCCCAGGTCCACTTCTCAGAGCTTGCCCGTCTCATTCGGCATACTTGCTATCCTCTTGACTCGCACACTACCATTTCGGAACGCAGAATGTTCGGGCTCCCCTAAAGCACCCCTAAAGCACGCCCCTAAAGCACGCCCCTAAAGTACCGGAGCACCCTCTTTGATACCACAAAGAACACCCCCGCATCCAGCTCCTCCGGTCCGTCACCTCCACAAATCCTTCTCGTCCGTTCGCACCTGTGATAAAAGATAAAAGGTCGCAAGGTCTCTATCCAAGCGCAAGACGATCCTGCTTGCCCATCATGAACGGTGACCTGGATCTGTCTGGCTCACTCGGTGGCCTTCGCATTGCCAACCCCGATGATGCTTCTCCAGATGTTATCAAACCAGTCTCAGCCCCGGACACTCCGCCGGCGGCGACTTCTCTCTTGCCTAGCCCACTCGCATCGTCTGAGTTTACAGGACGGCTTACAGGACGGCTTACAGGACGGCCGCGGAATGAGGACTACAGCCCGGTTACGCCCTCACAAACATCGCCCTCATTATCCCCTCCGTCCAAGACATCCCCTCCCTCCTCTCCACCCAGGGAGTCATACCTGAGCAAGAACAAGCACAGACAGTCTATCCCAGTCACATATCAGGATCAACAACAAGCACAGTTTCCACAATATCCGACCATGATGCCGCAGAATCTCCACAATCACCAAACTAACGCTTCCCGGCCCGTGTCCTCCTTCTACACCCAGACCCCTCCTACCAGCAACCCAACCAGCGGGATAGCTCGAGAAGGCGCCTATCGGACTGGCGATGACTCAAGTCGATCAGAGGGTGTACCACGGCGGAACTCGGCGAGAGGCTCTTCCGCAGCGTTACAGGCTGGCGTTCCTACAAGAGACGGCAGTCACAGTGACAGGAATTATAAGCAGAGTAATCAATATCCCTCAGGTAATGGACCCGTCCCGCCTCGAAGGGTGTCTAGGGGTACACCGACACCTCGGGTGGGTGGATCACCAGGCAACGGAAACACACCCCTCTCAACTTCCCCGTACGCTATGGAAGGGGGACTTCTCGCGAGTAGTGAAGAATGGAAGGATCGAGGTGCCGCAGTCGGAATCCAGCAAGACTATGACGCCAATGGAAAACCTGTTTCGAGATATATCAAGAAGGGCGTGAAAGACTTCAACTTTGGCCAAACGCTTGGAGAAGGGTCTTACAGCACGGTGTTGGCAGCCACCGACAGGCAGACGCTCAAAGAGTACGCAATCAAAGTGTTGGACAAAAGACATATCATCAAAGAGAAAAAGGTCAAATATGTCAACATTGAGAAGGACACCTTAAACCGGCTGACAGATCACCCTGGAGTGGTGCGTCTGTACTACACGTTCCAGGATGAGAGGTCGCTATATTTCGTGCTTGATCTGGCAAGCGGTGGCGAATTGCTAGGATTCTTGAAGAGAATGACAACCTTTGACGAAGAATGCACAAGGTTCTATGGCGCTCAAATACTGGACACTGTTGAATACATGCATAGACGTGGAGTCATACATCGAGATTTGAAGCCGGAGAATGTCTTGTTGGACGATAACATGCATGTCAAGATCACCGATTTTGGCACAGCCAAAATACTTGACCCTCCCAACACCGGTTCTGGCAGCTCAGCTTTTCAGCCAGATGCTGCCCCTGACAATACCCGAGCAAGCTCCTTTGTGGGAACGGCCGAATATGTCAGTCCTGAACTTCTTGCCGACAAGAATGCCTGCAAAGCCAGTGATCTGTGGGCATTTGGCTGTATTATTTATCAACTTCTGGCCGGTCGACCGCCATTCAAGGCGGGCAACGAATATCAAACATTTCAGAAAATAGTGGCTTTGGACTATGAATTTCCTCGAGGCTTTCCCGAAGTCGCTCGAGATCTTGTCGAAAGACTGCTAGTGCTAGACCCACAACGACGACTCTCGATCGAACATATCAAAAACCATCAATTCTTCGACGGCATCACCTGGGGCAGAGGACTTTGGCAACAGAAAGCTCCTCGATTAAAAGCTTATGTCCCTCCTCCTCAACCAATAATAAAGTTGAATGGTACCACCAACAATGAAGGCTACCCTTCAGATATCACTTCAAGTCACAGCACAAATCCTACTCGCCTTCCACCCATCTCGTCTAATAATTCTGCATCCCGTCCTCATCCAAGAGTAATCACCGAGCTACCACCACCTTCTCAACTCGATATAGAATGGTCCCCTGTCCTGACCCGCAACAACGAGCGCATCCTTAAACTCGGCAATCTTTCTGTAGAATCCAAACCGAAATCTGGCAGCCCTCACAGTGCCGAGGGTGGTGGAGGGGGTAAACTGTCCCGCTTCTTTGGCGGCAACAGCAGCAAAAAGAGACAACGTCTGGTCATGGTCACGTCCAGTGGTCGTATTATCATGGCTGCAGCAGGAGGTGATGAAAAGAAGTCCAAATCAGAGATATCCTTACTTCAGCCCGGTACTCAGTTCTCAACTCAAACCGACGCGAAAGGTTGTGTTTCGTGGACTATCGATACAGTAAGTTTTCAATCCGCATTGTTGATCCGCGCATCCTGACATCAGTGCTCTCTACTAGCCGGACAAACGCCACACCTTCGAAGACCCCAAACTCGCCAACACCTCCTCACACTCCAGCCACAAAAACAGTCCCAAAATCAACAAAAATCCCCCCATCCCTCCGCCCGACCCAAACAAGGCGGACAACCCAGGTGACGGCAATGTAGAAAGTACAGCCACTCTCTCCGCCCAAGACTGGGTTGAAACCCTCTCGCGCGCCAAAGAAATTGCCCAGGCCTCCTCCCAATCCGCCATCAACAACACCAATAGTGCATATGCCTCCTCGGCTTACTCGTCCGGTCTCTCCAGCCACGCCAATACATTAGACGCGGCGTCTGGATTCGGTGGTTCGGGTCCAGATGGAAGTATTTTGGAAAACGGATTGGGGTTGAGAGGTGGTGATCAAAGGCTAGGTGAAGGGGGAAGAGAGAGCAGAGGCGGTAACGGGAGGGCCACATTGACGAAACATCATTCGGGTCGTGATCATGACCGAGATCGGGATCGGGATCGAGGGGGCGGTTTGGGCATGGGATTGGGGGCGGGCAGTGACCTGGATGCGGTGAATGCCGGAGGAAGTCTGAATGGACCACCCCCAACAACCACGGGGAGGGGAAAGAGATTCAGTAAGAGGCAGAGTAAGGGCGTTCTTGCTGCAGTTTTCTGAACCTGGAATCCAGACCAGATCAGATCAGCTCAACCGATCTGAATTAGTGGAGCGGAAGGGGGAGAAGAAACAAGAAAATGAAAGAGAGACCCATAATATGTGTTTCCGTCCGTCCAGCGCTTGTTTTCCCAATCTAAACCTACACTTGCTCCACATTCATCTATATCTATTGATCTGGGGCCCAATCGGAGCAAACGCCGATCTCTCCGTGCCTTCTACATGCATCTAAACACAAACACAACGAAGAGCAAGATGTTTACACCGCCTTTTCCCCATTTCCCCCCCATGGTCTCTCATCAAGCAGTGTAAGATAATGGGGTTTGCATGGCTTGGTACCCAATTTTTCCCAAAAAAACAAAACAACAAAAAAGAGAATTCCATCTATGATCTAGTTATACCTATATCTATGTATATATGTATATCTGTAAATCATGTCATCTAACCATCCCTCCCGTATCTCTCGTGGGCGAAGAGCTGAAATGTGCGGAGATGGGCCTCACCGCTCTTACCTGCAGAACAAGATGGAGAAAGAGGACTCTCACCGATACGGTATTGCTCTGGAATACTTTACCTCTTAGTCCATGTTCCCGGTTTAATGCTGATGGTTTTCGGTGTGGCTGGAGCTGGAGCTGGAGCTGGAGCCGGGGGAGTCTTGTCCGCGCTGAGCTATTTTATCCGTAAAAAGGGTCCTTCGGTCCAGCGTGATCGTAGTGTCACTGATGCTGCATCGGTCTGAAGCCCTTGCCGACGATGATGTAGGGTGCGGCAGGCAGATAGAGAAGGAGAGGAAATAATGGGAGAGCCTTTCCGCAGAGCCCCTATGATAAAATCTTCCAGGTTTTAACACCCATTGAAGTTGAGGGCATCCGGGCGCTGGCAAGAGGCGTGTCTGTCATGGAACGAAAAAACCGGATTTCCCCTCTTGTTCGGCTGGAATGGGCCACGAAAACTAATCAAGTAACAAGAACTTCGAAACCGGTGTTTGCCACACCCCAAACCACCGAGCGCGCTCCCCGTTCAGATGGATCGTCACAGAGATGGGGAGAGCGTGGTAGGAAGCCAGGAAGCCCGGGATCAGCGACGAGATGGGCAACCGTGAAGACTCCGGGATAAGTATTCCGGATCGAGACCTTCCGGCGTTGGAGCCGCAACATCCATAACTTTTTAACGAACGGCGGTGTGAGCTTCTTGTCTTCCTCAGATCGGACATCGATGGATGGCGGAGGCGATACATCCCGCGTCTGCCATAGTAAGACACGTCTTGGTGTCGAGGCCTGGGCTCGATTTTGGTCGAGTTCTGCTCTGACAGCCTCATGGATGGGTGCGGCGTCATCATTATCGTCGTCTTCTTCAAGCATCAGGAAGACGCTGGTGTGTGGGCAAGGATTTAGCGGGTCAAGATACAGGAACTCTCGGAGCCGCGCCCGACAGGTAAGCTATACAGCATCATCATCATCAGCAATCTTTATATTACCTCATCCGCCAACCCTAGGCAATCCAGTTTTTGGGACAAGCCGACTCAATCGGTGCGTCCATCGGTGTAATCCACCCCCATAGAAACCGCTGCCATCTCTCTCCGTCGCTACAGTCGATGCGGGGAAAAGTATGAATCCGAGATCGTCGTACCCGGGCGTCTTCGCTTTGCTTCACGAGCGGACGTTGTTCGGATTTTCTCAGGAAGGGACGGTATATTGACTTGGGTAGCCATGGACAGCGTCGAAGGCACGAGTCTGCGCCATGTCAGCCACGAACATGAAGTTGGGCTGGAAGGTCTAGGGGTTGGAGTGGAGGAATTGGTGAAGAGAAGGGAGGCAATGTTGGATGGGTGCTCTGAAAATAGCCTTTCACGCCCATTGAGACAGGAGGGAGAACCGAGAGCAACAGCTCGAAGACGATATGTCAGGAGTCACAGCACGGGAGGCGGACTTCCTGCAACCAGGGAAATGGTATACATCTGTGGGTCTGGACATATCTTGCGAGAAGTAAAAGAAGGAAAAATGATTGGAGGAGTCCGTAGATCATGACTGTGAAACTTTAGCAACATACCTCGTCAGATCGATCCTCGCAACTATCGTCTGGTGCAATCACATATATCTCTCCTGTCAATCCTGAAGGCAGATATGCCATCCTTCTCAGATCCGAAAATGAAGTGTCCGCCGATACAAATCCAGAAAAGGTTTGCGTCAAATGTAAAATATTTGGCGCAGGCAATCGATAGGGACAGCACGAGAAGATGCAGCGCTGAGCGGCAATGATGAAAACATTGACCTCCTGTCCTGCGGTGGGGAACATGCCAGCTTCTTCACGCTGAATGAGGTTGAGAGTTTGAAGCAAGAGGTTTCATGCCACTTTCCCAGCACTACCACACCAAGGCAAATATGGGCCAGGAAGGCGAGAAAAAGAGCTAACCTATTGATGAACAGACATTCGGCAGCTGATCGGTGTACCATGTTGATCCCTTACCACCAAGTGCTTGAACGCTAGCCAAGTAGAACGCACACCAGCAGTAAGACTACAGCTGTATGTGTTTTCAAGAGACGTAGGGGTTCAAAATATACATGATGTGATAACCGTCTCAATGATCAAAGAGCAAAGCACTCTGCGTATCTTAGCAGCACTCCACGCCAGATCAATTGATAGTACTGAAAATCCAGTCAGCTGACATGATATCGTTCCTGGTTAAAAATGGTGAGGCATAAACCTCTTCTATACAACTAAATGGTGATGAGCGCGAGCGAACCAAATGTACCTGAATGGAAGGGAAGAGATGCAAGGACGAATCCGATGTGGTTATGGAAACATGTTGAGCATCTCCTCCGCAATGGAACTGCTGATTGTCAACTCCTAATTGAATACGTACACGACGCAGGTCTCAATACACCCGCCAAGAGCTTTTAGAAGCATTACCTGCCAGCATTTCCTGCATAGCACCGGCTCACCATCCTGTGTCACCCAGCTCACTCCTTCTGCCATTGCCTGAGTACTGAGCGAAAGACTTGCCTTCTGCTCTGACCTTGAACAAAGCTCAATGAGGGCGATCTGAATATTCAGCGAGCGATGCAGCCCACGTGAAAAGGCCCAGCACCTCAATATGAATTCTTCAGATGACAGCCTATTGGGCAGGTAGTGGTCCGTCGGCCAACTGGTCCTGTGGCTGGTCCTGTGGCATTTCCTGTGTAGGCTCGGACTTTGGTGCTGCTGGAAACTCGCTCTCCTGAACAGCTGGCTTTGGTTGACGACCGCCAATAGTAGCTGGCACCTTCTGTCGAGCGCTACCCACAAGGTCTTGAGCTTTGGCAGCATATTCACCGGTATAGTGCTTGACGCTCTCCAGACCCTTACTGGTTTGTTCACCCGCGATGTCCTTGATCTGTGTGGTCTGGGAAGAGATGACTTCAGAGGCATGTTCCAATTGGCTGTCAATGGCGTCCTTGTTCTTGATGTAGATCAAAGGGGCAAGATAGATGACGCAGGTGCTCAGTAGCGTAAGTCCCCATAGCGGAACGATCTTGATCAGGTAGTAGGAGATGAATGCGGACAGGAATGCCTGTAAAAACGTAACATCAGCCAGGAGTTCATGTCAAAACATTCAGGACAGAAATGGGAGACGTCTTACGGCAACAGTGGCTGCAGGATTCTCGGCGAATAAAATCCGCTGGAACTCGATAACAAAGAAGTTGATGAGTTGTTCAACATCGTCCAAGAATGTCTCGAGGGTCTCCTTTGGAACTCTGTAGTATTTGCGGGGACGGAGAGAAGTCGTAACACCTGTTCCCATCACGAACTTGCCTAGAATCTCGGCAAGAGCGGTGACTACAGTAGTTAGCTGGTTGATTCTGGTATTGGATCGTTTCTCAACATACCACCGAATGCAATGTAGGCAATCTTGAAGACCCATCGAATCAGCGGAAGATATCGGGAGGCGAAGATGAAGATGACAGAGGTAGCAAAGGAGATAGCCGTGGCTCTTGGATGTGCCCACTGCAGTATTGTCAGATTCTGACCGCAGTTGCACCGTACAATAACCTACGCTCAGAAGTGTGTAGAAGAACGAATGGTAATCTAACAGATGTTAAGCGAATAAAATTCACAACCAAAGGGGAGACTGATTTTCGTACGTGTCAAGGGCTGTCCATTTGCTGCAGTGCTGTCTGGTTGAACACGGGAATTGGCAAGACCGGAAAGGTCATTGCCGGTTTTAGCACTCTCTTTTTTGACAGATTCAGCAACAGGTCCTGGAGCGTAGTCAGTGACTCCCCTCTGCAGGTATCCGAAAACGGCTGGTGTACCTTGGGTCAGAGTCTCTTTTGCGTTCTGTGTGAGGGGGTGATTCGAGATGGTATTCATGGCAGCAGCGGTGTCTAACAGCTTATTAGAGAAGAAGGTTGAGTAGGCAGCACATCTAAAGGGAACGTTAGCGGAAGCTTTACAGATGGAGATGAAGAGGAGATGGAAAATGGCCGACGTACCTTACTGTTAACCATTGTATCTTTGAAGCTATTACCATTGGCAGTAGGAGCACTCTGGTTCTGATTGTGACCGGAGTCGACGGCATCTGCGGAGGTGACTGGAGCCAGGGATTCCAGCACGCCATCAAACGAAGGAGCATTGTCGGCTGACATTTTGTTGAGAATTGGTGTGCTGTAAAAATGAGTCTACGAGTCTGAAGGTTGGATGGATGGATGGATGGATTGATTGATGGATGGATGGATGAGGAAGACAGTATGCAGGTCAAACTTGTAAACAGCAACCGAAAAGTTTGGTGATGAGCAGGTAGAAGAAATGCAGGTAAAGCTTGGGGGTAGTGGGGGTCAAGATGCCCGTTTTTTCCTGCTTTGACTGTGAGACTGTGACGTGACTCGCATGTAAGTGTCGCGTGTTGTGCAACTTTTAGACTTGGACTTGGACTTGGACAGACGACACTTTACCCACAAATTAAAAGGCAGGGATCTGGTAATTTACTCCTACCATGTACTATTGTACCCGTACAACTTTGGCGGGTCACCAAGCAATTACAGTACTTGCTAGCTACTAGTATGTGCACAAACGCTGGTGCCTGAACACTTTGAAGCCAACTTACGTAGTACCTTGTAAGAATACCTGTAGGCACATTTCTTTGGTCCTTGACCACCATCACACTATTTCTGGCTGACATGTGACAACTTGAATTCCAACTGACATCTTCTTGGCACACGTTCGACCGAGCACAGCTGCGACGTCTCTTTCGAGATGCTAATATTCTTACGGGAGACTGGCGATGAATGGGGAAACCAGAGATGCAGACTGCCAACATGGAGATCCCAGGTGCCGGAGTTAAGAGGTCTTTGAGCAGAAATCCTGAGCGATACGCCGATCGGCCTTGATTGGTTGAGCATTGCGGCCTGCTCTGCAAGCCCGAATACCCCTTCCTATAGCTCCGTTGCTCACTCTCTCTCGTCCTCAGCCTCTCCTTCACCACCATCATCACTTTCACCACCACCCTCATCCATGCCTTCTGCTGTCAGCGGAGCCCCATCACTCTCACCCCCGCTGGACTTTCCAGCAGAATGATAGGAGATGGTCCTCCAGCCACTGGGCTGAGTGAGATCCTTGACGTATTCCGACATGGGGAACTGCTTCTGGTTAGCAAACATGTGCTTGATCGATCGTGATCACGGCTGTAGCACTTACGTAGTGATCATTCTTCTTCATAGTCACCACCCACGGGACGTTGTCGAACGTCACTGCCCTGAGCCGGAAGTAAGTGTTGTCAGGTATCTTGCTGACTTCTTTGACAAACTCGTCTAGATTCGGCGTTTTCACTCCGTTGACAGCGGTAATGAAGTTGGTTGGGGCAAGTCCATATTGATAGGCAGGCGAGCCTCGACTTCGCGCACTGACGTAGACCTCCGAATGTAGCTTGCTGATTTGTTGTCTGACGGCATGATGTGGTTTCTGTAGGACAGCACCGCAGAAGATGAGAGCCCGAGAAGTCTCAAGGTCTTCGGTGGGCACCGTCGGTATTCTCAACTGCATCTCCTTTCCGCCCCGCACAATCAAGGCATCCAACGCTCCCTGATCGTACATGATATCGAATTCGGACACTCGGGTAATGAGCTTCCCATTCAACGTCAAAATGATGTCGCCTTCTTGTAGAGATTGCCCCTTGGTCTCCCCGGATGCCGGAGGGCAATCGATTTTACGCACCATGAAGAGTTGATGTCGAGATGGGTTCGCTTGAGCAACTTTTTGTATCCATTCCTCGGAAACACCCATAATGCGAACTTGGCTCATATGCACCACATAGGATTCCATGTTCAATATCCGAAGCGATGGATGGTAACCACCTTGTATCAGAGAGATAACTGGGAGCAGAGATGGCGTAGCCAAACCAAGATGGTACTCGACATCTTTGTGTGTGTTTGGAGTGCGCTCACCCAGATAATTTAGCCAGAGTGCTTGTACAATTCCATCAGAACCAATAAGGACACCATTGGAGCATTGACTGGAAAGTCCTGTGTCGACTGTGATGGCATCTAAATTGATGGCTCGATATCTCGGAGCAGAAGCATTTGCTGGGATGGCTACCGTGGTAATGTCGGTAACTGTCGTCTTCGCTACCACTACCCGAAAGTTCTGGTTGAAGCCGACGAAAATCGTGTCCTCTCCTTGTTTGACCATTGTGCTCGAGAGAGGAGCCGACTTGACTGGAGCGTGCACCAGCTTAGGATCGTACTGTACGATAGTGTAGTTCTGCAGGGGGTGCATGAATATCACTTTGCCCTCCACAATAATCGAGTCTGCAACGGTGATGGTGATGTCGCAGAGGTCGTAGGGCACGATCGCTCGTGACACAACGACCAGGCCCTTCTCAGCATCGATAACGAGCCCAAAGCCGGTCTTTCGCGCTTGTGGGTAGCCATCGAGCTTGACCGGCATATTGCATGAGACGCGAACGAAAGAGCAAACAATATCTGCTGCAGCGGCATGGTTTACACCATCTAGTTGGATAAAGTCTGCAGACCTGGGGACAGGGGGTGCCGCAGGCTTCGGCGTTCCGTGGTCGGTAAAGTCCCAAAGTCCAGTCTCGTCATTGCGAACCGCGAGCCGCATTTTGGGGTGCCAGTGTCGGTCGATGTGGATAATGCTGGTCCCTCGCGTATGCATATCTCGAAGGTGTCGGTATGATAGCACCACCCGTGATTTGTCTGGAATGCTATCCATGACCTTCATAAAACTCTCCAGATCGGGTGTTGGCCGTTGGTCTACTGACTCCACTATCCAACCGGAAAGCGTGTTCTCCAGTTTGAATGATCCAGCTGCTTCGCAAATATAAACGCCCTTGACAGCGACAGCATATAGCCTAGCCTGTTGATAAGAGAGATTGTGAAAGCTTCCTCCTGCGACGGTGACGAATCGGTCAGGAGTGATAGCATGCAAATCGCCAACATCGAGTCTGACCTCGACATCCTCGCCGCCGCGTTGCAACAGTAGATGTAGTGTCTTGCCCACGCTTGCATCGAGGATGGCATCCAGTCGTCCGAATCGGGTAAGAAATTCACCGTTGACCTTGATAAGCACATCTCCCTCCTGAATTTTGCCATCGGCGGGGCCTTCTGGAAGCACAATTTCTGCGACAAGAACGCTGGTTTCTTTGGGAGCAGCTGCTCGAATAGCAGATTCCCAATCGGGTGTAAGGCCTAGCCTTCGGCACTCATCGAATGGCTTTAACATCCACTGCGTCTGTATCGTACCACGGGTTATTGGTTCGTTGTTCTGTATGCACTGTAAAGCCCTGAGCGGTCGATCAAGGGGTAAAAAGTAGTCGGTGGCAGCGCCATCCATTCGACCTCCAGCTTGAAGTGCGATTGTGTGGCCAGCCAGATTGACCACTGGACTACCAGAGCTCCCTCCAGTCGCTGCTGCCGCCGCTTGAATATAGTTGGTGTTGAAATCGCAGTATCCTTCGCCATACTCAGGCGCATTTCGGTCCAGGCGACTGATGACCCCGGATAAGATGCTAAGCTTCTCGCCTGCATCATTACCAACCACTCTGATCTCAACACCAACTTTCGCCGAATCCGGGCGCAGGTTGAGAGCCTTCAGTTCCATGTACTTGATGGCTTTGGGGTCGAATTTCAGGATACCGAAGTCATGGACAGGATCTCGATAAACCGGCCTGACATCACACTAGAACCTGTAAGCTAAGCCATGAGATGCAGTGCGAGAGCTCTCACCTCCTCATGGTTGTCGAATATGCAGTAGCCCCAGAACGGTCCAGCGCAGGCAACATGTCTGTTGGTCATGATATAGCCCCGTTCGGCGTCCACCACAAAACCCGTAGCCTGGCTCGACATCGACAGGTCGGTGTCAAACGAACATGTTTGACAGAAGTGTATTGACACCACGCTCTTGACCACATTCTCTATCGTGGCCTGCCATTCCGGAGAGTTTGCTGGAGCCGCGAGAGGGTTCAATATTGGTGCAGCACTGATCTCGCTGTCCACGTTGTAGACGGTACCATTCTGTGGAGTGGCATCACCAGGTGTAGGAGCCGATGTCTCGGGCCTCAGATGTTTTGCCGGTCGATCTAGGAAAGACACAGGGCTTTGCTTGCGCTTAGGCCTAGCATCGCCGTTGGTTGCCATGGTTTTGAAGGTGCGAAAGAATAGGACTGAGGAAGCGGGAAAAGTAGGGTGCGAGGATGGCCAGAAATGAATATGTGGCAGATATGGCGCAGGTCTGGGCTTATGTATTCTTGCAGAAGTTGAAGAGAGAACAGAGGCAAACGAATACAGCTGGACTGAGAAGTGACGAGAACTTGCGACTGTGAATCCCCTTTTGGTCGCAGGGGTCAGGCGGGCTGTCATTCAGAAGTCAACAAAAGCATCATACAAAGCTTATCATTGTCAGTACTTCATCACCCAACGAGATGCGGTAAAATCTTGGTGGTTAGTAATTCTGGCCTCAACCCTATCTGGAAAATACAACATGAAGTCTCGTGTCAAAGATGGTCGCGAACATCTATTCCGCGCCAGGGCGTTGATGATCCCTGCACCTGCTCAAGTAGCTCCAATAATTGTGTCCACCATCGGTAGTAGCTAGTCACAAGTATTGTTCAAGCAGAGGATTCAACCATATGCCAGCGGAGAGGGAGTCTAACATCCAGGCAATGTTGTACAAACCTCCCGTCAATAACTTAGGCCCATCTATACTACTCTTTCGGGTAGGTGCGGGCCCCAAGCCGTGTGGTGAGCTACACACTACTCCCTGGGCTACAAAAATATCCATGACAGAGACAATAGCGCCTCCTTTGTCACAATGTTCCTCCGATGAGTCTCGCTCCAGTGTTCATCGTCAGCGGAGGTCAGACGCTGCCATGACGGCCCATTGAACACGATATTCGAACACGATATTCAAGCCCGATGCACCCAGGTGCCTGTGCCTTCCCAGTCATTGGCTCAAAGTAGCATCGTTCCTCCGTTTAACAGATCTTACTTCCTTGCTCACGCAGCCATCAGCTGATTCAGATCCCTGACAACGTCTGTTGAGGGGATGCCCTCGAGCATGGAAGGAGTTAGATTCACTCTTTAGAGTACACATCTCCACGTTCTCGTTATGATTCCTGTGTATATTCTCAGAGTCTTCGTAGAGTACAAATATGTTAGGCCACTGTTCTAGCCAAGTCCAGGTCACCTCAGCCGACGTTCTGTGGCCGTGGCCCTGACCCCAGCATGGGCTTGGTGCCGGCCGACTGCGCCGCAGCTAAGAACAAGCTGTTAAGTTTCTTGTACAGCTCCTTCACCTCGGAAAGGTGTGGCGGAGGCGCCATGATGGCAGGAGTGGCCGGAATGGAGCCAGCAGCTTTTTTCTTCGCATCTGCGATTGCGGCGAGATAGGCGAGGTTGGCCTGGAGGCGCCGCATGCATTCAATGTATTCCTGACTGGGCGGCTTGGTTCCCGCAGGTTTGGTGGCATCGATGGGGCTGTTATTCAGCGGATTCGAAGGGTCCGTTGCAGATGCTGGTGATCCAGCTGCTGTTTCTTGGGTCGGTGATTGTTGGGACAGTGAACTTGGCGGTCCTCCTGCCTTGCCTTGTGCTTGCAACGAGACGACTTCTTGTATTAAATACGAATTGATTTCCAATAGGACAGAGACTCGCTCCTTCTCACGTGCCACTGATTGAGGCGACTGTGGTTGCTGACTACTGGTCTGCGGCTGGTTTGGCGCTTGCCCTGAAGAAGGGTTATGTGAATGTGAATGCTGTGCAATGCCCTCGTTTTGAGGTGAGAATCTCTGTGAATATGGATTGTTTGTTGCAGGCATGGCAGCCGGAGCAGCCATGCTTTGAGAGTGCTGCGATGGAGTCACTGGGAGTGACGCCTCGGATGGCTTGAGCGACGGAGCCGCCTGGCTGTTGGACGAAGACACGTATACTTGTGGGGAGACTGGGGGGGCACTTCTGTGTTAACGAGGTTCGCCACAGGTAGGATATGCGGGCTAGTGCATAATGGTCTCGATTCAAATCAAGAGGTTCAGAGGGAAGACTGACCATTCTGGGCTGAGGATGGCATCACACCATTTCCAGAGAACTGTAGGTTTCCGGAGTTGCCGTAGAACGGCTGCGAAGGCTGCTGATATTGCTGATAGGGTTGCTGTGGTGGGAATGGCTGCTGCGGCTGTAGGGATGGGGGTTGAGGCTGCGGTAGCGGGTGTGGCGGCTGTTGCTGAGGATGTAAATGGTATTGCTTGTTAGGGGGGAAAGAGCCAGAGCCAGAGGCCGGAATGAACTGGGTGTGCACTGGCGACTGCTGGGGCTGAGTCTGGGGGGGAGGTCTGGAGGCAGGCGCGTGGTAGCCGTAAGGCTGCTGGGACATCTGGTGCACAGGATAGGCGGTAGGGTTAACGTTCATCATGGGGGGTGGGCAGGTGTCAGCCTTCAGGGCACTTCTGGGTGTGCTCCTAACCGTCGAGCGTTCCTGCGGGTATCCCAACAAGCGTCGATGACACACAGATTCAAGTCCCAAGTCAGCAAGGATGTTTTGACTATTTGGACTATTGGTGAATGTGATGTTTTCGGGCAGAGTGCAGCTCGATGAAGTCGTTGGTGATTGGTGATGGGTTGAGGTTGGGCTGGACTTTGGTCCGCTGTGGTGCGACGTTCGAGTTGGACAGCGTGCGAGGTCAAAGCAATAGCGCAACGCCACCAGGATCATGCCGATTCGGGACTGCAATTCACACGCTATTTACTCCTTGCCCTTGCTAGACTGCGGCTTGCGGATGATCAGTGCAAGATCTGCTAGCATGCATGAGGCGAGCTACTACTACGTGGTAGTCCACCCATAGTCCAACCAAGGTACACGGTAGCAAGTACTACGTAGGGTGGCGGAGTGCTTGTATCACTATACAGGGTACTGTTCATTCATGACTTGTGCGGTCGTGGGTGATTGATAAAGGCTGAGGGCATGGCGAACATAGCTCATACCCCGGCTTTCCGCTTCTTCATCTCTCCTGTCCATCTCCCGGTAAGTGACGTTGGCACGACATGTATCTTGACAAGTCCATCCACTATTTCCACTTTGCCGGTAGTCAAAGCCTGGAGCATGCTTAGTCGCTTGCCTATCTTGGCCATCCCGCCCGTGGTGGTGTCCATGAAACACTCCACCGAATCAATCCGATATTCTTGCTTTGCATCCCATGGTAATGGGAAGATGTAACTCAAATGATCGATAATGGAGTCTTTCTCGCCGAATTGTTTGACGAAGTCCGACTGCGCGTGCAGAGGATAGAGGAATACCACTGGGAAAACAAGCATACTCTTTGGATCCATAGGATCGGGTGAAAGGTGAATCTCTGCGTCCTCCAGATCTGGTGCTTGAGGTGAGCCTCGCAGAGTGATGTTACGAGCCTTTAATGCTGTTGCAAGCATGAACTTTTTCTTTTCTGTCTTGTATTCCTCGATGGCTCTCTTTCGAGCTCTCAAGTCCTCAACTTGTTGTTGAGCCTGGACTGTTTCATTCAATTTCTTCAATGCGGTATTGCCTGGGTCCAGTTTGAGACCCCTGAAACACACATCACTGGCATCAGTGGTCTTGTTCAGCGCCAGCAGAGCCAGTGCTGAGCGATAGTGGGCCTTGATGTTGCTGGGATTCAGCCGGAGGGCCGAGGCGCAATCAATGGTCGTGGATCGGAAATTCTCTAGATTAAATCAGCACATCTTTCCTAAGAACAAGAAAGCACGTACATACTTAGTTCCAAGTGGCACAGTGCGCGGTTTGTGAAACATTGCTCCTCCAACTCCTTCTCCCTCTTTGCCTCTAACTCGGGATCATCACCTTTTTCCCACTTGTCATCCGACTGGTCTGTAAGTACGGCAATAGCTTTGGTGTAGAACTCCTTTGCATCACTCCACATCTGAGTCTTCACCATTTCATTACCTTGTTCCTTGAAGCCTTGGGCGATGTCACTCTTGGTGCCTTCGTACTGCAATGCTCGGATAGCATCCAATTCCGCATTCTCATCACCTGCAAATACTCTTCAGCATTTGCAGAGAGACCGCATGTTGCCATGACGAGTTCTCGTACCGGCATTCGCAACATCATTGAGGTCATTCATAAACAGTGGCGTTTTGCTGAGTTCCAGCATCACTTCCTCGAAACTCTTGGGATTGCTCTCAGGTCCATCTGGGCCTTTTTTGGCAAATCGATTGTAGTACATCTCTTCGAAGACAGCATCGTCATCGGCATCGAACTTTGGCGGCCCACTGAGATTCCAACCCTCATCAGGGTCATCCGGTAATTCCTCCACGCGGGCCATATCAAATCGTGATCTTTCTGTGCATTTAACCAACGGTGGGAAAGGGATTTGTGCACACGTACAATACTGCACATAGACTTTACTATGCTGTACTCGATATAATGTAAACTTGAAACTCAAACGACCTAGAAGATGGCAAGGGATCTGTCTCGAAATTCAGGCCAACTGTTTGTGTTATCGTCAACTCCGCTGGTTATACTCCGTAGCATTGTGATGAATAAATATTTGTGCCAAGCCTACATTGCATTCAGTTCTAACTTGCCGGAAGTTCTCTTCTCGAACATGATACGAGAGTAAGCTAGGAGCAGAAAGCTTTGATATGACGATTGTTTCGCTCTTTACACACTGAAAGTCTACTATGACATTCAGTAGCTCCGTGGCAGCTGTAACACCTTTTCACTGATAAAGTTGAGAATCATTTCCCGACTGATGGGCGCAATACGTGGGACAAAGCATTCCCTCAAGTATCTTTCTACATCATATTCAGCAGCGTAGCCCATGCCACCGTGACTCATCACCGCACGCTCGCAAGCCGCGTAGGCAGCTTCAGCGGCAAGATATTTGGCGCTGTTGCAGGCCACTCCGACTGTCTGCTGACTGATACTGGCGTCCTGGCTACTGGCATCATATAACCTTGCACCGTGATAGGTTGACAGCTTAGCAGCCTCGAGATGCATGTACGCATCAGACAATGGGTGTGCTATTGCTTGATTTTGTCCAATAGGTCGACCAAAGACTACTCGATCCTTTGCGTACTTGGCGGCTTTCTCCAATGCAGCATAACCGAGTCCAAGTGCCTCACCAGCCAGCAGACAGCGTTCGGCGTTCATACCATGCAGAATGATTTTGAAACCTTGACCTTCGTTCCCAATCAACGTATCGGCCGGTACCTCATAATCATCGAAAAACACTTCGTTGGCGTCGACGGCTCGACCGCCCATCTTCTTGATTCTCTTCAATTCCAGACCAGGTTGAGATTTATCGAAATCAATGCAGAACATGGAAAGCCCTTCGCTAGGCTTTTTGACGTCCTCAAGCGGTGTTGTGCGGGCCAAGAGAATCATCTTGCGAGCAACTTGGGCAGACGTAATCCAGATCTTTTGCCCAGATATATGATACTTTTCACCACGCCTGATGGCTTTGGTTCGCAGCTTCAAGGTCTCCAAGCCCGAACCTGGTTCCGTCACCGCAAAGCAGGCACGTGACTCTCCACTAATGATCTTTGGAATTATGTTCTCCAGTTGTCCACGCGTACCAAATTTTGCCAAAGGCTGCGTGGCATAGACGTTAGCATGTATTGACTGGGCACCTGCCATGCCAGCACCTGACTGAGAGACCGTTTGCAACATCATGGTAGCCTCGGATATCCCTAGAGATTAAGTGTCATGCTGAATTTTACACATGTTGTGCCTAGATAGTCTTCTTACCTAAACCGGCACCACCCAGCTCTGCAGGAAGTGCAATGCCAAGCCAGCCGTCTCGAGCAAGGGTAGCATGCAGTTCCTTTGGATACCTCTCCGTCTGATCATGTTCTTGCCAATACTTATTGGGAAAGTTCGCACATATCTTCTCTATAGCGTCCTTGACGCTCAATTGTTCCTCGGTGAAGATGCTTACATCCATTAGTCTGCTGCGGGCAGACATAGAGAACAAACGCAAGGGGGTCGGATGGTGTGTTCTTGACAAGAGCCGGTGTACTTTGTAAAGAAGAAAAGGGTGTTGCGCAGAAGCTCGAGGGACAGGGAATAGCCTAGTAGCCATGGTGGAAAGATGAAGCTGGACCTTGCAAAGAGAAGAAAACGGAGCAGATTATGGAATCGTAATAGACCTGACCAGGTGATGTCCATACAACACCATCTGGTTCTCATCAGAGATGTATTCTCTTACAAAACAAAAGATTGCTGCGCATAGCCTTTGTATTCAAGAACGCAATCCCCACCGTTTCGTCTCGACGTTAGATTAGCAGTTGTTGTTCGGCACGGGGGAAGATGCATTATGATTACTGGTCGGTCAGGATGTTGCTCACTACTAGAAGGGAAGAATACGTGCCAAGCTTTGCACGTGATGACGCGATGTCGACAAGCTAGCCAGTTACAGAACCAAAACAAATGCTATGCTAGCTCCAATCCATCTGCTGTATGTGCTGTATGTGCTGTATCTACTCAGTCTGTCAGTCTGTATTCAACACCTCGGACACTACAGATATTCTTCGCATGCCCTGCATGTCGGCAACTCGTCCAACGACCCGCAATATCCCTCGTCTGCGGCTCAATTGAACCTCAGTGCCTTTGAACCTATCAAGAATAACATATCAATCTGAGTCTATCACTGGCTTAACGACGCAATGGCTGCCAGGACGCAGATGGCCGTGGGCTCTGCCTCATGGATCAACGCAGAAAAGGAGAACGTCAAGCATTTGTTGGAACAAGAGAAGGAGGAGCTGATATACCCAGCGCAGCATGAAATGGAATGGCTGAATGAGCACATGGCAGAGATTTTCAGCAAATCACACTTGTACGACGTTCCGCCTTCCCCTGGTCTCCCGCTGACGAAACCCAGTAATGTTACAGATGTCTTCAAGACACCTGGCAAATTAAGAGGGAAAACACCCCGAACAGTCAGAAAGAGAAATGCCGTGGAGCCCCGAGTAGTAAGTACATATCTATTGTAGGGAGGTCTTGCTTGATACTGACACTCGATCACAGCCACTCAGCGATGTTTTTTCATCGAAACCTCTTACTGTCTCCAGTCCCAAGGGTATCCCTAAACCCGATCGATCGGTTGCTGCTTTTGCAATTGCGCAGGATGGCCAGGAAAGGAGGGTTCCCGAAAGTGCACCAATTCTCCCGAAGCACTATACAGACTCTGGATATCACGGCTCAACAGAGGATGAGACGGAGAGAGACATTCCTAACCCGGTCCCGTCCAGGGATACTTCACCACCACAGCAGGTCGTCGGGGAGGAACCGCCTAAGCAAGTTGTGCAAGAGCCTGCTGGTCCTGCATCTGCTGAGAGAAGAACTACAGAGGGGTCTTTTCACTCAGCTCGGGAGGACATGATAGCGAAGGTCTCGTTTGTGGTACCAGAACAGCAACAAAATGAGGCCGATGCCAGAAATCAAGAACCCCACCTCATCGCAAAGCCCGGGCTAGAAGCAAAGTTGGAGCATCTACAGGAAACAACAACAAAACCAGTCGCAGAGACTGGAAGAAGGCCCGACCTGGCCCAGGAACTGGACGATATTGGATCGCCCTCTGACGGATCCACTCCTGATCGTCCATTGGTGCGAAAGAGTAGTCTGACATTTGCATCCTTGCCAGCCCGGGAGCCGTTATTACACAAGAAAAGCTTCGGAGCGAGGGAATCTCGGACCAGTCATCTTGATCAATCGAGGATCGGTAGGAGTAGTTATTTTGGAAAGCTGCATGGTGGCTCTCATCTTCCGTCGATCGAACTTCAGCCAAAGGATCACCTGGATCTTGTCATGGGCGATGCAGATGGGGATAAGGAGGCGGATCAAGTTGTTTCTGACTTCGCAGCTGGCCCACCTCATGGTAAAACGTCCACGCAAAGGTTGCATGAGAAGATCGATATGCTTGGAAAATCACAGCCATCCCGGCTGTCGAAGTCGATCCCTACAGCTGTAGCGCTTGCAGCTTCAAACTTGCGGAAATCGGAGGCGGCCAGGAAAGCAGAGATGGAAAGCTCTGCTGGTCAGACTGCCCAGGAGCCTGGTTTCGACGAGGACGATGATTGGATCAAGCCTTTAGGAACAGCTGAGGACATGGAGCGCCCAATTCTTACCAAAAGCCATACTACAGACATAATGGAAAACATTGTCAACGGCAAGACTGAAGATGAGGATGTTGAAATGGAATACGATTTACGGGCACCGGAGCTGATCGCCCACGAGGAGAGAATGAGGACGCCTGTGAGAATGTCGCCGAGTCCTGGAAAAGCGCTGCCCGGGTTTGGACACGTCAAATCCGCCTCCACAGCTACTCTGGCATCACCTGGAAAGGCAACAATGGCTGCTGGCCCAGCACACATGAAGACCATATCAGTCTCTAATCCACCGAATCCTTCAACTACACCGAAAGGCTCTCCGCGGCGTATCTTTGATGCTCCTCTGACTGCTTCGAAGTCTAAGCTGCAATCAATCATGAAAACCGCAAAGGGTCTCTTCACCAGTAGTGCCGGAGCTTCTGCTGCCGCGAAAATGGAGACTTTGTCACCCAAAGCATTGGAAATCGTGGCAAGTACCATGCCAGGACTTTACCCCAGCATTGCGGGCATGCTGGAGGACAAACCTCTGCCACCAAGTCCACCGAATGAATGTCGAAGGACCAGGAGTTCGACTGAACGAGAAAAAGAAGAGAAGAAAAGGGAGCGAGAGCTGAGAGGGCGACAAAAAGCAGAGGACCAGCTAGAGAAGGCACGCGAAAAGGAGAAGCAAAGCGCAGCACAATTCAAAGCAGAAGCAAAGCTGGCTCAGGCACAGATATCAGGTGCATTGCAGCCAGTTCGCAAAAGTCCCCGAAGACCTGCAGAGGAGCATGCAGAGGCTGAACAGTCGAGTGACAACCATGACATGCCCCCACCAGCTGTACCATCAGTACAGAGCAAAGCTCAACGACCGGCTAAACCAAGCCGGGATCTGCCCAAGAAGAGTCGGCCCCAGCCAATGTCAATCCGCGTTGCCAGCCAAAGAATGCCGGTCACCACCTCGTCGCTTGCTTCCAACCTGCAAGAGACCCTCCCACCGACCAACGCAAAAGCAAATGTAGCAAGCAAGAAGGTTAGCAATGCCTCGCTGAACTCGGCTGCTTCAAACGTTGGATTCAAAAGCTCGGTGACATCGCAAGCTGGCAAGCCGAGAGCCCTTCTGGCTGCAGAACGAAAGAAAGAGGCGGAGGAACGCGAAGCACAACGCAAGCTTGAGCAGAAGCGGGAAACCGAACGCAAACGGGCAGCACAGCAAGAAGAGGCGCGGCGTCAAGAGCAGAGACAACGCGCGGAAGCCGAACGCAAGGAACGTGAGCGCGTTGCAGCTGAACAAGCCAAGAAGAGCGCCCAGCAGCAGGCAATCGACAAGCGGAGACAAGAGCAGGCAAGGAAGATGGAGCAGCAGCGGATTGCCAGTGCTGCCAGTGCTGCCGGTGATGCTGTAAGTTGTGTTCACTTGGACGTGCAAACCTTCTGCTGACCGTACCAGTCTTCCATGTGTCAGACTGGACCTTCAGCACCACAACGACATGAGATGGGAGCTTCCAGGCCACCTTCCAAACTCGGTGCTACTTCGACGTTGAACAGGTCCCTCGTCAGCCACAATCTTCCCACCAACCCTGCTAAGCCGCCCAAACGACCTCATGAGGATGAACCAGGTCCAGGCCGTGCTCAAGCTCCAAAATTCGGAGCAGCATCCCAGCAAGCGGATGCAAAGCGGCGCCGAACCGAAGATGAGGAAACGGTTGAGCCGATTGCTCGACCTACCATGTCCGGTGCTCCAATCAGGCAATCCAACATGAGCAAAAAACCCGGTATTTTTTCTCATGGCTATGCTCCTGCTCCTCCTGGCCCACATATAAACCAAGGCCAAAGCCAGATTAATCAATTCCCGGCCCCACCACACCCACACCGCATAGTCCACCCAGGCGAGATGTCCAAATATGCGAATGGCAACAAAATCCCCTTCGCCGACGCCCCCAATCCACCCGCCTACCCTCACCACCACCACCACAAAACACCCTCCTCGACCCAACAATTCCCCCACCAAGCGCAACCAGCCAAATCCACCCTCCAACCAGTCAAATCCTCCCCCATGCACCACCCGCACTACACGCCGGGCGAAACCATCGCCCTGCCCGAGATCCCCACCGACTCGGAAGACTCGGCCTCGGACGCCTCGCCCGCCAACGGCGCCGGCGCCACCACCGCCAACGGCTTCCCCATCCCCTCCTGGGCCTCCCCCACAACCCTCACCAACCAGCTCATCGCCCAGGAAGCCATCGACGGCGACGCCGTCTTCGGTCCCATCGCCCCGCTGCGTATGGAGGAGATCTTCTCCAAGGGCAATGAGGACCGCCTCAAGAGGTTCAGGGAGAGGACCAGTTCTGCCAACTGGGCGACGAGCGGGGATGGGCTGACGGTCGAGGAGGTCAGGGCGGATAGGGAGATGAGGGCGCGGATTCGTGGCGAGGGCGGGTGGCGGTTTGAGGGGTGAGGTTCAGGGTTCAGGGTTGAGCGTACAGGAGTGAGCTGGCTGGTTGGTTGTTTTGGGATTGTTGGGAGTTGATATTCTTGGGTTTTGGTTTGGGTTTTGAGGGCGTTGATGCTGATGGAGCGGGCGTGATGCTGTAGCATATTAGGGGCATGACTTTATTACCGAGACAGAAGATGCCTAGTGGAGCAATGGAATCAGTTGTACGAATTCGCTTCTCAGGAAGACCATTTCAGTATGCTTGGAGCATCTGCTTGTCTCAATCGGGTTATGATTGTTGGCTGACGCTGACGCTGATCACAGTTGCACCTGATGAAGAGAGGCGGATCTGAAGGAATACATGGGTGATCAACTTCTTCACGGTACCGTTTCGCTGTCTAGGTCGACCTCCTGGTATTGCGATTCATACCCACCCCTCTGACTACTCCCCCGGACACCATTCACGGTTCCTGGTTCCCCTCAGAGCACGCACATCATCGTCATCGCTTAACAGCAAACCTCAATCGTCCTTATCCTTCCACGTCTCTGTCCAGCTAGAAGCTCTGATTTCACAATCATTCGACTTCCGATTCAACCTCTCATCCTTCGCAGTCCATGGCCACAGCAGGATAGCCAAGCTTCGCCCTCCCCCTTCACCAGCACTCGGATGCTCCACGCTTTTCTTGCTCAGCTGATTCCGGTAACAGTGGCATAAGCTCACACTTCTCACACCGTCGTCGACGCTAGACATGGTCTATTAGCACAACAATCGCACAGATCAATGCTCACCTCGCACACAGTGACAGTGTGCCCCACCACCCCCACGTTCTGAAGTCTTTACAGTCTCTGATCTCCAGACGCCATGACGTGATCCTTGTTGTCCTCCAGAAGACTTATGACCTTCTTAATGGTCACGATGCCTACTTCGGCGTCACCGAGACAGCTGTCAAACGTTTCTTTCAGACTGCCCAGCTCCTTGTAGATGATGTCATTTCCGAGTCTGTCATCCCTCTCGTACATGGCTTTCATGACCCGGCTGCACTCAAGTACAGCGTCAATGTTGTCTTTGAGAGTGTTCCCAACCTTCCGGAGTTCTACTACGGTCCTGTCACGAGGATCTGGGACTAAGGGGCGGGCAGTGTTGAAGATAGGTCCGACAGATGAGGGCCGCGGCGGAGGAAGATTCAAGGAGCCTGGAGACGGCATATAGGTTGTTTTCCGTGCATCTGTTCGGCCTCGTTCATGGCGGGCATTCGAAGAACTCTGAAATTTGGTAGGATGGACAGGATTGAGGACTTTTGCTGTGCTCGGCAACTCTACCTTGTGACGGCCGATCTGGCCTACCGCCACTTTCAACCTCTTTGCAGATGAGTTTGCTGTGGTGCCTGCTTCACCTGCTTCCAAATCATCGTTGGCAATTTCGATCGGGTTGTCACACGTGCCTTTGCCAGGTACTTGTGCTTCGTGCTCTCTCCCTCTCTTCCTCGGCCTCATGGTGTTGTCACTAGGGTCCCCAGGACGATATCGATCGGGATAGACGGCATGTTTGGGCGGACGTTTTATCTTTGGACGCTCCACTGCATGTCTGAAGGCGATACGACGTACCGCCCAAATCAAGTCCATCAGAGCCACCTGATTGCGTGTATTGAAGCCGGACCTATTCGCAGCGTCTGCAATCTCCAGATTGAGGCCATGCAGCACAAGCACTGAATACAGCGTCAGCTAGGACTTGGATTAGGATGAGGATGCAACGACTCACTGCCTTGATTGAGCCCCATGACCCCAGTGTCACGATGCTCGTAGGAGCAACTAGTACCGAAGGGACAGACCCGTTTGTGGAACCAGTCATAACAAGTACCCCGCTGCTCGTAGAAATCGACCAGGCGGCCTGTGTCCCAATGTGCGTATGGGCATGTCTGAACACCGTGGGCATCGACATCGGGACATCCAGGTCCAAACGCCCAGTAGCGGCACGTGAGCAGGTATCGACTAGACAATGAATGCATCCTGAACTCAAACAAACGGAATGCTGATTCCGATGAATAGAAGTAAGGGGTTTGACGAAGTTAGTGAAAGTGAAGTAAGAGATGCCGTGTCGGTAACAGAGAAGTGAAACAAGTAAACGGACGACACTTGGATTCGACAAGAACCGAGGACCCCTATGGGGTTGAGCAACTGGGGCAATGCACTGGATATTAGTACGTGATAGCCGATGAAGGATTGGAAGCAAAGAATGGAACTGCAGAACTGCAGAACTGCAGCGAAGCGGATATGATGCGCGGTAGAAATTCCAAACTGTGAAGTGAGTACTAAGTTAAGGTGGGAGAACTCGGAGTAGGCAAGAACGCGTGAAGGACTTGGCAGAACGTTGGGAAGGGAAGGAGGCAGGCATCAACAACTTATTGCAGTGGAAGTGGAAGTGGAAGTCATACCCTAAGCTCTATGCATCTTGAGAGAGGAGAACCGAGGAGGGGGGAGAACCCATCAACATCGAGTGAGGTGCTGTAACATCAACCTCCACTACTTCCAATCTTGTAATCTTGCAATCTTTCAGAAAATGTTATAGCCAAAGAATAAATGGAACAAGAGAAGATCTAGATCATCACTTCGTCCAACCAAACAATACCCTGCTTCTCATGTCGAGGCTCGACGCTTCCCACCCCTAGGAGCCTGATTCATCCCAGCCTCCATATTCAGCTTCAGCAGCAAGTATGCAGCTTTCTCATCACTCATCACCGAGCCCTTGCAGCTTCTCTCCTGAACCTCGGGCAGGATAGAGACTGCGATCGAGGAGCTGGATACGCTTCCGGTATCATCGTGATACTCATCGTCATCGTCCTCGTGAGCTTCGGGTCGAGACTTGAGGAGCAACGATGTTGTGCTGGACGTACTAACTGACGCGGCTGATTTGTGATCCTCCTCGTCTGAATGCATGGCCTCTGTTGACATGCCTGCCAGGATTTGCCTGGGAGACGGAAGATGACCGTGGAACGAAGGACCGATAGACCGAGGAGTATTCGCCGGAGTCCAAGTATTGCAATAAGGAAGAGTCGGCGAGACAGAGGTCGATGCATGACTGTCTTCGAAGCTAGAATCCGAACTGTAGCCACTTCTAGCACTGGCGAACTGCCGCACCTTTGGACGAAGTTGCTTCACATTCCTGGGTAGTGATGGTGATTCAGGCGTCAGCGGACTGCGCATAACCGTAGCCGTCCCAGGGGAGGTCTCTACTTCGAGCTGACGATAGAAATGTGCCTGCTCGGTGCACCGCTCAGTAATTGCAGGATCAATAATCATGCTGCCGAATCCTTCAGACTCGGGTCGAAGACACATCTCGGGGAATTCAGGACCAAAGACTGGAGTCAGTGCGTAGCGTATTTTCCAGCAGAAGGTGGCTGCAATGGCCTTGGCAGCCTCAAAGGGCATCCAGTAACCTGTATTTGCTATGAGCAATCGGAGAATTGTAGCTCTCGGCGACAGGCATTACCTTGTGCAACCAACGCGCCACCCGTAATGCTATGACAGATCTCCCGCAAGCCGGGATTGCGGTTCAGCATCTTCGCCGGCGTCGTCTATCCACAGTAAGGTACGTCTGCAAGAGCAAGTTTACATGATGCAGAAGGCTCACCTTGGAATAACCTGTACATTTGAAGAGAGGTGTTGTCCGCACCAGGCCAATATTGTAATCCCACATCATGGTCTGCACTTTGTCATCACCCTGGGCCGTGAACTCGTAGTGAAATACTGAGACAGATCAGCGTAACTCCCCAACCGAAAAGCATGGGCAGTGCGCACCTTCGAACCCGTCACGCTGCGTCTTTTCAAGAAACGACTTCTTCTCGCTATTGTAAGGAACAGTGCGAGGATAGTCCATGATTTTGCCCAGTGGGTGGATGTGATGTTCTTGATGATGGGCTGCAAGTATCTTATCGTGAGCTTCGTAAGCAGGATAGCGACATTCTCCATGGATGGTGCCTTTGACGAAGACTGCAGCATCTTTGCAAAGCTTCTGCTTCTTTCGTGGGTACGTGGCTGAGGTCAATTCGGCGTTGTGTGTGCTTGGACTTGGACTTGGTAGCTGGAAAGTGCGTGTTTCAGACTCTGGCATAGGATTCAACAAGCTGCGTATCGCAGCCATGATGATGGTGAAGCTAGGACAACAATAAAGAGGGAAATAAGACTCCTAAGCACTGAGGTGACAAGCCACGAAGGGTGGTACTAGGGAAGAGCGTACAATCAGAAGCATACACGAGAGTTCGATGGCGACAAACACAGAGGGCCCATGGGAGCCTTTAAGTTTGAGGCACGATGCCAATACGTTTGGGCCAAAGAATAGATCGCGGCAGTCAGCAGCATTGACCGCAAGAGCTTGCAGAGAGCTTTAATGCCTCAATGGACTGCCAGCAAAGGGAAAATCAAGTACCTGCAGGGCTGTTGATGCAGGAGTGCAAAAGCTGTAGATGTCTTCTTTGTCTGGTACAGCTTGGCGTCTGAAGTTCTGTTACCTTGTCCATTCAGAGCTCATCAGTCTTTGGGGTGGGAACTAATCGTTGAGAGACCTATCGAAGCTGTGTGTTGTTACAAGCGGTGAGGATGCGCAACTAGTGGACATTATGGAGACACAAGCGTGCTCTCTCGAACGGTTGCAAATATTGTATTGTCCGTGAAAAGGCTCTGGAGTCGTTTGCAACTTCGGATACCACCTGAAAGGAAGTTTTCATCAAACTAGCTCTCCTTTTGCTTGTTCTCGCTCGCATGGCAGATTTGTCACGCAAAAGGCCAGATGAGCGGGAAAGGAGATGTAAACGGCGGTAATGGATAGTCAGGCAATCGGCGCTTGGCTTGAAAGTGGAGCTGCTGGTAATCAGACATCCAGTATGGGCTGTGTGGACCCGTTTTGGTAAAGTGTCAAGCATGCACCCTCGTTACCGGGCTGGAACTCCCAGATACTAGATCAGACGCCCATTTGACGTTGAACTGCTTCAGTCCACCGACTTTTCGAAAAGTACGATGTTTCAATGTTAATCAGATACCTCAAGCACCATACTGACTTATTGACACCGGTAGAGCCACACATCAAACTCCACGTGATGCCAGTCTGACAGTTGCCGAGGCTCGTGGGAGCCAGTCACAGTAACACGAATGAAGATCTGATCTAGCAACTTTTAGTGGCCAGATAGCAGGACTCTTCACAAAAAGAGACAGACATGCGCAGGTCATGGCAGGGGATACACGGAAAGGTGAGACAGCGGCACGTGTCTTTGTGCTATGGAGACTGACTAGCACACCAACCCTGCCATTTCATCCTGTATAGAGTAGTTTGGTCCTGTTGACCGCTTCTGTTTGGGCAGAGATGCTTCTATGCTGGTATCCGCAGACTAGATAGTAGGAAGATATCAAGGATGCCTTGCAAGCTTCTAGTGTGCTTCCAGAAGCTGCACTGTTTGCAGACCGTCTTTTTTCTGCAGGGGAATAGAGGAACCAGAACAAAACAAAAGATTAAACAGCAATGAGATCAAACTTAGGCTGTTCTGCACGTCCACAAAACAGTGGATTGCCCCAGGGCGGATCAGGGTGTCAAACAATGTCATCAGTCCCGGCAGTCGTGCGAGAGACTTGTTATACTTGCGACAATGACCAAGCCAGAGGATGTTTCGGTCAGTTAAGCACCATCAAGACATATCGGGGTCCTTTCGGGCTGCTAGAGCATCTGCATATCTTAAAAACATACTTCGTGGGCATCAGAAAGCGCTGAGAAACACATAATCAGCATGGAAGCACTGTAAGCACTGTAAGCACTGTAAACGGGCAGAGACAGGGTGACTTCCTATATGATGTGAAGATAGCTTGCAGACCTTGAAGGATGGCCTTGAAACAGTGGAATTCAGTTCATCATACTCGGTATCAGAATTGACTGCCTTGGCACGCCCTGTCATGGCTTGGCATTCCCTGCATATTGATATTGCCAAGCCTTTGTTGGTGGCTCCACTGCCTGCATCTTTTTTGCAGACTGAATCTGCGTTGCATTGCGGCGGGATACTTCACTACGTGATACCCTGTACGCCTCTCCATCTATTCCTCCCGATTCCGACGCACACATTAGCGAAATGAATATTGATGAAGATGACCGACCTAAGCTAAGTGAAGACGGCGAGAAGGACCTTACCAGGCTTTGGCGAACATGGAAAACAGTGATTGAAATGCTGATGGACCGAGTAAGACTACGCCTCCGGCCAAGGCACCTCAGTGAGCTCTCATTGACGTCTCTCCGCTCGCAGGGGTATGAAATCTCGAACGACGAAGTCAATATTTCTCGGTCAGAGTTCCAGCGACGTTTTGGGGACCGTGACGGATGTCCGGAGTACGTACATCCCTAGCAAGCGCAGTCGTCTCCGAGTACCAGGGCTGATCGCAGTTGACTGTGCAGTCGCAAACTAATGCGTCTCAATGCCAAACCAAGCGAAGCGATGGACAAGCTTCACACACCAATTCCTACCAAATCGAAACCTGACCCTTCCACCACGGCGGGCAACATTTGGGTCGAGTTTAGTCCAGAGACTACCATCGGAATCAAACATTTGCGACAATTTGCTCAGCATCTCGATGCCAACAACACCAACGGCATTTTCATCACCATGGGCCCCGTAACGACCGCAGCTATGCGTGCCTTCGAACCTCTTGCACAACGTGGCATTACGGCAGAACATTTCCAAGAGAGCGACCTTCTCGTCAACATCACAAAGCATGAGCTTGTGCCAAAACATGTACTGCTCAGCGCAGAGGAGAAGAAAACGCTACTGGCAAGATATCGGTTGCGCGAAACGCAACTTCCACGGATACAGCATAGCGATCCTGTTTCAAAATACTTGGGGTTGAAGAGAGGTAACGTGGTGAAGATCATCCGGAAGAGTGAGACTGCCGGGCGTTACGCAAGTTATCGGTGGGTCTTTTAGCACTCATGGAAGCATCTGGTCTTCTCTAGTGGCAGTTTCCTACAGGTGAGAATATTTGAAATGGCAGCAACTTGGCTAAAAGCGATTACGGATCAGCATGGCGTTAGGTGCGAAGGATACTATTCCTCCTCTATTGACTGTGATATGCTGAAGGAGGCAGCTGCAACACAATGAATGGTCCTCTTGCTGACACAGAGGGAGAGACGACCTGTTGTAAGACAGGGGCGAAGTCGCAGATGCATTGCTTGAGGCATGGTGGGGACCTCGTTGTCATCCACGAGAATACATGGAGAGAACGGAAATACGGGAAGTGACTCGGCGTGCGGCAGCAATCCTCTTGGTGGCAACACATTGCGCACTGCTCTCACTGGCTGCGATTTGGCGTACGTGCTCTAGATCAAGGCATAAGTAGAACTGATGTAGAGAACTGTGTTAACTGCACTGGAGCTTTCCGCACATGTGACTCTCCCAATTCTCCGTCACCCGAGAATCAGCCGACTTTGATCCTCCCCCAAGAACTCCCAATTTTATGTACGATTTTCCACAGCAGTGTGAGATGCTCATGAGATCTTAGCAAATACCGGCAGATAATTGCACGGGATGGGGAAGCGCGGCAAAAAGGTAGAGTACGCGCTCGTTCGCTATGGTATTTAGTTGACATGCTGATTGCCTTACGCTAAGGGTGGACGAGGTCGAGGTGGTTTTGGTCGAGGCGGCAATGGAGCAAACAATACGTGGAGGGAAAGAACAAACAAGAACGACGTCGATCGTCACAACTCGAGATTCGAAGCGTACTACCATGGCCTGGAGATCGTGGGTGAGGATGAGGAGCAGAAACTGTGGGAAGCTATGCGGCGTGATCTACCGAACAGCTTCAGATTCACTGGCTCCAAAGGGTAACACAGAGATATTGGGGGTTGGTGAGCTCCACTGACACTTTGTAGGCATGCTCTTGCTGTACAGCAGCGGCTGAAGGACTTCTATGTCCCCGAGATCACGTCTATCACTCACGACGGAGAAATGGTTGAGGCACCGAAGCCCGTCAATTGGTATCCAGATCAGCTTGCATGGTACATGACTACTCCGAAGCATATCATCCGCCGATTCCCTCCCTTTGCTTCATTTCAGAAGTTTCTTGTCGCCGAAACAGATGTTGGAAACATCAGCCGCCAGGAGGTAGTGAGCATGATCCCTCCTCTCTGTATGGACATCCAACCGGGTATGACCGTGCTTGACCTCTGCGCTGCACCAGGCAGCAAGTCAGCGCAACTGATTGAGATGGTTCATGGAGGGGAAGAATATCGAAGCAGGACGGTTGCGAAACACATGGCAAACGGGTTGGACAGACCAGACGGGAATGAATATGAAGACGAGGGGCGATCTACAGGCCTTTTGATCGCGAACGATATTGATTACAAGAGGGCCCATATGCTGGTACACCAAATGAAGCGACTTAGTTCACCTAACATCATCGTGACCAACCACGATGCTACAATGTATCCTTCTATTAAGCTTCCCACCGTCCAGTCAAGCGATGGAAAGCCACTTCAGAACAGATACTTGAAGTTCGACCGCATACTAGCTGATGTTCCTTGTTCAGGGGATGGTACTTGCCGAAAGAATCTGGAAATTTGGAAGAACTGGAACCCTGCGAACGCGCTTGGACTTCACCCCACTCAAGTGAGAATACTTGTACGCGCTTTGCAGATGCTGAAAGTGGGTGGCAGAGTGGTCTACTCGACTTGTAGCATGAATCCGGTGGAAGACGAAGCTGTACTTGCCACTGCTATTGACCGATGTGGTGGTTCGGAGAAGGTCGAGATTGTGGATTCGAGCGGATATCTGCCAGGGCTGAAACGATATGCTGGCAAGAGAACCTGGAATGTCATGGATAAACAAGGCAGGATCTGGGCCAATTACGAAGATGTCATACGCCACCGCGAGGAGGAAGGCGTTGATGCACTCGGACGACTCCAAGAGAGCATGTTTCCACCACGGTATGATTATCGTCTGGAGAGATGCATGCGGGTATACCCTCATCTTCAAGATACCGGAGCTTTCTTTATCGCGATACTAGAAAAGAAGTCGGAGATCAAAGCCAAAGCAGGGGGAAATGCAAGGATCAGCCAAGATTCGTCCGTGAGAGTCGAGACCGTGGATGAAACTGGTGAAATGCTGGAGCTCGATGTCAACGGTTCCGAATCAACATCAAACCCTAACTTAGACAATCCTCCACCTACTTTGACTCAAACAGAGATTGGGGCAGCTACGAAGAGGAAGCGGGAAGACAACGATGCCGAAGAGGCATCAGCGAAGCGCAGCAAATCTAGCGAGACCCGAGACGATGAAGCTGACCCTTCTATGGCAGGAGCAGAAGCTGCTGAAAGCTCAGTAGTAAGACCTGAAATCGACCTGCTTGACAAACTGGAGACTTCTGTCAATGAGTTAATCCCAAAAGGGGATTGGCAGACAAACTCCCCATCATTAGGAGCTATACAGAAGGATGAAACGGTTGATCAAGTCGCTTTCACTGACAAATACAAAATAAAGAAAGGTGGACAAACGTTTGAAGAGCCATTCAAGTACCTGGACGCCCAACTGGAAGAACTAGAGGGGATACGGAAGTTCTACGATATTTCGCCAAGATTCCCTCGCGACAGATTTATGGTGCGCAATGCAACCGGAACAGCGACAAAGAATATTTACTACACAACAGCCCTAGCCAAAGCTATTCTACAGGAGAATGAGGGCAAAGGCATGAAGTTCGTGCACTGTGGCGTTAAGATGTTCGTCAAGCAGGATGTGCCGAATCCAGACGTATGTCCTTGGCGAATCCAGACGGATGGACTTCCTATCCTTGAACCCTGGGTGGGGCCGCAGCGACGAATCCGACTATGGAAGCGGGAAACTCTGCGAAAGCTGCTAATTGAGATGTTTCCGCGCTTCAATGGAGACGGATGGAAAAATCTTGGGGAGATTGGAGATCAAATCAAGGAAGTCGGGATGGGTTGCTGCGTGCTTCAGATCGAGCCCAGCGAGGACAAAGACGGTCTGAGGTGAGACTAAATGCTTATAGACATCACAAAACTCCGGCTAATCTGATTCTAGTGAAAGGATGATCTTTCCACTGTGGAAGAGCTTACATTCGCTCAACCTGATGTTGCCAAAGGAGGACCGGAAAGCACTCCTCTTGCGTTTGTTCAACGACGATACCCCGCTCATCAATCTGCCACAACGACATGCCAACGGTGATGCTCCAAAGGTGGAGAGTAAGGTGGAGTCTAGCTTTGAGCAAGAAGAAGCTGAACGGAGGCGCAACAGCAGCTCTGGGGAGGAAGACGATGGTGGAGGAGTTCCCATCAACGGCATCAAGTCCGAACATACTGCAGGAATCAGGGCAGAAGAAGTAGAAGCCGAACCAAGTATCTCATAGGGCTGAGATGAGATGCCCAACCTCGTCCTCAAAATAACATCATGTTTGTTGGCCAATGTTGACGTGTATTTGGAGAAGAGGGCTGTTGGTTGGACGGATGTGGCTGGAGCTGGAGCTTTCCAAGCTTTGGCTTCGGCTTCGCAGCCAAATCCTCCGGTCGCTTCGGTCCCAGCCTCACTGCTTTTTAGCCCCACTGCCCAGTTGCACAACCGCATCACCACATGCGCCCCGTCCCATCCCATCCATCTAGTCTTCCTTCATCATCCTCAGCTTTCTTCTGTTCGCTTCTCCAATTAGTCGGTATCTACTCCCATAACTTTCTTCTCGTCGCTCGTTTCAGAAGTTAGCTATTCGGACTCTGGGAAAGCTCCACGGAGTACCGCATCTCCCATTGCCGCCGCTCTTCCTCACCACCCATTCAATACAGCATCTCTGGGCATCGAGACAGTGAGATTGGGTATGGCCCCAGTAGGGCTACCCGGCATCACTACAGATGAACAGCTCCGTCAGGTGTCTCGATCAATCTCGAGAAGCTTCACATCGTTACCCACCACAGTACAGGAACGTGGTATACCTGAAGATATTTACGCAGCCATACATAAGAACACACCTCTCTTACCTCGAGCGATACAACATATCTCAGACTTGCTCTCTCGATCAACAGCACCAATCACCGCTTCTATTTCTCTTTCGAAACGACAGGCTCAAATACTTGCCATACCGACCACGTACGCGGGCTTGAATGATGGACCCGCGCCCGGCGCAGTTGCCGGAATTGTCATCGGAGCAGTGGGTGGCTTCCTTCTCGTTCTCTGGCTGCTCTATACATGCTTCAACATGAATGGCGGCGGTGGCGGCACCGAGGTGGTCGAGGAAGAGATCATTCGCCGCCGGTCAAGAAGTCCGAGGCGAAGTCGAAGTCACAGCGAGACCATCGAGATAACAAAGTCGCGAAGTCCTCCGCCGCGTCGGGAGAGAATTGTGGTGGAGGAGACTCGACGGGTGAGCAGGCCGCCTGAACCGGAACCCGAAGATCCTATTGACGACATTGTCGAAGTGATTGAGGAACATAGTGTTAGTACACCTCCACAGTCAAGAAGGCCGAGCAAGCGACATAGTGGATTCAGAACCGTCGATCCTGCTGAATTTGGTGGAGGAGGAAGGCCGATGCGGAAGGTCAGGTGAGGACGCACCGAATTAGTGTCTGGTCGATTTTTTCGACGAGGCGCATTGCTTCTATCTGTCCGAGGGATTCGCAACGGGCACAGCGTGGCGTTGCAGTGCACCATATGGTGGGCAAAATTGGTTCAGCATTGTTGGGCACAGTTGACAACAGATGGGGCGTAACTTATATGGCGGCATGCTTAGCCAGGAAAGGGTCTCTGTGCTGGTAACTTGGTTGACATATATTTGGAAAATGCTGCTCTGCTAGATGTGGAAATATATCCCACCTTCCCCAAGTGTTATGTCCTTCCCATTTTGTCAATCATCCAAGGCTCCGGAAAAGCATGAAGCCGCCCAGAGCAACTACTTAGTACGCAACTTGGATTTGGGTAACGCGATACACTACAGACTCACGACTATGATATTGCAGTTCAAAATGTCTTAGTGTGGCGTATTCAAAGTAGTTGCATAGTGCATTATGATGCCGACGTTGTCTGCTCCAACCCTCTAATGTTATCAACAGAAAGGGAGAGGTTGTTCCTGTCATAGTCCAACTCCTCAGCATCCATCCGCACCATGCCCCCACAGCATCTCGACCAAGTCCTAGTCGATGATCCCAAACTCGCCGAAGGCCTAACAGCTTTTGGAGAGTTCCTCAGAACGAGCTACTTCTATCCATCCGGCTCATACGAGAAATGCGAGGATTCCCGCGCTCCAAATGCATGGGCAACCATCAGTAAGAAGTTTGACCCATTCATCAAGGTCAGTCAAAAATTCCGCAACATCCCTCCTACTCATTCTTCAGGTCCACTCTACCAAGATCCCTTCTCAGACTAACAGCGAGGCATGGACGAAAAGAACTACAAGTACTTCTCCATAATACGCGTCACAGCAACCTCGTCGGCTTATTTTGAGCTGGCGGATGAGGAAATAGCCGCAATCATTCCTGTCAGGGTTATTCCAGGAACCACGCCGCAGGTTTCGTGGAAGCCGCTCGTTCCGGGCTATGTGACTTATGTGAATCGCGATTTCCAGGTTTCGGCGGCGTTGGATTTTGTGTTGGTCACGACTTGATTGGCTGTGTGGAGGTTTTACGGTATGAGCATGTGGCGTTATTGATTGCTTAAATCTAGCTGTTGTTGGGGGGATATTTTCTTCAATGCTGACATGGGATTTGTTGTTCAAAGTTTGAAGTTACTTGAATGGGACTGATGCGATGTCTATTCGGAGAATGGACCGAGTTCAAGCATATAGGGGCTTGAACGGGCAGACTCAGAGTCCAGTCAACGTCTCAGTTCATACAAATGCCCTTTTCTGTTTACAATCTGATCTGATCTGGTATTGAAATAGTAGTACCTAGGTGGTGGTGTTGGATACAATGTTCTGAGAACCAAATACGACATAGTCTAGACCAGTGAGTGCTCCGTAAGCCCCTGGTAAGCGAAAGCCACCTGGTTCAGGTCCCGGTACTACTTAAGTTAGTACAGTATCCGGCGATGGACCCTGCATAATCATAATCATAATCATAACCATGGATAGATATCGCCCCCCGTTCCTTATCCCTTGCGAAGCTTTGTGCCCTTTCGATGAAGTAAAGCAGAGGCCGAACTCCATTACGGAGTAGTGCAGCCTTCAGCTCTTGACCCACCATATATACCTCAGAATCGAACATGGGCGCTGCACAATCGAGGGCTCCGGCCAACATGGCTGCGCCGAGACTCACTGAACGGTTCAAGAACCTGGACGTTGACGATCAGGTACCCCAGGAGAATCTGGAGAAAGAGTACTGTTTCGTAGAAGACGAACAGTGTGAGTTTTCTATTCAGATCGGAGCGGCCTGGTCGACTGTCGGAACCTTGCTGATGCGTTGTGCGTCATGGTAGCCGGCAGTTACATCCATGGATCGCAAACGGTCTCCATCTCCACCGCAGAACAATGGCAGAAAGAAGTTTTGGCGGACCGCAAGGTTAGCTACACCTGGCTAGAGTGATCAACTGTACTGACTGCCACCTCATGCAGAACTGTCTAGCACTCACTGCTATGAGTAAGAACCAACTCAATGACGTCGTCTATCAAGCCAATGCCCTTCAACCCGATAAGCAACTGTTCAACGTCAAGATCCCCTTCGAAGGCGCTCCAGTCACAAATCAACGCTCATCAGGACGATGCTGGATCTTCGCCGCTACCAATGTCTTTCGGGTTGCCATTATGAAGAAACATAACCTGTCAAACTTCGAGCTTAGCCAAGCGTACCTGTTCTTCTGGGACAAGTTGGAGAAGGCCAATTGGTTTTTTGAACAGATTATTGATACTGCAAACGAGGATCTTGGCGGGAGATTAGTGCAGCAGCTGCTGAGAGACCCGGTTGGTGATGGTGGACAATGGGACATGCTTGCCAACTTGGTGGCCAAATATGGACTTGTCCGTCCCCCTTAAGAGAAGATGCCGTAGCAGTGCTGATGCCGTTATACAGGTCCCACAAACAATCTATCCAGATGCTATGGCCGCCCAAAGTTCTTCCAACATGGATTCTGTCATAACCGCTAAATTGCGCGAAGACGCCCTCCTACTCCGCTCCATGTGCTCCGCCGACTCCCATGTCTCCAAGCACTCTCTTCCTATTGTCAAAGCAAAGATGCTAAAAGAAGTGCACCGAATTCTCACCATTATGCTCGGCCCGCCTCCAAACCCTCATGCCCCATTCACATGGGAATACCTTGACGCCAACTCCAAATACCACACAGTCTCCAAGACACCTCTAGAATTTGCAAAGGAGCTCTCCTCGCCAACGCTGACCCGCACTCTGCACGGCGCTGACGTCAATTCCTTTTTCTCCCTTGTGCACGATCCTCGACACGAACCCCTCACTCTGCTTACGGTTTCACGCTTGGGGAATGTCATTGGCGGTCGCTCTACCTGCTACGTCAATGTTGACATGCAAACTCTCAAGGCCGCCGCTATCAGGATGCTCAAAGCTGGTCTCCCAGTATTCTTTGGCTGCGATGTCGGCAAAGCCTCCTCCAGGACGGGGATCATGGACGACAAAATGTTCAACTACGGCCTCGCGTTTGACATCAGCCTAAATTTGAATAAGGCGCAGCGCATCATTACCGGGGCAAGCGCAGTCACCCATGCAATGGTATTGACAGGCGTGCAAGTGGAAGACCACAACGGAGAGAAGAGAAGTATCAGGTGGCGCGTGCAAAATAGTTGGGGCGAGGACATTGGTACGGACGGATATTGGGTCATGAGCGACAGCTGGATGGATGAATATGTCTTCCAGATCGTGGCTGATCCGGGGTTCGTGGATAAAGAGGTCAGGGACGTGGTGGACGCGGAGCCGTTGATATTACCTTTTTGGGATCCCTTGGGTGCGTTGGCTTGACCCGACGAATCAGGATCGCTTCTCAGGGTGGGTACGATGGCCTGGGTTATGGCTGATGATGACGAGGCGCATTGGCCATAGTCACTTTAAGGAGGTACTTCTGGGCTTTCATGACTTCCATCGATCATCGATCAATAATCAATCATAATCAGAGCATGGCAGAACGCTGTGTATATGCCAAATTGCTTCACTGGATATAAGGTGCCAGTCGTAGCAGGAATGATCTGTCTCAAGTACCTTGGGAGGAGAAGATACCTGGCATGGAATTGCTTGCTCTACAACACTGAGGCTGGAAAGCATAGTCACAGAACTCGGTACGAGGTGAGGAGGCCCACATGTAAATTCCTTACTACCAATTGTAAGCCTTACAACTTGCGAATTAACACCTCAACTCATTCTGGTGATTGCACTGACCGAGTGTCAACCTAGTAGCCCTATCAGGTAGGTGAGAATATACTTTTAGGCAGCACCTCAGATGGTGGAAGTTTGTTGCAACCTACTAGTTAGTAGTATAGTAGCACTTCTATTTCCCTGCTTGGCCTACTTGCAATTTTGGAAGGCTTGGCGGATTATGACCAACAGGAATTCTCTAGAGAGTGTCAAATTTCAACCGCACGGGATTTCCAACAAGAAATCATAGAAATCATAGAAATCATAGAAATCATATTTTGGCCCTCTAGGTTGACCATGTCTTACAACCCAATTTCAGAGACGAGCACCACTTCGGGCGACGGGCTGAGACTTGCCCAATTGATTCACCTCAGAACCAGATGTAGAACGTCGACTACCACCTTTCAACCGACACCAGGTTCTAGATACTGGTCTCGATAAGCCCCTAGTCTCAAGGCTATGTAGACATACCGCCACGCAACAATAAAGATTTAAAGCGGGTTATTGTGGACAGATCGCGAAGCGAAGTACCGGCTAGCTTCCGATAAAATGACGATTCATCTTCATCCGAAGAGATTTACCTTCCCCATGGCGGAGGAGTCGAAGCCGTTGTTACTTGATCTATAAACACCATGGTAAGGGTGGCAGCAGCAGCGGCAGTCACAGTGATGCGGATTCCGAAGCTTACGATAATGCTTATAATTTCGAACTCTCACGAGAGGATAGAAGCCAGACAATACATCTTATCCGATCACTCTTCGAAGCCTCAGAGGAGGTACTCGTCACTTCAGAACCACACAAACCGACCAGCAGCTCTGTCACCACGAGATTTCTCCGCTTCATTCGCTTGCGGTACATAGGTGATGGTTCGGCGCGACCAGTGTGGCCATTTGAATCAAAATTGAGTCAAATAGACCAAATCCGTGCTTTCGTCAAACCAAAATCAAGACTTGGAAATATGACAAGTTAGTCAGATGGAAGTCTTGGCAGATTTTTTTTAATCTCGAAATGTTCAGGGCTGTTCAACTTTTTGAATAAAAAAAGTCTTGGCGGACTCTTCATCCTCCGAGGGATGTACGTAAATCCCTGATTGAAATACTTCTAATTAGTCATCTTGAGAATTCAACCGTGAACCTTGTTGAGTTTGACGTAATGGTTCATAGTTCCGCACTCTCATGGCGACTAATTTATCTGACCAAATTTCTAGAAAGCAGTTGTCCGCACTGCAGCCTTAACGAATATTAAAAGAAGGCAGCTTCCAGGCTTCCTGGAACATTACTATGCCTACCATATCTCTGTCTCGAGAAATGTACAGATTCTCCGGTCGGTTCTCACCATGTGTCTCACCCAGTTCGAACATTACTACAAGCACGTTTCTCTTTGAACCACAGAGAACGAGATATGAAGCAGGCCGTATGCCATTTGCTTGATACACCCACAGAGCGCTGCTTCCACGTTGCCCGGATTGAGTACCTCGTGCTCGATGAATGTAAGCTCCCACTTTAGGGATTCGTACACGGAGAATCCGCTCACGCATTCGGTTTTGTTGATTACATGCACTATCTCGCCTATGCCGGGGCTGCAAGGCGAGATAGTCTCTGTTGTTCCTGGCGGCCGCCACGAGCCCCAAAATCCCCCACCATCTAGTCTGCTTGTACACGGGAAGGGTCACTGCTTTGGTCGTTCTCTCTGAGTGAGTGCATGTCATGGTCTGTGAGTTACAGAGGTTGCTAACTCTTTATGATCTGTGGGTTAATCATGACTAGGCCTTCGTAGTGCGATTTCGGGTGCTCTACAACGGAAGACCTGTCGCACCAGAAGGTTGGCCCAGGATCGTCATCGTGCTTGCTTCCAAGCTCAATGTCCAATGTCCATCCATATCTGCCTTGAATTCAGGTGCACTCCGGTCTATCCTATTTCTGATGCATGCTACTAAGAGAGTTCAGATCCAGCCGCTATGAACCTGTCAGAAAGATGTGTATCATCATCCGCAAAGCCGGTCGATTGCGTAGGAGACATCGAGTCATGACAGTGTCGATGTTGGAAAGTGGTAAGGTCAAGCAGACGCACGAGATCCACATTCAATCGCGGATTGACGGACATAGAATATTCCAACTCAAGTTGATGGCATTAATGGATCTGCAATCTCAACCCCGGCATAGATATCACTTAGCATGAACACGCCCTCTTAAATAAATGTTAGGGGAGTCATCAAAATGCGCTCAGACTACTAGTAATTACCATGCCCACCACTAGATAGATACTCAATATGAATTCAATTACATTTCAAGCGTATTCAGAGTGCATCTGGAGTGCATTTGGAGTGCGTTCAGAGTACATTCGAAGTGCGTTTGGAACACGCTCCGAACGTGCTCTGAGTATCTGAACCCACTTGATATAACGCTAGTGTATTCATTAAATAAGCAAGTGTTTTAGATGAACTTTAATAAGTTAAATGTTATTTGAGTATAATTTAAGTATCCCTTTTGATCCCGAATGCGGTTTAATGGGTATCCTTCATAATTAGGACTAGTATTATTTGTTGATCGAGCTTGGCGGTGCTTTCACATTAGATAGATGAGATGTCAAAATATACGCTAGAAAGGTTGAAACGCTGACATGCCGAATTTGAAAATTCTGAATCTGGCGTTCGAACCTGACTCCTCAGAGATAAGCTGTACAGTCAACAAGAGTACTACCAAAACTGCCGCAAGCCAACTTGTCCGTATTAGAGCGGATGAAGATGAACGAATTCCAACCCAGTCTCACCGAAGCGAGAGTATTGTGCAGACAGTGCCCCCTAAAAGACAGTCTACTTCCAGTCTGCATTTCAACTCCTTGTGATTTGCAGTCACCATGCGCCATCTTCCTTAAGCTTTCTGCTGGGTAACTATACTATGGTATAGAGACACGAATGCTGATCCAGATAGAGCTACCGCTGAATACTCGTTTCTTCTCGAGAGTGCGACGGGCGCATCCGAAACCGTAGGCCGGTACAGCTACATTGGAGCCAGTAAGCACAAAAAAACACATCACTCTATCTCATATAAATCCATTAACGATTCCAGACCCTAAAAGAGTTATCCGATGCGGTGCTGGGTACGATCACGATGGCGATCCACTGCGAGCACTCCAAAGTGAGCTCGCGGAACAGACAATCGACATTCCAGGAGTCAAATTGCCAAATCTCATTGGCGGTGCAGTTGGGTACCTCTCATACGACTGTATTCAAAAGTTTGAACCAGTCACCGGTGCCCCATGGCTGAAAGATAACCTTCAAATTCCCGAAGCCATGTTCATGATGTTTGAAACAGTGGTGACTTTTGACCACTTCAAATCCGCAATCATTTTAGTCACACATATCAAGATCCCGGAGTCCCCAGCTGAAGATATCGAGCCCGCGTATACAGAGGCATGTGAGTTGCTTCGCTCAATATTGGAGACCATTCAACAAACGGAAATTCCACTTCCCGCAGAACAGCCTGTCACGCAAGACTCAACATCGACTTCCGATAACCAATACTCGGCAAACGTCGGACGCAAGGGCTACGAGTCCTTCGTTACAAGTCTCAAAGAGCACATCGTCAAAGGGGACATCGTCCAAGCTGTGCCATCCCAACGCCTTTCCCGCAACATCACGGTCCACCCTTTCAACATCTACCGCACTCTCCGCTCAACCAACCCGTCACCGTACATGTTCTACATCTCATGCTCCGACTTCTCCATCGTCGGCGCCTCTCCGGAGTGCCTCATAAGCGCATCTCCAGTGGAGACCTCGAACGGCTCGCGCCCCCGCATCGTGAACCACGCAATTGCCGGCACCATCGCCCGCGGCAAGACGACCGCAGAAGACGACGCGCTGGCCTTGAAACTCCAAACCTCAGTGAAGGACCGCGCCGAGCACGTCATGCTGGTCGATCTCGCCCGCAACGACGTCAACCGCGTCTGCGATCCGCGGACGGTGCGCGTCGACCGTCTCATGCGCGTCGATCGCTTCTCGCACGTGCAGCATCTCACGTCTGAGGTTTCCGGCATCCTGCGTGCGGAAAATTCACGTTGGGATGCGTTCCGCTCAGTGTTTCCAACCGGAACCGTATCGGGCGCGCCGAAGATCCGTGCCGTGCAGTTGATTTCGCAGTTGGAGGGAGAGAAGCGCGGCGTGTATGCGGGAGCGGTGGGATGGTTTGGGTATAATATCGTGCGGGGGGGTGAGGTGGTTGAGGGCCCCGTGGATACGTGTATTGCGATTCGGACTATGCTTATCAAGGAAGGAGTGGCGCATTTGCAGGCGGGTGGAGGGATTGTATACGATAGTGATGAGTTTGAGGAGTGGATGGAGACGATGAACAAGTTGGGTTCGAGTCTTCGTTGTATTGAGTTGGCTGAACGCCGGTTCGAGGGTAGAACTAGTACAAAGGGGTTCGGAGATATTGTTAAGGAGCAGCAAGAAGCTTTGTAGCGGAGACCATTATAGCCAAGTTTAGAATACGTTTCAAATCTGACATCTATAGACATGGCATTTCATTCACTGTCAATCAACATCGATCCTCTAGTGCTAAATTCTTCATCCTAAGCACCAGTGAACAACTTTTAAAGGAACCTACATCTAATGCGCGAGGCATTAAATTTTTTGGTATATAATTGTAGTCTCTCTAGACTCTTGAAGTCGTGACTGAAATTGAAAAGAGCGCCACCAATGGCTGAAGATTCTTGTAGATTGACATGCTGGCACCTGTGCCATCCGCGGTGGCATTTTTTGAGCCACCTCTCTTGCTCTCGCACATCCTCAGATTCGCGACAGTCCGCGCTGTCGATGACTTTCTTAGGGGGCCACTAGAAAGGGAAGGGGCAGTCGTGGAGAACGAGGGACTTGAGTCGAGCGAGTTGATTGTCTGGTGGTGACACGGTGGAGAGGGGGAGGAGGCCAAAGGCCCCTTCATATACCCCATCCGTTGCCGTCCTTGGTGCTCAACTTGGGGTCGGCTTCCCAGCACTAAGCCAAGCATCTGTGCCATGTGCTTCGCGGCCATCTCAACCCCGAGCGTCGGCTGTCTCATGTTGAGTCTGGGTTGCCTCCTTGAGTCTCTGAGTCTGCCTCGCCTTGATCCCTTGAACAGTGGCATTGACAAGAACCGCAGGTTCTACATGTTGATAACTGATCCTCCCTCTATCAGCAACAGACACGATGGAATCACGCACGCCCCTGAGAGGCACATCGAAGATTTCAGAGCTCCCGACCATCATGTCATGGCTAGGTAGCCGTGTTTTCACTATGGGGCGCAACCCCAAAACGCCAGCAAGCTGACGTGGAACAGTTGCCAGAAACGGAAAACGCCAAAAAAAAAAAAGGTTTTTGCTCACCCAGGCTAGGGCAAGGGAGACGAGTCGGTAATAGTTCAACGAGTGATTTAAAAACGAAGATAGCAATGGTAAAGCATTGGCGGCAAGCAGAAGCTGCAAAGGACCAAAGATCAAGGCCTGGTTCAAGAATTTGTCATAATCGCCCCAGCACAATTTTTGGAGGAACAGTTCGAGGAGTGCCCGGTGAGATCCTGCAGCAGGCCTCGGCTGTCATTAAGCCCTACATTCATTCCGAAAAGCCCTTGCCACATAAGTATTTTGGAGTTATTGAAGAGCATGACAAAATTGACGTTCCAGCGAGCGCGGTTGGACAGCAAGATATCACTTTGAGGACGGAGGGGGTTACGACACCCGATTCGCAGCAGATTAGTCGATAACTTATTGCCTACTACGGTACCTGGGTGAGAGCATCCCAAACACGCCGCTAGTATTTGATGACCAAAAGGGCTGCTGAGCAAGACCGCTAAATAAGCTTATAACGACCCAGTTGTATGATTATGAAGCCATAAGTGTTGGAATTGGCCGTACGCGTACAGCCAAATTCTTAGCATCACGTGACCGCACTCTGCGCAGTAGTATTAGCCTCTCCTCCTTCTAGAGATAGATTCTGCATGTAGATAGAATTCCACTCATCCACTTCATCAATAAGTTGTGTGGATATTGACCAAGACAGGCTTCTGAAACGTGCTGGGCCGACGTACTATTACTTAATCAGTGTTCTCAACACTTTGTTAGGGATGCTTCTGCTTCGCTTTTGTAGTTACTTTAAAAGAGCCAATATTAATGGGGGGGTTTGGAAGCCGCCCCGTTCCGGCCGCCAATGCAATCTACCCTTGACGAACTTGCACGGCGTTACTACTACGAGACTGGTACCTACTCCGTTATGAACTTATGATGCGCTGATGCCTTTTCTTGCACGGCGCCAGCAAGGCTGGAAGTCTGCTGCGAGGCTCGAATGGGCCCGTCCCATCTGCTTCACGTAGCCTTCCATGGTAAGGCAACAGAACGTGCACATCTCCCCGCATTTGCTGTGCTGCCTTGCCCATTCCTGCATCCCCATCCGCGGAGGGAAGAACCATTCGGGGCTATCCCTTGTCTCCCTGAATATGTTACGCTGCTGTTTAAGGTTGGCGAGATCTCTATCTGGTTAGTCAGCATCGTCGCCTCTGCTCAGACGCTATCCATCCTCAGCTTATCCTCGGCCCAGCTTGCCCACCCATCTTGTTCAGCTACCTTTTTCCTTCCGTTTTACTAAGCCTATCATATATCATGGTCTTATTGTTGTGTCATGTCTTTTCCCGTCAAGTTTAGACGATGATACCTAGAGAAGCTAGTTTATGGAGGGTCGGGCTGGGTCTTTCATCACCTGGCCCAGCTCGGCCGGCCCAAAACCCGGTCCCCCGCGGGTTAGCTCGGCCCCAAGCGCAGTCTAGGTTTGGTAGGGTCATTGTACAGTACTAGTGCAAAAGTATCCGGTGACACCTCATATTTGTGTGGGACCACACCAAAAAGTCGCCTTTTTAAAATAGTTATAGCAACTTTAGCTAGGCGTCAACTATTAAATTTTAAAGTTAATGTTAGCTTTAAATTGATAACATATTCATTTATAAATATAAAGTTTTCTTATAAAATGTCTAGAGATATTAAATAGAACAAGATTAAAGTCCAAATTTCTAAAAAAGAAAAAAAATTTGTATGGAGTCTCATACAAAAGTTCACAAAATTTTGGAGTGCTCTACTTCTTAGTTGGTTTGCTAAAGATCTAGTTATAAGTTTTGGGACTAAACTTTCTATTAATAAAAGATTAATATAGGGAAGATAAATTAACATTAAATTTAAAATTTAATAGCTAACGCCTAGCTGAAGTTGCTATGGGGTTTCTAAAAAGTCGACTTTTTGGTGGGGTTTGGTGTGAAAATTTATTTTGGCCGGATACTTTTGCGCGTAGCTGTAGTTTGAAATTTGTGATGTGGCCCCAACCCAATAACTAATGGTCCAGAGGTCCATCGTAATAGGGCTGTGAGATTTGGGTTGCAACCGTGATACCGGATAAGAAGGCTTTCGGGTATTCTGCCTTGTCAGGTTGCGGGGTTCCGCTCGGTCTATTTGTCTCACGCATCTTTCATTGGCAGCAGGCACGTACACACTGCCCAAGCTTCAGCCTTGTGGATTTTAAAAGTGAATCTCGAGACTTCTGCGACACCTATCGATAATCTTATTGCGTGTTGCTCTGACTACATCCTTTGATGAGTGCAAAGCGCAAAGAGGAATATTCTTTGTGACCAAAATATGTGCCAACGGTGGCAATCTGAATAAACCTCATGGGATCTAAACGAGACGTTTATCTCAACACTAACAACGTCTTATGTCCTTTGTACTCAATACATACTAGACTATGCCCCAGCTCATGCAGCCGAACACATCCCTCTGAAAGGACTGGCCAACTCTAGGCTTTAGTTAGACTAATCCCCTCGTTTGCAGGCACCTCTCCTCAGAGTCTCAATTTCTCCATCTCTCACTGACGTTTTGTTTCAGATGTTTCAATTGTTTTTGCTCCCCAACTGCTCAATCTTACGTCGGCGCTGTTGCTCGTTTTCAGCTGCTAGCAATGGCTGAACTAGGTTTTTACCCTTCAGTCCTCAATCTGGATCATACTGAAGCTATTTTAGGGATTGCTGCTTCAATCCTTGGCCTTGCCACCGTAGGCTGCCAACTCTCTTCTCGCCTCAATGCCCTTTGCTGCGATATCGTCTCGGCGGGCCTCGAGATACCCAGCGTCTCCAAAGGGGTGATGATGTTCTCATTGATTCTCAAGCAAGTTGGCCTGGCATTACAAGCAGCTGACTCGGTGCACTCATCCGAAGCCCTGGAAACCGCAAAGCTAATTGCCGATGAATGTAAGCGGGTTTTTGATGAGATTGAAGGTAAGATGGACAAATCGACTACAAAAAGGGCAGATGGGTCAATGGCACCCTCAATACAGCAGAGGTTCAAGTGGGCCTTCAAGAAGGATAGGGTACAAATTCTTCTGGCTCGATTAGAGTCTTTGAAACTGGATCTGCTGGTCATGTTCCAGATCCTGCAAATGGGAAAACTCATGGCAGCCACATCAAACAAGTATGTTGACCAGTACCAGGCCTTCATTATTTCCAAGACTGAGTCATTCGAATAGCGCGCCGAAAGAAGAAATTGCTGTAAAGCATGACATGATTGCGCAAGAACGTGCCGAGACTCGGAACTTAGTCATTTTCCGCTATCTACACATGAACCGAGTTGATCATCTCTATACTATGGCCGAGTATGAAGAAGACGAGGAAGAAAACAAGCAGATTGAACAAGGGGCAAATGGAGGGTCTGATAGCACGCAGCTTACCATCAAGGCGACCCCTGTACACGGCTCATCATCTGCATTGGTTGAACTACCCGTCGTCTCGATGGGTGAACTGGATACCACATTTAGCCAGATAAAGGAGTCTCCCAAGGACATATTAAGGATCTCCGAAAGCGTCATTGATCCCCTCCTCAACCGATGGACGCGATGGCAGGAGTTTCACGACAGGCTGGAAACTCGACCGCCTCGTCGGTACTCATCTACCGCCCAGAACTTGTACGAATCGCATAATGATAGGCCAAGATATCAGGACGATTTTCATGATAGAGAAAAAAGTCCTCCAGATTATTATCTAGAGGGGACTACTACTGATTGGCGCAAGCCTTATTCGCCCGCTACTAAGGAGGAAGCTGTTAGGCTCAAGAAAAAGTACGCTGAGTTACAGCCCTTCGTTAGTGCAGAGAGCAATGATGCGGAGAATAATCACCTATATCAAAGCCCTAAAAAGCGTGCCCCGAGCCGTCACCTTATTGACTCTAGTAGCGAAACCTCAGATTCTGAACCTGAGCTCCCGCGCCAACCACAAAGAAGTTACATTGAGACAGCGAATGACAGCAGATCACGATATCCTCCCCAGAGACCTAGTCCATCACGATCCTTTATAAACGGTGGCGAAAATAGAGGCAGCTTTAACGGTAGAAGCAGCAGTTCTCCGAATGGCCACCCCAACTCAACAACCAGATCTTCTGTGTCTGTGCCGCGACCACCCGGAGTACAAAGACCTGTCATCAATCCGGTGCAAGATCAATATCAACATGCCTACACTTCTCCACCGCCACCACTACCTACATCTAATGCACCAGACCTATATACACCCCAAAACCAATATTCTCCTACCTCAAACACTTCACTTCAGCCTCCTTCTTATCATAACTATAGCCAGCCCCAGCACTACCCCCAACAATACCCTCCAAGACACATGGTACCACAAGGTTATCGGATGGCTCTACCACCACAGCCACAACCTGGATATCAAGACGGCAAAGCTGCCCGGTCCTCTTCCAGATATTCCAAACAGACTATGCATAGGCAACGGTCAGTTGAAGATCTGAAAAAGGCTGACCGAGGTGAAAGAAAGAAAAACCTGGCTAGGGGGGCCGTAGGAGGTAGTGCCATCTCTGGGTTTATGGAAGCACTGGACGGACTGGATCTTTGATCTCGCCACCTTTTCCCATTTGTGGTCTTTTTATCTTTTGCACAACGTCAAGTTGAACTGCAATGTAACACGCATATGATGGGGGCATGCTTTATGACAACCACGACGGTGACGGATGAGGGCTTAGTCAGTTAGTTACGCAAATTGACGGATCAGGCCATTGACAGGTCCTTCCATCAGTGTTGCGCATTCTTGCCATGTTAGTAGAAGATGGCGAAGAAAAGGGGTAATTAGTAGAGATGGCGAGAACTTATCAATAATTTTGACACGTAGCTCCGGGCATCATTGAGCTGGTGCAAGTCCTCTGGCCCACCCTTATAAATGTTATATTAAATATTTCGAATTTTTATTTACAGTTAAGCATGTAAAGGAACCCTCTAAGAAAAGACTTACCCGAATTAGAAACCAGCGCTATGCTGCTGCTGCTGGCGCCAGATAGCTACCTAGGTTGTAAGTGAAGAGAAAGCCGCCAACATCTTGATTACCGATACAATCCAAAGCTTTCTATCTGATTATGCTGCGCTTTCTACCTCCCCAGCACCAAATATACCATGCCATCCCCACCCAGATTTCTATTAACACTGACGAGGACATTGCGCAAGGTTTGTTTCGTAAATCTCAATTTACTTGGGAGATGGCCGAAGCCGGCGCTGTTGTTGATTGCTGAAGACCGATTTAGAGAAACTAATGGTGGTGGCTTGGAACTTGGCGATGCTAGCTGTCAAGAGAATCAAGAGAATCAAGAGAGTTCAACTTTAGAAACCAATAATATGGGTTTTCAATGAGTACTAATAAAGTAAATCATACGAATAGATAGCGCCCTTCTCCACATACCATGTACGTTGTTGAGAAGCAATAGATGTGCAACTCCCTGAGCGCCTAGGCTTTCATTCTAACCCGACCATTATTTTCAGCAGGCTTGGCGGACCTTGCACTTGAGACGTTTGCTTCCGGATTGCAGTACTCTCAGCCTTAACTAGATGGTTAAAATTGGGGACTCTATCAAAAGACACCTAATGTTTACAAACGGACATAAGATCGTGAGCAACTACCTTTCCAGCTTGATAAATTATTTATATACGTATAGCAAGATCTGAGATGTTCTAACCTCTTTGTTTTTTCTCCCCAAAGTAATATCGTCTCAACACTTCAAATACATGAAATACATAATCTGTCAAATTATAACCACCATCTCGCAGTCCCCACAGGTCTTCCACCACTCTGTAGGCATATTAGCCCATGAATCACCCCAGCCCAGTCGGCGATAGCAATTTCCGCCCTGGTTCTGGACCTTTTGCAGAATAAGACCACGTGGCTTGTGTATGTACATTTCGCTGTAAGCCTCGACCGTCTCTGCCAAAATGAAGAAGTACAAAGCCATGTCACTATCCTCAATGTTAAAGGGGAAGGTGTCAGGGATGAGCTCGCCTTGCAGTATTGCAGGGCGGTCGCCAATAGTTTTTCCATATAAATCCGTCTCTCCCGGCGGTGGAAAGCAGATCTTTGACAAATTTGGGTCTGAAATTTTCCCCTCCTCTAGCAGACATGCCATCTTTTCCAGTATTTTGTACTCGACTCTACCCTTAGTGTAGAATCCACATTCGTCATTGATGTGGATCGGTATGAGCGATCCCCTCAATCGTAGATGCCCGGAGCCGGGACCGAAGGGATTAGCAGAGGAGGGATAGAACGAGCAGTCCACGAACTCATACGTGAAGCGGTGGCTGTCCCACTCAAAGAATAACTGGAACAAGATTGAGCCATAGACACTTGCCCAGGTCCAACTGGGGGCATAGCCTATTGGGAGGCCTCGATCCCGAGTGGGGTCGCGCACATACCAGCAAAGATGATCCCCCAGCTCGATACCGCTGCGCCAGAGGCCAAAGAGGTACTTGTCGCCTTTTACGATGATGGAGGAGGCAATGCCAGCAAGCGCTGGAAGCAAGTCGGTCGCCTTCGTAAGTTTTAGTTTGGTGTAATCTTCGACTATGCCACGCCAGCGCTCACGGACGTCTTTCTCCCAACTGTGGGAGAAAACTTGGCTGCCAAGACGGGGCGGCCTTCCCCCAGCGACATCTGATGTTCGCATTGCGGTTTCTGCTATAGTACATTCACACGTCTCGATGCAGGAACAACTCCACCCAAGTTCACTCCTCGTGAAATGCACAATCCTGCAGGCAAGGTTATGCTCTTGATAGACCCATCCACGGCGACCAAGAGCGTCAAACCATCTGGTCGAGCCATCGAAGGGACTTTCAAATCCGTCAGTTGCACCCAAGAATCTAGTGAGCCGTTCTATATGCGTTCTACTTGTCTCCTTACGTGGATAATAACGTTCTCTCCGAGGTCTGACATAGAGCTTTGCTGCAGCTCTTGCACCAGGAAGTGGCACTTCCAAAATGTGTGAAGACACCCTCTTATAGAAGAGCCCGTGGCTACAGTCTGGGGAGTCCGAAGCGGCAATGACTAGCGTTGCATTTCGGTAGATCGAACCCATCTTGGCGGACTCAGAAATCCAGTCCTCAACTGAATCTTGGATTATGCACTGAGACCTGTCAACTTCATGGCAGATGATCAAAGGGAATTAGCTTACTAATGCATCGATCCACAGGTAATTAATACCGAGATATTTTGTAACCATAACCGCGTCTCTCATCGTTTTCGGCAGCATTTCCAATGATATTTTCTGCTTGAAGTCGCTAATGGAAGCCATAGTAGTTCGGATGGGATTACTATCTCCCCAACAGTAGCTTAAAGCAGTATATTTGGCGCATAAGCTGCTTGTCTCAATAAGGCACGGATCTGCTCTGTTCGTGTCTAGACACAGTACTCGAGTTGGTAACGTTGGGTCGGTAGTATCCGGTGTGCACAACGGTACCCCGGGAGGTTGATGGTATTGATAATTTGGGTGCCCGGCAAGACACTCTACGAGCCATTCCTTGATCTTGTCAAGGCACTGGCCACCAGATGTCGGACAACAGGGAAGAACATGACCAAATCCAGTGCCTATGGAGAAGGGTGGTGTACCTTCGACCCGGATCATCCTCTGTTCATGGTCTATTTCTGCATCTCAGTCTTGTCTAGACTCAAGTAGACTCCCATTGCCAGTTCATAGAGACCACGAGTACCAGCAGACTCACCATCCGTAGAGTAAATCTCAAGATTCCACCACATTCCATCTTCAGTGTGGTTTTCGTCGTGGCCCCCTTTACGATATACTTGAAGTTGTAGCGGCTCTTTCGACACTTGGTTGACTGCTATCCGTCCAGCGGCTCGCGATATCTCTGGGAAAGAATCTATTGCCTTTTCCCATAAACAACAGTACGGACATGCTGTGGTTGCGCACGATCTCTTTATATCCTCATATGTAACCCTACTAGTCTCATCTGGACCTACAGCCTCGTTCTGTATTAAGTCGTGACAAATGGAACAAGGCACATCATCCCCAAAGTATTTATCAAAGTGCTCAGAAGTCATAACTTCTAAGCTCTGAGGAAAGGGTTTCCAGTGAGTTGTGGGTATTTTTGTGCTTTAACAGGTTGAATGTGATTCGTAGTGCAGAGGGTCAAGAAAGGCATTCAGACAATGACTACCACAAACAAACATTCAAAAAAGCTTCCGGTTAGTAGGGAGCAGAGTATAGGGATCCGAATCTCTATTGAGTTGGTGTCGGAGGTTGACCAGGACGAGATCGCCGTGAGCTGGAGCGGCATCGTTCTAGGCCCAGACTGGCGATGAGCCCGGGCCGGATTTTCTTACTATGGTACACGGTAAATTGACGTGATGTGTGGAGACTTTCGGGGAGACTTGGGGAAGCTTTAGCGCATCATGAACGAGATTTAGAGACTTCGTATCTTAGTGCTCAGCAGATAATTCTACACAGTTTGTCCGAGATTCACCCTAGATTGAGCCCTCTACGGTCTTTGCGATATCTCCCTTCCCAAATTTGGGCACATTCAACGACAGAGCCAGGGAAGTTCGAGCAGAAACTCAAGTCCAGCCTCCAAGCTCGTTCTTGATCCCCGATACTGAGACCGCCGTTCGATCTGATTTTGGAGCGTGCGGACAGCCTCAGTGAAATGGATCGATAGCAGTTGTTGATGCCAGACAAGCCAGTGACTGTCGCCGCGTATGCGGCCGGCGCATCTCTAGCCGCCATCACCTTCTTCTACGTTTTTGGCCCTACGTTCTTCATCGATGGCGAGAACTCCTCGAATACCAGTAATGGGAGGAAGAGGGGCATCATCGGACTATCAAACCCAGCAAACGACTGTTTCATCAATTCTGTGTTGCAGGCACTTGCAGGTCTGGGGGATCTTAGGCTGTACCTCATCCGAGAACTGCATCGGAGAGAGCTCGATGGTGTGGAAATATACGAGGACTTGCCAGATGAGCAGGATGCAAAAGGCATAGAGAAGCCGGACAAGATTCGAGAGCTCCAGCAAGGACCAGTCACCCGTGCTGTCAAGGTTATGCTGGATGCGTTGAACGAAAGACCAATATACAAAAAGACAATCTCTGCTCGACCACTTATCGAGGCGCTTGAGAAAGCTTTCAATACAAGGATCAATCGCAACCAGCAAGACGCTCAGGAGTTCTTGCAGGTGGTCGCCGAGAGACTGTGTGATGAATATCACGCAGCAGTCCAGGCCCGTAAACGAGCAGTCTCTGCATTGGATAGGAGGAAAGAAGAAGACGAGGGCAATATCTTGGTGACTTCTGAAGACCTTGATGCAGATCAGCTACGACCAAACAATGCTCCTGCTCAGGATGAAGCCGAGAGTCGCCCCGAACCAAGTCCAGACACGCCACTACTTCTTATGGAAGACGAAGGATTTCCATTTGAAGGAAGATTAGAGTCACAAATACAATGTCAAACTTGCCGATTTAGGAACAAACCAAGCAGTTCGAATTTTGTGACACTTACACTCAATGTGCCCCAGAAGAGCTCCACAACGTTGGATTCTTGTTTCGATATCCTGCTGAAGACCGAAAATATCGACGACTTCAAGTGTGACAAATGCCGATTACAGCATGCATTTGAGGTCAGAAGCAACGAGTTAATAAAGGCCAAATCAGAGAAGCAGGCGACAGACCTCGAAAGAGACATAGCTCTGATCAAGAAAGCACTAAAAGAGGATCCGGAGAAGATGCCAGAGGGTGTTGAACTACCATCGCTAGACAAGGCACCCAAAAGAAGTATCAAGAAATACATGCGGATCACTTCCTTTCCGAAGCTCCTTGCAATTCATCTATCGCGTTCAATTTTCGAACCTCGGACTGTGTCGATGAAGAATGCTGCCCGGGTTTCATTTCCGGAAAGACTCCGTCTGGGTGGTATTTTGGATGAGAAGTGGTATAAATTGCTCGGCATTGTCTGCCACAAGGGAAATCACGACAGCGGTCACTACGAATCGTTCCGAAGGAATCATCTCTACCCACCCTTTGCGACGCCTGACGTCTTCAGCGCTTATGGGGCACAAAGCAAGAGTGGTAGTAAAGTGGCGTCACCGGATCCTAGTCCGAAGATTCCCGCTATGGCCAGAACTTCAGATGTGAACTCACGACCTTCCACAGCCTCTGGGTGCTCACCGGTGATTTCTACGCTTTCGGTCTCATCAAGTTCGGTCTCTTCCCCTCCACAAAGTCGGCTATCGTCAAAACAATCTCTTGACCGTTCAGTACCGTCCACTGCTCGGGAGAGTGTCACGTCAGATCAGCCCAAGTCGCCATCTCGCTCACGATCGGGTAAGTCCGAAGCGTTTCGACCTAGATCCAGTGCGTCAACGGCCAAGTCAGACGCTAGCGAGAAATCTCGATTCCGACGAAAGCGGAAATCAAGTGATCGATGGTGGCGGATCAGCGATGACAAAATCAAAGAGTGCAAGACGTCGGAGGTTCTTGCTATGCAAAAAGAGGTGTATCTGTTATTCTATGAAATAGAACGACCCGGGGATGACATATCTGGATGATGTGAGCTTTCATTTGGAAGCAAGAATACACAAACAACCCAGAGGAGTGTGGTGCACATATGAGCATTGCATACTATGGTCATGTATGAATATGAATATGTACGGGGCAGGGCCTTTGGTTTAGATCCTTACTTGCGCGCTTCATCCTACTTTGATATAAAGCAGTTGATGGATGCTTAGAAGCTTAGAAAACCATCACAATACCCCCAAACAATTCTCGGGACGTAGCCGCAAGCCAAATCGCGAGAATGGTCATTTGAACTGTTCCCCCTCTGGAAGACATACTTCGGACACGTCCGCCAAGGGCGAATACGGAGATGAAATTTTGGTGGGGCTGAGGTTGAGGGTACGTCGGACTTGCTCCCAGGGTTACCAGGGTAAAATAACCCTGTGCTGCCCCGCTATTGCTCCACGCATACGAATGCGAATATTAATATCCATATTACAACTTCATCTGCGGCGCTCCTTCTCCATCTATCCGTTCCCGGTGCAGTAACAGTTTTAACAAGTTGGCTTAAAGTCGGTATCACCCTCCCTATCTTGACTGGTTTGGAAAGGTACATGTTAGCCAATCCTCCGCCCCTCACCATACATGCCCTAGAGCTCCTCCAATTGGTCTTTTTTCTTCCTTATCGGCCAAAACCCTCGTCACGTTGAGACCATACTCCATAAGAATCTCTTACCTCCACTGTCCCAACAGTTGCAACTAACAAGAGCCAGAGAAGCAAATATGGGTGCCAAAGACGTACTCACGCGGAAAGCTGGAGTGATTGTGGGAGATGATGTGCTCAACCTTTTCAAGTATGCCAAAGAAAAGGGATTTGCCATCCCCGCCATCGTAAGTGCTATCATAGGCCCCTCTGGCACTGCCGAGACTGATGGGCAACAGAACGTCACCTCTTCATCGACCGTGGTTGCTTCCTTAGAAGCTGCTCGTGACGCAAATGCCCCAGTCATCCTGCAAACATCTCAGGGTGGTGCCGCTTATTTTGCTGGAAAGGTGAGAAGCAGACTATCTTGGCTTCTTCCCACTCAATGTCTGACCCGATCTAGGGAGTTGATAACAAGGATCAAGCTGCCTCAATCGCCGGAGCCACTGCAGCCGCTCACTACATCCGCTCGATTGCTCCTGCCTACGGCATTCCTGTTGTACTCCACTCGGATCACTGTGCAAAGAAGCTTTTGCCATGGCTTGACGGTATGATGGACGCAGATGAGGCATACTTCAAGCAACACGGCGAGCCTCTATTCTCCAGCCACATGATCGATCTTTCCGAGGAGCCAGTGGAGTGGAACATTCAGACGACCGAGAAATATCTTAAACGTGCTGCTCCAATGAAGCAGTGGCTCGAGATGGTAAAGAAACGCGATGGAGAAAGAGGTGAAAATGCTAACAACTATAGGAAATCGGCATCACTGGTGGTGAAGAAGATGGTGTCAACAACGAAGATGTCGACAACAACTCCCTCTACACCCAACCGGAAGACATCTACAACATCTGGTCCACTCTGTCTAAAGTCAGTCCTTATTTCTCTATCGCTGCGGCCTTCGGAAATGTGCATGGGGTGTACAAGCCTGGTAACGTCAAATTGCACCCTGAACTTCTTGGCAAGCATCAGGCATACGTGAAAGAGAAGGCGGACACGAAGGAGGACAAGCCAGTCTTCCTTGTCTTTCACGGCGGATCGGGATCCACTAAGCAAGAGTACAAGGATGCCATCGGCCATGGTGTGGTCAAGGTCAATCTCGACACCGACCTACAATTTGCCTATTTGACCGGGATCCGGGATTACGTACTCAAGAAGAAGGATTACCTGATGACCGCAGTTGGCAATCCGGACGGAGAGGACAAGCCGAACAAGAAGTTCTTCGATCCAAGAGTGTGGGTGCGGGAGGGCGAGAAGACCATGGGTGCCCGTGTCACCGAAGGTCTGAAGGATTTCAACACGGCAGGGCAGTTGTAGTCCGATCTCAGTCATGACATGGTTCAAGATGTCCACACCGCGCTCTTACCGAGAGTACCTTGTACCTTGTATGTATATTGATGGACAAGAGAACTGCCGGATTGGGTTGGAACCAGCATCAGTAGTGGAAATAGTCTTGAGTCTGTCGACTGAATGAAAGATTGGCAAAGATTGGCAAAGATTGGCCGTCCATACTTGCACCTGTGGGTGCGCTTCGCTGCTGTAGAAGGTTGAGCGGCAAGGTACTCCGTGAATTGCTTGGAAAGAAGTATGACAGTGCAGTGGATGTTGAACAAGATGCAGTTGTAGCAAGGAAACCTCTTGCAGGGAACTTGAAGGAGCCAAGACTTGAAAGTGTGGTCGCTGCATGCCATTGGCAGGACTGCCGTAAAAATAGCTTGCCGAGGAAATGGGGCTGGAAACAGAAGCCCAATTTAGAGATTTCATGCGATTGTGTTTTCCCCCTTTTCCCCCTTTTCCCGGAGGTACTTTTCCTGCCATCATCATACCATATCAATACTTCCACAATCCACAATGCAATAATAGAAACCTCCTGCATACTTTGTTCTGGGTCGTCGCGAAGCAACCGCCCAAGGTCCACCTGGCTGGCATTGAATCATCATGGAGGACACGTCGTGGGTAGTTGACTCGACGGGATGAAGTACATGTTCCTATGAATTACAACGGGTTGAAATTCACCTCTGCGACTAGTGTGCTAACGGGAAGCCTCACAGCTGGATGCTTGAGTTCTAGGTCTACAACCACACTTGTGGGATGGACACCTGCTCAACTGTGTTTTTTCCAACGCCGTCAGCCATACTGGAAGTGTCTATTACTGACGTCCATAGTGCTTGCACGTTGTTGAAGTAATAGGGAAAGGCGCTTACGGACCTTGAGCAGCTATATTTAATATGTTTTTGCTTTTTTTCACTATGAGGCGAGTCGAGCTACTCTATCTGACCACAAGGCTGGGGACGTGATAGTAAAAGCCAGGCGCTTCTGATTCTTGGCATGGCTTTTGCTCTCCACCTCCTCGAGGAAGAACCAATCCTCACGCTGTCGCATTGTTATTTTCGGTGCAGCGAGTAGTAGGGTGACCTACTCGAGAAATATGCAACCATTTATGCGACCATACTGCTTTGGCCGGTGCCTCTTCATGGCCAGAACTTGTCCTTCTCGCCTCGCTATTGCACGAACCAAACCCCCTTTGTTCATCTTGCTGGCCAGCAAGGGCCCTGTTCGATTGGGGCTCTTCCTATATCTATCTGCTTGGGAACCATGAACAGTGGGTTGCAACATCAGAAAACTCTCCTTTCCTTCACAAAGTGACTCTGTGTATGATTGCAAAGTTGTCCATTCGTTCTATTATTTTCCATTCTGATCATTTGTCCCTTGTCCTTGCTCTACCTACATCGCCTATATGGCACGTTCTTTTCCTCTCATGGACTATATGCGGAAAGAGCAGAACACCCCGCCCAGGGGAACCCGTTCTTGGTCCAAGGAACCAAGCAAGTTCGACATCGTGTGGTTCTTGCTCTTCAGTATCACGGCTCTCGGCCTGACTCTCGCCGTCTCCTTCAGCTGCTCCACTGTCGCGACGAGCAACCTCCACATGTATTCGGTCAGTCCGGCCGCCTTGATCCAGGGACTGTCGCACTCCTCAAATACAACTCGGCGGTCTGGCAACAACATATCAAATACTACCAAGGGCCTGTGGACAGCCGAGTTTGGCATCGCCGACCTTCCAGATCAATATCTCTTCGGGATCTCTGGCCTCTGTCGCTATTGGAACCAAACCGACGAAACCACATGCCGATACCACTTTCCGCAAGTCCCGTCCCTTCTCGAAGCTGTACATGAGGACTCTGGCTCCTCTAGCATCCAAGACAACTGGACACAGCTTCTGACGCAAACCAAAATCTCCACTGTGGGGAAAACCATGCTCTACAGACGCTTCGTCACCGCAGCTGCAGGCCTACTCATCACCTCAATATTATTCGCCTTCGGCATCATCACCTTCACGCTATTTCGACCAGAGCACCTCAAGATATCTATCTTTCTCGACATCGTTGATGCTATCATGGCCATCACTGCTGCCATCATGTGGAGCAACATCCAAACCTCGCAGGCGAGCGCGCTCAGGGCAGCGGCACCCGAAGCCACCGGGGTGATGCTCAACCAGATGATGAAGGTTGGCCCCGGCCTCGGTTTCATATGGGGTCTGGCTTGGTGTAAGATTTTGGTTACACCGGTCATGATGTTAGTGCTGCTTTTCATTGCGGTGGTAGTACCGCTAATATGCTGCGCCGCATGCTTCGATGATTCTCAGCGCGTCGATGTGCATCACTATTATGAATAACACCGGTTCTATAGGTGGCGGCAGCGCAGGCAACAAAGCATTCGCTCGGTTTGTCTCATTGGTTGGAACGTGGGTTCAAGATCAAGTTGGTGGAATTTGGATGCGGAAGATGTTGAGTTGTAAGAACACCTGTTGGGCTCGTTGTTGCATGCTTAATGGTTGCGATTTGCCTGCTGCGTTTGATTGGCTGATTTCATGAGTGCGATTTAATAGCAAAGGTTACTACTTGTTGGATTTACAGCCTAATTCCTCAATAGAATGAGGAGAACAATAGTATGATGCATCCTCTTCTCTGCTCAGATGGTGCTTCGGTTGGCAAAGGACGACTGGACCAATACAACTACTATATGTCTGCTGTTCAAACTCGAGTCCGCTAAAAGATACTTTGATGAGACCGGTCTAACTCAACTTAGGTTTGCAGCCTTGCAATACGTTAATCATACATGTGAAAAGCCCGACACCCCATATGAGTCTAAGGTCTCTTGCTGAGGTGCAAGTACAAAAAAGATGAGACTCTGAAAGGGTGAAGAAGTACCACGCAAGGGCTGCATTAAAAATAATGCTTAAAGTGAAGCTGTATTGACCAGAAATCTATCTAGGAAGTTACTACTAGTTAGTTAGGAGGGAAATAAGTGTCCTGCTGCGCCAAGGCTCTGCACTTGGTGTCATGATACTCCGTACGTACCTTTGAGTATAAGCTTGGGTGAATAGTAGGCTGCTAAGTAATTATCTGCTCAGGGGATCGGGCCGAAGGGCCCACAGGCCTGCGGTTACATCCATTGAGCTCTAGGGACTCGTGCCGCCGGAAAGTACGATTTACTACGGGTAAGGTCCAATTTCTGTACCCCCTTGCCAAAATATCTTACAAACGCTTTTTTTACATACATACTCCTGTCAGCATCCCTGTCACTATTTTGTCCGAATTTTGTTCATCGGGTAAATTCTGCCCATTCTATGCATTCTGTCAATTCTACATGGATACTAACAGGCCTGATTTGCTTTCTGCATATCTTAAGAAGCTGCTTCAGTCGATGCAGACGAGGTGTCAAAGCAGTTATCGCTGCCAATGGAGTGCAAACTCGATCTTAGAGACCAGTCCTATTTAGGTCATTCTGTAGGCGTCTATGCTCAATTCTACATAGTACGTTGTGTACGAATACTAGCGTTTTCAGGGGAGGGAAGGGGGGGGGAAGGGACAAGATTTCGGCCTGTAGCGGTAGTAGATATTGTTAATTGAAGGATGTCCCGACTGACCTCTGAAGCCAATTGAAGCTCATGGAATGAGCTCAAAAGATGGATTAGCATCCTAAAAGTCCTTGGAACAAATCAAACTCAAAGAAATTGTAAATCATTACTCTTGATGGTTTAACACCACTCCAGAACGCACTTTTCGGCGGCAAGAGTAGTAACTTGTTAGTAACTACGTAGTATTGTCAACTTGGCTGCAGAGTTAGCGAGGCGGGGCTGAGTGTCGTGAGTCACTCTCCTTATTATTGCAACCACATCCTCTTCCTTTTCCTCTACCACCGCGCTTTCTGTGAAGAAGTGCTTCTTCTGCCTACCTACCCTCCAAAGTCCCCAGTGTCAGCAACGGGTCGACTGGGCCCGTGAGAAGCAATACAGTCATGTCCGCAGCCACCTCCTCAAGCATGGCCGCTCCAATCAAGACCCAGACCATATTCTTCCAACCACAACAGCTCAGGACCACAAAGAAGCCTCCATGGTAGTGGTCCTCTCGGTTTTTCTCAACATGTTACTCAGCATCTTACGTCTGGTATTCACTTCGATCGCGCAGCCAGCTCTGTTGACTACCCACACTATCAATCCACGCTCGACCCACATCTCCCCGAGACTCAAGCTCCACTAGGAGTGATCGATTTGCAGGAGCAATACGAATCTGACGCATTCCAAAGTTGGCATTCCTATAACCCCTGCGATAACGCATTGCTCCCATCTGTCCCAATCGACCATGAGCCTTCGAGTCTTGACAACCTGACAGCCTTCAATAACGACGATACAATCTTGGACATTCCGTTGACATCCCACCCCGATCCTACGCCTGACCCCGTGTCCGCTGGCTCCAAGTCCAGTTCAAGCCCCAAAGAGATATCTTCCCAGCCCGGGTCAAACTCCGCTTCAACCTCTCGCATCGAGAAACGCAAAGCCAACACCCTCGCAGCTCGCCGATATCGTCAAAAACGCCTCGACAGGGTTGCTGAGCTCGAATCGGCGCTCGAGGCGACTCGGCTCGAGAGAGATACGCTGAAAGTGCAGGTTGCCAAGCTGCAGGGAGAGACTCAAGTATTGAGAGCTTTGGTCCGTGGTGGGCCTGGCGGGGGAAGGGGGGTGAAAACAACCTAGCATGTTGGCGCGGTCAGCATAGCTCTTTTGTCGGTTTCTTTTTTTTGCAATAGAACAGCAATGCAAATCATGCAAACTCAGACGATGTCGGTTCATTAAAAGGGTATTCATTAACCAGTGCTTTATCAAACTGAATGTTTCACATCGGCAAAATAAAGTAGTGTCCATCATGACAAAAGATTTAGAGTATTCCCCAGGAAGACAAGAAATGGTTGCTCACTTTTACGTAGTTTAGTACTGTCAGTATGCACGAGTGGTTCTCCTGCTCTAGTAGTCTGGGTCCACTCATATATACATATACAATATATCGCTCTAGGACTACCATGTCCATTCCCTCCCCCTCCCCATTCCAATCCCAATCCCCTATCCGAGCCCGTCCTCGTTGTCAAATGGAGCAACTTCTGTCTCACCTGCAATGGAAATGAGCCGAAATGAGTCGAAAAGACGAATCTGCGCAGCCCCCCCCGCATGGGCTCGAAAAACCAGCACCCTGTGACCCAAAAAAACGTCCCCCCGGAAAATCCAGGGATGTGCGTGCGTTTGGTTCGTCGGGGAGGGTACGGCCCTACTAAGCAGTGTGGTATGGTATGTGAGACCTTTTTTTATTTTCGGACCGTTGCTCGTGCTGGTTACGGTTGTTACTATCACCCCCCATAGTAGCACTACATGTGGGCTTAGGTGTGGTATGAGTCGGGATGAGTCGATTTGCCGAGCCTTCATTGGTGGTCTTCCCAACTCAACTTCGCTGCAGCTGCAGGGCTGTGATGTTACCTCGACTGAACTCCGGCCAGTGGACGGGGTACTGCCAGTGGGTTGAGGTCGGATTGAGGAGGGCAAGCATTTTTTCGGGTTTGGGTTCGCGGCACGGGGTGAGGGGAAATCCTTATTATATCAGCTGGGATCTTTAGTTGGTTGTAGGGGTTGTCTGATATTTTCTACCATGAGTCTATACATAGGACCTGGATCAATGGGTCGTGGATTTGTATGGAGGATTTGGTAGCTAGTTGAACTTTTAAGGGATGATGTTCGGGTAAAAGAACAGAGTTGAGGTGTTGCGTTTGAGGATTGTTCATCTACATCTATATTAAATTACTGTCAGTAGAAGTAATTGGTGGTTATCAGTCTGCTGTATGCCTTTGTACAGCTTGAGGGCAGTAAAGCGGATAGATTCTGAATGGCATAAGTAAGTAGGGTTCCAGTGGATAGTCATGCACGTGGACCGTTTTCATCATTCTACTTTGCTGCATAGAATATTGTGTGGAGAGCATATTCGATCCAGTAATTAGTTGTTATCCGCAATCTAACCATCTTCATCAAGCCAACCTAGACTTAGTGCTGACCTCTCCTTATCTATAGGCTAGTCTACTTGGAAGGTTTCTTCCAAGCAATCCGGCGCCTGTAAGGGGTACCGAGCTTATCCACCTCTTTCCCTTCATGCTGCTCAAGAAGTGCCCGTAATGCTGGTGGGCATGTAGTGTTGTCGATGGCGTAGATAGAAACATCATTCGTCATTATTCTTCGAAAATTTGGTCCCAGGGTAAGTGGAAGTCGCCATAACACGTTTTTCGGGGCGGTAGCACAAGCTGATGCTGCCTTCAACGTTGACTTAGCCTCAGCAGTGGCGACCGTAGGCATTCTCGCTTCAGCCTGCTGCGCTTCTTCTAGGCCATCGAGATGCCGAGAAAGCATTGCGCTGACCTCGACATGACCTTTCTCAACCGCGAGAAGCTCGGGAGTCATGCCACGGGCATCTGGCAGGTTGGGATGGCAGCCATGATCGAGCAGCACCCTGACGATATCTACAAATCCCAATTCTGCAGCGTAGTGTAATGCAGTCTTTTCGGCTAGCCGGTCGACCAAGTCGACGTCGGCACCGAAGTCGAGTAACAATTTGACCGTGGAAAGGTGGTTGGAGTGAGCTGCAATGTGCAGAGGTGTATAACAATGTGGCTCGCCGGTGCGTGCATCAATGTTCTGAACTAATTCTTTGAACTTCAAGAAGTTGATTGAGTTGTCATTTCCCCAACAAGCTGCAATGTGGAGTGGGCATGCTTCGACGAAATTGATTCTGCCCTCATGATACTCTGCTGTATTGGCATCCCAGTCAATGTTGTGTGCGAAGAGCAGCTCGCGAACAGCATCGTCTTTGGCTCCTACGGCGTAATGCGTTAACTTATAGCCCTCATCGTTTACAAAGCCAAGGCCTGGTCCCTCTTTCAGGATCATGTCGAAAATGTTCGCGTCACCGGATCCAGCGGCACAAGTTAGTGAATTTCCTAAAAGTGTTCCATGTTGATTTCGGGCATCTTGTAGTAGTGGAGCACCATGCTTGCAAAGCAGTTCCACTATGTCCTTCGCGCCAGCATGAATAGCACAATGCATCGCGGTCCAGCCTAATAATGACTTAGCATTCGCATCGGTGCCATATTCTAGGTATCCAGCAACGATATCCCATTGTCCGGCAGAGGCCGACCTCAAAAATGGGGTCTTCCCATTGAGATCAAATGCACCCAGATCCGTAGCTTTTCTTAATAAGAATTCGACGGTTTCCCATGTGCCTCGCTCAGACGCGATGTGCAAAATTGTGTCTTTGGTTCTTGAGCATACGTAATTCACATCTGCACCAAGATCGACTAAAAGCTTCACAGTCCCCCAATGCTGATTCAAGGCAGCCACAAAAAGCGCGGGGGCTCCGTCATCGCAACACCGAGCAATATCTGCGCCAGCTTCCACAAGACGTCGGATTATCTGATCAAAGCCCTTGGAAGCAGCCGCTATCAGCGGAGTATTTTCCCTATATCCTCTTACATCCAACTCAGCCTTGTACTGGATCAGAGCATTAACTATGGGGATAGAGCCACTGTGCACTGCTAGAAGTAGTGGGTAATTCGTTCCATCCGGGGAAGACTTGTTGGCATCAGCACCAGCTTCTAGCAACAAAGATATTGCACCAAGACAACCATTCATGATACTCAATTGCAGAGGTGTGCGGCCACATTTATCAGGAGTCTCAAGATCAAGGTTTGTATTGTCCTTCAGAAGCACTTTCAAGAATGTCGGAGAGTCCTTTTCGCATGCCGCAAAATGGAGGATGGAACCGTCTTTGACAGGACTAAATGAATCAACGGGACGACTAATGCGACAGATGAGTTTTCGAGCAACAGTTTCATTACAGCCAACAACAGCCGCAACTTCCAAGGGGCTGATTTGGTTTAGATCTTGGCTTCTGGCGTCAACGTCCACGTCCATGTCTTCCCTCGAAAGGAGAAGTTCCACTGCTTCCGCGCACTTCAACTCAAGGGCCACCGCCAAGGGAGACGATCCGTTGCTTAGATGATCATTCAGATGGTGTCCTGGCATTCGTGTAATAATGAAACGTAGGACTTCCGTACCACTTAGAGTCGTAGTGGTCCTCTTTCCATTTGCATTGCCGAGCCGTGTCATTGAAGAGTAAAGGAGGGCCTCGAAGGGAGTGACTCCGGCCGAGTTGCGATGATGTAGGGACGATCCACGATTGATAAGGGTCTTGATGACATTGAAAGATACTTGTTGTGGTATCCCGGAGCAAATATGGTGTAAGGCAGTTGCACCGCTATTGTCCACGAGGTTGACGTCTCTGCTGTGATCAACGAAAACATTGATGCCGTCTAGAATTTCTAGAACTTCCTGTTGGTTTATCCACCCCATCGATTCTCGATTAAATGCAGCGGCAAGAACATCTAGGCATAGCATCAAAGGCGTTCTCCCTTTATGATCCCGGCAATTGATATTCAAGCGTGGTCGCCCCGCTAAAAGCTTTATCTTACTAGTGCTGTATGGAAACCGGAATGCTAGTAAGTGTAGAGGGGTATGCCCTTTCTTCGTAGTAGCATTTGGATTCTCGCCAGCGACAAGTAAGGCCTCAAGCATTGAATCTGCAACAGAGGAGGCCATCTCAGCAGCGGCATGAATTGCTCGTCGTCCGTCTTTCCTAGAAGAGCCATCCATACCACCGGCTTCCATCAAGACGTTGAAGTTTTCACCATGACTTGTCACTATTACTGCATTATAGAGTGCAGAAGAACCATCAGCATCTAAAGCTTTGATATCCAGTCCTCTGCTCAGAAGTTGCCGAAGGGCTATTGGGGTTTCTCGCCGCGCAGCCTTTCCTAGGAGCGTTTTGCCTGTTTCCGATCGATGATTGTTCTCGTCAATGTCAGTATAGATCTCCAGGAGATAAGAAACGGTATCGTCTAAGCCCCATTCAATTGCATGCTGCAATACGCTGGGGTGGGAAGAAGCAAGGATGATTTGAGTAGACTGCATGCCCGCTGCTTCGACCAAGGCTTTGAAAAGACCTTTCTTCTTTGATTTCACTGCCAAGTGGAAAACGAGTTCGCCTTCCTTGTTTCGCAGGCTGGGATCCGCACCATGTAGTAGTAAAGCTTGTACGATGCGGATAACGACGTCAACGTCGAATGTCTTGTCCTCAAAGAGACTGTGATGAAGCGCGGAGTCTCTGTTGTCGTCAACAATGTTCGCGCTAGCACCACTTTCCAACAAATCAGTCACAATTCTCTCCTGGCCGTTTTGAGCAGCGTGTCTCAGGCCCCTACTCAGGATTTTATTTGAATCCATCGGTGGCAATCGATCTTTTAGCACTGTTATCAAAGCCCGAGCATCTCCAGCTTGTCCGTACTCCGCGGTTTGAATCAAACATTCCTCTAATTGAGTGACATCAACTGTCGCTGGAACCTCTGCCACTGTTGAAATTTCATGTAGCTGCGGCATTTGAATTTTGTTGGCTTTCAGCTTTTCAGACAGAATTAAAAAGGTATCTCGGGCATCCTCTTGTACCTGATCAGCAGAGACCTCTTCAATGAGAGCCAGGTATCCACAAGGTATATCGCAACGTCTCCTTCTCTTAACGCATTCTTCCACGATCTGAAGTGTACATAAGTCCACCTTCGAACCGGCTTGCAGGAGGAGAGCGATCAGGTAGTTATTGTGGCGCTCAGTCTTCAGTGCCAACTGTAAGGGAAGCCAGGAGGAAGTTGAGTTACTGTTATCGTTTAGCTTTGATCCAGCTTCGATGAATAGATGTGCGATAGATCCCTTGGTGTCTTTCCCCTCTTTATGCATAGAATCGTTATGTTTTATGTCTTTTAGATCATAGCACCGCCATGTGGCGTCAAGGCCCAGTAGCAGGCAGTCAAGAGGAGTCCCAAGAGATGATCCACGGTTGACGTCACTTCCCTCCCGGATAAGCCAGCCGCAGACTTCTTCCAGCCCTAACATGGCAGCCCAGTGCAAGGTCGTCGTGTCTGGAAAAGTCTGTGCCCATTTACAACCTTTCCAATTGGATAAGAAGGCGTAGGACCACCACAAAAATTGGTTTGATTTCCGGGGGTGAAACAATTTGTGTGAAAGAGAGGCTATCACTGTATCCATGAGATGGTCTTTGCAATAATTAGTCCAGGAAGCTGCTGCGTCCACGAGGAGAGGATAGCTTTCGAGACACGAAAGAGATAATGTGTCTGGTGTGTCGTGTGTAGATCTTTGACTTTGTGGCTCCTTTTCGGCACTCTCCCGTCTAGCAGACAAAGATAATATGGTATCCTCTTTTATGTTTGAATACATAATTCCGAGAAGATTAGCTGGCAGCGGAGTTTCCGCGAAGGTGTCCAAGGTGAGATATGTAAGACAGATTTTCCCAATAAGTAAGTTGCTCTCTGACTCCGATATCCTGAATTTGCCTACACGAGGGTTATTTGCTGAGTCAATGCACATCAAGTACTCCTTGACCGTAAAATGGGCGAGCTCAAGTCCGTTACCATTAGCTCTTCGGCGGACGAAGCTGCTGCACCATTTCAGGATGTCCTCCTCTGAAGTCATTGCTTCAGGGTCCAACCGAGAGTCACCTGGCCTCAAAGCCAATGCTTCAAGTAGGGCTCTCCCAGAAAGCGTGGGTGCAACAGCAAGCCATTGCAATGCTCTCTTGACAAGGTCTTGAGTTTCCTCATGAGTCTCAAGAACTCGCTCCAAGATACGTTCGTACGTCTTAGGTAGGCCCCGCGGGAGTTTATCTAGAGCAGTCCTCCGGGCTCTATCGGTGCCCAACTCACAAAGATGATCTAGCTGACATGCAACCCATCGGAACCTTCTCAAGTCAGCTGGTTACTCTCGAATGCACGAGCGTTATTACAGTTACCTACATCCCGTCGGCACCGTTGATTAATCGTTTCATAATTTGTGCTTTCAGGTCTGGGTCCTTTATGTTGAGTTGTTTCCTTTTCGTTCGTATCTCAATCTCGGATGCGACGTAGAGTTCCAAATCGCTGCTTCTTGCAGCTATGGAAACCCGTTCGTAATCATCGAGGCACTCTTCGATGTCGATCTCACAGCGGCTTGCAAATAGTGTTCTGATTGAGCCATGTGGCTGGTTGATACATCGAAGGAGTTCTGTAGCCTCCAATCGATTGCTGGATATCTCATCAATGCCATCGATAATCACGGCAGCAACGGAAAATGGCCTCACAACTGCGTGAAGGAGTTCAAGCAGTTTCTCCGGTTTCGGGAGCCGCGGACTTGGGTCCTGGTGGCTGTGATAGCAGACTCGAAGTGCTTCGAATGCCACTTCGGTTTCATCTTGGACCATAAACTGCTTGACTAGAGACCCTAGAATTTTTGATATCTCCTGGGTCTCGGCATTCTTGTAATCGCAATAAAAGTAGGCCAGTCCTATCTCATAGTTATTCGAGAAGGTAACGTACTGTGAAAGAGAAGAGTGATTGCAGATGGGCGAGGTAGTCGATGAGTAGCATCTTACCTTCGTCCTTGCCAATGTCCTTCTCAAGCTCTTGAATGATGGTGGACCTGCAAACAACTTAAGATTGTGCAAAGCGATGTTCAAATGGAGCTCTGCCTACATCAGAATCGTCTTTCCAGCACCGGCTTGGAAGAAGATTAGACTAGACGCTGAACGGAAATCTCAAAAATGGACTTACGAATTCCGTACAACCATAGCTTAGAGCTTTTCTTCAACCTCCATTCTTGAAACTCGACGCCTTCTGTGAACCATGTCCCACTTCCCGGTTGACAAAGGGAAATACTAGACTCGTGGTTCCTGGTAGGATCGAGGGTTGCGGGGCATAGCCATTCAAGCATCTTCCTCCGCTGCTCATCTTGATTTTCGTGAGTGAATGTCTTTTGATACAACTGGGGCACCGACCTACTCATGGCAAGCATATTTCTATGCACCCTATCCCGGTCGAGGCCTCGATGTATATCTGACACGACTGCTCCAATAGCTTCTTCTTTTGCCAGCAACGTGAGTAAGGCTGACCTGACTTCTAATCAGCGCTGATTTTCAGTTACTAAACAATTGCGGCTTGGGGGTGGTACAATCACTTACATTTCATCTGCCTGCAGTGCCAAGCCCAATATTGTCCGATGCCTCTCAACTTCCGCCATCAATTCCTTGGTCTCCGAAACGGATAGGGGCCATCTCAGTCTTTGTGCAGCACTGTGCAAAACTCCCTTTGATTTGGATAGCTCGAAATTCTCAAGCAGGAGGTTGATCTTCCTCAGCGTTTGATAGCAGTATTCAACATGATGAACCTTGGTAGTGAATCGGAATGACTCAGCTTCGTCTTCAAGACCTTCTGCCACATTTCGAAGACTGTGAAGCGTCCCAGAAAGAAGGTTGACCTCCCTCATCAATGAGACCACAGTCTTGTCAGCGTTCTTGACAGCTTTTATATACTTATGCCCATTTCGTATTACTATGTCTGCAACAGTGATGAGACCGGCGACACTTGCCGAGATAGACAATGGATCTGCCATGGCATGTCCGGCGGCTTCAAGTGTTGCTGCGGAAAGAAAAGGCGGACGTCACACTGAAATTTTTTATGGAGATCAGACGTAGTCGACAAAGTAAGAAGCGTGTTGGAAAGGGTGTGGCTCTTCTCGGTGAGCAGAAGCCGTCACAAACGTTACTGGGCTAGTTGGACAAAGGTCAGGCTTCCTTGCGTTGACTATGGGAGTTGATTTTGGACCACTCAATGGGTGCTCGCTAAGGCACATCCAAGGTTTTCTCCACGCTGAACTCAGGAAGGCGGCTGCTTAGCTCTTGTAGGCAGATGTGATTTGTCCGACCATGAGGCGCAATCATTTTGGTGATTGGACGAATAGACATTGAGTATTTGCTTGGACGTTGTAGCCTTGCTCAAGGCTCACCACAGCCTTTTTTGGATTAGTATCGCCGAGATGGGTTAGAAAGGATCTGGAGCTCAATAGCACTCCGCAATTGAATGTCGCCTCTGCCACAATGCACCTCATCAGAATGATCAGTACTGGAGGCATACTGCCGGCTTCATACCAACTTCTCTGTACCAAATGATGCCAATAGCCACAACAACTGTTTCCGTGGGCTCAGTTGAGATGCTGAAATTTCTAATCAATTTCGAATTTTTATGAGTGCATAAGTACTCCAGGAAGCGTGTGGCTGCAAGAAGTTGGTGTACAACGTATGTGGATGAAGCATGAGAGCCACTGTGGTTATAGCTACCTCTCTCTGACAAAGGTCGAAGAAAGCTTTGCCGCCGAACCAACTATCTCGAGCTAGCTTCCAATGCTTGGAATGAAGAATGACGGCGCTGCTTATCGATAAGTCTTCTAGGGTGGCATAACTAAGGGTCTGGATATAAATTTAGAAGGGAGACGTTATTGTCGTTTGTCCACAACGCTGCTCAATGACATCCTTTCACACTCACCCTACACTCGTTCAATACCAGGCCCAGGCGAAGTTGTAAAGCCTTTCCTTCCTTTCATTGACATTGAGACTTTGCTGAAGTTCTTGACATTCCTTTACTACCGATTCTTCTTCTCTTACCAAATGTAATCGACTCGGGACTACGGAAGCTCTTGACCCGCACCCTGCGTTCATTTTTTCAACCATACATCCCGAGGTAGCACAAACAGAAACAAGCCATGTTCCGGAAAGATCATTAACAAGACTCGATGAACTGATCCTCATCGACACTGGTTCAGACCTAATCAGCCACTATTTTGTCATCTAGGGGGGAGAATGACCATGGATGACTTTCACGAGACGAAATTGCTTGGACAGCGACAAGATGCTTCACCTAGTGGCCCTGGAAGTGCTGGAAGCAATACGTTTCTGGAATTGATAGCCAATCCATTTGTTGCGGCTGCATGTTCTTCTATCCCCTCCGAGCTATAAGCGAATGACTAACCTCTGCAGTTTCAAGCAAATGCCTTCTGGGCTTCTCTTGGTACTTCACTTGGTGCCACCTTTCTCCTTGCCCTTATCTTCTCCCTCTTTCGTCCTCGGCATTCTCTCGTCTACGCTCCAAAGATCAAACATGCAGACGCAAAGCATGCCCCTCCACCAATTGAGAAAGGGATTTTCTCATGGATGAAACCCGTGTTAAGGACCAAAGAGGCGGACTTGGTGGACAGAATGGGCCTGGATGCGACAATATTTCTGCGTTTTACTCGAATGCTTCGCAACCTCTTCCTCGTACTTAGCTTGATCGGTTTGTTGATCACGATTCCAGTCAATGTGGCTATGAGCAATGATAGCATTAAACAAAGGGGCAACACCTTCCTTTTGATGACACCACAGTTCATCTTTGGTAATGCTTGGTGGAGTCATGTGGTCTGCTCGTGGGCTTTTGACATGATCCTGGCATACTTCCTCTGGCACAATTATCGAAAAGTCCGTCAGCTGAGGAGAGCATATTTCGAGAGCCCAGAATATCAAATGAGCTTACATGCCAGAACTCTTATGGTCACTGACATACCATCGAAGATGAGGACAGATGAAGGCATTCTGCATGTAACGGACGAGGTAAACCCGACCGGTCTTCTACCTCGAGCATCGATTGGCCGTAACGTCAAAATTTTGCCGAAGTTGATTGAGGAGCATGAAGAAACAGTCAAGAAGCTAGAGTCTGTACTGTCGAAATATTTGAAGAAGCCGGACAGTCTTCCTACCACCCGTCCGACTATGATGCCCCCAAGAAAGTTCAGAGGTGATAAACCTACGGTTAAGGTTGATGCTATTGAGTATCTGAGCAACAGAATCCGAGAATTGGAGCAGGAGATTCGCGATGTTCGGGATCGAATCGACAAACGCGATGCCATGCCTTACGGCTTCGCCAGCTGGGAACAAATTGTGACCGCTCACGCTGTGGCTTTTTCTGCTCGAGGCAAACATCCTCAAGGCACAACAATCGCTCTTGCTCCACGACCAAATGACCTGATATGGGAGAATCTACCACTAGGAAAAGCAGCTCGTCGGACGAAAAGGTTAGCTAATATGGCATGGGTCACCATCTTGACCCTATTGTGGACGCCTCTCAATGCTTGTATTGCAATATTCCTCTCGAACTTGTCAAATCTTGGACGAGTCTGGCCCGCCTTTCAGACTTCCCTTAATGGCAATCCTACTGGCTGGGCAATTGTTCAAGGTATTGCATCACCTGCAATTACCTCTCTTGTCTATTTTGTTCTTCCGATCATCTTTCGTCGATTGTCGGTCCGAGCTGGTGACATGACTAAGACCTCTCGAGAACGTCATGTCATCCATGACCTTTATGCTTTCTTCTGCTTTAATAATTTGATCGTCTTCTCCCTCTTCTCAGCCATCTGGGCATTTGTCACTGCTACCATTGAGGCTAAAGAGAGTGGGGACGATATTTGGGACGCAATCCAGAAGGGCGGTTTCTACAATCATATCCTGATCTCACTTTGCACCGTATCTCCATTCTGGGTCACCTGGCTCCTTCAACGCAGTCTCGGTGCAGCTGTCGATCTTGCACAAGTTCTTAACCTTTTCTGGATCTGGTTCGCACGCACCTTCATGTCACCCACCCCACGGCAAAACATTGAATGGACAGCTCCTCCCCCTTTCGATTATGCTAGCTATTATAATTACTTTCTCTTCTACGCCACGGTTGCTCTCTGCTTTGCAACATTACAGCCAATTGTCCTTCCAGTGACCGCCTTCTATTTCGTTCTGGATTCCTGGTTAAAAAAATATCTGCTCATGTATGTGTTCGTCACCAAGACGGAATCTGGTGGTCAGATGTGGCGAATACTTTACAACCGTATGGTCTTCGCTGCTATTCTTGCCAATATCATCGTCGCTCTTGTTGTCAAAGCACGAGGAACGTGGACTATGATTGGTGTTATGACGCCGCTTCCATTTCTCATGCTTGGTTTCAAGTACTACTGCATGAAGAAGTTTGATGATGATCTCCACTATTACGTTCGAACTGGAATGCAAGATAGCGAGTCTTTAGCTGCGGGCAGCAAACCAAAGAAACTTGGTGATCGAGTGCTCACCAAGTTCTGTCATCCTGCACTCTATCGACCACTTATGACCCCTATGGTACACGCCAGTGCAAAATCAGTCCTGGGTCAGGTCTATCGTGGACGACTCAATTCTGACGGTGCAGAAAGTATGGTATACTCCGACATTGCCTTGGAATCCATGTCGAAACATGAACCCGGCAAATCGATGCCTTCAGCCATGCGTGATACAGCTCCTTTCGAGATCGTGCCAGAGGGCCAACAGGACTTTAAGTACTTCAAAAACCGCACGGATTTCCGAGACGAATTCAGCGGAGGCATCTACGGCAAGCCGGAAGACCTCATCAGCGAACGGAGCCACACTCCTCGCTCATTTATGGGCCATGGCGGTGCCTGGAGTCCAGAAAGCAGCACCAGCAGGGCAAACAGTCCTAGTCCTACACGCGCTGGCCTGGTTACTCAAGCTGACGCAGCATTGGTTGGGAACGATGGCATCCTCCGTCCGATTTCTCGCAAGCAGTTCGACACGTCAAACGTACATCCGGCATTCAGGAATCAACCAATGAGCAGTCATCGAAGCAGAAGTAGTAGTCCGCATCTTACATCTCCGTACCCGCAACCAACCTCCTCACGGGGCAGTCTCACTGGCAAGGAGATCGATGCCGCTGATCTGAGCATGAGACCTAGTCCTGGTCTGTACACGAATCCAGATGCGGATGAGAGCGAGACGAGGCTACTGGGGAATGTGGAGGTAGATGGGGCGGGGACGAGAGGTGGGTGGGGTGGTCTTGCGCCTACTCCTGGTGGTGGAGAGAGCGTCTATGGGATGGAGAGGTGGCGGACAAGTGGTTCGTCGTACAGTCGGCCTGGAACGGAACAGCAGCAGGATGACGGGCTGGGCGGGTATGACTATTTCCGGGGAAGAGACAAGAAGTGAAAGACAGCTGTGTCTGCCCAAAAATTAATAATGTCATAATTTACTATCGATTAATCTGCATTCCGGGTGGTCACCGTGCACACATAGAGAGCAGGCATAACCAGCATCAGGATGGCATTATGGAGGCATCAGCGTCAACCAGCACATCACATATCAAGACTTGAATGTCGAATTTCTCAGAATTCTGATTTTTTGAAAAACTGATCCTGCTTCAAAATAATAAATACAAACGCAGGGAGACCACCAGGACACCACCAGCACAGCAAAGCCTATTAATGGCTATTTAATCTCCAAACCCACCCAGGGGCCCTCCAACATCACAAACCAAACTCCAGCTCAACCTTTTTTTTTTAAAAAAAATCAAGCGCGCGAAAACCCCTCCATCCTCACATTCCTGCCGCGCTCCTCCCTGCGGCCAAACCACCTCCTCACCGCACGCAGGAGCCCACCAGTCCAACTTGCAGCCCAAACCCCAGCAGAAGATTGCATGCCGGTGCCCACCTCGTCGTCCTCGCCGAGCCGGTCCCTGGTGGGGAACCAGGCGGCCCAGACGACGACGAGCACGAACACCATGAAGGCGTCGAAGCCGTAGTTCCAGCGCTCGCTGAACAGCGGGGTGACGCGCAGGGGGTAGACGGCGGCGTCTTTGCCCCATTCGTCGACGAGGCCCTTGGAGGCGGCGACGGTGCGGTAGATGGTGCGGATGAAGAGGAGGCCGAGGGAGAGGAGGAGGATGGTGAAGGGCGTGTGGGAGATGAGGCCGGGGTCGGAGGAGGAGGAGGAGGAGGAGGAGGTGCAGCCGCAGCGGAGGAGGAGGACGGTCAGGTAGTAGATTGTCAGGGCGGTGAAGAGGGTGAGGTTGATCAACGTGATGATGTTGCCGGCTAGGAGGAGGGAGCGGACATGTTGTAGGAGCTCGTTCGCGGGGGAGTGGCCGAAGGGACCGGTTTGGAGTTTGGACATGCCTGTTTGGGGGCATGCGTTAGTCATTGTGCCAGAGAGAAGAGGGGATATAACGAGGCTGGTAGTGTGTTTGGAAATTGAGTGTGGCAGAAGAGACCTAGGGCTTGCGGATGTGCAAAAGTGATAGGGAAGTGAAAAGAGAGTTTGTGGTTCGCAGGCAAATACAGCAGAAACCATCTGGTACGACCGATCTAGCCAGCTTGTGAAAAATGATTTTGAAATGCACCAAGATGTGTGCATAAGGTGACGGATAAGTGACAGAATGTCGTTTGAACGTCCGCAAGTAGCAGTATCATGCCTCGGACCTTGTAAGTCGACTTACCAGCAGCTTGAAGTGCGTAACCAAGGACATCAAGAATGCCAAACCCACATCCCAAGCCCAGTTTTGTGATCAGTTGGGTACGGCCACCACGACCATTTGCGAGAATGATATGCGCTAGAAGTTGATATAGACTTGCTGCGATAAAGCCTGGGGCGAGAGTGATCAACGTGCTGTATGTCACATATGTCGAAGGATCTGGAATGTCTTCATGAAGGCCAGCAGCGCGGAACCCATAGCCTACAACTTCGACTGAAGTAGCAGTCAGTATTGGTTTCATGAGTTTGCAGAAGATCGGCTCCTAGCGAAGCGTTACAAATAAGATTTGTTTGTAGGAGAACGTACACAAGGAGCCGGCAAGGAGCGGGAAGGCGAAAAAAGCTTGCTGGCGGAAGAGTATGAGAAGGTGGACCAAGGTGGTGCAGCTGAAGAGGAAGGTTGCGACGACGGCTATGACCCAGGATGGCTTGACGCCATAGTACCAAAGCATCATGATGTCGCGATAAGTCAGCTCGCCTGCCATGTTGAGCAAGTCCTGATGATGTTGCGGAGATCGGTAGAGCGGCGGTAATATTTTGGATGGCGGAGCGAAGTGCGCTCAAAGCGGAGGTTACTCTTGATGAAGATGATTAACTGGATGCAAAGACCTTGTACTGTGAAGATGAGTATTGGGGGAAACAGAAGTGGTGGGTTGTGACGAAGTGTAAGTTAAGGTGAGGAAGGTTCTGTACCGCAAGCTTATAAGACGAATGTGGTAGAGGCGGAATTAAAGTTGGGGAAGTGTTCTGGCATAACCAAGGTGGCCAACACCGGTGAGATAGGGCGAAAGGGAGCCAGCCGGTTGAGTAGGGGGGAGACTATTGTTCACCGCACAAGGAGATATGCAAGATCGGAAATCAGATGCGGCCTCCCCTAGCACACTTCGATCAATAGTCAACCACTCAACAGTCAGTTCCACCAAGGTTAGACATAAAGAGAGCAACCTTGTACCTTGGCTTCCAATGATTATGTCAAGAATACTCCATTGAACAAGCTGGGCACTTGGGTAAAAAGTCACAAGCGCATCAAGATCCAAGCTGTTACTCTTCTCATACATCTATGCCTCGCTTGTCTAGAGATCCCTAGAGAAGCCGAAAGGTAGCAGAAGAGATGTATTGCCTTGGCCTAGACCGCGAATGGTTGCAGTCTGGAATGTCGGGTCCAGATGTTTGCAGAAGGGCTGACGTGCAACAACACTGAAGCAATGAATAGTATACAGATAGAAGCTCCTGGATGGACCAAGCTGGGAGAAGAAATAACTTGCATAGAGATGTGTCATAAGCAGATATTGTCCAACAGACCATGTGCAAGGCTGGGCTTCAATATCGTTTCATGCTGGATGCTTGATCATGGATGATGTTCTCACCTGAAAATCCATCTGCTGCTCTCGATACACCTTTCAGTACTCTGGAACGCTTTCCAACGTACCGATTCCCCAACTTTTATGTGTCCCTGCTCACTGCGGGCTGCTTCTCTCTTGCCTGTTTGTGCAGTTACAACAGCAAGCATGCAGATCCATTCTTTGGTCCGTCCCCGGTTCGCGTGGTTATAGAAAGTAGACCTAGCTCATCCATGCTGACTCATGCTTGTCTTATGGGCACCAACCAGCACACCTGAAAATCTGAGGAGGGCATCATGTACTACCTTCTCTGTGTTGCCGGGACAAAGGTGATCATCCTGTTAGCCGCTGTGATGAGGTGTGCCAGCGGAGGAAGTTATAATGGATGCATCACAAAGATTTGCGCCTGATTGTAAGAAACGTGATTCGAGGTGAAAGGCTCTTGATAGTACTGCTCTACATTCAATGGTCTGGAAAGGCAAGGAGACTAGGCTAGCAGTATCAGGAGACGAATTCAGAGGGGCTCGTTGATAGTCGGGAAAGAATCTCGCTATTATGTTCATCTGTCGCTGACAAGCCTTTGTGAGATGATTGTTATGGACTGCAATGTCAAGAAAGCGGAGCTGTATTCCTCTTCCCACTCCTTCTCATCCATGATTTGGCCATGCCCGTTGTATTCACCATGACCATGACATGGCTAAAAATGGAAAGGTTTGCTGGAACGGGCTTCTACAGCCGTGGTGCTATGCCTGGTTAAGGATTTCCACGGTTGAGCAGCAATGGACTGAACCCAGGCTAGTAGAGGAGGCATTGGCTCATGGAGAAGAGTGGAGTATTTCCGGGTACTTTTCTTTGCAGAGTTGTTGAGCAATTGGTGACGATCAGTAAGGAGAAAGCAGGGTTGGCCCATTTCTGCATTCTATAGTTCGCACTATAGTAGTAGAAGGGCAAGGGAAGCTTGGCTAAAGAAATGCTGGATGCTGGTTACCACTGTGACGCTAACCAGAGGACCACACAATTGAGCTTGCAGAGAAGCTTTGTCGGGATGTGCTCTAGAGTGACGACTAATCCTTACTTAGATGTACCCAACCTTTTGTTCTCTATGCTTGAGCACAGATTTGAGGCGACGTGGGCAGAACGACTCCCGACTCCTGGACCGGATGTGTGATTTCCCGGCTGCAGCAAAGACCTAGAAGAAGACGAGTCTGAGGTCGCTGGCCGCGGGACATGATCTTCATCTAAAGGGGGGCCTTCCCATGATGCATCTGGTGATCCCCAATTCTGGGTAAGCTCCTTCCAAGATTCTTCCGTCATGTGGATATCGAGCAGTTCTAGGTTGAGCCCTTCTCTGCTTTCACACAGCAGCAATCGCCTTGGGATTCTTCTAGCACCATCCCTGTTCGCCTCATTGTCACCGTGCGCCTGTTCCCTCTTGCTGACACTGGGGCGATTGACAAGCACACCAATACTCAATATCGTTCGAGTTTGAGTGGTTTCAATTCTGCGCGTTTCACGGGTTTGACTGAATGGAATGAAACGGCAGGGCATATTCGTCGTTGCTTGGTATAGCTTCATGTCCACGATCACAAAAGGTATTAATGGACGGAGCACTGACAAATTGGGGGCATGTCGTTCAAGAGTGCTGAAGAGAATACTGGGGAGGCTAGTCTCTGGTTCGTGCCATAGGACAGAAGTCCCACATATCATACGTAGCATTTGTACGAAATTTGTGCGACATTTCACCCCTCCGCCTTTTTCAGTAGTATGTTCCGCAGCGTCTCTTCCCCGCGACTGTTCAGTCGTGCCATGAGTAGACCGAGCTACCTTGGTCAAAACTGGTGCTTGATGCAGAGCTCCTGCCCCGGGCGCGGACCTCAAATCGGGACCTGCATTGCTACTTAGAGGCGGAAAGCCACTCTCTCTGCGCAAAATGTTGAGACTTCTTTTGTCTAACTGGTAATGATTGGTGTCTCGTCGAGAAGCCGTATAAACCTCGAGAAGTTCGATAGGGACAGATCTTGGTTCCCGATATACGTAGCCTCCTTTTTTCATGCGTAGATTGTTGATCAGCTCCAGTTGCACGCCAGGATGCTCGTCCGTGGGCCGTTTTGGAAAGATTGACAGATATTTCTGCCGGATATCTGGGTTCCTGATGTGCTCGTTTAAGTCCTTGCCGTCAAAAGAAGTCATCTGTGGCTGAAGTCACTCTCATGTCTTAAGTGAACCATAGATTGATTTGGGCGCCCTCACATTGCAAACAAAGACTTTCAACTCATCGCTGTTGCTGCCATCTTGAAGATCGACGACCGCACAAGGATGATCGCAAAACCCTCGCTCCAAGCCCTTAGCCGTGTAAGCGGCTGTAAGTTCTGGTGTGACGCAGCGCGATTTCGAGTCGCCAGGCAACAGCCTGAGCCAGTAAAGACCACCGAGAATCATGTCATCTTTGCTCAGCGACATGCTCCTGCGGTAGCTTTTCAAGAGTGCCGAAAAACTTTTTGCAAGTGATGTTTGGTATTAGAACTGATTGGGCAACCACTTAGCTTGGGAGAGTGGAGGTCCACTGATACAGCGTCCCAGGCTTTGCAACTTCTTTCCAGTGTTATGGTTGCGAATCAAACGAGAGAACGATCAGCGCAGGAGACTTTCGACATCAGAACTAAAAATAATATTCACCTCGACCATGGGGCATCGGTAACTTTGGGCGAAGGACCATATTAGAGTCCCGGAGTATGGCAACAGGCATTGGTAAGCATTGTTACATTTGTAAAATTTCCCCCAACTGTCAATCGAGCCCATCTCGCCCATCTGGCACCTCCATCTTGTACTGATCGACATCATAGAGGAGCCCCCTCCGGTCTGGATGTTGTCCTTTGTCGTTGCTGGTTGAAATGCGAACTCGAGATCGTGCCTCGCGACGCCGATCAGCCTGCCGCTAGTTTGTCCAGCCTCGTCACAATGCCCTGATGGGATTGTTTGTGACGTTCATCACGCTACTCACAATCTAGCTGACTTTCAGAAGATGCTGATCCCAAGGAGACTCATGGCTGGCTCTTGAAAATGGTCGAGGCTTCTTTCTAGGCCTGTGCTTGGATTCGATCTATCCCGCCAGTGGTCATCACCACGATTTCAGGAGTAATGCCAATCATTTGGAGCATCCATCACACCTTCTTCTGGTGATCGGAGGGGGTTGGCGACTCTGTTCTGTGGTCCGTCTTGAAACCTTTCTGCGGCGGTTTACGCCACCTTAGTAACACCCAGTCGTGCTTGAGTGGAGCTTTCGGCAGTGGTTGCAATCGTTGAGATGGGACCAATCCCTTATCAAGATCCCAGGACGCAAAGTTCTATGAAATATGCTCTTTCAGCATTTCAGCATTTGCGGAACCGCCAGAGTCTAGATAGGACATGGTTTATACAACGGTTGGAGTAAATTGCGGCAAGGGGAGGAGGATTGACTGCCGGAATGTTGACAAGGCCTGGATATGCTTGACCACGCTTACAGCCCCGAATCAGATGGCAGAGAAATTTCATGTTGCATTCGCGCTAACTATACTTTGTGCCAATTGTGAAATGCAAAGAGCATGGACAAGTGAATGAGATGTGGCAAGCAAGTTTACGACTTTGGATGCGTGGCTTATCATTGAAGAGACTTATCTGTAAGGTCGTCAACTACTGCTGGCACATCACGCTGGCCGCCAGCCTTGTTCTGTAGGACTTGGCCACGGTGGGATCTGGGAAATAGGGTTTATGAGGAATGGAAGAAGGGAAGAAGAAGAAGAAGAAGGTCTCAATCGAGGTCGAGGACAGGGACGAAGAGGAGGATGATGGTGAAGATGATGGTGAGGATGATGGTGAGGATGATGGTGAGGATGATGGTGAGGATGATAGGATTTGTGCCAAGGGTGCACTAGCTCCACTAGCTCCACTGCGGAAAAACAATTCAACGTGAATTAATTGTTGCTGCTGTTCACTTGTACTGTAAACACTTGCATACACTTGCATACACTTGTGCACTCCACCAATTCACACAACAACAAGTGATCAACGCTCCCTCTCTTCAAATACTCCTCCATCCTCTTCACTCGCAGCCTTTACAATGGCTGCTCCAGAGACCCCAAGACGAAGCCTGTTGGGCAGATTAGTCGGCACCTTGACTCAATATGTTCCCACCCCAAGACGAACACCACCACTAAACAACCAAACCCCTCCAGCAGCCCAGCCTGCAACTACCCTTTCTCCCGCCCACGCCGCTGCAGAAGCTTCCCAAAATTCGATTGCCTCCGATTCGTGGCATCCTGGCCTGGTCCAAAGCAAATACCTCTCAGAATACGAGAACATGTTCGCTGATATGAACAAAACACCCTTACGTCGGCCTGTAAGACGAGCTCAAACTTCACCACCGAAACGGCGGAACACACGCGCAAATGTGGTAGAGATGCCCCGTTCAGCTATGAAGAAAAGATCAGCACCCATGGATGATGAAGAACAACCTCCACCCTCCAACAGTAAACGTGTAAAGTTCAACGAAGCATTGGTACAAGAGCGAATTCTCAGTCCTCCTCATCCTGGCGAGAGAGATTCTATTCCTGAGCAACGATTTCTCTTCAGCAAAAAGCGACCCCGCGCCACAGAACCGTATTCGGGCAAACAATTTGCAGATACACCAAACATGTTCGACGAATCACCGTCCAAGCGAGCCAGACAGGAGGACGGCGATGAATCTCGATCCAAGCGAGCTAGGTACGAGACTGGCGACGAATCCACTTGCGACTCAGACATCACACCCACTACAAAAAACAATACTAGAATGAACAAAGAGATTTTTGAAGAAGAGGAATTCGTGCCCAATAGAACACAACCCCGACCCGGCACGTTCGAGCTGAACTATGACACCTACGCGGACGAAGAATCCTTACTTTCTGAGGAAAGAAGCGCAATTGCACCAGCGGAAGAACAGACACCCGCATACACCCCACCATCCGTAAACACAACACCGGGTCGTTTCGCCCTCGAATATTCCGACGACTCCATCAACCCCGACACATCCTCTCTCGTCAACGACGACACCACACCAACCCCGGGCCCATCCAACCCACCAACCAGAGCAGCCTCTCCACCTCCATCTCTTGAACCCTCTACCAGCCAAAACGAAGCCGAAACCAGTGACGAACAACCCCCAACTCCACCACCTCCCCACGCCGCAGAGATAGACGCCCAGATGGACGCCCTCCCCTGGCCCAAACCAGTCACATACGTCGACGCGGGCATCGCATCCCAAAACATCATCAACCTCCTCAACGCGCGCTACGACAAAGAAGACGAATATTACGCCGGCTTGTGGTGGGACAGGGAGTATCCCAAGTACACGAGTGCGCTGAAGACGGCGAAGAAGGAGGGTAGGGAGATGGAGATCCAGTTCTGATATTGATCAAGAACTTAAGTGGTCATGGTTGGGATTTCTGTCATTGTCATTCTCATTCTCACACGGAATTGAGCCGCTGCTGCCCCGTGTATTTCCATTCCATTCTAGATCGGGATCCAGCCCCTGGCAGGTGCTGTGATTGTAAGGGATCATTTACTGGGCGTTCTCTGTCTTGTTCTTCTGCGAGGAGTTGGGGGGAAGGCGGAAAGGGGGGGCCCCACTTCATCAGTCATACATGCGTGGATACATACTACACCGCACTCGGACACGAACACGAACACGCATACGCGATACACGAATAAGGATCGAGATCCAGCCACTGGCAGGTGCTATTGCTGCGATCATAATGGATCGCTGCTTGCTTTGCTTGCTTGCTCGCTCAGTCCTGTAAGTTTGGGAGGGGCAGAGGACGACCCCATGTATCATAGCATAGCACAGCACAGCACAAACACAGGACTCAAGTCCCTCGATGAGCAGGAGGAGAAGGAGGGCATCATTCAAGTTGTACCCTGATCCCTGATCCAGGCAATGCAGACATTCTATGGCTTGACTTCAGGTGCTGCACTCATGTCCATCCATCCAAGAAATGAATATTTATACATAAGCATAACGACCCTACAAGTAAGTTACCTCGCTAAAGATTTATGACCATGATTCTAAGAACGCAATCCCCCCGAACCACATTCCCATCCATCTTCCCTCACCTCCGCCGCCTAACCAACCCGCTCAACCCCCTCCTCACGGCATCACCACCCCTCCTCACGCCCCTCGAAACGAGACCCAACCCGAATGTCCACCCGCGTACTCGAACCGTGTAGATGAAGAAGTAGACCAAGACCCAATTAGTGACCACGAACATGGCAAAGAGACCGAAATCGCGCCACTTCTCGCCCGGGCGGATGTTGAGCGTTGACAGATATTCCGTCCCATCGCGGTAAGCGCAGTAGCCGCAGACGTCCGTCGCGGCGGGATTGACCAGGTACCCACGTTGGAGGACTTCGGTGACGTAGCGGCCGGCGTACTCGCCACAGCTCGTCCCTGGCGGCGAGCGGAACAAGGTCGTCTCAGCCGCTGAGCAAACGACCCGTACGGAAGGGAGAGTGGCGGCGAGGACTCCGCCGATCCAATAGGTAGACGGGTTGAGGTAGTACATCCAATAGCGCCAGAAGGGCGGTAGTTGGGCGTATGGTCGGACCACGCCGTTGAAGAGGGAAAAGGTTACGAAGAAGAAGGGCAGGATCTGCCAAGAGCATACGTTAGCATATCACCAATGAGTTGAACGCGAAGAAACTGCTTGTTTTCGAAGATGACGACGTTGCTGGCTGGTTCGGATAAAGGGGAAGAGGATGGAAGAAGGGCTGTAACAAGATGAAAAGGGTTTGGTGGCACTCACGTTCGAAATGACGGTGAAACTGCCCGCGAATCCACAGATCCACTGTCCCCAACTCGCCATGAACAGGAAGAACAGAACCGTCATGATATATACATAGCCAGCTGTCCCGCTGTCAGTAGGCAGGCCAGCAGGCCAGTACCACAACAGCCAATAGATTGTCCCGCTCAGAATCGCCATAGGGATCTCGGCAACCACCTGGGCAGTGCAGAACGCGAACCAGCCATATACCCTTGATGGGTGCTCCCTTGCTTCCCATAAAGCGCGATTTTGGTAGAATTTTGGGAGGACGCCGTTGACGATTGTAGGTGGAATGAGGATGGCGAGAAATGCGGTGAAGAGTCGATTTTGGAGGCTGGTCAGATCGTTGGACGTGTTGAGTTGGTAGAAGGTGAAGCCGTTGAAGATACCGATAATGACGCTGACGAACAGTTTGCCGTAAAGATAGCTGGGGTCGCGCCAGTGTTGGATGAACGTACGCTTTGTTAGTTCGATGGTCTGAGACCAGACGGGAGCGGCAAATTCGTGTTGAGGTTTGCTTTCAGTAGTGGCAATGGCATTGCTGCGACTCGTCTTGAGCCTGTTGATCTCGACGAGGAGGTCTTGGTTCTCTTGAGATTCCCGCCACTGCTTGTTCCAGTTCTGTCGCTTGCCGTCCTTGCCTCGACTGCCGCCCTTGGCAGCAGTTTCAAGGATGAATTCTGCAACATTCTTTCCTGGAGGACATTGGGTGCCTCGATCTGCAAAGTACTTGATGACAGCCGAGCCATTCTCGCCAACAGGCCCAAAATAGAAGGTGTTTCCACCAGGATTGAGGGCGAGGATCATGTCGAATTGCTGGATCAAAACTGACGAGGGTTGATGAATGGTGCAGACAATTGCCTGACCAGCTCGAGCGAGCTTCTTGAGAAATCTGATGATTGAGAATGCAGACTGGCTATCAAGGCCCGAAGTGGGCTCATCAAGAAATAGTAGCAAGGAAGGTTTGGCAGCCAATTCCACCCCGATCGTCAACCGTTTGCGTTGTTCGACACCGAGAGACGAAATGATCGCATCTTCTATGTCGTTGAGCTCGAGCAGATCGATGATATTGTTCACGTAATCCAATTTCTCTTCTCTGGGTATTTCGCGATCTTGTCGGAGTATTGCAGAAAACTCTAGAGCTTCACGAATCGTTGCCGTTCCGTCATGTAAGTCCATCTGTTCGCAGAAACCAGTGCCTCGTTGGAATTCAGGTCCAAGCTTGTGCCCATCGACAAGCATTTCTCCACCAACGACGCCCATTGACTGTCTTTGAGCTAACGTGTTGAGTAAGGTCGTCTTGCCGGCTCCACTTGCGCCCATCAGGGCTATCATGACTCCAGGTTTCGCGTACCCGCTGACTTTGTTAAGAAGCTTCCGCTCTCCACCCTGATATGGAACGGTATACTCAACATTTTCCCATGTGAACACGCTCTCACTTTTAGCAATTTCCTTGACTTCGTCGTCGCTGGTTTCGGCTAGAACAGTATTCTCGGACCTAGCAGACGCTCTTTGACTCGACACAATCTTCTCCTCATCAACCACTTCCGTGTCCTTACTGATGATTTGCTTGGCCTTCGTGGTCTTTTTGAAGATCATAGCTCCACCTCTAGTACTTACAAACGTGAAAACTTCGGAGGCAAAAGCTGTAATGATGATATAGAGGACTGTGAAAGCGATCAAAACCCCAAAATTGCGCCACAGATTCATTCGGCTGTAAGCGAAGGTGGTGCCAATATACTCGTCCCCTGTGACAGTGGTGCTACCCAGCCGAGCACCTGTCAAGGCGCAGCCTTGGAATTCAGAGCTCACCCCAGGACCTTGGGGGATTAACTGTTGCGGAGAACATTGCATGGTCCGGCCAGAAAACTCGTTGGCCAACACAGCTTCGTAGGCATAGGAGATCGGATTGACGTAGTACAGCCAGCCGAACCAGATATAGCGGGAGACAAGCAACGGCTTCGGAATCACATACCCGGTGAATATAATCAGAAGGTTCAACCCAGTGCCAGCAAAGCGGACAGCATCATCAATAGTTGGTGAAAGTGCTGCAAACATCCGGTATAATGCAGTAATGCAAATTGTGTTGGTATAGACGAACAGCTCAAGGATGAAGAATTTCGAAACGTCAACATCCAGATTGGTCATGAAGTACATGATCAAGCCAAAGATGATAACTTGTACGAGAAGCACAGGCATGTCGAGTATGACTCGTGCGATGACCACAGCTGATGGACGATAGAAAGCATACTCTCGATGCCGAGCAATTACCACTCGGCCAGACACCGCTCTCATCAGTTCAGTCAGCTGGAGCCACCCAAGAAACAAAATAGCAAAGAAAAGGCTGCCGCCCCGGGAGAACGCGCCTTCAGTGGCAGGCGTTTGCCCGTAGAATAGCGATCCAACGATGAGCCCATTGGAGACAATGACGAAGGCTTTGGTGTAAAGGGTGGTTTTGTCACCCCATAGCAACCAAAATTCCCGAAGAGTGCAGGCGTATACTTGCCGGGGAAAAGATACAGTGTAGCTCGATCTTTTCGATACGTGCTTACTTTTGCCCTCCTCGACTGCTCCTTGGAATTGTCGGGCATCAGCATTTTCCGACTCCTGTAGCTTTTTCTCATAGCTATTCACATCGGCGATGAGTTTCTTGTAGTGATCAGAAGCTGTAAAGGCGGCTTCTAGTTCCGTAGCTGTTTTTGGTGTAGAGGCCTCTTTACCCGGCTGGAATTGTCTCTCATTTGGATCCCCGACTGATGTCAGGAAATCCGCAGTAGATTGACGCTCTGGACAATGAAAGCCCAGGCTTTGAAAGTATTCTTTAGCTTCTTTGGCAGGTCCTTGGTAGATCATTCTACCCTCTTCGATAACAAGTACCTTGTCCATGAGCTCGTAGATTCCTTCTCCTGTCTGGTACAAGGTGACAAAGGTAGTTCGATGGGAGACATCCGTCATTATTCGAAGTGAGTTGACATAGTCGAGGGCAGTTGAAGAGTCGAGCCCCCGAGTACTGTTATCGAAGCACATGACAGTACTTTTTGCTGATAGAGTTTCTGCTATTCCTACTCGTTTTCTTTCGCCACCGGAGACTCCCCGGACATACTCGTCTCCCACTAGAGTGTCTTTTGTGTGAGAGATTCCAAATATTTTTAGAAGGGCGTCAACAATGATAGGAATGCTTCCGGCATCGTGCTTCTTGGTCTTGTTCATTAATGAGAATCGGAGAGTCTGCCATACCGTCAAAGCAGGTAAGTGTCGATCATCTTCCGGATTGTAATTGACTTCGCCTTTGTAGGTCTTGCGCTGCTCTTCTGCGGAGATTCCACCATACGTGACCTCTCCTGTGACCGCTGCATAATCCGATCGGTCATTCGCGATTGCTTTCAGGAACGTAGTGCAGCCTGATCCAGGTCGTCCCAGCACAAGCATCATTTCTCCATCTCTCACAGCACCAGAGAAATCGTGGATCAGTGTACGCGTCGGCGGTCTCCTGCCAAGACGCAGAGCGGGTAAGAAGCGGCAAAGCAAACGATACAGATCAGGACCAAAAGTGCCGACGACTGCCTGAGGGAGTGTTTTGTTAAATGCGACGGATGCCCCTTCACCTTTAACCGTGAGATTCTTGAACACCACCCCGATCTTCTTCGCAGATTCTCCAGTAGGCGCCCTTTTCTCGAAACGACCGTCTCTCAAGAAGTCGCCAACATCAAAGTCCTCTTTCTCCACTGATTGCTCTCCCTCCAAAGTTTCGGCATCTTCCGATTCGAACGAAGCCCAAGAGGTGGCCCGGCTTCGAGTTCTCTGAGGTCTGCTCGCCGCCGATTCTATTCTATCGAGGTCAAGACGAGCTATCGAAGACAGCCTTTTCATGCCGGAAGCTGGGCGACTGTGACCAACGCTTAGTCTTGTGAGTTCTCGACGTAGAGCATCATAATCCACCATTGACCTGGCCGGGTCAAGGGGTGCTCCCACGTCACGTTCTCCCCACGTCCCATTGGGCGGCGTATAGAACTGATCCTCTGATTGTAAGTCGGTTGCCGATTCATCAGGTGCACATATTCTCTGATTGTCAGTTTTATGCCAATCACTGGCATGCGTGTTGCCTTGCCAAAGTCAGTTAATGCTTGGGTGTTCTTGGACGTGTTGCTTACTCTGTTCATCAGCCCGCCGTCGGTACATCTCGTCTGAAAGAAGACCCCACATCTTGGCAAACCTTTAATTGCAAAGTCAAGTAAAGGGATAGGTATGGCACACTAGTTCGTGGTCAACCAATCTTCTGGGGCAAGAGAAGAACTCCTTCGAGACTTGGAGAAGAAAACGAGGTTAGGTACGGGTTAGAGACAATGACGCAAACGGAAGAGGCGTTGGCCCAACAGAAAGAAGACGTAGCGAGGGAAAAGCACTTGCAGCAGCAAGATGAATTTATGAAAGTGTTTGTTGAGTGGCCTTGACTGAGATAAGCCGGACATAAGAGATAAGCCTAAAATTAGATGGCGAAAAACCACCATCGGCATACGGGGAGTATTAAGCTGGGCTCGAATTGGATCTCACGGGTGGCCCCTGTTGAAATCTGTACGTAGTATGCTATCCCTTCTACTGTCGAGTCAGAGTTTTCAAGGAGACGGGGATTCTGATGGACAAGATTTCCCAACAGATGATTGGAAATCAGCTCAAGGTGGCAGTCCTACTGACTCGAATGAGTCGAAATGACTCGCGCAGATGAGGTTGATAAGCAACAACGTCTTGGCTTGGCCTGTAAGGCCCAACTTCGGGATTCAAATGGTGAAATATGAAAAATATGTCCGTCATCTTCCATGGACCGAAGGAGCTAACTTGGACTCACGGCAACTCACCCGAGACTGCCGCCAGCTAACTATCTTTAGCGTTGCAGTGACGTAGTACCATCAGGGATTCGGCGTCTCCACACTTCAGCTGATTGTTCGTTATACTTGATAGCGCAGAGTGGTTTCATGCATTAGAGCTAATAGAGTCAGTCATCTGCCTCGCGTGCGTGTAGAAGGCTATGAGTCATTCAACCATGTCCGTCGTAGTTCAATCATGCCATGTCTCTAGCTTTACATCCTCCCTCTGATGTAACAGTATCATGCCGCTCACAACAGGACGAGCACAGCCAGGCCAATTGTCAACAACGCAACTAGACAGCCTGCAACGCTCCCTTCATTGAAAACCAAGACATTGTGTTCGAATTGTGCAGCACTGCCTGATGCTGTCGTCGACGTCGCTGATCCACTTCCCACTGCATCCGCCGCTGAGGAGGATGGTGCAGTACCTGCAGGACGAGGGCCAGTTGGGCTAGGAGCACTGGCTGCACTGCTGGCCGCTGGGGTTTCGACCTGACCAATGGTAGGGAGTGGTAAGCTGGCATCAACTGCCCACCCTCCCGCGGTCGAAGGCGGGCATGGCCGAGGGGTCACCGACGTGCCAGAGTATGCTGATAAAGCTACACCGGTAGGGCTGATGGTGGCCCATTGTGCTTTGAGATTCGAAAAGTCGGGCGTAACAGGGGTGGGGGTGCCTTGACGTGGATACCTGGCAAGACAGACGTCAGAATACTGAAAGACAAAGCGACACAAGAGGATACCGAGTTTGTTGCTCACCCATCGATAACAGTAGTGCCCTGCTGTAAGGCATTGGATGCAAAAGGGCCGTAAGAGATCAAGCCATAGTGGTTCATTTCCTGGATCCATTCGTAGATAATAGCACCAGACCAAGTTCCAGACATGTTCGCTCCAAAGATGGCGGTCTGGTCGGAAAAATCTCGGGGCGGAACCGTATTGCAGCCAGTCTCCGAGAAGAATATCGGAGCTGGGTAATCCTCGAACGAATGTTGCAGTGCCATGTAGCCAGACGTCGCGTACGATGTCTGAGACCCGCACCATTCATAGGAATTCAAGGAGAAGAAGTCGAGTCTCTCGGAAACATTACTTCGGCAGGCTAGATAATCCTGAAGCAAAGATCCTAGTGGAGCGGAGTCAGTGGCGGAATAACCGATTGGTATTGGCCGGTAGCCTTTGGCATCTCGGTAAGCCTTGAGGTCTGCCGCCGCAGCAAGCAGGTATGGCGCAGCAGGGGAGTCGGACACTGTTCGAGCATCAGTGCTACTACCTCGAACAGAAAACGACTTTCATCTTACACCCGTTCAGCACTTCATTGCCCACAAAAAAGCCAGCGGTATTATCGTACTTTTGAAATTCGTCCATAACTTGCTTGAAAGAGTCTGACTTGTTCTGATTCCAGGCGATAACATCCTGCGGAACTGATCAGCAGTGCCTCGTCAGGTAGGAGGCTAGACACTCGGACAAGCTTGATGTAGGTCTGGAAACTGTCCATATCGACGAAGAGATAGATCCCTGCATCAGCAAATACTTGCATGCATCCAGTATGATCAGCGAGAGGATCCACATGGTATACCCGGATAGCGTTGGCTCCGAGCTCCTTCATCAAAGTAGCATCAAGCTGACACTGTTTGGTGTCGATCAGGGGATCGTTGGCAACAAGCTGGTAGGCGATGCCTGTGAGAGAATCGATGAGTACCAAGCAAGCGAAAATATTGATTTGCTTCAGCGTTGACCCACCTTTGATGAAGAACTGGTTGCCATCACTGGTGAAGAACTTGGATCCAACAGCGGATATGGTGGGTAGCGCAGTGGTCATACGGGCATATAGGGCGAGGCACACAGCCAACGAAACCATTGTACCGAGCATGGCCACCGAGTAGTATGCTTGTCAGGGAGGGAACAGTGTGGAGTTGAAGATATTTACAAGACTGAAACGCACCTCCGCAAGCAGGCAGTAATTTCAAGATTATCAGGAGTTCCGTTTGTGTTGGAGTTCAAGCACAAGTGTTCTGACGCAAGCAATGCAAAACAAGATCGAGTGAGTTCAACGCAGTTGTGGTCCAGGCATGGCCGAAGGGGGGGAGGGCAGAATTGAGGCATTCGCAGTCACCTGGAGGATAAAAAGGGCAGGCGCGAAGTGATTTGCAGCAACAATTCAGCGCTTTGAGGCATTTGTGAATTGGAAAGAGGTCCACTGGTTGCTTCCAGGGAGCCAGCTTCTAACACATCACATTTCTGCACCACTAAAGCAGAGCGAAAGGAAGAGATACGCTAGAGGTGACGATGAAAGCGACATAGGATACAGAGGTTCCTCCTCACTCGTCAAGTCAGCAGAGTAAGGCGCAAGAAGATGATACATCATGAACAAGAGAGGGTCTACAGATTCCTTCCTGCTAGCACGCCACACATCGCTCGCTTTCTGCAACAAAGCACCATTACAAGCAGTCATGACAGTCATCAACAAACGAGCTTCTTTCGTGCGGTTGTCTTACAGCCTTCTGCCTGCTCAGCTGCATGGAAGAACGTGATGGCCTGCCGGTATCTTTTCCTTCCAGGATCAAGAGTAGTGCACAAAAAGCTGGAAGTCCCTTTGTGCTGAAGTTGTATGGATGACAGTTTGACCATCACAGTAGGTACCAGAGTGAAGTTTGTTGCGGAGATCTTGCCCAGGCACTAACGTCACTAACTAGCCCATATCAGCAGTGTGCAACTGCTTTCTTTGGTCTCGGAACATATTTCTACTATGTTAGTATAATTCGAACATTGCTGACGCTACCAATATCTTGGAGATTGCATTGATTCAACTTGTTCAAATAGGCACTATGTAAACAGAAATTGCTTGGTTTTGGCCATATGACCCATCTTTATGTTGATTCCGGTATATCTAGAGAATAAAGGCAAAGCTGAAATTGGTGGCTTGAAACTTTGGTAGGAGCGGAGATATTGACTCCAAAACCACCGCGGATGGGGATCTGTTGTACATATGGGCCAGCCACGTTAGCTTCAGAAACAATCATTAGGCTGACTTAAGTAGCGGGGTATGGAGTGTGCCAGGAAGGATATACCAACCGAGTGTAGTTCGAAACCTATTTATTGCTGTCCTTTGGAGGAACGGTTAATGCATCCTCTTCCTCCGAGTACTTTGCGATGTAGAGAAATGAAATGGGACGATGTCTCCCGCGAACACAGCAAAGGAGACTTCACCAGGCGGTATAATTATTATTATTATGCCATCGTTCGCGTATTCCGTCAAGAACATTTGACGGAAAAACAAGCATCTCCACATATTCCATCCAACACCTCTCGCTGTGCCCGCTCGAATGCATGTAGCTGATGCCCAGAAACTATATGAGAATCCTGTGATGTACAAGCTGCGAGCCTTGACCCATATGGTCAGCCTGAAGATGCCATATGAGTCCTTCGGATGACAAAGACACCAAACTCGATTGCTGGCCCTGTTTGTTCGGCTTCCTCATCCGTCATCTTGTTCACTCCGTCGATGAACTCTCTCAATACAGTGCCAGCGCTGGCAGAGTCCATCTGAGAAAGTCGCTTGCCTCTGCCCCAATACTTCTCTAACGTACGTTTGAAACGTGTGTGCTCCTGCTTCAGATACCACTCGGTCCAGGTTCTTCTGTCAATGAAGACTTCACCAGTACTGGCACAGACAAGGTCGAATTTGCTCCTTTTGCTTTCAGACGTGATCCGATGAGTCATTCGACGGCAAAGACCAACAACTTTGCCTTTCAGAGCTTCGAATTCATACATATCAGGAACGGCAGCCATGCTGCTCAAGGATTCTGCGAGACCATAGGAAAGCTGATGCACTTCAACGAGAGCGCGCAGCAGAGGGTCCAGAATACGGCTAAGGTATTTGCTTGTGAATGCGTCAGCTCCAGTTCGCGTAGGGTAGATGAAAAGCATGCTGCCTTTGTCCATCGAGAGTTCTGCCAGTCGATCTATCAAGACCGACTGACCACTCAAGGAGAACAGATCCTTGCACTCTTGTGGTGATGAAGGTGGAATGTAACGTTCTAAGACAGAGATCTGCACACTCGATGGTGGTACTATCGGGTTGGGAGAAGAGGGAGCGGATGTTGCCAAGCTGTTGTTGGGCACATGGTAGGATGGGACTACTGCGGCATGAGCAAAGACCGACTGTGCGAAATAGTCGTCTCTGGCCGCGGATAGATTTGGGGTGGATGGTGGAGAACTGGGCAGATTGAGGAGGTCGAATCGTGGTGGAACGGCATGGGTGATGGTGATGTATGGCTGAGCACCAGTAGCAAACCGTGTTTGTATTGCGGCAATCACTTCTGTGAACATGGCATTAGGCCTGGCCGTTTCTTTGGCTGGACTGGGCAGCGTCTGCGAGACGATTTGAACGGTATTGGAAGACGAATTCGAAGGATCAATGCAAACCACTGCATGTATGGAGATTAGTACTTTCTGGCACATCATGAAATAGTGGATCTTCTCACCCGTGGCGCCAACGGACCTATCAAGCCATAAACTCGATCCTCTACTTTCATATGCGGGCTGCGCTGGGTTAGAGCTGGTTGTTTGCAGATTCTGCTCGGCTCCGCTGGTGCTGGAAGCCCCCAAGGACACATTCTCGGCTCGCCCGCCCCTTTCTGACAATGAAGCACCCTCTACCGACGTTGTCAAGGCATGAGGTGGGAGCGTGAACCTCGATTGGGACGTGGTAGGCACGGGCAGAGGGATCGTAGCGCTGCTGGTCCATTTTAGTGAGTCGAGTTCCGCTGGTGGAGTCAGTAGCGGGGTGGATCCAGTTCGACGAAGTTGATTGTCGACAGCTTTTAGACTAGTATGTTCGGCGACTTCTCTCCTCCCAACCGGAAAACATGTTCCAAGAGCGTGGTTGTTGGGAATGGACTGCGGTTCGAACGATGGGATCCCTAACCCCCGAAAACTCGGAAGCCGTGGTTTGGCACTACCATTGCGTCTTTGCAAGAGTCTATTCTCCATCAGCGACTCGGAAGAGCAGTCTTTAGCCACATTGAAGACTGGAGATGTAACCTCGAGGCCAGGTCTTGGACGTATATCAGAGAGGAGTGCTGTCGACCCTACCATACTCTGCAAACTAGGCTTTCTATGCCCTTCCACAGCCATAGCAGTCTTTCAAATTCCCCCCCTCACTGCTTAACACGAAGCAGCGAAAGGTCTATGAAGGTGCTTCTGCCTAATCCATCTGCCCGGACCTATCGCAGCGACATACACATGATGGAAGTATAGTGGACAGAATAGCAAGGATGAGAGCCGCCTGTCTCGCGTAGCAATAATCCTGCAACGATAGAGGAGGGGAGGTTGCTGCTGGCACAGGACGTTGAGCCAAATCGCTTGGTACGGCCCGAAGGTGCAAGATGGGCTGGAAGGACTTTGCTGTCCTGATGCAGCGATCACACCCAGTTGATTACTGGTGGCACCACTCTGTAGGAGAAGCGTTTTCTGGCTTAGCAGAGAAATGATTAGAGAGAGAATGGCGGTGCTGTTGTGTCAGAATAATAGGACAGAGGTATCCAGCTGGGGGAAAGGAAACAGAGAGGTAGTGGTCCTCTGTAAGATGCTTGGTACTGGCCGACACCTTGGCTACCGTAAAGTTTGTCTAGCCTAAAGTTCAAGAGGTGCCAAACATGTTTAGAGGATGGTGGTGGTGGTTTGATGGGAGGATTGTCAGTGAGGTTCTCTTGTTCTAGAGGAAAATTATTGATGGGAGTTGCCTGGGGACTGCTGACAGTGTCTGCGGCTAGCCGCCACTACAGTCAACGGCTGTTCGAGTCCATGACGGTCCAGCCTCGGTCCGCTCTAAAACGCCTCGAAACCTCTGGCAAAAGAAACCCTGCACATACATCAGTGCAACTAGTTATTAGTATTAGTAGGAGGGAACAACGCCCATGTTCCCCTAACATCTTTAACAAAGCACTGCATAGGTGGCCTGATCCTGCGCAGTACGGGTGACAACAGAACCATTGGTGCCCAGTGTTAGACAAGGATCCTCTTGCTGCTCTTGAAGGTCTGGGAACAACAACTTAAGGAGTAGATAAACTAACTACTGGTTCCGGGAAGGAAACGTATCGCATCGCATCGCATCGCATTTTGGACTTGGTCCCACTGCGCTTGTTGTCTCGGAAGGTCTAAGCTCCGGCCTGAGATCCGGCGGAACTAATAGACCTAATGGCCTATTACCTACTAGTAGTTCAAGCTGTGGTCAGCTTCTACCCGAATTCGCTTCCTGCGGCTGACGTGTTTACCATGAATTAATGTTGTAGTACGGAGTACGGAGTAGTTAGAGGGATTTTGGCCTTCCAGCGGCCCTGTACCGCATGCCACCTGCATGCATGTCATTTGCTAGATTGTCTAGGCGATCATCTCGCAGCATTAACGAGGCTTGTTTAAAGACCAAACATCGTATACTTAATCTGTCTGATTCACCCCAGCAGCAGCTGGCTACGAGTTGTAGTTTGCCGAGGTTTACCACCGACCCCTTGGTCCTCTTTCCAATAGAAAAGGGGATATTACGCTTCCTACAAGACACCTAGGTACGCAGAGACAACGGAATCTAGCAAAACATGGTGACCCTGCTTTGAAGCGGACGGAGAAGTTTAGCGGCGAGCTTGAGTACATTCAATATCCAATAGACACAATCCGTTCTATTTGCTCGCCCCGACAACCAAAACCGACGGAGTAGAGCGACAGAGTCCGAGCGGCTGAGTGGACCAGAACGCTCCCACCTCCCATGCCACCTTCGCTCATACAGCTCCTACACCGACCGGCCTAGCACCGCTAAGATTGACAACCCTTCCGCCTCCTCCGGGACCACCAAATGCACCTCCACCGAAGACGTTGTGTCTACCATCTTCTTTGACCCAGCCAGGTACTTGATCCTCTTGCCTGCGTGCCTTGATGACCGGCCAAATAGAGGGGAATCCAACCGCCAGAGCACCCCTTGTCTTTGCACCAGGAATCGCAAAGCGTGGATTGTTGTGTGTCAAGAATCCAACAACCAAATCTTGCTGGATCAGCGACGCCATAATAGATTCGACTTCGTCTATTGTAGGATGTAACTGTGGCTTCGGATGCTTCGTATCGGCTCCATTACTTGCAAGGTACTTCCTCTGGTTCTCAGTTCGTCCAATATAAGCACCGGACTCAAGGTCAAATCCAACGTCTGCGGCCACATCCTCCATTCCCGCAAATTCGGGATCAACGGCTTTTGCGGCACGGTTTCCCGGGTCAATATCGAACTGCGTTTGGGCGTTGTCCCGGAGCGGTGAAGCCCATGATTGCACGTTCGTTGCGGGTTTTTGCGGAGGCGACTTCAGCCTCCTCACATTAAGCCACTGAACAGCGGCTTGAAGTAGATGCAGTCGGAGAAATGGAGTTTTGTTGTCTTCGCCTCCTGGGAAGCCTACCTCAATGAAGACACGACGGGCCAGAGATCTCCATACCAGGGCTTCACATCTGTTGCGGAATTGTAGCAACAACCTCCTTTGAAAGAACCATTGTCCATGTGGGTTGTTCAGGCTCAGATGCTCTTCAAAACCAGACAAATCACCAAGTGCGATGACTTGACAGAGGGGAAGGAAGTGCTTGGCCAGTCGGGTAGCTTCTCTCCTCAGCAGGAGCTTCGATGAGGGAAAGCGCCCCAAACACATATTGGATGCGATCAAGTACACCAGTATGAGCTCTCGGTGCCGAAGCGCCTCAGCATGGCACTGGTCATATGCAGCTTGCAATACCAGCTGTGCACGGAAGAAGTGGTTATTCGCGAAAAGGTATCGCCCAAGATAATAAAGATACGTCACTCGCTGCGGCGCTGGATAATGTGATAGAAGTGGACTTTGCGCATCAATAGAGACGAACATGGTAGTTGCACTTGATAACTTTCGACATTGGAAAAGGAGCTTCAGGCAGAGATTGCCTGTTTTGTATATGCCAATGCGTTTGCCCTCGGGTGCAGCATTTCTACCAAACCCACCTGAGCCGCTTTTGTCACTCAGACATTTAATGAATGCTTCGCGAATGGTATTGGCAGCATCTTCGACAAAGGTGACTCTCTCTTTGATGTCTTCGCTGTCACCTGTATGGTGCTCTTTCATAAGCTGCGCCACAAGATCGGGCCTTCTGTCTAATCCAAGCGCAAGTTTGGCCAGCACTTTGGACAAGTAGAGGACAGTTGGCAGGATAACAACACCATAGGTGACATCACCGAGGCAGATACAGGATGTACTAGGAGGTGAGTTAGCAGAGATTATTGTAGGAATAGGCCTCTTTCTTACCCACTTGAGCAGTCTCTTAATATCGTTATTGTTTTTTAGGAGATTGTGGGGAGCATAATCTCTGATAAATTGCAAGTACTGGAGAAGATGGCCTGCGAATGATTCCCACGCAATCTTGGCTCCATCTGGACTCTTGGGCAAGACTTTCTCACAAAGAGTCCGCAAGTGCTGATCTTTGCCCCAAGGATAATGCTTTTGAAGCTCACGCGATAGGTCGGTGTATGCCTGAGCAAGCGGAGGCTCGATCTGCAGGTCGAGCGCAATACGCTCGCCATCCCGATTTTGGATCGCCTCGTGAAGCTCGTCTAGCAAGCGGTCCAGCGTCGGAGTCAATTGCGTGTTGGAAGGGGATGCCATATCAACGCTCATCGGGCTCCCTGCCCAAGCAGGTGTGCCAGGGGTTTGGAGGGCTTTAGGGGTATTGGTTGGAGGACGTCTGGGAGACCACGGCTTGGTGGTAGATGAATAGATAATGGAGAGAGGGTCGCTTGCGGTAGGCTGAGCTGTCTTGATCAGGTGTGCTTTGAAAGTGGTTGTTTGGATTTTATCGGAGCTCGAGATATCTGGTGGAAGGGATCTTCCAATCGCAATCGCTTCAGGAGGATGCGGTTTCTTCGGCTTCGGCAGATCAGAAACGAGCTTGCTCTGAAGATGTAGGACAAGTGTTGCTAGTTGTATGGTCTGTGTTTTCAGTCTTGAGAAGTCGTCTTCCAGTTCGGTGAAGGGAGGGTCTATGTGTTTGGCCAATGTGCTTGCGTGAAGAATCTTGTCTAAATCATTTTCGAGGCTACTGCCCTCTGCATGAGCATCACTACTTGTAAACTTGCTGTAATTCTTCTGCTTGTTTGGATTGCCCTTGGTTCCCCGATTCTTGAACTTGCCTCGACTATTTCCTGAAGATGAATCATTGAAATTCTTCTGGACAGTGTTATTGTTGTTGTTGTTTTTGCCGACATGCGCAAATGAGACTTGGCCACGTCCTCGGTTGAAACCTCGTCTACTTCCTTGAACTCTTGCCATAATAATCTACCGTCGAAGGACAAACTCGGACAACAATATCGATTGTAACCTATCGTGTATCGCTGTTTCTCCTACAAATATGAGGTCTATAACATAGCAACAGGTCTCACAAAGTCCTCTTTCGTCGCTACTGTTTCTCTTTGTCTTCGTTGTCCCCGTCCGATCTTCCTTATCCCAAATGCGGCGCTCTTCCTCCCAATTTCGATCGTAGCGTCGGTTGCATATAGAAGCATGGCCGCTTTGGGCAAACAATGCTATGCTAAACTTCTCCTTTTCGCAACGTTATTGGGGCACTCTGCTGTGTAAAGGAGGCTGCCATCTGACTGATTCTCCCAGTGGAACCACTGGCATACTTCATAAGCAACCTCTCAAAGCCGCAAAAGGCATGAAAGTGACTGCACTTATTTTAGCTGAGACGTGCAGGACTTCCCCACGGCTTCCTAACCTAATCAAGTAAATGGCACAGCTGCTGAGCATGTAACCAAACCTCATTTCTCAATTCCAAGAACCATTTTTTCCCTTTCGCTTTGTCGAGGCATCGATCCTTTCTTGCTGTGCTTTCTAACGTTTTCTCCCTTTCGTTTTAGCGATTTCAATTCTTCACCCTTGATATCGGCAGCCTTTTTAATCCTTTTGGGAATATGCCTGTGACGTTTGATCCTTCGAACCTCAGGCATGTGGGCATATCGACGCACAAGAGCATCGTCGTACTCGCGCTTCTGCCGTTGACGTGCAGACTTGACACCACTCCTGCTAGAGGCATTGGCACGCCAGAGCCGAACGTTGCCGTCATCCGAGCCAGAAATAACGTACTGGTTGTCAGGACTATACAGCACAGCGAAAGCTCTTTGCATGCGCTTAGTATGGTAGATATCACGAGAATGACCCCGATCGCGGTTCCACAGCCGTATCGTCCTGTCATATGAGGCGCTTACCAATTCTTCACCAGTGGGGCTGAAGTCGACATCCATCACTGCAGCAACGTGGTCTTTCAGAACATTCAAGGAGCGATCGAGCCGTCTCATATCAAAGATATAGATATTGTGGTCCTCATTCGCAACAGCAAAATTGAACGCTTCCATTGGATTCCAGGAAAGGGCATTGGATGCAAGTCTCAGAACCACTTTAGACAATGCTGAAGAGGTTCGGAGGTCATACAATACAACGGCACGATCGAGAGCGGTCGAAGCAAGGATAGACGTTTCGATCTGATTGAATGAAACAGCATTGATAGTGTCAGTAGAAGTCGGCCATTGTAAGGTTTGCGTTGGGGCGGAGGAAGGTCGATTCAAATCATAGATCGAGATAGAGGCCGACGAAGCGGCAAAAGAGGATTGGCTACGATGGTGTGATAGGCTTGTGAAGCCGGCTTGACCTAGATACGTCGCAAGAAGAGGAGCTTTGCTTTCGGCGCTGTAGGGATCCCAAACCTTCACGGTTCTATCTCCTCCGCATGACAACAACTTCCGATCTGGAGTCCAGCAGGTAGCCTTGACTATGTTCTCATGTGCACGTGTCTGCCACACCTCTTCGCGACTTGTGAGATCCCAGATTTTCACGACTCCATCTCCACTTCCACTAGCAAGGCGTTGCAATGACCCGGGATCCTTTGCCAGGGTATAGACACCATCAACATGTCCTTGACCTAGCTGCCCGACGAACGGGGCAGCGAACATACGCTCCAGTTTCACAGCGTTTAGGGCACGTGTATACTCCCTGGATTGGGCAAATGGATGTTGGGTGGGATCGAGGTTGCGGGGCTGATGAGTGACGTTCGAGCCTGGCGCCTGATGAGCGGCTGTAGACCGCGAGAGAGATTTAATCTTCTGCGAAATTGTCAGTTTCCATCTACGGCTCGACATGAAACATACCATAGCCAGGCGTACTGCGTTAAACAACGCTGAAAGGATTGCTCTATCGAGCCAAAATTTTTTGGAGGCTTAAGCTGCGGATGGCAATCTCCGAGTGCTGATCAACGCAGGCTTAAATAAAAACAGCGGCCGCTCCATCACAAGGAAGTCATCTCAGTTACAGCACATACCACTCGCTCGAATGTGCAAAGGGCTTACACCTACCGCCAACTGAGTTGCATTATACTCCTCAACAAGGTGTCTTTCTCCAAGCTCACTTACAACAATGGCGCCACCTCCCAGCAATGCTGTAAAGATGGCGGACGCGAAAGACCTATCAAGGAAGAATCCTTCCAAAGCAGAAACAATGTACAAGGACGTCCTGTCGAAGGCGCCTGGCTCCAATGAGCAGGCATTAAAAGACTACGAAAGCGCTTTGGTAGGTCTTGGGGAGCTGTATCGAGACAATAAGAAGGCCGATGAGCTGGCAGAGCTTATCAAGTCCAGCCGCTTGACCCTCTCTTCCTTTGCGAAGGCGAAGACAGCTAAGCTAGGTCAGCGTCTATAACTACGGCTCGATTGGATGAAGCTGACTAGCCTATAGTCCGCCAGCTTCTTGACTTCTTTGGTGACATTCCGAATTCTTTGGAGACGCAGATATCCGTGACAAAATCTTGCATAGACTGGGCAATCTCTGAAAAACGATCATTCCTGCGACAAAACCTGGAGACCCGACTAGTTAGCCTTTACATGCATAAACAAGCGTATTACGATGCTCTGACGCTTATCAACTCATTGCTTAGGGAACTGAAGCGTTTGGACGACAAGCTTGTGCTGGTTGAGGTACAATTGCTCGAGTCTAGAGTGTATCACGCTCTGACGAATCAATCAAAAGCAAGAGCTGCTCTGACCTCTGCAAGAACGTCAGCAGCTTCAGTCTATACACCGCCGCTGTTACAGGCTGGTCTGGATATGCAAAGCGGCATGCTTCATGCAGAAGACAAAGACTTCACAACAGCATTCTCCTACTTCATCGAAGCACTCGAAGGTTATCATTCGCAAGATGAAGGGTCTAAGGCGACTTCTGCGCTTCAGTACATGCTTCTTTGTAAAATCATGCTGAATTTGGTGGACGATGTGACATCATTACTGGGGTCAAAGCAGGCCCAAAAATATGCTGGAACGAACCTCGAAGCAATGAAAGCTGTCGCCAGAGCCCATGCAAATCGATCGTTGGAGGAATACGAACAGGCACTATCGGATTACCGGTTCGAACTCGGAAGCGACATCTTCATACGGAACCATTTGAGACGTCTCTACGATGCCATGCTCGAACAAAATCTCATCAAGGTCATTGAGCCATTTAGCAGAGTAGAGATCGACCACATCGCCAAGATGGTTGGTCTTGATACTCAGCAGGTCGAACGAAAGCTATCACAGATGATTCTGGATAAGGTCATCATTGGCGTGTTAGATCAAGGTGCAGGATGTTTGATTGTATACGATGAGCTAGAACGTGATCAGGGTTACGATGCGGCGTTGGAGACCATCGAGAAGCTGAGCAATGTTGTGGATGTCTTGTACACCAACCAGGCATCTTTGCTGGAGTAGAGCAATGGAAACGTGAGGCAATCTGATGAGGATGATCAGCAATCTGTGGTTTTGGCTGGCCGGGATGGCTTGCAGAGCCGCATCATGGGTGATAGCAATTCTGGAGCTACGGTTAAGCTCGAATCGCTTGGCTGGGTTGTCGATGACTGCCGGAATACTTACAACTGCCCCTCCCGAGGCACGCTAGGTCGCATGAAGTTCCTCATTTGAGAGCTCCTTTCGACTGCCGTAAATTTCATGATACCTGATTCACCTTGATGCATACACCTGTTACTCCTTCGAAATCCTTGTGTCAGGGTCCAATCATCTTATTTCCCACGTCTCGGTTATCTGAGGATTTCGCTAATCTACCACTTAACCCCGCCTCATTTACATTTCCCTGACGCCACCGTTCATAGAAGCAGGAAGCAGAGAAACTGTGTGATTGTCGCTCTGAGGAGCTTGCGCGCTTCTTGTTCGCTTACCTAAGAGGGTCTTGAGCTCTGACGCGACAAGATGGGAAAATCGTAAGTGACCCAGCAAGCTGCTGCGCATACACTCTTCACCTTTCCAATCCCTTGGTGGCGGGCTTCTGTCCAGGACGGGACACTGACGTTACCAGTCAATCGAAGCTGTCACCTCAACAGCTGGAGGAACTACAAAAATCTACACACTTTGACAAGAAAGAACTACAGCAGTGGTACAAAGGTTTGTTGGACCTTTGCTGCAATTTCATTATGGAATACTGAGGTCATTGCGAACAGGATTTCTAAAGGACTGTCCGTCAGGTACTCTCACAAAAGAAGAGTTCCAGAAGATTTATCGACAATTTTTTCCTTTTGGTGACCCGAGTTCATTTGCGAATCACGTCTTTAAAGTCTTCGATGCGGACAATAGTGGCACAATCGACTTCAAAGAATTCATCTGTGCGCTTAGTGTCACAAGCAGAGGCAAGATGGAGGACAAGCTGGATTGGGCTTTCCAACTCTATGATATCGACGGCGATGGCAAGATCAGCTATGAAGAGATGCTGCAAATCGTAGAAGCGATATATAAGATGGTAAGCACCTGCGAAAAGAGCATGAAAAAATACTTTGACTGATGCTTACTGAACAGGTTGGGTCTATGGTCAAGTTGCCAGAAGACGAAGATACCCCCGAGAAGCGAGTAAGGAAGATATTCCGGATGATGGACAAGGACGAAAACGGAAGCCTTGATATGGCCGAATTCAAGGAAGGGAGCAAGCGAGATGAGACCATAGTATCGGCGCTTTCACTTTATGATGGTTTGGTCTGACTTGCTATACCCATGATGCACCTTTTTGAGCTCGCGGGCTCCTTATGTACCTGGCTTTTCTGGAGCCCTGACGACCTTGAGAGATGAATTGTTATTGCTTTGCATGGTGTAGGTTCAATTGAAGGTTTATGACGGCCAATACACGTGGAAGCCGGAGACAATGCTCCTGTTAAGCGGTGGAGATCTTGATCCATCTTGACTATTCTACCAGGTAGTACCATAATTATGTGCCCATAGGTGTAGGAAAGATCGAGTTGAATGTTACGGGCCTAACCTACTAAGGTCGCCAATATCCCAAAGCACGTCCTTCAAAGCCTCTCTTTGGTAGGAGTGGCGAAAGATGGTAAGAAGCAGAAATCACCCTTCTCTGGATTGAAGTTTGAACGGGCGCCAGCTTTATTTCTATGTACCTATGTGTGCTTTGCTATTTGTGAGATGAAGGATTATGGTTCATATCGTCTCTAAGTAGATTAGCAGAGTCATATCAATATGTCTCTTCTCCGAATCTGGTGCCAAGGGTTGGTAAATCCACGACCAGCTCACCCCGCTTTGGGAAGATGCCCCCCCCCCCCCGGGGCGCCTGAACTACGGTAGGAGGCATACCTAGTGCAGTGGTAACAGCTTTTAACGCCAAGATAGAACGCCACATAATCGCTCGATTGGGCCTAATCTACTATCTATCTAATATCGAGTGTGCATCCGATTGGCAACTATAACTGCCTGGCATCTTGGTTGATTGACAACGCGTCGAACGCGTTGAACGCGTGGAATGACCCCCAGGGTGGTACGTCATTCGTACAAGCGCGACAAGGGTATCCGTATGAACGTCGTTAAATATTAAATTTACAAGGGGGTTGAGGGTTACATTTAATAGTTATGCATCCTATCGTAGCAAGCCTTCACACTATGACTCAGTCACCAAGAGGGCCAGAAAACCTGCCGTCTTGGCGGACAGTGCGAAACTGGTCCTCTTTACTACTACCTGGTGACCCCAGTGTTCGAGTGATTGTTGTTTTTACGCCCAAAGCTACCAGCGAGACTGGTGTGTTCGGAGTGCAGTTCCACACAAAAACAGATTGTCCTTTCTGAAGAAATACCTTGACAATTGCTGCGTCCATACATCCGAGATCAAGGATAGAAACAGAATCTACCAGAACCTCGTGTGTGGTACTATCAGCAGTTGAGTTAGTCATAGTCGAGCGGCACAAATATCATCTGAGATTTGATACGACTGCTTTCTGTAAGGTGGAAGTGCTTCCGGTCGTACTTTGACTCTGGCACCAGAACAAATGTCGTGCAGCCACAACAATATAGTGAGAAAAGGAATTGAGCAGCTGCGCCGGCCCCTGCTGCTTTCAACGAGGGTTTGCGATGACCACCCGCAGCTTCAAACTCGTATCTATGTAGTAAGCACTCGTCCGAACCGTTATCTAAGCGCCGGAAAGGCACATTGGCCGCGCCATCTTGCCATTGAGAGACCAATTATTAGCAATCGGATGAGAGACTAATACGATGCTTACATTTTGCTGAGAAATGCCTTAAAAGGACATTGGAAGGGTATAAAAAGCCCCTTCCTTCCAATCCTTAGACGTTCTGCCCTATTTCTTCACAATCCTGAATCTATCTACATGCCATTAGAGCCTAGTTCACTCCCATACACACACATCAAATAAAAGCAAATTATGAAGGTAGCTATCGCAGGTACAAGCAATGTTGCCCAGTATCTAATCGAGGAGCTTACAACATATGGACACGACGTAATAGTACTCACGCGGAATCCAAAGCGCGAGGAGAAGAAAGTTGAGCACCGAGTAACCGACTATAGCGTTGCATCCCTCGTTGCTGTCTTGAAAGACTGCGATGCATTAGTGTCGACAATTGCAGATTTCAGCAACCCTCCTGCGGCAACCGAAATCCACTTCAACATGCTTGAAGCATGCATACAATCGAGGAAATGCAAAACCTTTATCCCATCAGAATGGACTCACAACGTCGAAGATTATCCCGAGCAGCCGATGTTTCTTGCTGACGCCAATAAAGCGCTACATCAGAGACTCAAAGAGGAGATGAGCATTAGATGGACGATCATCTGCAATTCATGGTTTACAGACTATGTTGTAAGAAAGTCACAACGCTATTTACGTGACCTGGGTCCTCTCTGGCCAATGGATTTTTCAAGCAAGGTCTTTACTATTTATGGGCCCGGGACCCAGATAATAGATCTCACACCTGTTCGAGATGTCGCTAAGGCTGTCGCGGTGCTGATCGACAGTAAAGAACCCTGGGAGCAACATACCTATCTCTCGGGCGATCAGCTTTCGTGGAATGATCTGTTTGCGATCATAAAGAGGCGGGATCCAGAGTGGACGAGCCAGAACAAGCCACTAGCGAACACGATCCATCAAATTACCGCCAATGAATCACCTGAGAGCGTTTTCCTGGGCCATTTCGAGATATTAAGCTACTCTGGGGCGCTGGCGCTTCCGAAGGAGAAAGTTCTAAGGCAACGTTCTAAATACTTTCAAGACATCCACTTCCGTACGGTTGATGAAATTCTAGAGACCGCAGCAGCACGAGATGGGATTGTCTAGTTAGCAGACTATGTGCAGAATACCTCGATGTCAATCATCAATCAACTGGTTCAATATATATATGTGTACTTTTTAACTAATTACTTAATAGTTTAGAGAGTTTAGGGTTAACATAACACAAGAATGAGTTTATTCTTATTCTGTTATATCATCTCTATTAGATTAATTATTAAGCCATGGGCTTAATGGTGAAAAGAGACCTCAAAGCAGAAGTTTTGTGTAAGTCTGATTCACTGATTGGTTATGATCATTGATCGGTGACCTACCGCTACACTAACTTATGTTGCTGGGGTGCCAGTACAGACGGGCAGGAGAGTCATCTCCGTGTGAGCCTGACATTAATCCACCGTTAAGTTTAAGTATGAGAGGACAACCAAGTGTTCAAAATTTTAAGTACAGCTATCTTTGTAGAAGTTGTATAATGTTCAGTTGAAAATGCGCCTTTTAGTATAAAGTTGGGGTTAAGTCAGATTCAAACTTTTGAACTGGTATTGTACTAAGCAGATGATACGCTGTACGAATCGCTTGCGGGTAACAGGATGAACAAGTACACAATGACAGCCTTCTGTTCGATATAAGATAGAACGCTGGCCCGCAAAGTTTTCTCCTAGACCAGCTTGCTACGTATATCTACGCGCCAAGAGACTCTCTCAGCGCTGGGCACAAGGTCACATCCTAACATTGAACAAATCTTCTCACCGAACAGAATAAGAGCCCTCTATTTTCTTGCCTTGCGTGCTGCATCACTAATTTGCGACATTACAAGTAGCTGCAATGATAATCAATTCAGCAAGCTGCTAGAAACAGCTTGTGGGCATTCCTCCACATGTTCACAATGCGGAAAACAGCTCTTCGGAATTCTGAGACGCTGAAAGCGATTCTATTAGTGGCATTGTCATCATACTCGACAGCATTCTATCTACCTGGTGTCGCACCGTCCTCCTACACCTTCGATGCTATCGTACCTCTCCACGTTAATGCGCTCACTCCAGCAATCGCGCAACGAGATGATCAGCTACATGCCATCGTGTCTTTTGATTATTATCACCATGCCTTTCGATTTTGTCGTCCTGAAAATGGCCCGGAGTGGGTGCGGGAGTCGTTGGGCAGCATAATATTTGGTGACAGGATTCAGACATCTCCATTCCAGTTGCATATGGCACGGAACGAGACATGCAAGGCCTTGTGTGAAACCCAAAAGTTCGATGCAAGAAGCGCAAAATTTGTCAACCGCAAGATCTGGCAGGGATACGACATTAATTGGCTGGTCGACGGTTTGCCAGCTGCCCAATTGCTCCAAGATCCTCTTACCCAAGAGCTGTTCCGCAGTCCTGGATTTCCCCTGGGACAATTCGACAAAAATGGTCAAACATTATTGAACAATCATTGGGAAATTCTCATCGACATTCACAAGGCTGGTATCACTGGCAAACAGTACCGTGTTGTGGGAATACTTGTGCAACCAGAATCATACAGAGACTCGAAAGTTCTTGGTGACGGAAAAGCTGAGTGTGGCGATTCCTCACAGCCACTGATCCTCAATGAAGATGGCGAGACACCGGTGACATGGACCTATAGTGTATACTGGAGGCTGTCTGATACGGCATGGGCGACAAGATGGGATGAATATCTCCACGTTTACGACCCCAAGATACATTGGTTCTCGCTCATCAATTCTTCCATTTTCGTGGTCTTGCTGGTGGGTATGGTCAGCATGATCCTCCTTAGAGCCCTTAGGAAAGACATAGAAAGGTACAATCGTCTGGACTCTTACAACCTTGATGACCTGACTGGTACCTCGGCAGTGGTTGAGGATGGAGTCCAAGAAGACTCTGGTTGGAAGCTGGTACATGGAGATGTCTTTCGAAGTGCTCGGTATCCACTGCTTCTTAGCGTTCTCCTCGGCAATGGAGCTCAACTTTTCATCATGACAGGTCTGACTCTTGTCTTTGCGCTGCTCGGATTCCTCTCTCCGTCTAACCGCGGCTTCCTGGCCACTGTCATTCTTCTCTTGTACACCATTTTCGGATTTGTGGGTGGATACGTCTCGTCTCGTGCCTACAAAACTTTTGGCGGTGAGCGATGGAAGCTCAACATCATTCTCACGCCAGTCCTGGTTCCGGTCATCGTTTTCACCACATTCTTCTTCCTCAACCTGTGGGTGTGGGGAAAGGGCTCGAGCGGAGCAGTACCGCTGACTACGATGATCGCGATCGTTGCTATCTGGTTCATCATCAGTGTTCCGCTGAGCGCCGCTGGAAGCTGGCTCGCTTTCAAGCAACTGGCGTTTTCCACGCCGACCAAGGTCAACCAGATTCCTCGACAGATACCTCCGTGTGCCCGCTCACTTCGGCCGCTCCCATCGCTGCTCATGACGGGAGTTCTCCCTTTCGGCGCAATATTCGTGGAGCTGTATTTCATCATGAGTTCTCTGTGGACCGGCAAGATTTATTACATGTTCGGTTTTCTCTTCATCTGCTACGCACTAATGATTATCACAACTGCCTGTACCACAATTCTTCTCGTATACTTCCTGCTTTGTGCTGAGGACTACAGATGGCATTGGCGAGCATTTTTGGGAGCCGGGATGACAGGTGTATATGTCTTCATCATGGCGCTGGGTTTCTGGATGATGAGAGTCAGCTTCGGGGGTTTAACGGGAGCCGTGCTCTATGTAGGATATTCTGCTCTGGTTGGCTTCTTGGTGTTCGTTTTGACCGGTAAAGATCCTGTCTTGTGATGTTCGACCGCATGCTAACGTGACTGCTGCGCAGGATCGATCGGATACCTAGCCTCCTATGCTTTCGTACAGCGCATTTACGGATCAATCAAAGTCGACTAAATAAGCATCATCTCGAGCGATGGCGTTGATGTATAACTTGTATCCAAGACTGCTACAAAGGGATTTATTGACCAACACGGAAATTGTGTCTGTGAACTTTTGGGCTAGCGTCTACATTTTCTATTATAACCCATGCCCGGATGACATGACCGCAATCACAAGAAGGCCCTCTGAATCTTTGGTTGGGCTTCTGGATCCGGCTGTCAAGCCACCTACGTAACTGACACCCGTAAAATTGGACCCGACACTTTTTTGAACCTCTGATGTCTCACAATTTTAGGTTGTGGGTACTCGTGATCAAAGACTATGAGGTGAACGGGCAGTTTTAGTCTATCCGACCAGAGAGGATTCGCAGCCAGGGATGTGCAAAGGGATTTTGGTGGCCCTAAGGATCTTGACACAATCATATCGCCCTCCGAACAGCAGCCGAGTCGATCTGCCGTTCGATGCATCCGCCGTTGAAGTATATAGCCAAAGAAATGCCTGCATTAATCAACCGTTGCGTCCATGTACATACTGTATGCTATTGTAGTAACCATAGGGGGTAGTAGGATAGAAATATTGTGGATTAGTATATTGTTGTCATAAGATCCAACCTGAGCATTTCATTGTCTCAGCGTTGACACTAAATTAAGTCCGACATAGCAGTTGAAGCTTCGTCCCCTGCCTATATTGTGAATTAATGCTGTAGTCAGATCGTCCTCCGTCCTGCCCCTCGCTGGTCAGTCTGGTGGATGTCCTTCTTCCTTATGCAGGCTGCGTTCTGCTCGCCGGTGCTGGTCATGGTCTTCCATTGTGCTGGTGGTGCGATCATCGTCATAAGTTCAGGTCACACTACTTGCTCAGCGCCTGCCTCAGTCCCAAGAACACCGCTCTACTCGACAAGCACAATGATACCTTCGAGCCTCCATGACTAGGTCTGGGTTTTGAAGTCTACAGAACACAAGGAGGAGAGGGGATGCGGTTATTGTCGTTGCAAATTCTGTCATTCAGCCAACTCGGGTGGAGATCGGCGGCAGGTCCTCACGGTCTTAGTCGAATCAGCACACACAACCACAGACGCTCAAGGACTGTCAATTTCGCCAGCGTACGCAGATACCATAGAGCACCCGACCTCGGACCATTGTGCGATGCCTGCAGACAACAACCAACTCGAGACAACACAACAGGCACAGGGAATTCTACGAGGCAATACAATTGAAGGGCTACGGAAGAGGATGGAGGATGCGCTGGCCGACCAGCAGAAAAAGCGTGACCATATGTCCACAAGCGAGCCTCCGTTTTTACCAAGGAGTATTGCGGTACGACGAAGTGTCTCCGAGCATCCAAATTCTTCTGGAGAATCTGTCCAGGCGGTCGCTACTGGTTCAACAGAGTCGGTGGGAACCGTAAAGGGTGCAAATGTTGCTACACCAGGCGCTGTTCGCACGCCATCTTATCCTTTCCCCCGCATGGCCCTACGCCTTCCAAGAGGCCAAAGCCAGCTCTCAGGACCTCGACACAAGCCATTTACACTTCTCTCCCCTACAAACGTCCCTCAGCCAGGTGATATACGATCAACTCCAGCGGACCTGTCCTCGTCTGAGCCAGGCACCCCATTGCATCGACAAGATTTTCAATCGGGTCCAAGAGATGATGAAATCCCGGACGACCCCGACTATCCCCTCCCTGACCTTTATGACTTGGTACTTTTGCTCAATGCGGAGCCGGGCTTGGACGCGTGGTGGACAAGCGTGACAGAAATATTGGCCGAGGCTTATGGAGCGGAGAGAGCATCCCTTGCGGTGCCGGGAGATATGACAGATCTCGAAAACGTGCCATGGGGTCAGAAGGCTTCTTTCAATCTGCTCGGTGTTGATCACTCTGACTCCTCTCTTCTCGAGTCAACGGTAGGCTCAGAGCATGCGGGAGGTCGAGAGCAAGATCAATTACCTAGCAAGCGTGCCGAGGATACGCAAAGTGGAACGCATCTGAAGCTGCAACTCAGAGCAGACCTGAAACGACCACTCCTACAAAGCCGACATTCGATTGCTGGTGTAACACCAGACACCATGACAAAGACTTCTCAGCAGAGACCTCCCGGACCCATTCGTGCTATATCTGGACGTAACGAAATTGCGGCACTAGAAGCGCATCGGGCTGTTGAAGATATCCTACCGCATTCTGGTACCATAGTAGAGGAGCCAGCAACGGCTGCTGACTCTATGGGTTACTCTTCCGAGTCGGCCTCTCAGAGCACCAAGGCGGTGGTGTACGAAGCTCTCCGCGCTTTGGAGTCGGAACAAGACCCTCTCATCGTAAGGACGGGTGTCACGGCCTTATTCGGTAAGCGTAGGCCAGTTGTCATGACCAGGTCCTTCGCAGACAGCCCGGTATCACCCGGCCTCTCAAAATCTTCAGAGAGACAAAAGGGAGACGATAACAGCGTTCGTCAAAGCCGGCACAGGAATCGTACGCAACCACAGAAAGCCTCAGAGGTAGGCACTTCAAGGCTCCTGACACTTGAGAAGCCTAGCCTTTTACGTCGATATGAAGAATCCGAGCAACCAGAGCCAAGTCCATGGAGTCAGAGCCCGCATCCTTCGCCTGCTGCCCGGGCCGATCCTTCTGAGTCACCATTCTTTACTCATTCTGCGCATGTAGATGAAACAGCCTTTAATTCTGAACCTACAGCATATGATTATTCAGTCAATCAACCAGTGGTAGCAATCGGGACGGATTGTTCTAAAAGCTTGATCCACATACCTCTCATTCAACCAGTGCCATCCCGGCGACCTCTTTCTTCGAACTTGAGGTTCCCAACCGCGATCATTTCTTTGCTCAGTTCTATCACGCCGTACCCTCCTAGCCTCCGGCACTCTCTAGCTGCTCTTCTACCACATCTTGCCAGTTCCTACTCTTTGGCGCAGCAGTTCACTTCCCTTGAGGCTCAGATACATGTTCGGTCGCCGACTCGCTACAGTAGAGGTCTCGGGCTCGGAGGCACATTCTCAGACGAGAGTTCCGAGCTTGAGCTTGTGGCAGAGCTGAGCGGCCAGATAGCTCGAGTGCCAGGGGAAGAGCTTCGTCGGTCTGCCCATGGGAGTTTGAGGAGCCCTAGCGAGCGATCGACCATCTCTAAGAGTAGCCCCGTTGGCACGCCTGTGCTCGAATCTGCAAGCACAGGATTTACGCCTGGCCTGCCACCCACACCTGGGCGGACTGGTGCCGAAATGGTTGATAGTTATTTCTCTTCAAAGCGCACCAAGCCTGTGGGCCAGCTCCAACATCTTCCAAGAACTCCAGGACCAATAGGAGCTTCGAAGCCTCGACAATCTAGTGCTGAAGAATCGTTTGGCAGGACCAAGAAACAGAAGCCTGCTGGGACTGCCCAACAATTCGCACGGATAAAACCTCCAGTTTCTAAAAGGGCCGGTGCGTCATATCCATCCTCTCCTAGACAGGAAGCTGTACTAGAGCTGCTGGATGGCGAACCGCTACATCTGGAACCAGCGGCTATTGAGGCGCATGACCCCGGTAGCCTTCGTCATCTCTCGATAACGTCGTATAGTACCAATCTTCCTCGAGATCCAGGCGATCGATCTTTACCAGATTCAGTGTCGCAATTACTGTTGAATTCTGTCCCTTTGCAGCTCTTCCTAGCGAAACCCAAAACAGGCGAACTAATATGGACCAACAGTAAGTTCGATGCTTTTAGAACTCAGGCACAGCCCCACGGTGTCCGCAACAAAGATCCGTGGCAGAATATACACGATGCAGATCGACAATCTTTGGTCCGAGGTTGGAATCAGGTTCTAAGGACTGGCGCACAAATGACACAGCACATTCGTGTCAAACGGTTTAGCAATGATAGTGATTACCGATGGTTCATCTTCAGAGCCAATCCTTTGCTTGCTCACACGGGTCAGTTGATATATTGGATCGGGTCGTTCCTTGATGTGCACGATCAGCATGTCGCAGAGACGAAGGCTGCCGAGGAAAGAGATACTCTTCTCCGCAACGCGAAATACCAGGCACTAGCCAATTCTATTCCCCAGATTCTGTTTGAGGCTGTGGAAAACGTCGGCATAGTCTCGGCAAATGAGCAATGGCAAACTTTCTCAGGCCAATCGCTTGAGGAAGCGCTGAATCTGGGCTTCACAAAGCATGTACATCGCGATGATCTGGAGAAATGTGGTATCATATCGGCTTCTCAAGGTAACGACAGCACCAGGGAGAGTGCGTCGGGTTCGAGTGGGGTTTCCGACAAAACAATTACCCAGGGACGCCACGAACCACGATCCCCTGCAGATGCTCTTTCCTTGACAAGCCTTGTGCAGAAGGGTGTTGTCACGATAGAGCAGGACGAGAATGGGCGGATATCATACTCCACCGAAATCAGGCTACGCTCGCGTGGCGGTGAGTTTCGTTGGTTCCTTGTGCGTCTCGTGAAGGTCGAGTCCGATCTCTTGAACGGCGGCCGTGCATCGTGGTATGGCACCTGTACAGACATCAACGACCGACGCGCGCTCGAAAAGGAACTCAATAGAGTCAATCAGAGAATGCAACTTGAAATGGAGTCCAAGACGAAATTCTTTGCGAACATGTCGCATGAGATCCGTACTCCTCTTAACGGTATCTTGGGTAGCATTCCCTGGTTGGTGGAGTCCTCCTTGGAGCCTGATCAACGGCGTACACTTGACACGATTCAAAACAGCTCCAACAACCTGCGCGAGCTTGTGGACAACATTTTAGATGTTACGAAAGTTGAAGCAGGCAAGATGAGGCTGGCTTTCAAGTGGTTCCACATTAGGACTCTGTTGGAAGAAATCATTGACACCATCGCACCCCGTGCGATTGACAAAGGCTTGCAGCTTAACTATACTGTGGACATGAACGTCCCCTCCACTGTCAGAGGTGACCCGTTTCGGATCCGGCAGATGTTGATCAATTTGATGGGGAATGCAGTGAAGTTTACGGATCTCGGAGAGGTATACACGAGATGTTACGTGAAAGAGCCAGCGGAGGGCCAAGCGGTCCAGCCAAACATAGCATATATTGCTTTTGAAGTCATCGATACTGGTAGGGGCTTTAGCGAAACGGAATTTCAGTGGCTTTTCAAGCAGTTCGGGCAGATATTGGGCTCCAGTAATCACGATGCAGGTTCTGGCCTGGGTCTGTTCTTGTCGAAACAGCTTGTGGAGCTACATGGCGGCCAGATGAGCGCCACCAGTGAAGTGAACCAAGGCTCCACATTCAGCTTCTTTGTCCGGGTGGAAATTCCTTCAGGGGACTCTCCGGGCTCACCGTCCGCTACACGGCCCGGCAGTCAAAGGGCCAGTCTATCGGAAACAGCCCGCACGTCTTCGAACCCAGGGCTCGAAAGCAGGTTACCAGCACGACAGGGGATCATTCAGTCGCCTGGACTTTCGAAGTATGTAGCATCACCAGAAACGCAATCTCCTGCTCCGGCATCTTCTGGCAGCTCAGATCCATCGATTCATTCTTTCTCGGGCCATCAGACCGATCGGTCCTCCGTATCCTCTCTCCTTCCCACCCCCGAGTATGCCAAAGTAGACGCTTCCGGGTGGCGACAAAACTCCAGACTAAGCGAAAGGCAAGCCCTGACCGACAGTGCCATCGAGGCTTTTCCCGCAACGCGACGGTCAAGGAGCATTGACAACGGTAAAAACTTCTCAACGAAATCTCTTTCCGCAATACATCCAACCATTTACTCTATTGTTGTTATATGTCCAGCACAGTACGCTCGAGCCGCCGTCAAGCAGCATATAGAGCAAGTCGTCCCTTATCAGATTGCCGTCAATGTCACGACCTTGAGCGCCATTCAAGAATTTCTAGATCTCTTGAATGGCGCAACTACGCCTGTGTTTACGCATGTCGTCCTAGATCTGCCGATCAGTCATGACCTGATGCTGTTCATGCGCCAAATGCTGACTTTCAACGCGACTATCATACCCATTTTAGTGATCATTACTGACCACTACCAAAAACGTGACATCGCAGATGAATATTCTGCCTTGACGAAGGCAGGCCGGGTTGCATATATGGTGCACAAACCAGTGAAACCGTCTGTGTTTGCGTTGATCTTCGATCCGGCGCAACAACGAAACTTGAGCAAAGATCGTAACCGGGATATCGCTCAGTCTGTGACCGAGACCTTCAAGAACGTGGCAGATCGGGTCAAGAGCACATTTAGTGGAAAAGGCTATCGGATACTGCTCGTGGAAGACAGCGAGGTCAATCGGAACGTAAGTACATCAGAAATGCCAGAGAAACAATTTGACTGACATGCACTAGGTCATACTACGATACTTGAAGAAAGTCGAAGTTGCAAGCGAGACAGCGACGAATGGTCAAGAATGTCTGGACATGGTCTTCTCTAAGCAACCAGGATATTATTCACTTATACTTGTAAGTGGCATCCGGCCGTGTGACTGCGAGAAAGTACTTTACTAATGAGTTTCAGTGCGATATTCAAATGCCGATAAAGAATGGTTACGACACTTGCCGTGAGCTTCGACAATGGGAAGCTAGCCACAACTTGGCCTCTACACCAGTGATGGCTTTGACCGCCAATGCTATGCCCGAAGAACGGGCTGCCGCGGCCAGGGCTGGCTTCACCGATTACCTGACGAAACCGGTGGATTTCAACACTCTGGGGACAATGATGATGACGCTGCTTGATCCAAAGAAACCTCATATTTTTCTGCGGGACCGACGGGACCGGGCCGGAAGTTGAAGGGATTCCCTGTTGACTTCAGACCAGTAGTGAGCGATGTAAAGAGAAGCACTGCCTGCATTTTCGGGAGGTGTACGAGGTATACCCAAAAGGTAATGGTTTGCACAGATGGCGGAGTTAGCAGAGAGCTGGGAGCAGGCCATAGCACGATCAGATGTCTGCATGAGCGGCGCTATATTTCCTGTTGTTGTTATAGGTGGGCAATATCCTTATGTCGGGCGCGAGGCGCTGATAGGTTTGGTGGGCAGCAGAGCACAGAGCGGCGAATTCGGATTGGCCAGAGCCTTCATGACTAATCATATCTGCATTCGCCTGAGGCAGCCATAGTAGTAAGAGACATGTAACACATGTTACCTTGATGGGTGCTGGAAGGATGGCCTTGTAGGCCTCTCTAACCCACCGATCCATTCTTGCTGCCTCAATTGACGGGCATGTGTCTCCCTGAATTAGTGCCGGCCAGCACATAGTGCGCATGTCCGAGTTGAAGTTGCATGCCGGGGACATGTCAGAAGCGTAGAGTTGATGTCTGGAGCAGATCCTAATCCCATTCCCTATACAATTAGTCAGGGTAGCCTCATGTAGCAGCGACTGCTGGGCAGAAGGTGGGAAAGTCCACTGTCAACACATGAGCCATGATCACAGCGAGTGGATCAAGGCCGCCAGAAGTGACCAGCCATGTGCACTGGGCCGTACATTCAAAGCAGATCCTGCTGTGTTCTCTACTCCCCTCTCTCCGGCTCGCAATCTCACGTCAAGGTGTCCGGAACGAGTGGCAGCAGATTGTTGACAGCCTCAGTACATTACTATGTGGGCAATGGGTGTCTTAGCACTGTATGCAGCCTCCTCTTTAGCGTGGTTGATTTTCCATCGCCGCTTTCAGCAACATCACAATCCCGTAGACTTCCATGCCACGCACCAGCGGTCGCCTTCAACGCCTTTCAAATCCTCTGGCCCAACGACAATGCCCCATTCCGCCCCTAGATCCCGAGGCTAATGCTCGTGAAGAATTGAATTCTGCAATCGCACCAATCGCTTCTGCAGTCCTAAGCCCCCAATCCCCTGTGCACTCCGGCCAGGCATTTCCGCCGTGCCAGGGCTAATTCACGCATGGAGGGCAACCCTCGACGATCGTTGGACGATCTCAGCGTGTGCCGGGCAGCGCGGCCACCGGGCTCCCACAGACGAGGACTAGTCTCTTGCTCAATGAGCAGCACTGCTGGATCATATTGGCCTGCTGGAGCGGGGTCGGCAGAGGGATGAGATACGGATGCGATAGGTCCGGGCCTGGACGGTGAGATGGCCAGCTCGTCATGGGACAACTGGCATCCGGACCCACTGGGAAAGGGTATAAAAGGGAGTTCTTTTTCCTGTCGAGCCCCTTTCTCTCCTTCTTCCTTTTCCATCACTTCTTCAGTATCTGTCTTGAGCCTTCTCCACCACACAAATACATTCAGCCTTCAGCTCATACCACTTGCCATCCATACCTGCCCCATACTTCCTGCTTGGTGCTACTGGTCTTCCATCACTTCCATCTCTTGTATCTTACCACTGTCTCCTGTCGCCGTCATCCCCAAGATAGCCTTGGCAACATTTTAGTTACTTCGATACTTCTACATCTTCAGGCACAACATTCAAAATGGCTGCCGCAGCCCGTCGTCAATACTCCTACGCTGCTGCGCCCCAAAAGACTCTCCCTATCACAATGCCGTCCAAAGCACCTGCCTATCACTATCCAGTCTCTCGCATTGCCATGTCTCCCCCAGAGATGTCAGATTCCAGCACCACCTACAGCGGCAGCCGATCGAGTGGCCAGTCTTACAGCGCGCGATCGAGCAATTACGCCGCAAGTCAAAGCAGCGACTACGAGAGCTACAATTCGACGTCCGGCGTTGATGTTGTGGATATGCTTAGCGAACGGATGAATTCTGCATTCGAGCCAATCCGCATGGACAAATCGCTTGCCAAGCAAGCGCAGACGTGAGTACTGTTTTCCCGCCCCGCTACGATCTCTGATTGGTGCGGAAATTATCGTTGATCCCGAAACATGAACGACGCCACACCGTCACCTGCGGATGATTGTTTTTGCATATTACGAGAATTACGCTGATGTGCCCTTTGCAGATCTGGCCAGCTTAACGCTAAACAGCGTGAATTAGCGGAATTGCAAGCAATGGCTCAGCGTCGCCTTAAGGGTGCACGTAAAAATTTTGACGAAGGCATGCAAGCTGCTCGCGAAACGCGACGAGATATCGACTACATCAAAGGCAAAACCACGTAAGTCTCTTGGACATACCAATTGCATTTTTTCTCAACCACCGTCCTGCCGCTGCCGTCAAACAAAGATGTTCCGCGAATTTGTGGCACTGATTCTTGGGGATAGGTCGATGAAAGCGAAAGCCGAACGAAGAAACCCAGAAGCTTATGCCAAAGCCAGCAGGCGAAGTTACGACGATTATTAGAGGTTTCGCGCATACCGTCTCCCTACGCTCTCCTACCAATTCTCTACTTTGCGGGTGTTCATCCATTGCTGGAGTGCGGGGCGTTCATTGTGATTTTGTGCCCTTTTGGTTTCTGACGACAAAATTGTGCCTACTACTGTTTGAACGTCGGCTGCGGTAAGAAAAGGCCTGTGGCGACATCTTTGTGGTTGGTGTGCCGCGCTTGGATGGTGGTTGTGATTACTGGTTGATTCCACCCTGCAAGGCTGAAGGTGGTCTCCGCCCCGCCCGCCATTTTCCTTAGTGTCTGTCGCTGCTTTTGAGATTGCGCGCTTGTCCCCGCTTGCGATATACGCTATCTGCCGACGATCTACGCTGCAGTTGCGGAGCACGCCGGGTGTGATAGCATGACTTGCATTGCATCGGATCTGCAGCCTTCGAACAGGGAAAAGTCTCCGGTGTTCTGGGACTGGCTCGGTCGGCCCTTCTTTGTGCGCTGTGGGATGGCTGGCAGGGCGTCCGATTCGCTGGAATTCGGTCAAGCTGTCCTCGCGAGGGTTGCTCGAGTGGGACAGCGGATCAGATCTACTGCACACGTGCCATAGTTTGTCCGGGGTGGCAAACAAATGGACTAGACCAGATTCGGCAACTCTGGGAGCATCAGGGCGAGGAGGATTATCTGCCTGGCTCATTCGCCTGCTCTTGCTCTCCTCTGCTTGGTTGCTGCGGGTGGACTGTCTTCTCGCTTGTACCTACCTCAGTTATGGAAATCTGTCTCGTGAATTGAAAGTTCGTTGTACCAAAATGTCCGGCAAGAATTGGATGAAGTCCGAGACGACCCGGCCCTTTATTAGTTTCGAAAGGGTTTCCTGCTTGACGGGTGGTACTGGGCATACACCAAGGTGGCCAAACCTGAAGCCCATAAGGTGCGGAGAGCATATCTCTTTTCCTCGCTTAAGCCGTAGCTATGCTTCGTCCCACTTAAGTACCCCGGGTGACGGCTTCGAGTGCCCGTAAGGAAGTTAGCATGGTCAGTAGCCAGTCCTCATCCCAGAAACTGTTAGATTGGAGCACGAGATCGGGTTGTCCCAAGCCCCGAGCCCCTAAAGCGAAGACCCAAGACCCAAGACCCAAGACTTCTCACATGATTGCCTGCTTATTATAACTCTACTATGAGTCTCTTCTCTGCCCGCAAATGGGCACCGACATGCTAGTTTCCCCTCTAAACGTCTTGTCTTTCTACACAACCGACGACTTCGAAGCTTGATAGCAAGTAGTACGGAGTACACTGACGTTAGGAGAGGTCTTGGCTAGAACCAGACATCTAATTTCCACCATCTAGCAGTCTACGAGATCCTACTTTTCCACTAGAGCTCTCATTTGCAACTCGAGTATCCGTCACCAATGAAGTCAAGTCAGCCATCAGTGTATAGTTTATGGTTTCCCACTTGGACTTGAACTAGCAACTTCCTACCTCACCCTTGGAGCTGGTCCGTCGAACTTCTGTGGCTTTTCAGCCCCTTGAGCACTCTAACTTGCTCTCAAGTTACATTGCTTGTTGTCGCCGTGTTGATTCGACGGATGGATAGCAGATGAGAAAATGCTCTACGCGATGGACTCTACTGATTTATATTCTGTCAAAGTGGAACTCATCTCAACATCAAGCTTCTTATTCTTCTCACCTCTTGCCTCGCAGGTCAAGCTATTCGGTACCAGGCTTTCTTGTCTTTCAGCTGGGTTGAGAGCTTGTAAGGACCTTCTAACCCTAGCAGCGAAGAACAAGATATCAGTTCAAGGCGGGGTTTTGTTGAGGCACAGATTTGGTTGAAGCTGACTCATGAAATCCTTAGGAGGACATCCGTCTGCGCAACAATCTGGTGGCGATTGAATGCTGAATGACGCTCATAACAGGAAGGCTTGTTGTTGGCAAAGGACCTATTGGTCACACGAGCAGACATTGTCGATGGATTCTGCAGTACCTTATCAGCCATGATGGACTTTAAACGGATCGTCTATGACTAGAGTTCGAAGTTCCATTTGAGCAACATTGGCAGCAAGCAATCACATGCATGATGTGTTTTACCAAGACCGCCAACACAAGCCTGAGGAGAAGATTGGGCTTCATTTCCAAAATTCTTTGGAACAGCGCGTAACAACATTGGTATTACCATTGCGAACTAATCACCTTACCAATTGCGCGTCGTCTTCCACAAAAACAGCTTTTCCCACTACCAGATGCACCTACCAATGGGCAGTCTGTTTTTCCCATCCAAACCAGATGAGTTCACGTTGCCCCGAGATTGGGTTGTCACCTACGATGCATATCAGGTCGAAGGAATGTTCCCGTGACAATCGTCCCGGGCTGTCGGAAGTAATTACTGATACAGTTTGCTCTACGATATCAATAGGGGGAAACCCATCATTGAAAGATCACCCACCGCGTTTCAGCTGCTCCCTTGCGCTTCAACTGTCAGGATCGAAGGACAAGCCGTTGCCAGCCTTAAACATATAGTTGCCCCTGGAAGGATCCCCCAACGTTTGTTTTCTCCAAGCAACTGCCATATAGCAGATCTTGGGTGAGACCTTAGTCACTGTCTTTGCCATTCCAGCTCTCGAAACCAAGAGGTTAAGGCGTGAGCCCCACATTTAGAGGAGGCTTCCAGCAATAATCGTCGATCCTATGTCAGGAAAGATGCATAAGGCAGACGGTACTTAGTGACTAGGTATGAATGCGCTGGAGAGTCGCCAATATCGATACGGAGTGCGGAAGTATTAGAGTGGATACCCAGTCTGGCAGTTTGTGGCAAGATGACTGTATTTCTTTTCACTTCTTACCAACGAATATTTTGCGCATCACTGTGACACAGGGAGAGATTTTGTGTCGCCCTTGAATGTGACGATGACCTTGTAATACACTTCTGGTAGGTTCATATCCGCCTCTGATATGGATCCCTGCACATATGGGACTTCCAAATGCGCCCTGCATTGCAAGTGAGGTTACTCGTTGCAGTATGCTGCTAGCAGTGCATCCTAAGATAGCAAGACTGGGTGTACTGCTACTTTCGGATGCGTCTAGGACTTGGCTCCTTCCAGATCTCATCGCACCTTCTGCCGTGGTCAAAAGAGCTCTACTGCTCGGTGCCATATCGCCTGGGCGCTGGTAGCAAGATCAGAGATAAAGTCGCGTTTTCTTGGACCAGACAAGTCAGGCCGGGAAGCGATACAGCAGTAAGCTTCGAAAGACCGTACGTATTCGAATCAGAAGGTTGGCAATGACACTTTGTTCTTCAGAATCATCTATGGCATTCAGTTTTCTTTATACTTCGGACCAGACCTAGCGGCTGACGTTATCTGAAAAGCGACAACATGGTCGGAAACTGCAGGCATATGCCACGTTATCATTGGGAGACCATGACTTGGGGCAACTTTTCGCTCACTAGTATGCTCCCCATGAGACAGCCATCAACGCCAGTAAGACCAGAGAGTATGGGAGTCCATGCCCTGCTCTTATTCTCGTCATGCAAAACTACAAGGATATATGTAGCATCACCACCAGTAGCCAATAATGATGTAACTGAATTCTATCTACTCTTCTCTACAGAATCTATCTAAGGAAGAGCAGGCTAATATACTAGGGCGTTTAGAGTCACGTGACAGAGACCTTGGCACTGTGCTCTGCCACTGCACTCCTTAGCAGGAGAAGGCCCTCTGAAAAACTATGCCTAAATTACCATCAATGTGTGCTTAGTCTTCAGTCCCACCATGATATGATCTGGTTTACATAAAATTATGCAGCTAAACATCTAAGATCTAATTAAATTATGTTCTTTCAGGTGTCATCCTAAGGAAATGATAATCAAATTATAGCTAAATTATGGTCATTTGAGCCTCCTGACGATCCTTAGAATAATAAAACGCCTACTAAAATCACTAAGGACCAATACCGCGTCATTTCAGAGCCCTTCTCCCGGTGAGTATTCTAACAGATAAAACCCTACGCCGTTAGAGGATAGAGATCATTGGCATAGCAATAGACCTGGATAATTCGCCCATTCGCGCAGTCTTGACTGTCAGACCGTATGAGCGCTCATTGGCCAGTTATTCTATGCGTCATCCCTGCGTTTCGCCTGCTTTTGATTGGTCAATCTCTCCCAAAATTTCGCTTCTAATTTCGCTGACGGTACGGCGAAATTTGTACGTATATCTAGGCACGCTGCCCCTAAATAGATAGAACAAACTTGCTTTCTGCGGCCATCTCTGCAGACTGTTACACAACAATATATGTCTCTACCAGGCGTGCCTCTCGTGTATGCACTCTACGGACGCAGACCAGCAGGACAGCAAGGACTCGGTGGCCCACCTCTTGCTTGGCAGTGCCGACATTTACGGGTCCTTGAAGAGCTGTTGGATCAAAAAGACCGCAGCCCTCAGAGGATGGTAAACTAGCTTACGTAGTATGTCTGACAGAGCCACATCATACTAACCACCTTACATTCCAAAGTGAGCCTAGTTAGCTGGATCGAGATAGACCTTGGATCTTTACTACGTACAGATCCCACCGAGCAGCTGCAAGGTTGCCAGTCCTCGTGCGGGGTGCGTGGGGTTTTGGTCGATCCGAGTACCCTTTGGCTTCATGAATCATGCCATGAGTACTGCTGGATGGTGTTCGTGTGAGTTTGCCACCAGGCGGTGTCAGAACAACCGAACAGCACTCTTGGTCGCTTACGCAGCCTCTTCGCAGAAGGAAGAGTTGAGTGGTATATGTTCTGCGTGCTGCGCTCAGTCGCTTCGTTCTGATCGGCACGGCCAATGATGTGCATTACCAAATCAAGAATTCCTGCTATATCCTTCCCTTCATAGATTACCATAGCGAAGAATCTAGTCGGAGGAACTCTTGAATCAAAGGCCATGGCTCCACCACCCACTTCAGAGGTGGATTGTCTCATTGTTGGTGCAGGTCCTGCAGGCTTGATGGCAGCCACGTGGATGTCTCGTTGCGGTATCAAAACTAGGATCGTTGACAAAAGAGGTACAAAGGTTTTCAACGGGCAAGCGGACGGTCTCCAATGCAGGACTCTTGAGATCTTCGATTCTTTTGACTTTGCGCATCGCGCGTGGCGAGAGTCTAACCACATGTTGGAGATCTGTCTTTGGAACCCAAACGACCAAGGTGTCATTCGAAGGTCGGACCGCATTCCTGATACCATTCCCGGTATCAGTAGATTTCAGCAAGTCGTCCTGCACCAAGGGCGGATTGAACGGTTTTTCTTGGATTCGATCAAGGAGCACAGTAACATCCAAGTCGAGCGTGGTGTCCTCCCAGAAAGACTGGAATTTGATGCTTCGAAAGCAGAGGACGAGGATGCGTACCCAATCACGGTGACATTGAGACATCTAACCGACGAGGAAGCTACACCGCATCAAGATCTGAGCAGTACTGCGACCAACCAGGCTTTGAACGGCAGTGCGCCTCAGAATGGAATGTTCAGGAGTAACCTTGCTGCCGATGATACCGATGATCTGATCCGGAAAGCCAGAGCTGAAGCTGGGTCTACTGAAATCGTCAAAGCTAAATACATGATCGGTTGCGATGGAGCCCATTCGTGGACAAGGCGGCAGATAGGCTTCAAGATGGAGGGTGAGCAGACAGACTATATCTGGTGAGTATATCGGGAAATAGACGACCTGTTGTCGAAGACTGACGCTTCAACTCAGGGGAGTGCTTGACATTATCCCTATCACGAATTTTCGTAAGCCTTTTTCTTCTTACTTGGGTCCTTTAGGGCTGATTGTTCGCAGCCGATATTCGTATGAGATGCGCAATCCATTCGGCAAACTCAGGCAGCGTCATGGTGATACCAAGAGAGAACAAGCTGGTGCGATTGTACATTCAGATCACTACAACGGAGAAAGATGGGAATCCAGTATGATACGACAAGGATGACAGCGTGTTTCACTTTCTAACGCTATATAGGTCGAACGTGCTAAGATTGGACCACAAATGATCTTAAAGTCAGCACAAAAAATCATGCATCCATACCACTTAACGTACGAATACTGCGATTGGTGGACCGCATACCAAATTGGTCAAAGGGTGGGCTCAAATTTCTCCCTCCACGAACGTGTGTTTCTCGCAGGAGACGCTGTACATACACATTCCCCGAAAGCAGGACAGGGCATGAATGTCAGCATGCAAGACAGTATGTAACCTATGCCTCCTCGTGGCCTGCACTCTCAACCTCTCCATGCTGACAACATGCAGCATTCAATCTAGGCTGGAAGATCGCCTCCGTGCTCAACAAAATCTGCACCCGCTCCATCCTCCAAACTTATCAATCCGAACGCCGCCGTATAGCTCAAGATCTCATCGCCTTCGACCACCGATTTTCCCGTCTCTTCTCTGGCCGACCGGCCAAAGACATCATGGACGAAGAGGGCATCTCCATGGAGGAATTTAAATCAGCTTTCGAGAAAGGGAACATGTTCGCCAGTGGTATCGCGGTTGATTACGGGGCTAGTGTTATTGTTGCGAAAGCGGGCGATCTGGCGGAGCAGGGGGATGGCACAGCTGCAGAAAGCCCAGGGCGGGACGACAAGAACCGAGTTGTGGGAAAGCAAGACCTGGCCGGCGACATCAAAATCGGCATGCGAATGCCAAGTTTTCAAGTCCTCAACCAGGCAGATGCCCGGCCCTCCCAATTCCAAGAACTCCTCAAATCCAACGGGCGGTGGCGCGTCGTCGTCTTCGCTGGCGATCTTCGAGATCCGGAGCAATGGGCCAGATTCACGAGTTTGGGAGAAGCATTAGCCCAGCCTTCCACGCTCTTCTCCCGCTGTAATGCCAGGGCTGGCCCGAATTCGGTCATCGAAGTCCTAACCATCCACTCCGCGCCTCGCACTGCGATCGAGTTGCTGGATCTCCCTGAGATCTTCCACCCTTTTTCAGAGCGAGAAGGCTGGGACTACTGGAAGGTGTTTGTGGATGATGTGTCTTATCATGAGGGGCATGGTCACGCGTATCAGAATTATGGCGTTGATCCAACCAGAGGGTGTTTGGTGGTGCTTAGGCCGGACCAGTATGTTTCTTGGATTGGGGAGTTGGAGGATGTAGGAGAGATGGAGAGGTTCTTTGGCAGGTTCATGCGTGTATCCGCCGCTTAGAGGAGGTGAAGGTAGTGGTAGGTGGTTTATCGTTGCGTCTGCTGATGCGGCTTGCATGTTAGGATGCGCTGGGACGGTGCTGGGGGACGGGTAACTTTCTTATGTATAATTCGATACTACGGGGGGCTGCTATGAGTGACATCTGACTTGGTAGATACGGTAGATACCTGGTCTTGATGAATCTCCTGGTGATTGTATTCCTGCAACACTATTGTCTCCATTCTATTTGATCAGATGAGTAACTGACTACTTAAGCACCCGTAGTAGTTACTGGTATCACAGCATGGTACTATATCATCGCTCACCAAGCTTAGCAAGCAGACGATGGTGGTTTGAGACCATACGGAACTACAGTTTGGTCCCTCGGGACATCTTCTTGCAAAGGCAAACCTTCGTCTGGTGCAGCACAAGACAGAACGGCTGGTTCAGTACCCTACTAACCACTAAGTTAGTACTTCTCCAGGGTAGAAACCCTATGCCATGCTGGCACTGAGCAGTCTCGCTTCTCTTCGTCCCAGTCTGACTTTTGTCAGCTGGCTCTCTGAGGCTGTATAGGTGGGTGGACCATTACAATTACATAGATGGGTGAGAAGCGTGTGCACAGCACTAGTTAAATCCACAAATCCAGGTGCCGGCTTTACAGAAGTAGAGCAGAAGTAGAACAACAACAGCTGGTGCTGGCGGATACTAAGTCAACGATTCTGCGACGCTTGGCGGACGATGATTTTTCTGGAAATCCGCATAGTTATCATCTGTGCGATTTCTATGCGTTACTATACCCCTGCCTTTTGCCTGTTTTTGATTCGTCAATTTCTGCCGCAATGTCGCTGCCATTTGTGCTTATTTCTGCGCGCCGCCCTGCGCCTTTTCTGAGAGAGAACAGTGCCATTTCTTCTACCTGCTTGACATCATCTGATACTTGTTATTTAGTACTTATAATGATAGACATCTGCAAAACGCGATCAGTGGACTTCAATCCAGACTTCAATCGGTAGGGTCGCCATGATGATGCTGATGCTGACAACCTTCATCGTCGCATGGCACAGTCTAGATATCCCAATCTGTATCTTCTTCCGGGAGAAGTTCAATGGCCAGCCCCGCAGACACCTAGCTCGACATTCCTGGGTTGACCATCTACTTCGGCAAAACTTGTGACGTTGTTGGCAGAATACTTGGGACTGTCTCTTGATGAGGACTGTTATCATAATCTAGAAAGACTGCCCAACCTCATCAGCACTCAGGATTTGATCCTCGGGGTGGAATGTTCCCAAAGATTGTACGATTCCGTCTAATATCAAGCAGGCCACTCCTTCGTTGCTGCTGGGCAGAATCTTCTTATGATATTGGCTTCGAAACTTTCAACTGAGGCGTCCTGCGAGGATAAAAAAAAGACTCTCCGGGATGTACCTGGATCCGGCCCGGTAAAGCTCCAGGCTATGGATCTTCTAAAGGTCTCGTGGATGCATCACCTATCAATATGTTGAATGCGGGTATCCCTTTCTAGTAATCAAGCTTGGTTCTTTCCAACACGTGTCACGGATGTGGGCTCTCTTAAGAGTGAAAGCACATATACAGATGCGTTTCTGTTCGCCGGTCGAGAAAGGCCTCCCCACCAACAGCCATATCTGATACCCAGTCATTGACGGGAGGGAGAGCTCTGTTCAATCTACACCGGACAGTCTGAAATCATGAATGCGTGGTATACCAATTCGGAAACAGAAAAGATGGTGGTAGCTATACTGGGCTTGGTGAGCAGATCCAGCCCTGCTCGGCGACCAGTGTATTTATCGCCGGTCTGTGGATGAAATCACTTCCCACGGGCTTCAATATGGCGGATGAAGGACAAATGCAGACGAATGTGAAATCGGCCGCAGATCCACTGAGTATCGAGCTCTTTCATGGTTGTGGGTACTACCCATGGATGGGAGTATATGCTACGGCTTCGGTATTTGCTGTCTAACTAGCCCTCATAGCTTTCCAGAATCAGGCTGGTAAACTGCCAGATCATCAGAAGCCTGCCAATATGGTACAGCACCCTAAGTTAGCAGCCCCTGCGCCAAAGGGGGTCCAATCAAAATCAGTATTTCCTAAACCCTCTATCCTCGACCACCACAACACCATGCATGCACTTGCCGACCTACCCACCACCTTTCTCCCCTCATCATGCCATTCTTATAAACTTTAAGTACTCACTCCCCCCCTTCCCTCCAATGCTGCACCCGCCGCATTCGCGCTCCGTGGCCGCTTTCTCCGGCGCAGCGATGTAGCCCACCAGGTAAGTATCCACCCCTACCTTGCTGCAATGGTGGAAGGACGAGGCGGGCGGCGCATCTACAGTTCACCCTCAAAAACAGCTATGATATCTCTGGACTCAGTCTCCTACAGCCTCCAGGAAGGTGTCGTGGAAGGAGGTCCGTGCGACCATGTATTGACATGCAGCTGATGTGTCGCAGAGGTGAATACGATTAATCCAATTTCAACCGAATTCATACGGACCCGTCTCTAAGTGACACGTTCATCTGAGAATATAATCTAACAAACATGAGGTGTGGGAAGCGAGAGTCTTTGGGGCTGAAACATCGACTGCATGCTCCAGAAGTAGAAATGTGAATGTATCGAGTACGTAGACTGCGCTACTAGTATGGTTCGTGTCACATTTACCACCATAACGTGCCGCAGATATTTTCCATAGGGAGCAGGAAAAGTGTGGAAGGGTTCGGGACAAGTTGAGAAAATTTAGTTTGAATGATGTATGATTATTCGTGGTAAAAATACCTTTACCACGTTGTCAAGTACTTATACTTATTTTTAAGATGACACCCAAGAAAGAATGCAATGACTAGAAGAAGGAAAGTGGTAGCAATGCTTTGAAGCTACTTTATTTATAAGTACAATGGATGCTGTAATGCTGATGCCATCCCTCAACCGAAAGGACTCGGTATTCCCTAAAGGAATATCACGAGTAGATAGGTATTCGAACCTATTTCATGAAACCTGGCTTCCCATCACCGTCAGCGTCCTTCTTTGGATTCAATTTGTCCAACAGGCTTGGCTTCTTGTGGCTGGTGTCGTGAGATGATGTATGGCCAGGTGTCGTATCAGTGCCACCAACTCGACCTGTACCGCTATTGATCCTGTGATCACCGTGCTCACCGCTATGGCCTAGTCCAAGACGATCACCGGCACCTGAAGAGTTGTTAATTCCATGCACTGAAGGGGTGAGACCGAAGGCAGCAGAATGAGATCCTGGTGCTCCAGTCCCTCCCAGATGGTCATCAACGAGAATGCCGGTGGACTCACCGGCGTGGGTACCACCTGATCTATCACTATCGACGCGAGGGTCGAGTTTGTTTGCAGCATCCGAAGCATGCGGACCATGTGTGTGGGAGCCATGGTGAGTACCATCAGCGCGCAGACCAAGATGCGGGTCAGCATCGGCCTCAGTTTTGCCCAGTTGCATCTCAGGATTGTACGGACGCGGGCAACCCTCATACTGATCTTGGTTCATGACTCCAGTGCCGCCAGTCAGACCTTGACCAGTAGCCTTGAAGTCTGACATAGTCTTGGGGGGGAGGACAGATGTGCCGTGGTACTCTGGAGCTGCGTGATGGCGTTCGTGGACTGGGACAGTAGTGTGTACAACAGACGGAGCGATAATCTCTTTCTCAATCACGGGCTGGACTGTCTCGTGAACTATACAAGCAGTCAGTAGGATTCTGCACAGCATCTGAAAGAATTAACGTACCATGGTGGTGAACAATTTCAGCCTCAACGGTTGGAGCAACAGCTTGAGTGGTCTTGGTACTATGTGTGGTTGAGGTGTCTCTGAACTGCGCCGCTTCGGCGTCGAGGCGTGCCTTCACATCTTGAGGTTTTGCGTGTTCGAACTCCTTGGATTGTACACCTGCCATCTGGTGACTGTGCTTCTCCGGGAGGACTTCCCGATCCTTGATGGGCTGCACAGTGGTATGGTAGTGATCCTGGTCAACCTCACGCTTGATGGCTGTCTGAACTTCTTCATGTCGGATAGGTTTAATTTCTTCATGTTTGACGGCGGGTCGCTGTCTCTCGTCAACGGTGGTATCGTGGTGGCCATGACGACCGACAAATTCGGAGACGGCTGCCTTCGCTCTCTCCATGATGAGGGTGGTAGTGATGATTGTTATCTGAAATGGTTTGGATGCCTCGATGAGAATATTGTAGAAGGGTTAGCAAGGTTAGCAAGGTTGGTGAAAGGTGTATGAGAAGAAAAAGAAAAAGAATCCAGAGGAGAAGCTGAGCATTATCTAGAACCACATGTGAACCACATGTTGACGTGAGTGGGCAGAACATAAACAGGGAAGTTGCAGGTGACGGTCTACCAGGACCACAGCATCACCGTATCACACCATCACAGCATCATAACCCACTTTCCCATTGAAGCCACAATCAGGAAGGCGTCATTATGACATGGCCAAGACAGCGTCATCAACTTGAATTGGAGTGCTACAGTGGAGCAGTTATCTCTTCTGTTTGAGGAAGGAGCTCAATAGCGGGTTAGACACCGCCACGGCTACGTAGTATGTCACTGCTGTTCGTAAGTAGTAAGTCATAAGTCGTAGTGTGGATGTTTGAACTTCCGGCTGATCGCTTGACGCCCCGTGGCAGACGGGTCTCTGCAAGGAAGTGTACGGAGGTAAGCGAGTGGATGACAAAGTTCCCAGCTGCCACAGTGGAAGTTGTAATCGGCCAATTACGAGCAACTGAAAAGCCATCCGCAAGGGGTGGCGCCCTATGAAACTGTACATGGAGCTTACAAAACAGGAGAGCACGAATTTCATGATCTGGACAGGAAATAGGCTGCTGATCGAATCCAGATTGAGCAGTTTGTGGGGGCTGAGGTGCAATAATATTCCTGTTCTAGACCCAGGAATATCTATCGCCCGGGTTTATGACGTTACCTCGCCAGATCCAGCTTAACCTTCCCGTCGCTAAGCTAAGAAGGGAAAGAGCGATTGCAAACTTTGAATTGGAATTATAGTAAAAGCAATGACGTCAGTCCAGCCAAGATCCACGGGACTTGCCAGCTACAGTACCAGTGTCCACTGCAGTGTCCATTGTCCATCGCGGCGAGGATACCGTAGGCCTAGACGGGAACAACGACAGTAAGGTCGACGACTGTGCCAGTTCTACGCTGACCAGTCCTTCAAATTCCACCTACCTTACCTTCATCAGTGCCATCCCATTCAGAGGAATCAGCTATGCCTGTGCCAGAATCTCCCCCCAGAAGGCGACCAGTGCCACCACCAAAAACCGAGAGTCAAGCTCAGCTTCGCCAAGAACTCACCTCCCCCCGTCGTACAAACAGAACTTCGTCAAATCAGGATGAGTCCATCGATAGGCCACAGAATGAAGCTCCACACTCTGAGGCCCAAAGAGAAGACGCAACCAAACACTTGACCTTGCCCGAGGGATGGATTATGAAAAATGCAGTGGACGTGACATACCATACACATGTTGCAAAGCGTATGGATGGCAGGTTGAACACTCTTGAGGATGCAGGCTAATCTTTACGCTTGACAGCTGTTGTCCATGAAACTATTCACCATAACACGACAGAACTTGTCGAACCCAGGATAACTCGAGAAATCCATCACTACCACCAATACAACTATATCCAACCTCTCGAGGTCGAAGTGCCCAACGACTGCTACGCCACCAACGCAAAGGGGGAAGTGATACACGCTCCTGGCGGGCTGACGACACACGTGGGCGAAACTTCACATTGGGAGCAGGAGCGGCAAGACAGGGGTTATAGCCTACCTCGACCGCTCAAAAGTGGGGAGCACGATGAAACAGACGAGAAGGAAGTTGAAGGTCGTGACAAAACCGTAGGCCCACTTCCCATTGAAGCCGAAGGCGGTGGAGAGCGCGTACTGGAGGGCATAAGAGATGGTGGAGTTGCTCGACGATTTGGTGGTGCCTTGACCTCCCCCTACACTACCTCCCAGTCCAATCAACCCGGATCCGCAGCAGAACCTCAAACTTGGAGACGTAGAAATGATGTGGACGGAACCTCGCCATCTCAGCAGAAATATCTACCAGATGTGCCTCAAGCCCGTACCCGTGGAGGCGGCTTCGAAGAGAACTCGTCATCTCAACAACCTCACCCATCTTACCCACCCCAAACTCCTCCACGAACAGATGGCTCCTCCTCCACGTACAAAAACTTCTCCTTGCCCGACCCTACGCGTAATGCCAGCCCTAATCTGGCCGCCGACCTGGAACAGAACTTCAACCGCCTCTCTCTCCAACATCAGCATCCCGAAGCTAAGGCCCTGCCCTCCCTTCCCGACACCTCTCCACGTTCAACCCATTCTAAAAGCAGTGTAAGGAGGATGTCAGCGGACACCAAACTCAGAGATAGATACAGCATGGACTCCAACCGACATAGCTTGGATGATTCGAATCCGACGATGGACGATGAAACAGTGCCGGAGAGAGGATCGAGCGCAAGAAAGACGAGGATATACTAATTGAACAACTAAAAGCCCCCGACAAGGAGCAGGACGAAGGGCGGTTGTGTACCATGATCCCAGGCATGGATTTAGATCAGAACTTGATTGCTTCGTATAATCGCTCGCGTGTAGCCGTGTATTTCTAGCGGGCGACGCATCGTATACCAACTGAGCATGTCACAATGTGTTTGAAACCAAGTCCAGCCATGTTTCTTGAATTATGAATACACCTCTGTAAGCTGGTCGCCAACATCATCTTCCCTATTGTCATTGCTCTCCTGCACCCAAATATGTCCACCGTAACGGCTCATCCTCCTGCTGCCACCCCGTCACATGAACAACCTGTTCGTCATTGGGCGCCAGATCCATCGCACTGTCACTGAGAGAGTATCCCATGCGCTCCTCAAAGACCAAACACTTGACTGGCCTCTCCGTGCGTACATGCATCTCCTTCCCTCTAACCTCAACCTCGACATTCCGGTTCGGGAAATGCAGATACTTCAGCGGTTGCGGCCAATCCATATCCCTTGCCACCACCGCTCCATCCATCCACATCTTTACCGCCAGCACATGCGGCACCTCGTTCTCATTGTCAATCACTCCTCTAGCGACATCCGTCGTCCCATTCGGCGTCAATTCCACGCCTCGCCTCACAATCCTGTCCTTGATCTCCCTCCCCGTCTGCACGCTCCAGAACCTCACCTCCACATCCACAATCACAGCCTCCAACCGTGAACTCACCGCCCAAACCTGCCACTCCAGATATCTCGGCTCGCGCGCATGAGCGACACTCCAATCAAAATGCTCCCTCCTCGCCCCGACCGCAACCGGCGCCAAGCACCTCGCCATGGCATAGTACGCCGGCTTCCGCCGCAGATAGTAATCGCAGATACTCCACGAGATGGCGGGCCAGCAATCGTTCAGCTGCCACACCAGCGCTCCGCCGCATCTGCGGCCCTCGCCCCACTGTTTCCGCCATCCGCGGTAGCCGTAGGTCAGCGCTTCACACTGGATGAGCTGCGTGAGGTGGATGTACGCTTCGAGCTCAGTGGCCGTGCGCACGTTCTCGGCGAGGTAGGTCGCTAGTCGACGTTCGTGCCCGTCGGCTTTGTTGTGGAAGTCCATGACTCGGCTTTGCGGGTACAGGTCTTTCTCGTCTTGGATGAACGATTTGACGGTCTCGAGATGTGGGAAGGCTTGCATGCCGAATTCGGAGTTGAAGCGCCCGCCTAGTGAGTCGAAGATCTGATACTTCTCCTGGCTGCCGTGCCAGATGTCCCATTGGTGGAGGTCGCCGACTGTGGGGTCGGAAGTCTTTTTGCCATCGCCCCAAGGTGAGCCTGGGTGGTAGGGAATCTCCGGGCATTCTTTGCGGATGATGTCTGGGAGGAGGGCTTCATAGATATATCTTGCCGGAAAGTCGGTCTTCAGCCAGTGCTCCGGGTCCTTGTCAGCATAGTCGTAGGTAAGACCCGCGGATTCGGCGACTTGATAGTCTTCGTTGTTGCCTGCGAAGATCACAACTGAGGGATGGTGTCGAAGGCGGCGGACATTTTGCATCGCCTCTTGATGGACAGAATCGAGAAATGTGGAGAAACAAGGATAATTGCCACATGCGAACATGAAGTCTTGCCAGACCAGAATGCCAAGTTCATCGCAGGCGGAGTAGAAGGAGTCATGCTCGTAGATGCCGCCGCCCCATACCCTGGAAGAGAGCTGTTAGGGTTGGAGTGAAGGTCGATAGCAAAGACGTACCTGATCATCTTCTGGTTTGCTGGGACCATCAGCTCAATCCAGGCTCGATATCTTTCTGGCGTTATATTGGTCAGGAAGCTATCGGCTGGAATCCAACACGAACCCCCGCAGAATATGTCAATACCATTGATGCGAAGGTAGAAGGATTTTCCATGGCTGTCATTCTCTTGAATCAGCTGTATCTCTCTAAGGCCAATTCTGCACGATTCGGAATGTAATTCCTTTTCTTGCGAGAAAAGTGTGGCTTGCACGTCGTAGAGGTCTTGTGTGCCATATCCAGCAGGCATCCAAAGAGAGGGTGAGTCAATCCGCATGTGTGTAAAAGCACCGCTCTGTGCGAGGACAGGGCATGAGTTCTCTGAAACCGTCCTACCTTTGAAGCTGATTTTAAATTCGACGCGAAGCTCATCATTATGATTATCCTCAATCTCCGCGCTGACTTTCAATGTAGCTGATTTCTGATCGCATGACACCACAACGTCAGTCCGCAACTCGGCTATCCTGGCTGTGTATACTTCAAGCCGGATGGGTTTCCAAATTCCAGCACAATTCAGCAGAGGACCCCAGTCCCAGCCCCAATGGTACTGTGCCTTTCGAACTGCCAATCTAGCAGGCTCACCATTGAAGCACGTCCATTTGTGATCTGCATGAGAGTTTTGGATCTGCCGTGCTTTGAAGAGAGCTGAGTCAAATTCAATCTCGAGCTCATGTCGTGCTGTTAACTTGACGAAGTTGGTGATATCCACCCTATGCGAAATGTACATATTGTCCGATCTAAGAACAACTTTGCCATCGAGACGAACCACCGCGAAGGTATCGAGTCCCTCGAACACGAGTACGGTCTTTGATTGATTGTCCAATGCGGGAGCATTGAATTGAGTGCGATAGACCCATGATTCAGTTCCCACCCAGCCTGCTTCTAGCTCGTTAAAATTGAAGAACGGGTCCTTCACTCTGAAGTGTTTGAAAGAATCAGCAATGCGTAGAACATGGACCTATAGCGAGTCCGGCTTACATCCCTTGATCCATCAAGTCTTGCTGAACAGTCGATGGTATCTTCTGAACAGGAAGCCAGGCAGCACCTTTGCTGTCTGACTGCCGAAAAGACCATCCTGTCGCTAGATCGGAGAAAGAGAACTGCCGCACGTCTTTGCTTTCCACAGGCCCACCGCCCATGATTACTGCTTGTTCTGCACACCTGCAATGGACTAAATTGCATAAAGAGGAAGGGAAAAAGTAGGTTCAGCACACTACATATAGCAAGAAAAGAACCGGATGGTGGGTACTTGTTGCGGTCCAAGGCGAACATTCGATTCTAGTGCGAGGTAAGGCATCGTTTGCATCCAAGGGGAGACATATCTCTCTGCGCACCGGTCATTAGTCATTAGTCATTATACCGGGTGAACAGTAAACGACTGCGTGAATATTCTAGGTGGAAGGCTAGACAGTCAGCACCGTCGAGGTCGATTTCGAGTTGCAGTATTCAAACAGTCGGAAGGGAGGTGAATTCTGCCAAGACATTCTGGGGAGCTCCAACTTGAAGCTTGGAACTTGAACATTGAATTCAGCCAGATCCACATACCGATCAATAGTAGAAGCTTTTCCTTTCGGGCAATTCATTCCCAGCCATTCCAGGTTCAATTTTCTTTGGCTGTGAATCAGGCATTTCCTTCTCACAATGAATTTCGCGCCGTACCAGGATGTCGACCCTGAGCGGGAAAGAGCTCTATCGCCTCCACCTCCAAATGGCCGAAGATCCAAATCTCCCCAAGTTCGAACACCACCAACACGGCCGAATGCCTCTACCTCACCACCAATTCTCCCACATCCCAACGCCTTTGGAAACGACTATCCATCAACTGGGAACAATGATGGACTGGGCGACCGTGGTGTGCACTTTGACGCCTTCCAGACAAGCCTGCCTTTACGATTGGATTATGAAGCGATGCTTGCCTACATTTTGCTTCCGCCAGCTGGACCTGTACTGCTGTTGTTGACGGAGCATAAGAGCGACTATGTTCGGTATGCGGTGGCTCTTATGGCTGGATCTGTGTTTCTGGTTATGCTCATGTGGTCTGCAGATATCATGCCTGGCAATCGAGCATGCTCTTTACATGCATATTTGTATGTACATTTGCTGTATCTGGCAGTTGCAGTATTGGCTGACTCCTCCAAGATTGTCCACCTCATTTTCTCATGGTCTTCAGTCATTTCATGGATATTGTTTGTGGGCGACGTGGCTTTGATCGGGTTTCTAGCCTTGCACGCGTATCGTGATGGTATGTGCCGGTTGCAGAAGAAGGTGCTCGGAATATTCTGACAGGATACACAGTCGAAACACTAGATTACTATGAAGTTCCCTTCTTTGGCCCTCTTGCCAATCGATTTGTGGATGATGAATGAGAGGAACCTATGAGGGAACGTTCTACATCCAATCCTTCACGACTATATTCACTGAGTCGGCGGCGGCTAACGAGAGATCTCCTTTTCCTACCGGTCCTTAAGCGGTAATTCAATATCAACGCCGAAGAAAGCCGTAGACAGCCGACAAGAACCGTCCGGTCTCACGCGCTTCGTCGTGCATGAGGGTGAAGACATGTACTGCGTGAAGAGAATGCCATCTCGTTGCGCTCACGAGATGTAAGCGCAAATGTCTGCTCTCCGATTACCATCTCACCACATCGCCCTAAGTGTCTCAGCAACGCATAGCAGCTACGGGATTTGATTCGTCTCTGCTTCAACCTGTGCTACACAGCACCTCTTTGGCTGGTCAGCAACAAAAGTTTTTGTGCAACCCATTCACCCTTGGTAACCCACTATGTGTCGCGTAACACGCATCAAGAATTCCTGTGGCCACATCAATGATCATGTTGAAATGGTCTGTCGCGATGCTAAACCGGAGTCACCAACTAAGCCTGCTGCTGTGCTCGTTGACACAACCAATCGTGCTGCTGTGCAAACTTCCAGCCCTCGATATCGAGACCTATCAAAACTAGCACGTCCTATCTCTCCTGGTCAAGCTGCCAGGTATGTGGAACTAGAACCCGCTTGTCTTCCCGAACTTCCAGAGGGCTGAATCTCTGACCGAGCTTCCTTAGTGACAGCAGTGTGTCTCTGATATCCACACCCGATGGAGAAGATCGTCAGCATGGATCCTTTCATGCTTCAACGCAGCCACACTGCAAAAAGACGCAGCTGCGGGTTTTGACACTACAAAATCTGGTGAAGGACTACGAATGTATGGTGGAGGGTTGTGGTCAGATTGGATGAAGGCGGTTATGGCGGTGTTGAGATTTTCTTAGGGGCAGGAGGTGTCCGGGTCAAGGCTCAATGGAGTAATACCTTCCTTGTATGGCAGATTCAAAAAGTCAATCAGGTGACACAGATAATAGAAGGTCAATAGACTGGCACTTTTCAGGACACCTTATCATTTCACGTAAAGTCACATATAGGATATGCAGCAACACAGTGCTGGGAAACTTGCTGGCGACCTGAAGGCTCTCTCTAGTGTGACTAACAAAATTCAGACACTGCGTTGCAAGAAAAGCTGGAAGACTCTGGACCCAGCACTCGTGAAATAGTCCAAGGATTTCCTCAGCCTGCCCTAGGTTAGACTTTCAAAACTATGCAGTAATCAGGATCTGGAGGTATGAGATTGAGTCAGTGTACCCCTGAAATGTTTTCCGCATTTTATACATGATTTGAGGAAGTTCAGCAGAGTACAGCCTATTATTGTATGTGGGCTGTGCGGCGTGTCATGCAGCATATTCTGAAGAAGAGAAGCATCGACAACAGGTCCATGCAGTGCATAGCACAGTGTACACATGGCTATCAATAGGTACTGAGCACGTTGTACAAGAGACTTTCTGTAGGAAACAATATTAACACACATAGAGACCATGGTGTACACTACAGATCAATATAATTCCTCCCTATTACGAGTAGATGTGATTACCGAGAAAGGAAATCATAAATATGTGTACTGGACATCATTACCTTAACGAGGATGTCTAGACCTACTCACCAGAGAGCTCTCCCAGAGTGACGGATAGGATCCCTCTCGGGCACCTGCCGTATTGAGTATCCATCTGGTTTGAAGGTCTAGCAGGTTCCCTTTGCTGTTCTTTAACTCCACAGACCACATCCAGGCTGACCTTCCGCTTCGTTCTATCAACTTCACGTTCTCTTCCCCCCCTCCAAACAATACTGTGGCTTCTCTCATGAATCAAGAGAAGAAAGCTTCGAATAGTGTGTTGCCGAATGGAATGTCAGAAGCGAATGCCCTTTCGTCCCAGACCATACTTATCACTCGGGCTTCAGGCTTTATCGGCTCCCAGGTCTTGAATCATTTCTCGAAGCAAGCTCCAAGGTAAAGGGGCTGTTCGGTTGGAGGAAGACTGCTGTGAAAGTTGAGAACACCCATGCAAGCAGTCGAAGCCTCTTTCCCTTGCCATTGTGCCTGATATCAGGATAGAGGCATGGCTTCACCTTGTCTCATATCGGACATCGAGCCCGAGAAAGACCTATTAGTACCAGCCACTGAAGGTACCAAGAACATCTTGCTCTCGATCTCAGCTCACACGCCACGAGTCAAATGTGTTGTCACAACATCGTCTTTCGCAGCCATTGCCAAGTGCAGAAGTAGACTTGGCCGGAGCATGCGTATACCAAAGACGATTGGAATCCAGCTACTTACGCGGTGGCCAAGACAGCCGATTCTGCAACATCATATTGTGCATCGGACACTCTCACCGAATGGCTGCAATTATGTTAAGAAGACCGGAGTTGCGGTCCAGTTTGTGATGTGCGAGATGTAGCGGAGGTACACCCGAGGGCTTATCAAAAGAAAGAAGCGGCAAAGCCACGATTGTTTTAGTACCCGAGGGAACTATAGCCCATTAGATGATCTGCGGTGATCTGCGATGATCTGCGCAAGAACTTCCCGGGCTTCTAGGATCGAGTGCCAGAGAGAACGCCAGCTAGTGGGCTGGGCACAGATGTTTACGAGGTTGACAGTTCGAAAGCGAATTCGATTCTACTACGTAGATGCTGCTAGGAGCTTGCTGGAGGTTGAGAAGGGTGAGGAGGATGGGTTGAGATAGTAATAGATCTTATCCAATGACATTCACAAGATCACTGACTAAATATTTCAATGGTCCCAAACTTTCCCATATTTGAGAGGTGGGTTACGGGGAGGAGGAACTATTCCTCCAGATGCCAGGGCGCGGCCATGTATTAAGCCGCCCTGGCACGGGCTAAGGTCAAAACGCTTGGAAGAAGCTGGCGGCTTGATTCTTCATCACACGGTCCCTAGCATTAGTAGTCCGTCCGGAGATTCCCAGCTAAGAAAATCTTCATCACCCCGCTTCGGGCCGTTGTTGGATTCGCAGGGATCTTGCTGAGAGAAACATGTTCAACGCAGAGATCGCCGTCCCTGCAATGCGAACTCAACACGTTCTCTACGTCTTCAGATCGCCACTCTCAAGAACCCGCCGTTTCAGCTGGCAAACCATGATTGATCAATCATGCCCGTATGACCTTACAGATTGAAGTGGTCTGCAAGCATACCAGTATTCAAGTCGATTAGATGAACTTAGACCGAGCAACTCGACTGGTGATTGACCAAAACAAGGCTGCGAAGGAGAACAGCTCCTATCTCGGACACTAGTGGCTCCCAATCAATGCACACAATCCTCATACCTGACGCTGGTGTTGTCCTGAAACTGCATCTTACTAAGTTAGAGCATATTTTATCGTTATCGACCACCCCTTCAAAACACCAACAACCGTCCAACCCAACGCCCTGATGTATTTGTCACGTCAAACCGGGTGCCAAATTTCCCCACACCTATTTTCAAGCAACACGTTTTAGGCTAGGCAGGGTTGTAGTGTTTCTTGGATCGAAATGCTGCGTAACACCGCATTGCAGAAGATGCTATCAACGTGGTGATTGTGGGTAAGCAAGATAGCGGTACTAATCGTGCCGTACGGACGCCTACTCCCGAATTCTCTTAATGCCAAGTATCTATATTCAAGGACTGTTTCTTGTTCGCGGGTGGTTGCCGGCTCCTGACTCGATGTCAATTGTTTTTCAGTGGTCTGTCCGTTGCGTACAGTCTGCAAATTCAAAGACGCTTTTCCCAAGTTCATTTTACGCTGTCTGACTTCACCTGCCAGTCATGGTTACTCTACAGCCTGCTGGGGAGACGAGTGTCCGAGTGTCCGTGGCGATGGTCTCCTTGGTTACTGTTGCGATAGTGCTGCGAATCATCGCAAGACTTCTGACTAGGTCTGCTTTGGCCATTGAAGAAGCGTTGATCATTCTTGCCGCATGTCTCTTCTATAGCCATCAAGGTCTCTCCCTTGCATGTGTGTTCTCTGTGAAACCGGGGAGGTATATATACTGACCCATGTTGTGAAGCTATACTTGGTCCGGGTGCGGCGGGGACCTCAAATCCAATGCCGGTAGGCGGCACAATGACGGTGCCACAATTGGACTTGTTCTTCAAGGTTCGATGCACAACCTGAGCGTGTCAAATGGGCCAACACTTACGCAACATGCAGTATCTCTACATCGGCGGAATCATCTTCGTCATCACTATCACCGTCGTCAAGATCTCTATTTTATGCTTCTACCGCACTATTTTCGCAATCTCTAGGTTCCGCAAATTGACCTGGGTAGTTGGCGTTGTCTGTATCATTTGGCTTCTCGTCGGCTTGCCCATCATCATCTTCCAGTGCAGTCCTATTCAGGCTGCATGGCGATTTGAACTCCATGCTACCGGAGAGGCGAAGTGTAATTCAATGCCGCCGGCGTTCTTCGGCCTTGAGATTGCCAACGTGGTGGTTGATATTATGATTTTGTGTCTTCCCATATACATGATTCGGCGACTCCAGATGACTGCGGCGAAGAAAAGGAGTGTTATTGCGATTTTTCTGGTTGGTGGATTGTAAGCCCTCCGACCCAAGTTTCACTTCGCTTATGCTGACCTTCCCTCAGCGTATGTGTAAGCTGCATTATACGCGCTTATTACAATTATAATCCTGCGACTGGGCAAGCAGGTAAGCTTTGGGACTCGCCTAACGCCGACTTATGTTGATGGTCTGACCATTTCAAGCATCACCCTCAGGCACCTTCGACTGGACCACTATTCAGCTCGCGAGCGCGATCGTGTGCGCTTGCCTCCCTACCTATGCACCGCTGTTCAAACGGCACAAGTATCCTACTAGACTTAGAAGCTGGTACGCACCTCTCACGAAGAACTCTAAGAGTGCCCAGCAATCCAAGGCGTCAAGTTTGCGGTTATCGAGATTCCCTGAAGTTCCACGGAGCCATGACCATCCTCGGTATCAACACATGAGCGATGATGGAGTACACCTGACAAGGCCGTTAGAACAGTACCGAAGCTGGTATTCGGAAAGTGCCGCCTAGCTGGTAGACTGTTTTTTAAATGATGTTGCGATTGTACTACTGTAGTGTTATGATTATGATACTAATAGAGTGTTCTGATACCCAAAGTTAGTTACTCTGGGCATTGACATTGACGACTTGGCTACATGAGGTTTATAATATGTATTTGGTACACACAACACACACGCACATCCGGCGCCAAGGAACCACAGACACGGTACCACTTGGCAGACTACCGCGTAGGCGAGCGTTAAGAGCAGGGGTCGTTGCTATGGCGATCACCTGTCAACATTCTAATCCCGCTTGCCCAACTTGACACAACAGGTACAGAGTACTACATTAGCAATCCTCAAACCGAGCACCTACCACTCTACACTCTTCGCCTACTCTACCCCCAACGTTCTCAGTATTCGCTTGCCAGAAAGGAGCTTTGCTAGGTCGAAGCAGGAGCGACTGCTCCTCACATCTCTCAATGCCCAGCAGAATAGCCTCCAGCTCCGACGTCCCGACCGTACCTCTATCCTTCTCAAACAATTTCTGGGGTCGTGACGATGCTGGTGTGGGGCCCCTGCTTGATCGTATGCACAATGCAAAAATCACTTGCGACGAACTGAAAGCTTTCTACAACGCTCGTGCAGCGCTTGAAGATGAATACGCCAAAAAGTTATTTGCACTGTCTCGAAAGCCTTTAGGAAGTGGAGAGTCTGGTACGTTGCGAGCCAGTCTGGATGTATTGAGAGGAGAAGTGGAAAACACCGGAAAGTCGCATGCCACAATCGCCCAGCAGATGAAGTCGGAGCTGGAGGAGCCGCTGGGCGCGTTTGCAGGCGGGATGAAAGAGCGAAGGAAGATCATCCAGACAGGCATCGAGCGACTGCTGAAGACGAAGCAAACACAGACAGCGCACGTCAACAAGACGCGAGATCGCTATGAGCAGGATTGTCTGAGGATCAAGGGCTACCTGGCTCAAGGGCACATGGTGATGGGCCAGGAGGAGAGGAAGAACAAGGCAAAACTGGAGAAGACTCAGATCAACATGGCCAGCAACTCAAACGAGTACGAGAGTTCCGTCAAGGTGTTGGAGGAGACCACCGGGAGGTGGAACAAAGAGTGGAAGGCCGCTTGTGATGTAGGTTCTCTCATGTGTTTGTCGCGAAACCCGTTGCTGACGACTTGACCAGAAATTCCAAGACCTTGAGGAGGAGCGGCTCGACTTCACCAAAGCTTCGTTATGGTCATTTGCGAATATCGCGTCAACCGTGTGCGTGTCTGATGACGCATCTTGCGAAAAGATCCGGCTCGCATTGGAGAATTGTGAGGTTGAAAAAGACATCTTGTCTTTCATCAAAGAACGCGGAACAGGACAAGAAATCCCGGATCCACCAAGATACATTAATTTCTGCCGCGGTGACCTGAACGATACGGCGTCTGAAGCGTCTGAAGACGAGAAGTATTCGGTTGCTCAATTTCCTCGTACGGTCAATCCTGCCTTCCGTTCCGCCTCCCCTAATCCTTCGACGTACGAATCTCATCATGATCCTAATTCTGAGTTGGCCCAACAAATGGGCCATCCGGCGCCTCCTGAATCGCTTGCAGATGACAACGACCTGACACCTCTTAAGACAAACAGTGGACGTCCTCGACCTCTCAACTACCGACAACCGGAACAAAATATGCCACCAAACTATTCCCCATCCCAACATGGCGATGTCACAAATGTGCCACATAATGAGTACCCTACAGAAGGCATGACCATGTTCTGTCGCACAGGGCCACCGAGCGTGACGGGCTCTGGACTTTCCAACAACACTCGACCATCCAGCCGAGACTCGCAATCAGATTACTCGAATCCTACCTCTTACACCACCGCAGATCCTCTTTCCGGAAAGAACTCTCCCACCAAATGCATGCCACCTGTGAACAGTGCGCCCATGGCCGGAATGAGCAATGTTTCACCAGATAAGACTGTCCAGAAGAGACGATCTGGATTCTTCTCCAACTCTCCGTTCCGTCGAAAGTCGAAGAAAGAGCTGGATCATACGGCTCATACGCTCACTACCGACCGGTCAAACCGGAACACATGGGCACCACAGTCTGGAATGCGTACGAATAATGCTTCTAGCACCAATATCAATTCAACCAGTTCCAGCCCTACCAAATCCTTTGGTCGAAACAACATCTTCAATCGCAACCAAGCTCCACCAGAAGGCGAGGAGCGAGCCGATCCGCGCGCAACGTTTCAGCTCAATGTAGGCAATAATGTCTTCGACGTTGCTTCTCCTGACCATCAAACAACACCCAAGGCCAGGAAGGGATTCTCACCTCCAGTCTCTTCCGGAGAAGATGTGACCACGGATCCACTCAAGCAGGCTCTGATGGAACTCCAACAGGGTGGTGGTGCTGGAATGGGCAAGCAAAGCAGCACCCGCGTTACCGCAGATAGATATCATGGCATCAAGACTCCAGCACCAGATGCAACGGCAGCGAGACCACCCCCACTATCTGCAGCTAGTGCTGACAAAATTGGTGCGCAGAGAGGAACACCACCTCCTGCCTACGAAGGCGCTAGAGGAGGTCCACCGCTTGCGTTGGGAGTGCCTCAGCCGGCTTTCACAAGCAAAGAGATGAGGAAGAGGACAGAAACATGGGGCAGCGGCTCGCAAGCGGGATATCCGTCTGGACGCAACGCGCAGGCTGGGAGGCCCGGCACACGAGACGGTAACATGCAGCGCTCACGAAGTCCTGGACTCGGCATGGGAGGCTTGCCAAGAGCAGCGAGTCCGCAACCAATAGTGAGAGCGAGGAGTCCTGGCCCAGATATGATGCGAAGCAGAAGTCCTGCTCCACCCATGAATCCGAACATAAGAGCTAGGAGTCCAGCTCCCCCTCTAAACCCGAACATGCGAGCCAGAAGCCCTGCTCCACCAATGAACCCGAACATGCGAGCCAAAAGTCCAGTACCTCCAATGATGATGAGTGGACAAAGTCAGTATCGAGCTCCAAGCCCAAACCCTTATGCTGGTAGCAGGGATAGCCAATCACGACAGAACGCTGGCATGGAAATGCAGCTATCGAGCCAGGACGTACAACGATATGACGCAAGTGGTAGTGGAAGAAGTAGGCACAGCATGATGGATCGAGGTGGGAGGCCGGGCTCAGCATACAGCGGTGATCCTTATGCACAACAGCAAGGAGGAAGAGGTATGGATCCGCAGATGAGGAGGGAGCGAAGCAAGAGTATGGCGCCTGCTCCTGCTATGGGCGGCATGGGCGGCAGCTCAACGTTGCACTACGGTAAGTCAAATCTCAAGCCGCGTGATGGACGTTTTTCTGGTATGGAACATATACTGACCAACTTCATAACTACAGCGCGAGCACTCTACTCTTACACCGCCGCCATCCCCGAAGAGCTATCGTTCAGCAAAGGCGACGTCTTGGCGGTGTTGAGACTGCAGGATGATGGATGGTGGGAAGCTCAAATCGAAAAAGGCAGACAAGGTGTCGGGATGGTGGGATTGGTGCCGAGCAATTACTTGCAGCGGTGCTGAGTCTCGTCTGCACGAGCATAGAAGGGTTGGTTTTGAAGGCCAAATTCAGATTTCCTACTAGCGATGAGGAAGGCTCGATGATTTGTTCATGCTCGAGGTGTCTGTCATCTCCTCGTACTACTGTCTGGTGGGTTTGGGTCTGGGTTGAGTCGTTGGCCCAATATCTTCCGAGGGTCGGATGACGGAGTCTCACTTGTTTTGACTATACTCTGGAGTGTCTGTCTGTATATAGCGCAATCGAACCGGCTTCCTGGAAATCAATCATGAAAAAAGACTGTCTCATGAACTTAAGAGGTGCTGACTTGAGTGTAAATCAATCTCATACGGCAGGCGGAACGATCTTGTCCTGGATACTGTGGCACCAGTAACTAGTACTACTAGTAGTATGGGAAAACGCAGTTTAGGGGAAAGCTCCTGGCATTTCCTATACATCCCTGGTGAAAGAGGCCAGCCTATTTGAATGATTGTATTTTCCACCGCTTCTCTTCCTGTCAATGGGGTATGATGGATTTCAACAGTACTCCGTTCGAGAGAATCGTCAGACTGAGTCGAGCCCATCCTGCCAGGGCCAAGACCCTCATGGCAGACCTTGCTTGGCGGTCCCCCCTTGCATCAATAATACTACTGTAAGTTACTGTACTGAGTAATGCTGTAATGGCACTCCCGATCCGAGACAAGGTGATGCAACCCACAACTGCTGCAGCGGCCAGCTGTGCTCACTCCACTGCCTTCGTGTCAACCGCCTCTACATAAACCGTAAACTTGAAGCATTCTTCCAATATTTCCCATATTTCCCATCCAGTTCGTCTTGAGCATGCCTGCTAACCCTCTCACCGGCCTGCCCCTCAATTCGCATGCATTCCGTACCAGTACTCTCCAATAGCACGTGCATCTCCATACTGCATACCCAACCCTGAAGTAATCTACCATACCACAGTAAGCGAAAATGCCAGTCTACCTCCTCCACGGCTTTCGCTGGCCTCGAGGCGGTCTCACCGGCATCCGCGTCCACATCATTATCCACAACCTGGACGACTGCTCCGCCGAGTACATCCAGAACCCACAATCACAAGCCGAGCTCTTGAGATCATTCCGCAATGCGTACCCGGAGATCATGAAAGAGCTCGAACCATCAACATTGGGCAATGGAAAGGGCATACAGTTTCTGGAGCAGTATGACCCGGAAGATGTCATGGGAGAGGATGTGGTGAGCCAGCCGTACGCATTTGTCGCGGACAGGGTTGTGGTGATGGCTGCTGGACCTCTGGCTTCTGTCACAAGTGACAGCACTACGGCGACTCCTACCCCGACGTCTCCGTTATCGGAGCCTGCGACGCCAGCGTCAGCGAGGCGTTCGAGCAAAGGCTCTGTATCGGCAGGAATCGCGGCCGCAGCGGCAGCAAAGACCCAAGCACTCTCTCTGAACATCGAAGAAGTCGTCGCAGAAGGTCCCGGTGTTATGGCTCCGGCGTGGGAAGCTTTCGCACAGCTCCGCGACAAAATCGCGCCAGGAGAGAAGATTGGCTGGTGGGTTGTTTACAACGGAGATCCAGAACGCGCCTACGACAGTGACGAAGATGAGGATGAGGATGAAGAGGACGAGGACGAGGAAGAGGACCACGCAGAAGAAGTCGAGGAAGGCACTATCGCAGCAGAGACTGAAGATGGAATGCTCGCCCTCTCACAACCCCCACCAACTCCTCCCAAATTCCCCATAGCCGTGAGGACGAGGCCGCCACAGCCAACACCAAAACCAAGGATGTTCGAACAGCCAGATCTCAGTCACAACAACAACACTCAGCCTACCTCTCCTAAATCTCCATTACGATCACCATCCTCGAAAGGCAGCGGTAAGCGATTGCCCGGCATGACGGCTCTGCCACAGCAGCCAGGCCACCAGCCAGGCCACCAGCAGCAGCAGCAGTTGCCAGCACCAACAAAGCCGAAGATTGCCCCCAAGTCGGAGAGTCTGAAGAAGAAATTATTTGGGAAACGCAGTTGAGATCGAGGCTTGAATTTGGCTACAGGGTACGAGGGAGCCAGTGCATCATGGCGTAGCTGCACCGGGTTTTCTACGGGGATTGAGTATGTGTCATGAGAAACGGGACACTGACGACGCATAAAGAAGGGGCTTTGTGAAATTGAGGTTATGCCGGCAGAAGCTGTCATCTACCTCTTTTGCAATATTCGATCACTGATCCGAGATGCATCTAGGCCTATGCACGAGCCAAGTCTAGCATCCGCAAGCCCGACCGCGCAGGAAAATCCACGTTTGACTTTTTCCCAGAGTTTCATCGCCAACCGTTGTAGCACAGCCCTGCGCTTCAACCCCATCGGTCATCTTTCTCCGCCTATGATCCTAATCCGCCCCTCCAATTTGGGCGCGATCCCCTTCGTCCATGACGGCAAAGCGTCCTCGGTGCTCTCATCCACCATCGCCACACTTTCCGCTTTCACCCCAGCCAACCTCATCCATCTCTTCGCGTACAGCCGGGCTAGACGGAACAAGTGCTCCCCAGATTCCTCGCTGAGATAGGCTGGAATGGACGTTGGGGGTGCAGTGTTGGAAAGCAGGGGGTGTGCTGAGAACGGTGTTGACGAAAGGTTGTCTGTGTCTGCTATGTCGGAGTCGGAGTCAGCGTCGATGTCGGGATCGACTAGGCCTTGCTCGGCTTTGGGGTCAGTGGGCACTCTTTCGGTATTGCCAAAATTAGAGTTGGTCTGTGGCCGAGAAGGGAGCGGTGCCTGGTGTCTAATCGGCCCGTTACTGGTCTTCAAACTACCGTTGCGACTGTATTCCGGAGCGGTGTTTTCCAGATCTTTAGTCACTGTATTTTTGGATTTCTCAGTCGACTTTGCCTCTATGATTGTGCCATGCTCCTGCAGGCCCTTCTGCACGCCTCCCCAGTGTCTGCTGAGATGCGGGTTCTTCTTGCTCCATGTACCGACGACCTTTAATGACAGAAAATATTGTCTCAAGATGGTTGATATCAGCACTCCATTCTCTTCCGACACAATCTCTTCTGCTTTGCCACCTTCTGATTGAGCGAGCAACGACTCAAAGCCGTCTTTGCCCCGTGCCATGTAGCCGCGTGTTGCAAGGATGTATTCTCTTTCCTGATCCAGCTTCTCGCCATTAACTTTGACCCACTGCACTCTCGAGCCTGGCGAAAGCTTCGCATCGTACTCGAAGATGATGTTGGAGACTTGCGGAAACCTGCCCTCAAGCGCCGGCACCAGGCTGACCGAATTCTCCAGTGCCTCCGAGAGGGCTTTCCCAGTGACCTTGAGGACAACAACCGGGTCTTCAAACGGAAAGCAATTCATGATATCTTTCAGTCGAAGAAGGCCAGGAGAGTAGACCTGATCTCCGCGAATGGTTCCTGCAGCCATTATGGCACATTCTGTTCGATAGTAATAACGCATGAGGTCACACACAAAATTGCCCAGGTTAGATTCTCTCGTGCGTACCGTGGTGAAACGGCCGTCGAGTGGCGCCGCGGTGTAGCCGATCGGTTTCTCAAGCTTGGTTGTGAGGGAGTAGGTGAGCTTGTTTACCAACTCCACAGTAGGGGGATCTTCAGGTGTAGAGCGAATAATATCTCGACGTGTAATCGCAAAATCCCAGCCGCCCCCGTCTTTCTTCCACCCCTCAATATAGCTGAGCTGCTTGAAGTCGGTTCCGGAACGTAGGATGTAGGTTGAATTGACCCTCTGGCAGGAATAGAAATGGTCATGGCCACCAAGGATGAGATCGATAAGGCCCGGAGGGGTCTTTTCCGCCAGCTTCACGTCATTGGGTTCCCGCATATGGGTCACAGCGACGATCAATTCGCATCCTTCCTTCCGCAAGCCGGGGACAAGTTCTTGGGCTGTGGTGGAAGCCGATTTGTACACGAGATCAGGAGGGAGTGAGTTGACGGTATCGAGCCTAGGACCTGTCAATCATCATCAATCCTGAGGCGTAAGATCACAATCACCATTCTCGCTCAGCCAGACCGATAACTCCTATTTTTATGCCAGTACTTGATGTCAATATCTTTGTTTTCTCGCAATCTGCAAGAGCAACCTCCTCCCCAAGGGCAGGATCAAGGACGTTGGCAAGCAGCCACGGGAATCTGCAAAGACTTCTCAGGTGGCGAAACTGTGTGATGCCGAAATCGAGATCATGGTTCTGTCCAGCATGAGACACACTCTGGCCGGGAAAGTGCTGGGCTTGGAAGCCATACTCACTCCCACACAGGCGACATCCGTGCCGATTGCATTCAGGATAGGTACCATATGCTTTCCCTTGGTTACCGAGCTTTCGAGACTGGGGTTGAAGGCGTCGCCGGAGAAGAAGGTGATGAGGGAAGCCTGCCCCTCAAATCGAGGACTGGATCTGTATTCATTGACGACAGTCTGAAAGCGAGATATTCCACCCGCTGGCTCCGCAGATCCGGATCTGAGACACTGGTGGTCAGAGCGAGATTAGATCCAATATGGCGCAGGTATATATTTACTCGATATGGTATACGTCATTGTAATGTAGCAATCTAAGGTCTGGAGGTGTCTCTCGATCGCTCGCCAACGTGATAGACGCTGATTGAGGAGTGTTGTTCTGATGCATCGTATAATATGTTGGAAGTCCCTACCAATGCCAGCTGGAAGGAGCACATTCAAGAAGTTATGCGCGAGATGGCAGGCCTATGGAGATATAGCCAACGAGGTGTCTACGTAGGAATGGTGTTCTCTCCAAAAATTACAGTATATACGTGGTACACATACGAGGGCCAAGGCTCATAGACAGAATCGGTGGCCGTCTTGGCTCCTACATATCTGTCACAAGAAATGGGACCATCTAGGCGCAAGAGTCGGCCTGGAACAGCCCAATCATTATGACGCTTTTGATTTGGCCAAGATGGCCATGAATTTCTGCGCCAAGCTTCGGGCCCAGAAACCCCTTGAAAATGCTTGTTTCCTGTCCCTGCATTGGTGATTGCTCCGCCCCATAAAAAAGATAGGGCCAGTCACAAACTCTCCTCCACTTCATGCGCCTTTCTCAGTAGGATCGAAAATGGAACTTCCTCCAGAGCATATAAGTATCAAAAGGAGGCGGCAAGAAGAGCCTGTTGAGCTGCTATGTGAGCATCTTCAAATAATGTATTGTTTGGCAAATTCTGAGGTATAATACATAGATCTCGAGAGTGATGGTCATCAAACCAAGCGCCGATTTACAGAATATTGCTTTCAGCGTGTCAAAGCAGATATCAAACAGCCTATAGCCCCAAACGCGTTGTCAGGGGAGAATATCCGTGAAGAAGGGCGGGTAGTGAGCAATTACGTGGCCTCTGGTATACCCATTGTGCGAGCAACGTCTCCTGGCGCAGAGATTCGAGAGGAAGCTGAGAGAAGAGCCGCCCAAAAAGCACTCCGAGGCCGGTTCTTGCCTGAGGAGCATTCTTCGGCTTCGAAGAAGCCTGCACGGGATGTCATTGCAACATCCCAAACAGTCAGGGCATCGACACCGCTCCAGAGGCCTGCTGCACCCCTTCGTCACTTTCATCTTGACCATGGTCATAGAGCCTCTCGTTTAAATCAGCCTTCTGGCATTCGGAAACGGAAGACAGCCCGAAGAAACTATCTCGCAACCTTCATTGAAAGCTCCAAAACCTCGAGGCAAGGGTCAGAGCTGCTAGACACGCTTCCCCGCGAGAAACCCATCCACCGCCCTCAAGACGGTACAGTGAAGAGCCGCGTAGATGGAAAGCCTGTTGACCAAAGCCTCATATCTATGCCAACTCGCGTAAACAAGACTGGACAATCTATGCATGATCACCCAAGCAGCTGGGACTACGACTCTGACCAGCTGGCAGAAGAGCTTGCTGCTTTTGCCTTGGAGATCTCACGCGAGGAGGGGCAAGAATATCAACCCAGTATGACTAAGATGTCTCAAGGTATGGGTGTGAAGGACATCCTTGTCGATGTGGATGAAGACTTTATCTACGATACTTATATCCGCGTTCCTGTCGCAGCTGGAGGCAAAGGCGTGGCTTCTCCAAATGATGTCGGACTTCTCATCATCGATGACAAGGATCAAGAACTATGGCGGACGTTTGCTGAAAGCGACGATGACAGCGAGTGGGACGAAGACGATCCAGACTCCAATGGTGAGTAACGGTCTGGTAACCGGCGGACATTGCTAACACCGTACAGCCGAAGATAACCCAGCGAACGAATATCCTGACGAAGAGGTCGACTCGGGAGATGAGCATGGATACGGAGCATACAAAAACCGCAAGCTGGCATCGGAGGACGAGGAGTATGATTTGAACGATCCATGGAGCAGCAGCGAGTGATGATTAGAGAGTGAGCAATACATGTCATTAATTTCTGTCGAGTCATCATACACTTCACACCTCAATCCGCCGAAATGTGACACCGTCCTGGCCATGATGCAAAGAGAAAATGCACGCTGAGCAGTTGTATGCTTCCAGCCGTCGTCTCATGATCCAAGAAAAAGGTGAATCCTATCTCCCGAAATGGACAAGAAGACCGAAAGACAACAAGAACCTCCAACCAAACGCCTTGCGCCTCCTTTAGTCCTCCAACGGTATCGCAACAGCAAAAGAAATTGACGACGATTATATTATGCAGCTCTGTGCCGCGGAAGCATCCAACTATATCGATACCGGGTCTGCTCGACGAGTCCAAATCGTGCAATCCGTTCTTTGTCGTTGCTGTTCTTCAAGCTTCGTATATTTGGAATTCCGGCTGAATCTAGAATGCGGTAAAAGCGGCACTGCAAACCAGACTCTCCATCTCGATGCCTGTCATGGAAATACTCGTTGAAGGCTTGACTTACTTCCTTCCAGTCCTTCTCAAGGTCGATTCGTTGATACCAGATGAAATGGTCTTCTTCCACAGAGTATTTTGGTCTAGGCGCACGTGGCTGTGTTGACTTGGACATTGAGCCTGCCCTGCTTGAAACGGACGACGCATGGTGTTGCCGTACGGCAAGATTTGGTTGAGCCGATTGATAGGGTTGCTGATTGAATCGATATAGCAAGGTATTCGATGATGGGGTATCGGTACGGAGTTGTGGATCGGCACTTCGCGCTTCTTGGTTTTCACCCCAGCGAGCTTCCTGACTTTGCGAATATGGCAGATGCTGGTCCCTGTCAAACCCCGGCTCTTCATCCTCATTCAGCAGCCAATTTATGGACATTCGACCTGGCATTATTGTGAATGCTCGCGATGTTGGCCAACAATCTGCCTTAGAGCTGGAACACTTCCCACTACAGTGTCAGGATACAGGATACTTCAACTCGTTACGGAAGCCTCCCTGTCAGGTGCTCGCGGCCGTGAGACACTGCTGGATTGTGGCTCGAAAACAACGTGATAGGAGCCTTTGTAGCTGACAAAATGAAAGAGCTATACGAGACGTGGCCGGCAGGACATTCTGAAGGATCAAAATGCCGACAGGGATTCTCCATGCCACTCGAACATGGTCTTGCAACAATCCGTATTGAAAACCGAGAGACCCAAGATTGTTGGAGAGGAAGGAAATGTGGAGCCTTCGAAGGCACGGTCAAACTCGATTCGCCGACTTCATCTCTCCTTGACAAAGATTGGTTCTGCGCCGCAAAAGGGGACAAGGAGCAGGGCAGGTAGACCGCTACTGATTGTGGCATGCCTACCCAGCGCTGGTTCTGGGCACGAAATAATGATACCAGAGTGACTAGGCTACACCTTCAAGGCCGTTACGATCTCCGTAGGCAGCGGCGCATAAGGCCCATCTCGTGGCAAGGATCGTCTCCGTTTTCGTTCCATATTGCAGCATGCCAATTCCAGCAGCCTTGCCCCATGGAGCGAACCGGTGGAAGCTGCATGAGGGTGGCGCGCTCATCTGACACCAAAACTTTGGGGGCAGCGCTCCGTTCGGTATTCACCGGGGTCTGAAGCAGGATTTCTTCAGCTTGGTAGGCGCCCGAGCCGCGCCTTTACGATCTATTCCAGCAAGCTATTCACGTTATTTGACTCGATTATACCTGGGTGCAATGTCTGGTGTCGCCTTTGTCTGCTTCGTCCGTCTCAGTCCTCGTGTGCCGTATGTCCATTCGGTTCGCCTGGAAGACGGCATCAGTGGGGGAGGCTACCCACCCCCCTGTTAGCTCCGTTAGGTCATCGCGAACCTTGTCAATACAACCGCGCGATAAAAGGTGGAAAGGCAGGTTACTAACATTAAATCTCTCAAAAGCAACATGCTCGAAAGGATACTATGGTACGAGGCTCGAGTTTGATCCCAAGGGGACGCAGCCGCAGCACACGCCCGTCACATGAGCCGCCGCCACTACTTAAGGTTTCATCCAGCACTGCTGCCATTTTCCATCAACGCCCACTGATAGCAACTGCTCAGTTTGCTGTCACCAAGTCCCATCAGCAAGGCAAGACGCGTCCTTTGTTCATATATGTCCTCGCTGTGATGTCACTTTCCAGTCAGCGGTTTTGAGATGCTGCAGTGTCCTGCTCACGATGTGACCTGTCACAGTTATTGCCCCAAATTTGGTGCTTGTGCTAACTAGTCCTGCATGCGATTTCGGCCTTGACTCCTTCGCTCTTTATGCTAGGCTATATCGGGGAGCCCACTAGAGTACCGCCTTGTGCAAAGCTGGCCACGCTGCTGGTCGGTCACACTTGACACCCGGCCGCACGAATCACCTCCCTTCAGCCTCGTTTCTCGAAAGGCATTCTTCAGGATCGAAATCTCCCACGTTCCTCCGGTGCCCCGCTCAGCGTTGGGGGAGCCAGCTTCCAAGCGTCATCACTGGTGTGAAACGTTCAGCCTATGCGAGAAAAATGTCATGATTACAATCACATCTCTCACACGCCCCCACTTCTTGGATGGGTCAATTCAGCTGTGCCGCATAGCAGCAGCTTCGAGCGGCTGTTTAGCCCGGCAGCTCGGTCCCGTACCGTTCGTTCTCATTGAGCAGCTTTTCGCCTGCTCGAAACAATCGCCCCAAGATAGGATACTAGGGAAACTATGCCCCCATTCATTAGCGAGCGGTGGAAGCATCAGGTCGGAAGAGATCGCCGTCCTTAGAAGCTGCCTAAGATTGCTGCTCAAAATTGGAAAACATTAGCCCACTTTACGCTATCTCAAATGAAGCTAGGTTGTACTCCGTACCACTGCCTTGGAATCTTTCCCTGTCCTCCTCAATCTGTCAGCACATTTACTCCAACTACGATTTTCGGAGCGGGGTTTGTCGCTATGGTTTTATGATACTTTAGCTGGCCGTACGGTGAGACGGGTTTGTGTCAGAAGAAGATAGGTGAAAGCCTATGTGCTGCTGCGTTTGAATATGTGCAATGTGGCCCTAGCTCGAACACTGCAGTAGGTTTCACCCGCGGGCGGCAGAGATGTGGAGAAGAAACTTCAGTTCTTTCTCGACCGTTCGCTACCAGACTTTCGGGATTCCACGCAAAGGATGGCCCACCTCTGCAACACCGCCGATTTGACTTTAGGGCAGTGCCACCCCAGTTGCAGAAGCTGTGCAAGGCCAGAATCGGCCTTGTACATCATTTCCGAGTTGGTCAGATCATCACGCCCCTGAGAGCTGCTGATTGATGTAGCTAGCGCTGTGGAGGCAGAGAAGTAGATGCTGAATTTCTGACTTTCTGACTCATTGTATCACGAACCGAGATACTGCTTTTTGTCTTACCATACTCTAGACTCGTTCGGAATCTATCCGGAGGCTCGGGTCTGAGGATGCCTTGCACATGGCCGGACTAGGCGACATTGAACGTGCTTGAACAACCACCTCCGACAACGTTATACGCCGAATTCAAAGGGCGCATTCGTGCACCGACGTTTTGACCGTTTGATGCACAGAACGCAAATCCACTCATGTCGTCAGCAAGACACTTTTTCGTCGCAAGCTATTGCGCTCTTGTCCCCCCAACCTTATATTTTCAAGGGTGACTGGAATTGTCAGTGGATAATGACAATGCTAATGTTGACTGGCCTCGTAGGGGTCTCTCGATTCCAGATTCACTTTACATGCCGTCGCGGTACACGGCCTCGAAGGCATTGTGACGACTGTTCCCGGCCTCAGAAACCCCTGTCCTAACCTAGCTCTTTGACCACACTCACCTTAGTTGGCTTTCAACGGTATTCCGAAGAAGGGTGCGGCAGGCGGTACCGCGGCCATCACAGCATCAATGAGCTAGCTACTCGATGTCTGCTTCATGCAATGGCCGTGAACTAATGCAGTCGTGTGTGGTATGGGGTGGCGCTATACGACTGGTTTTTTGGCTGCCTGGCAAGATGTGCAAGCTTCGACTGGTTAGACATGCAAGGCAGCCAAACAACGTGTCAGCTTCGTCAGACGAATGTCTTGATTCGATCTCAGTTGCACGCTTGCATCGGCCACGGCGGCGTCGAGTGGTTACAGAGCACCCCTGTCGCCTCGGTGAGCGTCTCCAAAGGCAGCCCCCGAAGGCTAGGTGAATTGAGCAATTGGTAGCAGAGAGCCATCGGTCTACACCGCCTTGCGCGCTTCCTGTTTGTATGCCTCATCTATAGGACCAACCCTTAGTCTCAGTTGGAGTCACTAGATGCGTCCAGTCATTGTTATTCCAACGTCCCCCAAACCCATATCGAAGCCCCCACTCTGCCAGAAAGATTGCTGTACAGTTACGAAGGCCCCAATCTTGTTGGCTTCACGATCAATCACAGCATAATGCCTACCTGAGAGGAGCTTATTCGCACTTCTCTCCTCCCTCAAACCAGCTCCGAAATCCACACAGCAGCTGTCATTGTTGCTTCAGTTAGTCCTTCCTCATTTTCCTAACCTTGCTTGGAAAGCATTGTCAGCATTTTATCTCTCTCGACTCGTTGGATATTTTTGTTTTCGCGGTGCATTGGCCTCTTCGAACCACCTGCAAGTTCTGCATGCTGTCCCTTTCCATCAATCTCATGAAGCAAGCACGGTCAGGATCAGCTCACACCCCTTCAGCTGATGCTACTGCAAAACAGCCATCCATCCGTGCCGCCCGAAAACACGGCATTCTCACTCACCGTTTGAGAGTCCTAGCTAATCCCTGACTGATGATCTATCGGCGCAGGCTCCGTATAGGCCGGCAGTCAACGAGCGACAGGAACAGGCCTCAAAATAACTGTGCGGTCAGTGCACAAAAGGTTCGGAAAGCACTCGACGCTCTATTCACATCACTTTTCATGGTGGAACAAGTAGTGGGCGACAACGAAATCAAGATCCAAACAAGCTGCGGAACGAGCTATGTACAATTTTGTATAAAGCTCAAGTGCAACGTATCGAAACACCCTGTTGTGAGACCTGGCGTATCCGTTGTACCGGAGCTCCAAAATGAACGTCCTCACCACTCCAACATGCCCTCTTTCTTAACCAATGAAATCGTCTTGCCAGAAGCCGAAAAGCCTATATTGTCTTGCTCACAGCGCAAACCGCAAGCGCTTATGTTGTGGGGAGAATATAATCTTCGCATCAAATGCCTTCACAGGCAGGGCGCTATATATTAACTTACTAACTACTTGGAAGATTTTGTTCACCCCGTGCGCCGCCGCTACAATCTTCGTCTCCCTGTCAAACAAGCTCCGCAGTTCTCATCCGTAGTACTTCCCAGAAAGCGTACGGTGTTGGCATGCGCTCTCGTCACGTCGCCATGAGCTATTATTGGTAGCTTTTTCTTTTTACCGTGGACTTCGCCAACGGATCCTCGGACATTTAGACGCCACGAGCTGCTGACTGCCACACCTAAGTTACTGCCGAATGTTTCAAAGAACCCAGCCGCAAATCGATGAACAGCTTTCTGCTCGGGCCTGCTGCGGGCACTGGTGTTGTGATCAAGGGGTTCTATTTTGTCGGCGAAGGCTCAGAGGAACCGCTGCTGCCCGTAACGTTCTCGCAGCTCACCTAATCATCACAGACTTATGTAGGCGGTAAACTATTGAATACTTTAAGCGGCATTCCAATCTTTCCCTTTGAGTGAGGTGTGCTGTACATGTACAATCCTACTACCATAACCCTTTCTCCCTAAAACCATTCACTATGAACACCCAGCTAGCTCGGTTTCTTTCTTGCTTGCTCCAAGGAGCACCAGCATTTTTTGCCTACAGCGACAAACGGCCTCTGCTAAGTACCGCAATCCTACATACACAACAAAGCGGTTCAACCTGACTTGGTAGTACTCCTGTAGATGAAGTTGAATGGTCATAATGATAGTGAACGCTGTACTCCGTATAGTAGTAGTAGTATTCAGGAAACCCATCTTGCTTCTAGCAGGCAGGGACGTATGTGGTTTTCGTTCTTTCTTTCTTGCTTGCTCATCCGAATCTAGCCCCACAGCCCCTTTGGGAGGGTTATCATGCGCCGAATTTCATTTCATTCATGCCCGTCCCCGCTCCCTCCCACCCGGATCCAGCCATGTGCCCATCAAGTCTTTCTGTGAAGATCTTCAGGTCTCCTCCTCCCATCTTCATTCCTCATACCTCCCGCGCGCAAGGTTTCTGCCATCCTGTCGCGTCTAGATATGCATTCCATATGTTGAGATCTTGATGAACTCCATCTCCATGTCGGAGGGGTAGTCAGTCACCTGGTTTTATTCCCAAGAGACGCGCTCTGTCATTCACCGATTTGGGAAAAACCAACTAGTACGCTTTCCTCCACCACCGCTGGGATGGGGATCATCCTGCTTCTGCACACTGGAGAAAAATGGTATGGGCGGTGCACCGTTCATCAGGGGGGCAGGAACACCACCACCCTCCGTCCCACCACCACCACCTCCACCTCCACGTAACGGCTTCGCTATCCGCGACGTTGTACCACCGAGAAACGAAGCGGCCATCCCACCTTGACTGGTGGGGAGATTCCGTGCCGAGATTTTGGCGGCTTCGAGCCGCTCCTTGACGGCTTGAAGCTGAGCTTCAAATCTGTTCGATTGGTTAGTACATGGGCCGATACAGAAGCTATACTGGAAGACTGCATACCGGTGATTTGCTGCGGTAAGTTTCTCTTGGCTGTCACCCAGCAGCGCTTCTAACGAAGCGATCCTCTCGTTGCGAGCAATCAATTTCCGCTCCGCGATCGCCACTTCCTTCTTCAGATTCCCATTCTGCTCCACCAGTTGTCGCTGCACGATCGTCAGCTGCTCAAGATTCCTCTCCAGGAATGCCATCTTCTTCTGCTGCTGCCGGTTGTTGGAGCTACGCAGGACATTATTGTATTCTTGTCGTGTCTCATCAAGAGAGATCTCCAGCTCGACAACCCGCTCGCATCTGTTCTGAAGGTCCCGCATCAGGGACTTTTTCATGAGATCGAATTCTGATATTTGCTGGGCGACAGATTTCGTAGGTGTGCCATTCGCCGCTAATCCGTTGGATTGATACGGAGGAGGTGGCGACTGTTGATGTTGTTGCCGGTTTGAAGCTGACTGGCGAAGGCGGTCAATCTCTTGAGTTTTGTGCATAAGTTCGTCGCGCAAGTCAGCGACGAGGTGGGCCTGCGTCTCCATGCGCTCTGAATATGAGTCTGAAAGACGACTTTTGATTTCTTCGATGTCAGAAGGCTGAAGATTCCTTTCTAATACTTCTTCGTAGGCACGTTCGATATTCGAGAGTTTCTGTTCAAGCTCAATTCGCTCGTTGTCTTGAAGTTCGTCAACCTCGCTGCGGTTGGTCATGTGGAGTTCCGCCTGCCGAATGAAGCCCTGTGATTCAACTAGTTGTGCTTTGATGTGTTGGAGCTCATCTGGTGAGATCACTTCTCCTAGTGCGCTTGTCTTAAGCAGCGAGTCTACCTGTTGTAGGAGGCCCTGCATCTTGCGCTCGTTTTCGGAGAATACTTGCGATCCGAGATCAAGTCCAGCCATCATCCTCGCCATTCTCTCTTGCTTTCTACGCTCCTTTTCATCGAGTACAGCTGATGTTTCTTTTGCACTCATCCTAACATTAAGGAGTTGTTGCTTGACCGACTTCAGCTCTTCCTCAAGTTCTGAGTTTACCACCTTCAGACCATCCATTGTGATGTGATCCTCTTTACTCTGAAAGGACACTTTCTCCAGATCTATCCGCGCCCTGTTTAGCAGTTCAACCATCGAGTTATTATCCTTCGTAGTGCGAGACATGGTCGTTCTAAGGTTGGCGAGTTCCTCCTTAGCCTCAGCAAGGCTCTTTTCTGCATTGGCTGCTTGAGTCTCTTTCTCGGCGATTTGATCATGAAGTTCGTTCTCCCTTCGGAGGAACTCATCTCTTTCGTCCCTCTCGGTGATAAGGCTCGGAGTGCTCGATCGATCTCCTATTCTGGAGCTAGGCCGACTGGGTGTTTCCGATCTTATGGCGTCCATGCGCGGACCTGAAGGAGTTGCTATCGCTGGAAATTTCGGATCCCTGGCAGCACTCTCCGCACCCATAGGTTGTACCCACTGCTCGCTCGGCACCGTTTCTCCTTTCCGCCAGAGCCGAAGCTCGCTGTCAAGCAGGGCCATGTATTTCTCGAAGCTCAACACCTGGTTCTGCGCACTCTTCAATTGCCTCTTCAATTCGGCTGGACTCAGCTCCGCATTGATCTTGGCCTTGTTCTTGATCGCCTTCGCCCTCATGCCAAATCGAAGCGTGCTGATTGTTTCGGCATCATTATAACTGCTGGGCGAGCAATTGATTATCAGTGTCGTGCGTGAGTTACCGCCAAGCGACTCTTGTAGGATTCTCGTAAGCTTCGAGTCACGATAAGGTATGTGCGAAGATTTGCCATCTGTCAGGGAATTTATAACCATTCCTAGAGCACTCAAACTCTTGTTGATCTTCTTCGCCTCCTCCAAAGTCTGTCCGCTGGCGCCAGTCTTGCCCACCTTCTCCGAGCCGGCCAGATCTACCAAGTATAAGACCCCACTTTTCTGGGTCCCCGTTGTTGTGTCCTTCTGAGATATTGTTATGACGAAGACCGAGTGTGATCGCGACGATTCTTGATTCATGTTTGTTGCTGCGGTCACTCTCGACCTTTGGCCGATTTGCAAATACGCATACACTTCATCTGCTGAATTTGCATATGCCTCTGTAAGATCTTTGACATAAACTCCATGTATCTTGTCTTCATGTATAGCTAGATTGTCCTTTGCCGGGTTCAAGAGATCCCTTATACGCTCCATGTAGACTTCCATATATCCGACTTTGACGGTAAACTCCATGTGCTGTGGGGCGGTTTGAAATGCAGCGAAAAGCTGCTCCACGATCCTTGGTATGATGCCCTTATTTTGTGTATCCTCCATATCACCCATCATGGTGTACGACTTCCCAGCCCCGGTCTGACCGTAAGCGAAAACGGTTCCATTGTAGCCTGCCAAAACGTCGCTGACTGTGGAACGGATCGAGAATTCGAAGATATCGGCTTGTCGCGATTTCATGTCAAAGACACGATCAAACGTGAAGGGAGCATTGACCTCGCTTGACTAGGCAATGTCAGTTTGCCATTCTAATGCTGATTTTGACCATTGTAATCTGCGGAGAACATCGCACCTGGATAGAACATGTGTCCTCGCCTTGGAATTCCACAATCGGTTGTCCACCGTTCGCGAGCTCGGTTTTATTCTGCGGTCGAAATCGAGCCACCACTAGTTTATCGTCAGCTAGAAGACGCAGGGTAGAACTGCCTGAACTTGCCCTTGATGGTATTGTAGCTCACACTGGACGAAGAGCTCCTGCGGAGTGATTAACTGCACGTCCGTGTACAGAAGGAGGAAGACTAACGCCATGTTTGCAACTCAATCTATTGTGAGAAATTGACGTTTCAAAAAAAGCTGCTTGGTACAATCTTCAAGGTATCGTTGAAATGTCCTCGACCACCTTCTCTTGATAAAAGGGGGGTTGCAAAGGGATCTCCGGATTAGGCATAGAGTGTGGCATTGCATAGAAGACACAGATCATGAGTTGAAAAGAGGTAATTCAATGCTTGGAATTTGTGATTCATGTTGGTGTGTGATTGACCCTTGAGAGTCCAGCTGCTGTGATTGTTGACAGTGCAACATCACCACGACCCTGAACACGCGAGGCGGAACCCTACCGCGGTCTAAATTGCCTGCATGGTCCCACTGCAATGGAACAATTTCATGCACTACTGCGGGATACAAAATCTACTGTTCCAAGGAGCATACGGAGTAATGGATTTCCAATTACTTTCATACAGCTCAAGCCTACATGTCTAAATTTCTGAAGCCGCGAGGGCTGCGGATACATGTAGCTATTATGATCGTGTTTACTAGACGCCTCCACGAAACAGAACTCCTAGCCTCATACTCTTCATCCCTGCATGACCAACGACAGCAGCAGGACATACGGACAAAACATAGGCAGCGAACAACGCCAGGCTCATGCTATTCCTGAATAGAGAAACTCCATGCCCTCCATCTGACGAGCAGCCGTGTAACGTAACATGTCGTGTAAGCTCATCAATCTTCCCAGCTTTTCTCAACTGTCTCCCGCACCCTTTTCTTGTATTCTCGGCTATTGTCTTTGTACAGATTAGAGGCCTCTACATTGGCAGGTGAGGAAGTATTTGGATCGTTTAGTAGGCTTTGGATGCTGGTGAGGATGGCAGCGACATCATAGGTAGGACTCCATCGGTTTTGTAGGATATCCAAGCATAGCTCTCCAGTACCGTAAACATTTGGATGAAACATCGTGCTAACGAACTTGACTCCGGGTGGTTTGTTTGGATATTGCTCTTCAAACTGCATGACAAGACGGAATGTGCCATCTTCAAATGGTGTGTCTGCGGGGCCAATTATCACAGCATTCCTTCTTGTCGTTAGCTTCTATACGCGTGCTGAATGTTGCAAAGATTCTTCAGACGCACCATGTCATAACGTTGTCTGCAATTGGGGAGGCAGAGACACCAGCTGGAGGATCTGTTTGCATGCGCTATTTGAGAGGCTTAGCAAGTTGTAGACTAGCAAAATCTCCAGCAAGATAGACGATCTGCCTTCCAGGAATGACAATCATAACTCTGGGGTGAAAGACTTTCGTACCTTGAAATCACGCATCAATCGGCGCCGAGCGGTAGTAGACATCGTGAGGCAGTGATGTATTATCTGGTTGTGTGAAGCTGGTCAAACTATTTCTTTCGGATGAAGGTTTTGGGTAAGGTAGAAGCTTCAGTGTAATCAATGCAAGTATGGCAAGAGAAGTGTTTAAGGGTGAGATCGGTCTGTTGTTGGAGTTGATGTATCATCAATCCATCCGCTGTTGCCAAGACAGTCTATGCTCTGCTGTTACAAGTATCACTCTGGGCCAGAAAATTTCGCTGTAAGAGGCCTACAGTGGCACGACAACACCTGTCTACGCTTCAATACTCGAGTTTAATAACAAGATTGAATATTGTATCGGCATGGCTAGGCCATAACGTGTGCAGATGCATAACGGATGTAGAACCTTGAGTGTTCTGAAACTGACTCCAGGTGCTGCAAACCGTGGTACTACCTTGGATGTCCGTCTCTCAAGCGGGCTTCCCATTCCTTGAGCGTTGCTCAGCACTGGCCTTGACCGCCTGCTTCGATTTAACCTTGTGAGCATCCCCAATGCTGTATCCTTGTTGGCTGGTCCAATGCGGATCCATTTCGAACCGCGTATGCTGGAGGAGTATGTAGGTGGTAGTGGCACCAATCGAGCAGTCAAAAGCTTGCGCACATCAGAAAGCAGCAGTCGTCTATCTTCTTCGACGTAAAACCCTGCCCATCATCCAAAGGGCTATTAAAAATGTGCAGGGTTTCGCATTGATGAGCTGAGGAAATGTCTCCCTATCTGTTCACAAGCACAATGTTAGCATTGAAATTATGACGTAGTACGAAACTTTATATCAGCGTAACCGGACCAATCCAGATATAGGCCAAATACCAGCAGACTGTGATACCTTTCCCCAACATGTTGGATATGGGCTGAAGGAAGTGTAACATGAGATGTTGTGCTAGTATGAGCTTGTATTGGATGACTCAAGCACCATACTGCAAATTTCAATGTCCGATAGTATATGTCGATGACGTTCAAAAGTCCCTCGTTGCTGTTAAGATCGAGTGCTGGACTTTCATAATGTAAGGACACTAATGTCAATCCCTTTTTCATGCCAGCAAGTTGCTAAACCGCTAATAAACCAGTCATACCTGATGTCTCGCAATGCTTGCAGGGTCAGTACATGCATTTGTGAAACTTGTTTCTTTTGCTGCTCGGGTCAAAGACGTGAAGAGCCTGACTGCTACGTGTCAGTGGACCAGAGACAGCATGCAAACTGAGAACCTGATGACTGGTCCCATCTTGAGGATGACAGATATTTCATGAAGCTCGATATGCGCAAGGCCAGCCACGTTGCTGGCCCTCAGCAGGTTATCATTATATACATCATTCAGATCGTTTAGTGCAAATTCTTGTTCATTCGCTAGTTGATATGGACGTTCGATTCATTTAGCCCAGTCCGTGCAGGCCTGAGATGTTTCAGACTCGGTATCATTCTTCCAACAGACATGGACAGCGGATGTAGCATGTCATCGACTTTCGCTGTAGGCTCGATGCTATCCAGCCTGTGGCCTTTTGCCACGAAAGTCGTGCTGGTGTTGCACCAATTGAAGTGCTCTATAACTCTGGTCCCGTTCACACCAAGGTTGGAGTAAGTGTTTATGCGGGGAGAGCAATCGTCCTACCACTGTACCACCTAGGAGGAAAAGCATGACCACAATTAAAATCGGTAGATTGGGGTTATTATTTTTCATGTTGATTCTTGTGTGAATGCTGGCACATTTTGCGTATGTGAAAGCTTGAAAGCGTAGATACTATTTCTAGTATCTAGCCTCTTCAAGCCTACGCTAAAGCTCATGTGGATCCTTTTCTTGCAAAATATCCTCATTCCTTGAACCCTCTTTTACATGCATTTCTGGCGTATTGCTCTGGACATCTTGAGATGAAAAGTGATTGAGCTGAGGAATATGGTCATCATTCAAATGAAACGTGGATGTGAATCTTAGGACATGCTTCGCGCTCATTTGCGGATAAGACTACCCCTGCATTATGATTCCAGAGCAGCCACATGGCAATGTTCTTGAAGTGTCGAGGACTACCATCACCGTGATTGATTGGGTGCAAGTCAAGATTTTCGTGGCCTGCTGTATACTAATAAAACTAAGTCCAATAAGAAAATTGTTCACCTCGTCCACAGTCATTTGTAAGATTTCTCCTGGTAAGAGAGGCATAGAAGTCATGTTCAAGATGAATCTTGGTTATGAATTTTAATAGATTAACTGGTGATAGGAGATGAGGCTAAAAAGAGGTCAGATTCGGCTTGGGATTGGTCGATGTCAATGAGAGACAGAAGCTAATAATGTAAGATCGTTTGGCAAGTGAAGAGAAGTTGTCATCGCAGGAATATCACGTGATCAATGTGATTGTGATGGATTGGTATTGCTAGGATGAAAATAGCCATTTTTCTGTATAGATTTAGATAGTGAAGAATACCACTAGGAAGGTTTGACTTGTCCGGTGCTGTACGAACAGTTAGAAAAATTCATATGTTCCTTCCTCCAGTAACCGATATGGTCTGCCCATTGACATAGGAGAAGAGCGGAGAAGCCACAGCAAGGATTGATCTTGCGGCTTCTGTAGCAGTTCCTGGTCTCCCCAGAGGAATATCCTTGTATGCACTCTCCCCAGCATCACCAGCTTTCCTTGCTTTGATTTGTTGTCCGGGTATTCCCAGAGCGACCTTTTCTCCATCTGGAGTTGTTATATATGCGCCCTCTTCTTTTGCAGCTGTCAACCTCGTGAGGATGTATCCAAAAGCTACCGTGTTCGCCCGGACGCCGAATTGTGGACCCCATTCTTTGGCGATTGTCTTGGTCAATCCCGTCACACCTGCTTTCGCTAGGGCGTAATTGGCCTGTCCTGCATTTCCATGCAATCCAGAAGTGCTTGAGATATTGATGATGCATCTTGGCTGTCCATCCTTTACCCGGAAATATGGGGCTGCGGTTCGGACGAGCCGAAAGGGTGCAGTGTTGTGGACTGCAAGTATGGTATCCCATTGCTTGTCTGTCATCTTATGGATGACGCCATCCCATGTGTAGCCAGCGTTGTTGATAATGATATTGATCTTACCATTGCCGAACTCTGCGGTAGCTTTCACCAGCCTAGGAAAGTACTCGGGATCGAGGATGTCGCCTGGAACAGAAATCGCTCGATCGGGTTGAGAGGCATTTATGGCGGATGCCACTTGCTCAGCCTTTTCTGAACACAGTGAGGTGAACATCTGGCAAGAGTGAAAGTACTGACGAGCATCAATGTCTGCAACAACCACCTTCGCTCCCTCGTTTGCAAATAGACGAGCACACTCCGCTCCTATACCTTGCCCAGAGCCAGTAATGATAGCTACCTGCCCAGTCAATAGGCCTTGAGGAAAGTTGAGATGAGAAGCAAGCTGCTCCAACCGATCTTGAGGCGACATAATGTCAAGCGCTGTCGCCAGCCCCTCTCACATTAAAACCAGTCAACCGCAGACGAAAATGGTTGTCTGTGAATGCAGGCAAGGGATTCTGTTTTTACCGAGGTTCATGATTTATGGAGGCTGACACCGACCATCTGTCATTCAATTGGCCAAGCTGTATTTTATTGTCAAGTCCTGGTCTTGTGTTTTCTGAAGTTGGGCTGCTATGTACACGAGCAACGGAACATACCTAATTCATCTCCTTATCCACCAGCCTCATGCTGCTTTCGTTGGTAGTTCTCGCTGTAGGTGCAGCTTCCGCACTGGCTACACACACATCGAATTGGGCTGTTCTGGTGAGCACTTCGCGATTCTGGTTCAACTACCGTCATCTTAGCAATACTTTGTCGTTGTATCGCACCGTTAAGAGGTTGGGAATCCCAGACAGCCAGATACTTCTTTTACTCCCTGATGACATGGCTTGCAATCCACGAAACGCGTTTCCCGGAACAGTCTACTCCAACGCCGACCGTCGCATGGACCTCTACGGAGAGAATGTGGAGGTTGATTACCGAGGCTACGAAGTCACAGTGGAGAACTTCATCCGGCTGCTGACCGATCGGTGGGATGAAGGCGTGCCTGCTGGAAAACGTTTAGGAACGGACGAAGGGAGCAATATTCTGATTTACATGACCGGTCATGGGGGAAGTGAGTTCCTGAAATTTCAAGACAGCGAAGAGATAAGCAGCTGGGATCTGGCAGATGCATTCTCTCAGATGAGGGAGAAGAAAAGATACAACGAGATGCTCTTTATGATCGATACTTGTCAGGCCAACACTCTCTACCGCCAATTCTATGCTTCAGGCATGATCGCTACCGGCTCGAGCGAGGAAGATGAGAGCTCTTACTCTCATCATGCCGACAACGATGTGGGTGTCGCCGTCATCGATAGGTGGACATACTATGTGCTTGATTTCTTGGAAACACAAGTCACTGGCCCCACAAGTGAAAAGACCTTGGGTGACCTCTTCGATTCCTACGATATCCGCAAGATCCACTCTAACCCGGGAGTAAGGTGGGATCTCTTTCCTGGGGGCGAGGCGGCAGGACGATCGAGGCGGGTCGTTGACTTTTTTGGGAATGTACAGAGTGTGGAAGTTCAGGGCAACAGGACTGAGACTGAGCTGTGGAGGGAAGATATTGCGGGACTACGTGGACTGATCGCAGAGTACGAGAAGAGAGCGGAGCACCAGGAAATGAATCAAACAAAGATGTATACAGCAACCGCTGCTGTAGGGGCAAAGATATCGACATGTGATAACAGCCAAACCAGCCGAGTCAAAGCAATGAACATTCAGGATGAAATCGACTGGAAAAGACAAGTAGGTGGGATCACTGTGATTGGGGGTCTCGCAGCTATCTGGTTCCTTGGACCTATGTTTCTGTCCTGATCCTGATACCGCTTTGCCTGCGGGTTGTGGGCGTGATCCGGATTCCTTGATCGGTGGTCACAGAAGACTCTCTAGCATATGCAACACAGTCCATCGAGGAGCTCGAAGGGGTTTCAGGGGAACTACACAAGTGCAGTCACAAGGCAATACCAGCGGGAGACAAAGAGATACAAATTCCTGGTTGACCCAGCCGCAGCAGCACCCGTCGATGGCAGGCCTCGATCTGATGCTGTCTCGAGTCGCTTGTGTTGGCCGATCGACCTAAATCCCTGGTGACGGCTGCACACAGCAGAAAGATGTCAAATGGCCAAATATAGGACATGATTATTGTTTGTGAGTGAAGAGAAAGGGTGGCCTGTGAGCCTGTCCGGGGCACAGTGGATGGTGTGAAACCAGTACGTGATGGGCCCACGCGAAGGAAATTGCCGACATACGTGCAGGTCCCGCCAGTGGTTGATGGTAGTTGACAGCGGCGTGTAGTCTGCCTCACACAAGATCCAGCCACCGGATGCTAGTCTCCGCCGAACCTATGTAGTAAGATAGATGGCTACAAATGTTCGCTTATGTGAACCATGTCATCGTATGACCTCACCGATGTCTTGACATAAGCTTCATTCTGCAAAGTCCAACTCTCAGACATGGTGCTGGCTGAGTGGGTTTGAGATCTGCTTCATGGAAGTACTACGTAAAGTAAGAGACACTCATGCCAAGGGTTTCCCCTGAGCCCCTCGTGTGACTGCAATGGTTTCACTTCCCACGTTCTTGCCCTGTTCTGCACGTTTCTAGTTCCTACTTGGGAATACAAGGGGTTCATCCACGGGTTTGACACGTCTATTTGGGACCTGGTAGCCAAGATATCAGGTCGAAAGATACTGTTAAGAGGACGTTTCATAATGCGAAAAAGTGTTCCGAATTTGGCTTCACGCAAGGGTATTTCTATTAGCGACCAAATTGCTTACGATCTATGGAAGGCATGGAATGGAACTGTGAGTTTGAATTGAGAAGAAGAAAACCTAGTATTTCCTCTAACTAGGCACCACTACTTGACAATGCCATCACGCATTTCATGCATAAATATCCATCAACTACATCGCTGGCTGGAAATAACTTCACACCTTTCCCTGCCTCAACTCAAATCAATCGCATTCCAATTGACCTAACCCTTACCCGATCAATTTCGTTCAAGCTTGAGCTCTTTCTCCTTCTGTATTCCAGCCATCATTTTGAGTGTTCGACAGTCCGACCATCACGTGGAAACCGTGCACCCGACTCTCGTCACTGTCATGTGGTCAACATGTAGTCTGCCTGTTGGGCCATCGAAGAAAACCGCAAAGAGATCCACAACGTCACCCGAGAAAAGTCGACCTATCCGCGCACAGGGCAAAGAAAAGACGGAATGCTCATCGTTTTCTTGGACACCTCCTTGGCTCAGTGACCCAAACCTCGTAGATGTCGCCACCACACAATCACCGCGCCACACCAGCGCCGCCACCTCGGGCACAGGCGCCAGCCAAGTGGAGGACAACGGATTGCCTGTCAGTATAGACACAGTCCGCGTACAGCTGTCTACAGCAAAGTCCCACCTCAGCATCTTACAAATACTGCTTACATATGAAGAATATGAAGGGACCCTCGATGAAATTCGTGATAGAATCCTGATGCAACAAGGCAAAATCAAAATTCTGGAGCAGCACCTTCGCGACCTACAGCTAAAAGAGAAGAAGACGACGCCAAGGAGGCTGTCGATTCAGGGGATATTCTCAAATCCACAGAGAGCAGGTCCTTTAAGAACGTGTTACCAGAAGAAGTGATATCCACTGAAAGAAGGACCCCATAATGTTGGATGATGATGATGACGGCATTGAAGATCGCTGTGTTCACCATCGAGAGAGCGTTAGAATGTAATTGACGCAATGCTCGAAAGAAGATAGCTGGAAGGAAACGGCCGCTCGGTCCATGTAACTGCTTGTTGCACACGGTTGAATGATATTTGGCAGTCTGAGAGGAGTTTCTCGAGTATTTTAGATCGAAACTTTGCATGTAGGATAATCAGATTAGAACGACTTGAAATGCCCTGTATTAGAGACAGAACACAACAGGAAGGCATTAAGGTATTTCAAGTTCCCTCTAACCGAGATAGCTGTGGACGACAGTATGGTTCTTGTCCGAGTCTCTGTGCGACATTCTCCGCGCCACAATCCCATGCCGAGTTGGATCGATATTAGTCCCTGAGACCTCAACGGGATCAGATTGTCAGTATCAAGTAAGTCTCTCTGTATTCTTGTCTATCCATTCGATTCATTCATGAGTCGATGTTCACACATTATTTTAAAGTGAATGGTAGTGAAAACGTCTGGTACCCTCGGGTGGTATGTGTGTCCAAATATCTGATCAAGCTATTGGTCATGTCACCTGTTCGTTGCTTTTGGGGCCGAAAAGTCGAATCAGAGTTCAGAGGTGTCCGATTTGTTCAGGGACTTCCGGGCATCGAACGTCTATTCCTTGTCGGAGTTATGGACCTCTCTTTCGATCCAAGCATGTTACCCTTTTCAGAACAGGAATGTCCTCGGCTCGCGATATGTTCCCTGAAGATCAAGACAAACGGCCCTTGATCATGCATCAGATAAATTGTGATAAGAAATCTACGGTAACCATGCAAGAGAGCTATCTCCCTCCGTATCGGAGTTCGCAGATTATGCTTGAGGTCGATGAGCCACTTGTCCTGAAAGAGCATTAGAGCTTGAAGTCGGCGTTCATCTTTCCATGACCCTTGAGCATGGCATGATCTTGTGATGCCACCTTGTTCGCAAGATCCTTCTTTAGTTCTTGCGATTTCTCAGAGCTAAGCTCATAGATCGTAGCCAGGTTGAAGGTTAGGCTTCGATGGCCCTCCCCTTGATCGACTGCACTCTCCATTATATGGCGAGCAGCATTAAGGTGGCCAGCGTAAAGGTAGTTGACAGCGAGGTTCTGTCGCACGATCGACGCTAGGTGCATTTCCTGATTCCGAGTACGGAGGTCATCCCATCCTTGAATCGCTCCCTCGAATTGACCCTCAGCAGTCGCAAGAAGTGGTTTAAGCATCGCCACCGTCTCAGACGAGTCATCCAACAGCTCCTTCGCGGCAGGTAAATCCCCAACCTTTAGTAGCATCAAACCCATCCGTACCTTCCAGTCCACGTCACCAGAGGATTGCAAATCTTTCAACGTTCTCTTGGCGCATTCTAGGTCGTTGACCTCTATTAGAGCATTCGCCACTCGAATACCGAGCTCCTTTAGGCGCTGTACCCATAGCTGTTTCTCAATGGTAGTGATCCGTGAGGAAGAGATATGATCGCGGCATTCAAGTCCTAGGTCGTACAAAGCGGAAACACCGCGTCGCGGATCAGAGAATCCTATGGACTGCAGACGCGATGCTTGCAGTCGAAGGCGGAAAGGGAGGATATGGATTGGGAGATCATCTGTGGTCTCTAATTGTGACCCCCGGAAAGATGGTGGAGGGGAAACGACGTAGTAAAAGTCCGAGTTCAGATCTTCGAGTGCTTTTGATTCCTGAGCAGCTATTTGAGTGTTTCCAGTCAGCTCTAAGCACGAATATCGGATGGAAAGCAGATCAGCTATAGTCTTCACATCAGTGGAATCAAGCGCTGTTGAGGTCAATGCTCCAGCCGCTGTATGAGCCGCGGCGAGAAACTGCCCTCTTGAGAGGAGCCTGTCAGTCTCGGCGAGCAACTCGGGAAGAGATGCAGAAGCTGATATTGGCGTCAGGTCGGTACGAAATTGAGGCGGGACCTCTGTCTGAGATATGGGAAGATAGAAGGATGGATGGAGCAGGAATGACAGATCTTTGGTTTGCGGCACTGGATCCTCCGGATTGAACCTGTAATTGGACGGAGATGGAGGTGGAAGAGACTTGATGGTGGGCCGAAAAGGTGATTGACGAGAAGATGTCGCGGGCGACACAATGGTTGAATCGGAGTGAGGAGAAGAAACCTGGGTTGGCACAGAATGGCTGAGAGGGCTAGATGGTGTTAATGGTGGATATCAGAGAGCAGATAACTGTAGACATTACTCTATCCCTGCGTCTAATGGACCACTGGTGGATTGTCGTGTGAGAGATGCTGCCAGTCCTGTCGTTAGAATGTGCACCACTTATTATCATTGAAATCTGAGAGGGTGGACTCCATTAAAAGAATGATAAAAGCTAGTCCTCCCACTGCAACCAATAGACTGTATGGCTGCAGCAGGAGGCCTATATCGCAACAAAGACTCTCAATACCCAAGAGATAGCAGGCAAGACGTTCAGCCTTGAGAAGCAATAGCAACCTATGTGGGCAGAGTGCCAATAACAGACAAAGAGAAGCCTACCACGATTGGCCACTTTCTTCAGAGGTTTCGAAGCCATCACGAAGTTGTCACAGACTCGGCTGCTATTTGATAAATCTTTCATCTACTCCGTAGCATTCTAGGGTACGAGCATGGTCCGGCGGTCCTTTCAGTGTTCGCATCAGATTACAGCCAAAGACCGAGGTTGTGCCGAAGAGGACACCTCAATCTCCACGCACTTCGCACTTCACACTTCACACTTCGTAGCTTCGATTACACTCCAGCTCTGACAAGGTCTGGTTCCTGCCTGCGTCATCAACACAGTCGACCACTGCACCACATATCGCGAGATGGATCCGCCAAAAAACAAATATTCTGTGATTCTTCCCACATATAATGAACGCCAGAACCTACCTGTCATTGTCCAGATGCTGCACGACGTGTTTGAGGAAAAGTAATCGAGCCCCTGCTGTGACCTAACAGCCTGTGGTCGCTGACCAATTTATTCCACAGCATGCTCGATTGGGAGATCATCATCGTCGATGATGCTTCTCCCGATGGTACCTTAGACCGTGCCAAAGAACTGCGTACCGCTTTCGGTCCTGACCGCATCGTCCTCAAACCTCGAGCTGGCAAACTTGGTCTAGGGACCGCTTACGTCCATGGTCTACGATTTGTCTCCGGCAATTTCGTCATTATCATGGATGCCGACTTCTCACACCACCCGAAATTTATACCCAGATTTATCGAGATACAAAGGAGAAGTGATTGTGATATTGTTACAGGGACCAGGTACCGATCACGCAACGAATCGATTAGCGGCGTTTATGGGTGGGATTTGAAACGAAAGATGACAAGCGTTGGAGCAAATATTATCGCCGATTTCGTGCTTCGCCCAGGAGTGAGCGACCTGACAGGCTCCTTCCGACTCTACAAAAAGGAAGCTCTCATCAAAGTGATTGAGACTACTGAAAGCAAAGGATACACTTTTCAAATGGAGATGATGGTTCGTGCAAAAGCAATGGGTCTCCAAGTAGAGGAATGCCCGATCACATTCGTGGACCGATTGTATGGGGAAAGCAAACTTGGTGGCGAAGAGATACTGGAATACCTCAAGGGCGTTCTTTGGCTATGGTGGACCGTCTGACCAATAAGGAACATGAGAAGCAGCGATGCCTGGCGCTTAATTCCAATGGTTTGCATTGAAGTTGCGGCTCCGAACACAACCATCGTTCGATTGATTAAGCCGCCATACATTTCCTGCGGCTGGCTCCTTCGATCCCCAGTCAATAAGAACCTAACGCAAAACTGAAGTCAAGATGCGAAGCTGAACTTCTCATTCACCAGGGCAATTCTTGACCTTCCCTATGCCAGAACCTACCCATGTCTTCAATACTCTTCGCCATCAATAACTTCCACAACTTTGAAGCCGCCTCCTCGGGTTCAGTTGCTTCCGGTAAGTGATGGTTGCTAGGAATTATTCCTGTTGTGCCATAGCCGGGATGCATCACTACCACTATTACCTTGCTTTCTTTCAGGTCCATTGCCATGCTCTTACTGATACTATCGAGTGCAGCCTTGGATGCTCAGCAGGCGTATGATCTGCCAGAGGCATTGCCACCGACAGACCCCACTCGAGATGACATATTACCTATACGAGGATTAGATGACTTGAGAAGATTTGGAAGCAAAGCCTGTATCAGCGACAATGGACCGATTGTGTTGACAGAAAAGGTCCTGTTGAGAACGACCGAGTTCGTCTGTAAAAGCGAGTCCTGGTCTAGGGGATACATTATGCCTATGATGCTGTCAGCGTGTGGACAATGGCAAGCATTAGCCAGATTAAGCCACAATATTGAGGAGTACGTCAGTGGTCTCATTCTCAATCAATGTCGTAAATGAGTCAATTGAATCCCTACTTGGATGTGATATCTACTTGTGAGCTCCGGGCACCCTCACTAGTGAGTGATTCCAGTCCAGGTCCAATAGTAACGTCCAGTGCATATACTTTGTAGTCCTGCACTCATCTGATCAGCATTCTTCAAATTACGATGGTTCCGTTGAATCTGTGCACCTTAGCACAGAGTAATCGAGCAAAAGGCTGTCCGATGAAGACTGATAATTTTCCGGTAGTTAATGATTACGCACCGCAATCTGTCACACCAAGACTCACAGATATGTAGAAACCTTGATTGAGCCTCTGATGCTAGCGCATACCATAGAATCCACATACTTTGGCTACATTAGCGGTGCCAGTGTATTGTGTCGCAGTTGCGCGGCTCGTGAATTCGTATCAAGTATGGCTAAAAGACCAACAGTGAAACATGAGCACAAAGGGCTCACTGTATAGGGGATGTGGGTCCACTGAAGCCTTACTCCCCCGTCGAAAGGAGCTTCGGCTTGAACTCGGGCTGCTTGGTTGCTTCAGCTCGGAATACCAGAAACAATGACCTAAGACGAGTTAGTTGCGATGCTAGACAGATTGTGCAAAGATATACATTACATTGCCACCGGGACGCAGGTGGCAATGCCTGCCTGGTCCACGGTGCTCCTCGGCGTTGGTCCTAGGGGGCGTCATACTCCAAGTCCTAAATAGATGACAACCCGACTGACCTGTTGCGAAGAACAGTGGAAATTGGTGTAGATCATGTAAGGAATATGTGGGAAGAACGCACGGTCGACCAGTATAGAGTAAGAGTTTGTATAGCAGGTCAAGGATAGATTTGTGTACGTCCGAAGCCATGCTCTCATCTCGTAGATAGGTAATTCAACGCCTTTGTCAAGCAGTGACACCAAAGGCTGGTTACCACTTACATACTTTGTTTGAGAATTCAACCAGTATGCTACCGCCACACCTCTGGTGTGTGAGATGGAGTGAGCATCAGTCCAAATCGACAACTCAGCATGCGCTCGAGTTCAAGGAGTCCCAGAAAGCATCTCTATCTATACTGCTTATTCGAGGCATTCGAAGTGGAAACTCGTACAACGTAGAGTAAGTCGCCAACCAATCACGGTCACGTTCAGAAGTTTGTTGAGTTGACGGAATGGGTCAGACCGATAAGACTTTGACATTATTTGTGGAGTCTGGGAAATCCTCCCAATAGAAATCGGGGAAACAGTACATGTTTTCGTCGACTTAGGGCAGCTTGGGGTGGGACGCTCTGTCATATTAGGGGAAGTTATGCTGACTAGAAATCAAATAAGAAGTTGGGGGGGTCGTAAGTGGCCAGCGACGCCAAAGTACTACAGAGGACTTGCAGGGCAATGAACATGAGAACAATAAAGAAGCACACTGCGGGAGAAAAGATATGAATACATTTTGATAGCCCAGCGACCAAGGAGATGCAGCTGTCCGCAACCACGTCAGAGAATGCTTCCCAACCCTCGCTCGTCGCTTGTTAAAGGGGCAAGGTAGAAAGACTAAAAGATTAACTCGGGTAAGATATCTCATGCCAAGCTAATATACCGAGGTCCGTTGCAGTCACTACTATCCAGGATCAAGATGAACATGTCGCAGCATCAACTATCAATATTACTTTCCGGAGTTCAACAATCCCCATCTCCTAGCTTCGACTTCTTCGCATCTATTGTTCATCATGGTTGCAGATGCTCTGATCTACCACCCTTCGGTGGCGCACTACCTTCGCTACGTCGCAACAACGAGTCTATCTCACACCTCCAAGCTCTCTACCAACCTACCACTAACCATGTATAGTTGGCCGCGACAAACTCCTCCGGACCTTCCAATATTTCTCCCGCTTCTACGCGTGGTACCTCTACCGGACAAACAGTCCCCCTTCCCAATTCGCTCCCTATGTCGCAATCAAGACTCAATTCGGTCATACCCGAAAGATCATGAGGATAGGCAAATTCGTTGAGCACTTCAAAGCAGCTGCCGAACTCTACGATGCAAGCGGCAAGGTCAGAGCCAATGGCGGTGACCAGATCTTACAGTATCTTGCCGTTATGAGACAGCTGGGCTACGCGTTTTATATGAGCTTTGACATGTTGACTGTGATGGATGCGGTAGGAATCAAAAAGAGTGCAGCTGCCAAGAGGATGCAAGCGCAGGCATACAAGGCATGGCTAGTGGGGCTGCTAGCCAGCGCATTATCTGGGTTCTACTCAAATTACATGTTGATGCAGCGAGCCAAAGCCATCAATGAGAAGGATGGAGAAGGAAAAGTGGAAGCAAAGAAGATTGAAAGGTAATCGCAGCAGAGAAAGATGAAGATCGCGCTAATATAGACTAGACAACGAACGGCTGCCAATATCCAGCTCCTTTCAGATATCTGCGACCTGACAGTACCCAGCTCCGCGCTCGGATATGTCAATCTTGACGATGGCATTGTTGGTCTTGCTGGGACAGTGAGCAGTTTAATCGGTGTCTACAGCGTATGGCAAAAGACTGCATAAAGATTTTTCGAGAACAAGTTTTCATGGTCCAGACCGAGGAGGTGCCTTCGAGATATTCCTACGCGGCTTCAATACTGGTTTGGCACAATGGCATTTATTGCACATGGATGGAGATGTGTTTGTGTCTTCTGCAACCTGCGAGCATGAGTGCGTCTCATGCGGCTAGTAATCCCGATTCCTCCCGAACAATGGAGTTGGATTTGGCTTTGTTCCGAGTACATGATACATTTCGGGCGTACCATCATGTTTCTGCAAGGAGCATCAAATATGGACTACTTCTATCGATCATGATGCAGGCCAATGGAAGGAGATGTAGGGGCTTTACCCCAGGCTAAGACCTTTTCCAGTCAAGTTTGTGGAGAGAATTCCGTTAGTAGGCCAAGGGTTCCCATCCCTCCGTTTGAGGTCTGCCAGGGGGCTTTGTGCCCTGTTTGCGGGGAAGGGCTCTCTGATAATACCGAGTAACATAAGGCCGCTGTTGGCTGTTGGCTGTGGGCGTTTGCGGATCCGGGCGTGTCTTTAGATTATGCATTGAATCGGCAGCCCATAATTCACAGCCTTAAAACGTGACCCCATTTGCTTTCTTGCGATGTATCATTGGTCTGGTACAACATATTACGTTTGACTCCTCCACACCTGCTCTGTACTAGCCATCAGCTTCGTTACTGTACCAACGAAAACATCTCGGCAGAAGGGAAAGGCTCCACATCGTGACCAAGGTCTTGAAGTGCCCATGAAGGCCGTCGTATGCTCCACAGACTCCTCCAAACCTCTGCTCCAATCAAACACCAGACCTCCCATTTGAAGACACCCGACTTTTTCCGCACATCATTCGCAAGGTTTCACGTTTCCAGGCCTCTACTTCGTATATCATCAGCTGCTTCGCTTCAAATGGCTACTTCCAAGCTATCCATCTCCAAAACAAACATCCCACGAACACCATCACCTTCAGGAGGAACAGGCACTGCTCGTTCGAACGTCGCCAAAACGCAGTTGACAGACCACCCTCACGCAACGATGGTTTCCAATTCAGTCAATAAGACAGCGCTGCATCCTGGTGGTGTTCAGTATGTTCGTCCTCTGCAGCTGAAGAATCCCATTCTAATCATGCACAGACCTACACGAGAGCACACCGAAATTGAGGAAGAACTCCATGAAACCGCACACATTGATTATGATCGTGTGGCCATTGTATGTCACTCTGCTGCCTCGACAGGCCACTACTAACATACTCCAGGTCGCCAACCCTTCTGTCTCTGCCCTCTACGAAGATGCACTGGTCTACGAGACTGGTTCTGCAATAACCTCGACCGGAGCGTTGACGGCATATTCTGGGGCAAAGACTGGCCGGTCACCATTGGACAAACGCATTGTGCAAGAAGAAGGCTCAGAAAAAGATGTTTGGTGGGGCCCTGTGAACAAGCCGATGAGTCCATATGTAAGTCGCACGACTCCTTCACATGTCCCTCGAAGAAGATGCCGAGCTTCAAAATGCCCTTGGTCATCTTTTGGGCCAGTCGAGTCTTCCCCGCAATCAAGATTCCGCGAAAAATGTTCCGTGTCTTCCCCGCTTCACGTGCCGATCCCATGGTCCAGCTTGGCGGGCCCTTTGCTGACTGATGACTGTCCAGGTATGGAAGATCAATCGTGAGCGAGCCATCGATTACCTCAATACGAGAAATCGAATCTACGTCGTCGATGGATATGCAGGTTGGGATGAGAAGTACCGGATCAATGTTCGAGTCGTTTGCGCCCGTGCCTATCATGCCTTGTTCATGCGAAACATGCTTATTCGACCTAAACGAGAAGAATTGACTGGTTTCCATCCCGATTACGTGATTTACAATGCCGGATCATTCCCAGCAAACAGATATACTACCGGTATGACAAGTGCAACTAGTGTGGCCATCAACTTTGCCGAGAAGGAGATGGTCATCCTTGGAACAGAATATGCTGGGGAAATGAAAAAGGGCATCTTCACTGTCTTGTTCTATGAGATGCCAGTTAAGCATAACGTTTTGACCTTGCACTCTTCCGCAAACGAGGGCGAGAAGGGTGACGTGACGGTTTTCTTCGGTCTTTCCGGAACTGGCAAGACAACTCTTTCCGCCGATCCCAAACGTGCTTTGATCGGAGACGATGAGCATTGTTGGTCAGACACCGGTGTCTTCAACATCGAAGGAGGCTGCTATGCAAAATGTATCGGACTATCTGCCGAAAAGGAGCCCGACATTTTCAACGCCATCAAATTCGGGTCAGTACTCGAGAACGTCGTCTTCGACCCACAAACACGAGAGGTAGATTACAATGATGCAACTCTGACAGAGAATACTCGCTGCGCTTATCCCATCGAATACATTGGCAACGCAAAGATACCCTGCATGACCGACAAGCACCCAACTAATATCATTCTTCTGACCTGTGATGCCAGAGGAGTCCTTCCACCAATCTCGAAACTCAACACCGCACAAACCATGTTCCACTTCATTTCCGGCTACACTTCAAAGATGGCCGGCACTGAAGACGGTGTTACCGAGCCTCAAGCCACTTTCTCTTCCTGCTTCGCGCAACCCTTCCTCGCCCTGCACCCCATGCGATATGCCAAGATGCTTGCAGACAAGATATCTCAGCACAAAGCAAACGCCTGGCTTCTCAATACCGGCTGGGTAGGCGCCGGCGCAACCACTGGCGGCAAACGCTGTCCATTAAAATATACTCGTGCCATCCTAGATGCCATCCATTCTGGCGAGCTTGCCAATGCTGAGTACGAGGTCTATGACACTTTCAACCTGAGTGTACCAAAAACGTGTCCAGGTGTGCCGGATGAGTTACTCAACCCTAAGAAGAGCTGGACTGGCACTGCGGATTTCAAGGAAGAGGTCACGAAGCTAGGAGGTTTGTTTGCAGAGAATTTCAAGAAATACAGTGATGAAGCGACGGAGGAAGTGATCAAGGCTGGGCCTGACGTTTGAGGGGTGGATTTGTCGAATTGCACTTTCGTGAAGGGCATTTACCTGGATGGAGATGGGAATGTCGCAAGCGCTTTCGCAGTTACGGCGCGAATTTGAGGGATTGTGCTGTGCTGTCTGTCGTTCGGAAACCGATTTCTCCGAAGACTCCGGAGGCGCCCTCTGTACCCAGTTGTATACATAGGCTGGGCGTCACTACATATGCTTTTTACTGGCTCATGTGACTTACATAGTAACTACCTCAAGTTAGTCTAATATCATCAAGAGATCGCAAGATTTATCGTGGAAAAGCCTTCTTCGGGTAGTACGTGCCCTATATCAGACTCATCAAGGGTACTTCCCTCTGCTCCAATTACGAATCAATTATACTACTTTATCACGACCATCGAAGAAGACACGCATTCAGCAAGCTGCTGCGTCTCAATAGTAGGCACGGCGCTTTATCAAGGATAAGTGTCTATGATCGACTTCAGTCGTCCCTCCCTCGCCGCCGGTCTCATTAGCTTTTACCATCAACGTCTGAAGATCGTGCGCTGATCACCGATCAGATCTACCATTTCGTCATTTCCACTTCGAGCCTCAGAATCTGTATGGTGCAAGAAGCAACAACATCGCTGTTGAAAAGAGGGATTTCCCATTCCTGTGATTTAATTAGGTGAACTTAGATTCTCTGGCGGAGTTCGTTAATTCTCCCGTTTCATTTCCAGGTCTACCAATCAATCATGAAGATGTTCCGCCGGTAACTACGGGGAATTGGGCATCAGCAAGACCGCACCGGGTATGCATAACCGCTGGAAGGAAGGGAAGGTTGGGCCTGTTTGCTTGCTTGCTGCGGGATCTGGACCTGTATTCCCCTACTGCAGCGAAGGAGCAGGTTGCGGAGATGCAACACTCTGTTTTCACTTGCTCAAGCGAATTCGTTGTTCCGCACATCTGCAAACCGTATGATTGTAGATACATCTCGAGAATTTTTCGGGTATAGTCAATCACTGTTTTCATACCCAGTGGTCTCACTCATGAAGGCAGCACGAGTATCATGAAAAGCGAATGTCCGGCGTTTGCTGCCAGCAATTTCCCGATGAGCTGCATCCTTGGTTCGCTTATCCATTTCCATTTCCATTTCCGTCTCCGTTTCCAGTTCCATCACGAACCAACCAAAGTCCTCTCGTCAAACAAATCCCTCAACAAATCCTCCCTGCAGGCCTCCATATCCGGCTCACTAAGACTATAAGTCCGCTCGTAGACATGGATGCTTAACTGGCCGAAGAAGGGTCTTAATAGCGCCTCTGGAATCTCCGCTTCAGTGATATTTCGTGTTTGATCGCCGCTCAGCCAGGGCTTACGGAGGCTGTTGTGGTCGTTCTCATCTGGTGGGGCTAGCATGACAGTTGCTGAAAGAGGTGGTTTAGTTGAAATGTTGGATTCTGCGTTTTCCATCATAGCTTGTGCAACTTCATCGATCAGGGCTGTCGGATGCCAATCTTCAGGCCTGTAAACGGCGTCGACTGTATCCGTGACGAAGAGCCATTCTTGTGGTTGAAAGTCCTCCGGGTTTGTCAAGAGCAGTACATCGAGAAGTTTAGCGGCTTGTAGGAGGGAGTAATTGTTGTAGGTCTGATCCTCGTTGTCGTCGTAGATGGAGCTAAATGCCGGTCGAAGTTCGGTGTTGAGTAGCGGCCAGAAGCTTGCCATTTGTCCTGCAGAAGACTTCAGAATTAATGCACGAATCACCATGTAGATCTCTGTACGGGTTGTGGAGCTGGGTGAGGATATGGATGATGCTGTGAATAATTCTTCAAGCTTTGCCTGCAGCATGCTGAGGTGTGTGGCAAATGTATCGTACTCAACTGCTAGTACTATGCAGCATATCCGTCGAAGGTTGAGCTGGGCTTTTTTGTCCGCTTCCAATCGAGCTGCGGTTGCTCCAACTCCAAACATGATTCCAGCTGCTGTTGGAGAATTGAGCCGTGATAGAAGCTCGGGTAGAAGAGTTTTCTCGATAAACGCTAGCTGACGTAGGAGTTGAAGCCAGCCGTCTTTGACGATCGATAGTGGAGAGGAGAAGAATTTGGGATCATTAAAGGAATCTGTCAGCTCCTTCTTCCAAGCTTTCGATGCATTCTGGATCTTTGAAATCTTGAGCAGAAGGTTGAGGCTTGTGAGGGTCATAATTTGGGGAAATTGGCGTGACCGAAATAAGGGAGTAATAATGTTAGACACCATGTGAGTTATGACAGGAACGAGACGGTCAGATTCTTCCAGCAATGCAGAAACAGCCGCAAAATTCTGATCAAGGGCCTGTTCAACAGTATCGGAGCCAAATCCAGCAAAGTCAACAGACGTCTTCTCCCGAGACGAACTCTGCGGCTTAATGGTGAAAATTGCTGTCAGAAGACGTATGAAGAGGTCAGCTAGTTCCCTTCGCATCTTCCGCTCTTCACCGAAATTGGTATTCTCCATCTTTCCACCCAGAATGGCAATGAAATGGATCAGTCGGATCAAAATTTGTCGGTGTGGCATAGGATTGCCCAGGACATCACGAAGGAAAGTTGTACAGTCCTTCCAGATTTCTTCAAGAACATCATCCTCTAGAGATTGCGCGTACACACTCAGAAATGCAACCAGATCCGACTCGGTCAGATTCGAAGAAAGGGTCGACTTTTGGCTCAGAACCAGGACACTTGGATGTGTTCGAGAATATATTGCATTGAAAATTGCTGGCATGGTGATCCCAGGTCGCGAACCCTCCAGTGTGTGCACAAGGCCCAACAGCGATTCGGTTCTGATGGTGTCGTTCTCTGCAATGGCTTTCACCCAGATGTGCGCTAGCGCCTCGATGCTTTCTAGTGGCTCTGCTGACAATAGATGTTCAAGAATCCTGCGACTGCGACCACGAATTTTCTGCGAGGCAAATTGAAAGGATGCCAGAGTGTCCGAAGAATCCAAGTTCAAGCTTTGCCAGGACCAAATATTGAAACACGTGTTTAGTGCATCTTGAAAGCAAAGTATGACGGTCAGCCGGTTGTTGTTTGTGTTGTTGCGAGCTTGTCTTGACAGACTTCCAGACACCATGGCTCCGAAGAACCCTTGCTGTGGTTCCGGACTGTTGTTTGTAGACAAACCATCCTCTTCAGCCAGAAGTTGTTCATGTGCTCGGGCTAATACAAAGTCAAGTCCATTGAGAAGATGCGAAAGCGGCGTTTCAAAGTTCGTCTCCACCAAGGATTCTTTCTCATACTGTGCCTTCATGCCCACGAAGCAAAGTTCGATCTGTTTGCAGAAAGTCTCGACCATCTTCATCAATATGTTGAAAATGTATGAAGTGTAGAAATAAATGCTCTCACAGACAAGTTGAACCCATTTGTGTATCACGTCTCGTGAAGATGAATTCGCAATGCCCTTCAGGAGACAGGTCAAAAGATCATCCGGTGCTTCCAACAATTTGCTAGTGTCAATTTGTTGAGTGGAAAGTGTGATTCTACTTGAGATGGAAGTGTTGCTCAATTTCGGACGATCTTCCGGGCGTTCTTCCTCCATAGAAGGGTCACGCTTTGCTTCACGCTCTCTCCTGACATTAACCTTTGAAGTCAATAAGATCAGAAGAGTGTCTAGGAGATCTGATTGAAGGAGCCGACCCTCGAGGACTACAGATCTGCCAAGTTGAGCTACGAGTAGATGATCAATCTGCAGTTCGATCAATGGCTCATTATTAGACCTGCTGAAAAGTTGTCGCAGCAGATTGAGCGTAGCTCGCTGCAGACGCAAGATTTGTCGAAATGTAAGCTGATCGCCATGCAGCTCATGCTTCTGGATAACCTCCTGACAGAGTTTTGCCACAGTGGTCTGAACCGACTCGGTTCCGGATGCTGGAAACACCGGTTAGCATGAAGCATCGAGACTACAGCCCACGGTGCAGACCTCTTGCCTTGAAAGACTGATGGTTGTTCGAAGTGGTCCCAGGTTGAAGCGCAAACCTCACCCATTGGTCTCTCGACTGTGTAGCCACAAGTTGGTTGAGAACATCCATCAAATCACTGCCAGCCTCAATCTTGTCGAGTGAAGCAGAATCTTTTGTATCGGAGCTTAACGACTTCTTGATGGATGCGATCACCGTGTCGAAAACCCTATGACAACCGTCAGCGGCCATACCAGCAAAATACTGAGCCTTCGTACCTAGAGAGATCTGCAAGGTTTTGCAACCAATCACGACATACTACGTAAACCTCCGTTTCAGGCCCTCGGAGGACATTGAGAACGGATATCATCGCTTGGCTCAGCATGGATGAAAATCCACTTGTTGATTGTTGTTGATGGTCGTCGGTCAATCCTTTCCGTACGCCATGTCTTGATGCTAGGGCTCCACCATTCGATCTTGCAAGGGCTTTGGCGGCCTTATGACTGTGAGACCAGAGCGTCGCAAATCGCTCGAAGGCTTCTTTGTTGGGATGATAGGACTCATCTAAATCTGCATCGGCTCCAACAAGCAATCCCAATATCGTGCTTGTCACTAACTCCTCCTTCCAGACGAGATGTTGGATGTCTTCAAGAAGTTGTACGGTTTCAATGTGTTGCTGAGGAGAAGAGAATGAAAGATATGTCCAAAGCCGCCGAACAAGTAGTGGAACGATTTGTAAGACATCATCAGCCTGGATAATGTGATTAGGAGGATTGGCAACCAAAAAGTTGGTTACAAGAGCTGTGGCAGAAGATACTACGGCAAAGGGTAATTCGGCTTCAAGAGCAAGACGTTCCTCTATAGCCCTGACAAGGACGGATCCGCCAAGGCCATCATATGACGGCAGCTTCGTAAGGAGAAGTGACAATACTTGGACGCTGCGCGAGAGGTCAGAGCCATCCGTGTCAAAGCGCATCTGTTTGGTTATCATAGACGTCAGGAGCTGAAGAAAGTGCTGACCCAACATTGTTGGAAAGATTGGCAGCTGCGACGCCTGTGCAGCATCTTGATTATGGTCGAAAAATGACTTGACCATCTCTTTTATCGCACAAGTAGGCGTTCCAGTAGGCGTTCCCGACGAACTGCCTTTTGACGTAAAAGCACGTTCCGGTATCATATCAATCATACGGGTGAGGACATGAAACATCGCACACTGTACTTCACGATCGCAAACAGGTGAAGCATTGCTTGTTTTGAATTCCTCCACTTGAGAGAGATTTTCGAGCATAGCTAACGACACCAAGGGTATATGCAGCACTACCATCTCTTCCTCTCTCACGTTGAAGTTGGAAATGACGAATGTCGCAAGATCCAAGTCATGTAGAATATCTCCCTTCGCTTTTCCGTCTGCAAGAACAAGACCGAGCATTCTGGACCAGATGAGAGTGCTTTCTACCCCATCAAAGAAGACATTGGCGCTGCGGAAGACTTCCCCAAATTCCTCTCTGGAAGTGGCAATTTGCTGATACGCATGAAGACTTCGAATCAGGGACAGAAAAACTACGTTGATCACAGAATTGCCGATTTCCCATTGATCCATCAGAGAAAGCCCAATTCGAAATGGCCTAGAAACCGTAGAAGGTGTACGAGACTCCAGCTTGATCATTGATTGCAAGCTCTGTGTCAAGGTTTGAACCCCGTACGTCTGATAATACGAAGGCATATCAGGGTCTACCGTGCTATTTCGACCATCGACAGGAGCAGTATCATCTGGGGAGGATGGAATGCTCTCATTCTTGACTTTCTGTTCGGGACCCATGAACCAAGACCATAGACGTCTGTTCAAGCTCATATCCCGTCGAAGTACAACGCCCACAGCAGCCGACATAAGCAATTGGAGATCGTCCAAGAGGACGTGTTGACGGAAGAGTGACGCATGTAGCGGCAAGTGTGTGACAAGTAAATCCAGAAAACCTCGTTGGACAAGCATTTGCTCGTCGGCAAGACCAGTAGCGAAGCATCTTAACAACAGGCCTGGTTCTGGGATTGTAACTGCAGCAATTTCGACACTCTTTGAATCTTCATCGTTCACGGAAGCAGCCGAGTCGGGTACTGCGTTACTCAATTTAGGAAGATACCGACTCAAGTAGACCAGAACGCCTTGCCGCCGACTTGGGCTCGTGATTGAGGCCAAGAACAAGTTTTGCCAGAACACTTGCCCCAGTCCGACAGAACCGAATGTATGTTTGAATCGGTTGAGTAACTGAATAGTCTTCTCGAACTCGTCACTACTTTCTTCTTCCAGGCCGGGGAGCAGAGCTAGGATCAATGCCTTTACAGCTGGCCGAAGTGCAGATGTTGGGAGCTTGAGCACATACTCCTCGATCAAGGACAAGAATAGTGATCGGACAGAGATAGAGGCAAATGTCAGGGTAGAAGCAATTCCGGGTAGGTAAACCGCCAGATCCTCAGCCAGGCCATCCTTTCCGATTAGGCCAAATATGAACTTGCAGACTTCCAATGCTTTTTGATGTACACCAGAAGGCAAAGATGGGTGCATGCATTGTGCTAGTCGTTTTGCGACGAGGTATTTGCGTGGTATGAGCGTAATGCCCCCAGGATGAGTGTGGAAGGCTTTCAGCAGGCGGCTCAGGAAAGAGATATAATCTGCCCATTCTTGAAGGGTAGCATCGAATAATCCTAGTGCTCTGTCCACGCCCGCAACATAGCGTCGGAAGGCTTTGTCTTTTGTCAAGGTTTCTGCCAGTACCGACCATCAGCATTGATCCGTAAGGGTCGAAGGACTCCTTGCACCATCCTGTAGCTCTCGACCGCGACGCCCGCGTTGAGGGGAGTCATCGGAAGTGGCAGGAGACGTTGATCTTAGCATCAGCCCTGGGGTGAGAGCCATGCTGGTAATCGTAGGATAGCAGGTCGAATGTCATGATAGCTGATCCGTGCAGGAGTACGTGTAGAAGGTCAAGTAGGCCGTGATGGGGAATACTTCACTCATGTCGAGATGTGAGAAGCGAATAAACATTTTGGTTTGCGGCATGTTTTCGCCGGCAATCCTCCGCCATTACCAATCTTCACAACTCGCAACCAGCAACCGAAGGCCCAACCAGAGGAGGGTGGATGATTCCATTTTGCGAAAAGAGGTCACATCTTAGCACTCGAAGTGAGATGCGCGAGAGCTCAGTATGACAGGGTGGATTGGTGGACGATGGCACTACAGAGCGCGCATTGAGAATGCCCCGGATATCCAACGAGGGCGATGACCACAACACCCAGGCACATTCGAGTCCTTCAACTCCCAAATCTCCAAAGACTACGATTGAAAGGTCGAAATTAGAAGTCCCAAGACCTCCACTTCCTCCGCGACCCACAAACCTATCTACTCTCCGCAGTCGTCCATCAACCTCCTACCAGGAACACGGGTCAAAAGATGGCCTCCTGTCGGGCACCACGACCGCTGTCACAACCACCGATGTAAACACTTATACCACAAACGATGGATCCCGCAAGCTGCATACATCAATTGGCGCCAGATCTCCCTCAAGTTCGACACTGAAGCGAGGCGTTATAGGAAGTCCACGAGTGAGCGACACGGGAGATTCATCCAGCTTGCGTAGCTATGTTCCACAACTCGAGACAAGAGAAGAGGTCAGCAGCTTATTTGGCAACGACATTACCGATGACGACGACGAAGGCAATTCGCGCCCCTTTCAGGATGTTTTCTCAAGTCAATTTGAGGCCGATGCTGTAGACATCGATTTCGACAAGGAGTTCGACAAGATACCAGAGGTCGACGAGGACGGAAATAACGAAGAGTTGGCTCACTCATTGTGGAAGTCAAAGAGCAAGCATTTCATGATATTATCTGCTGCTGGGAAACCAATTTATACGCGCCATGGTTCGGATGCTGTCATCTCAGGCTATATCGGCATTGTTCAGACCATCATTTCATTCTACCAATCATCAGGAAACTCCTTACGAAGCTTCTCCTCCGCAGGTGCGCGCTTCGTAATTCTGTCCCAAGCAAACTTGTTCCTGGTGGCCATTAGTCGTATCCTGGAATCAGACACACAATTGCGCCTACAGCTTGAGGCGCTCTACATGCAGATTCTCTCCACACTGACACTCCCCAATCTGACACATATATTTTCGGTGCGTCCCTCCAGCGACCTTCGCCGACCACTTCAAGGAACGGAAGTTCTTCTTTCGTCACTTGCCGACAGTTTCACCCGTGGCTCGCCTTCTACGCTTCTCTCTGCATTGGAAAGCCTCAAGCTCCGCAAGTCACATCGTGACATCATCAACAACACGCTTCTGAAGTCCAGAGTCGATGACCTGCTCTACGGCCTTATTGTTGCTGGGGGCCGTCTTGTGAGCGTTGTGCGCCCCAAAAAGCACTCCCTCCACCCGGGTGATCTTCAACTAATATTCAATATGCTCTTTGAAGCGGAAGGGGTCAAGACCGGCGGTGGAGAATCCTGGATCCCACTATGCTTACCCGGCTTCAACCCGAAAGGCTATCTGTACATGTTTGTGAGCTTCCTCAGCCTGACAAACAACAACATCCGCCAAGCAGCCGCCGAGGAAGAAATCCCCAAAGAAGACGCGGTTGCGATCATCCTCATCAGCGCAAACAAAGAAAGCTTCGAATCAATGCGAAGCGTGAAGAACTACCTTGTCCACGAACTCGGCCGAAGTCGAAGTCTAGGTACCATCCAAAATGCAATCCAAGCAGGCCGTCCCGTACCCACCGACATCGTCCCCGGTACTGTGCTTCGCCATTTCCTATTCAAATCAAAGGCCAATGTACAGTTTTTCATGCCGTCGTTCACATGCTACGAAACCCCACGCCTACGGCGAAGGTTGCTCTCCGTATATCACGAACTTCATGCAAGTGTGCACACCAAGCATGCGAGCGTCAAGGTTCACCACAGTGTGAGTGCTTCGCATGCTGCGCTGGCGTGGGTGACGCCGATGTTTGAGCTGTACTGTGTTGCCGGACCTGGTACGGGGAGGAACGCGTTGGCACACAGTGCGAACAAGGTTGTGCAGTGGGTGCAGGAGGAGGAGGAAAGGGTTTTTCTTATTGGAGGTGCTGTCTTTTGAGCAGTAGTAAGGGGAACTAGGAAGAGTCGCCCCCAGCGTTCAGATGTCTATTGCTTTCATGGTCATTTGGCAACCATGTGGTCCACTCACACGCAATACATTGGGACCCCAAAGAGCAGATCAGAACCGTATCTTCCCTTCCTAAGAGTGAGAATCCCGAATCCACTGTGGTGTAGTCGTCTTCAGCTCCGTCAATACAATGAGTTAGTTAGAGCGCTTTCAGGACCTCAAAGCGATTTCGAAAAGCGGCAAATTGCTACCGCCCAGTCGCCATTCCCTCCCCAGTGGCCAGATGGCTAAGAAGTTGATCACGTGTTACTAAAAAAACCCTATCCCCTGTGTCACTGAATGGGTATCCTTCCTTACTAAGAGTAGCGTCTCCGTGACCTTAAATCAACTAAAGTTGGCTGCAGTCTTGGCAAGAAGAACACCAAAAATTTCAAGTATAACTTTATGTCAAACAAAATATGTTTGTGCAGCCATTAGAGCTGCAGCCCTTTTGGTTCAACACTTTATCATTCGAAAGCTAACTCTCACATCTTTCGAATGGTACTATTTGCATCCTCGTAGCTACAATAATTAGCCTGATATAAGCATTCTATACTAGTCCCGAAGCGGAAGGAGAAGCATCCAGTGACACAAGGGATACCCGACTCCTCTTTTGAGGCTCTAACTAGATTCCCAAACTCAGCCTAGATAAGAAGTAACTTTAGAGATAAGATTAAAGCTGGTCACAAAGACGTCGGCAATGAAATCATGTGCATGAAATTCCGACTAGTCTCGTCAAGGTTTGTGACGAATTATTGGGATGAGGCCTTTAACTGGTGAATATCATGGACTACGTCCTGGCTGTCACTTTTCTTCCATAGATTTTGTTTGATAAAGAGGCGTCTTCTCGTCTTCCTGTTCTGCAAGGGTCATCCTTGAAAAGGGTGTCACGTTTGCAACCGTACTGTCAGGTATGCTGCTATTGGTGGAATGCCGTCTACCTGACATGCCATTGAGGTATTTCGTGTGCGTCTGCGATGCCTTGATGGTTTTTGGATGCCGCGATCCAAGGACGTGTTCCTGGCTTTCTACCAGCTGGCGAGCCCATTTGATTGCTTCTTTCCACTGCGTCTTCCTTTCGGATTCACTCCCAGCACGAAGGGCTCGGTCTGAGTGGAGCTGGCCCATGTTGGACATGCAGGTCCAGGCTATTGCCGCCCTTTCCTTGAAGATCTTGCCTTCTTTCTTTAGGAAATTGTACACCTCTAGCGTCAGCTCTTCAGCTTCTTTGAAGTCGCGGAGGATAAGGAGGACACCGGCGAGGCCAACTTGGCTCGTGAGTATGTCTGGGTGATGGGATCGCAGGGCCTTTTTCCTGCCCATCAAAACCCGAGAATGTAGTTCTTTGGCCTGCCCGAATTCTCCCAAACCTTTTAGTGACTCGGCGAGAAAGTAGGATGCGGTGTAAGTGTCAGCATGGTGTGCGCCGATCTTTGGTTTGCATATTTGAACTACGGCCGTAAAGACGTCCGCAGATTCCTGGTACCGTTCTTGACATTGAATAGACCAGCCTGCGCTCAAGTACGCCTTCGTAGTATCTGGATGGTCCCAACCCAACAGTTTGCGCCGCATTTTCATTGAAGCAAGTGCGCTCTCCTCGGATTCGCGGTAATTGCCAAGCCCTCGCTGCAGATGTGAAAGCCGATGCAATACTTCAGATACGTGCTGCGTCTCTCCTTGGCCTCGCTGGTTCAGGCCCTGCAAGGCTTCAGATAGGAGTGTCTCACTCTTTGAGAAATTCCCTATCAGCTCGTACGACGCCCCTAAGCGATACGTACTAATCAATATGTCTGGATGTAGCGGATCGGTAGCTCCATGTAAGTCTTGGAACCCTTTCAAAGCTTTCTCTGCGTACCGTAATGCTTCAGCATATTGGCCTTGATCATCGAGCGTCATACCAAGCACACCGTAGCTTTTTAAAGTGAGTTCGTTCTTTATACCAAGCTGGCGTTTTCTGTAGCGCTTCACTTCCCGAGCTGTCGCTTCGGCCAGGTTAAATTGGCCAAGTTGTCGGACTATCTGGATTAGTTGGTCCTTGGCCTCTAGTGTCGGCATTTCCAATGGTCCAAAAATCTCGGTTCTGAGATTGCTAGCGATCTCTGTAGATGCCTGTGCTTCTGACCACCGACCCGTTTGGAAATAGTAGTGGCCTACTTTCAAGTGCAGAGTAGCCAAAGCAGCTTTGTCGGCGGCCGTCTCGAAAAGTGGAACTCGGAGTATTTTGCTGGCATGTGGAAGCCATGCGGCGCACTCTGGCCACGAAGTACTGTTTTCAGGATTTGGAAATTTGTCTGCGATTGTCATCAATACTGCTCGTGCCCACTGCACGTTGATTTTGCGCTCCTTGAGCCACTTTATCGTGGTTGCTTGAACCAAGCGGTGCATGGTAAAAATGTCCGGGACGGAACCTGAGTGAATCAATTCGTAATTCCGGAGCTCACCTAGGGCATCGACTAGTTTCACATCAGTGCCGACACAGAATGCTGCTTGAAGAAGACTAAGGATAATCGAATCCTCCTCTAAGAAAGACATGAAGGCCAGCACATCGACAGCTAGAGGTTTATGGCTCTGGATGGTCTGATACGAGAGCCTCCATGTATCGTAAATGGACCTTGGGACGCCCATTTGCGTCTCTAATGGTTGGGGCCGGGCCATGAGCTCTGCGAGCATCTCATCGCTGGACGCGGTCATTCTCTGAAGATAATCGGCAGTTGATAATCGGTTTTTATTCATGAAGGCGGCAGCTTGAGATATAGCTAGTGGAAGGCAATCCAATTTTTCAGCCAGCTCTGAGGCTCGGTCTGTGCGATACTGACGGACGCCGTGCGGGATCTTGTCCTCAATGAGTCCATTCCCGAAATCTAGTGTCAATGACCTCTGTTGAGGTACCGTTGGAGTGCCCATCAGGAGGTCATCGTCGAGACCCATTTCCAGCATAAGCGTGGCTTCTTCAAGAGAGAATCTTCCAACTTCGAGCATTTTTCCAGCTTCGGGCATTTTTCCAAATTTGAGGTGCGAGAATTTTGCCGCTGCTGCGCGACTCTTAGTTGTAAAGACAACGAAGCCACCTGCTGGTACGCAGTCGATGATTGAAAGGCTTTGAACGTCGTCACCTTCTAAGGAAAGCCCAAGTTCAGTCAGTGGAGATGTTAATGCGTCTCCCTCCTCGGCAGAATCAAAGACGATCAGCCATTTACGCACTGGTGCGCGCCCAAGCCAAGTCCGTACGCAACGTAGCAGCTTCACAAGCGAGGTCCTTGGGAAATGCTGGTCTGAGACTGGATTGTTTTGAGGATCAACAATTCCGTATTTCTTGGCAAACGTTCTCAGACCCTCAGCACAAGTCTCTACGCTTGCGGCGTGAATCCAGATGACGGAAAATTCAGGGTCTCGATCCAGAAACCAATAAGCCAGTCTCACGGCCAACTGCGTCTTCCCGACGCCGCCGATGCCGTGAAGTGCAACAGGACCGTCTCCAGACGCCACGAGGAGTTTTTCAAATAATTGCGCACGCCTCACTATGCTGGTTGGGCGCGGATGCGGTAGCATACGTATGGGCCATGCGGTCATGGTGTCCGTCGAGCTATCGGACGTCGTGGACTTCGCTCCGGGAGGCCTAAAACTCGAGAGATTGGAGAACGGACGCAGACCAGCCAGCTTACTCAACCAAGGACTGCTGCCGCCGAGTTTATGGTCTTTGGCAACACCACCAGTCAACGATTCCATCGAGGGTTCGTACTTCATCCGTGGACCAAGCCTAAGCAATGCGTTCTCACCCAGTAGAACATTCCCTGGCATCGGAAGTAGTGCTGGATCAAGGAATGCTTCAGTAGCATGGGGGTACTTTGGGAGTAGCTGAACCTGCTGAGTGCTGGCAATCGCGCTGTTGATTGACCATGTAAGCAGCTCACACACGTTATCCTCGACTAGCTTGTACATTTCATTTCTTTCGCCAAATTTGCACATTGCCGTGTGTGTCGCTTCTAGGTGGAGTTTAATCTCGGCGGGCTCCGGCCAGTCGAGCGCGGCAGAGCTTTGAGGAACAACCTAGACAAATTAGTAAAGCGTAACATTCACGGATCGAGGTTTCAAGGGTTGGTGGTGGCCGTTGAAGCCCAAACAACAAACTTACCAGGCCGAGATGCCTTGCGATCGGCAGATTCTCAATAAAATTTACAACTCGTAACTCCAGCGCGGCCGCTCGACGTGCAAAATCCTTGTTAATATCACCCGCGAACATGGAATCCTTCCGGAGGGTCTCCATGATATTATTCCTGACATTTCCGGTCACAACGCGACAGATCTGTGCCATACGATCACCCAATGTAGCAAAGTTGCCCCCACGATGTGGCGTCCCAAAGAAGATGACGCCTCTGGTAGCATCGTGAATACTTTTGTAGTAGTCGCCACTTACGTATGCGTTTATAATTGCCTTCTTGACCACGAGGCCACCAAGACTGTGAGACACCCATACAATGGGTCGATTTTGGTCGAGTTGTCGCTCAAGGCGCAGGTAATTGAGAAGGTTCTCCGCCGCGCCGTTAACGCCCGTGATAGAAGCACCGAAGACGGCACTTGAGTTATATCCGTACAAGAATACTCGGATACGTGGCTGTCGCAGGGGTAGGAAGTCCTTGAGCCAGAGATTGCCGTTGGCAGCAGTCCACGTCTCAGTGGCATGTAATGGGTTGTTCAAAGGATCCAGCCCATGGACAGCAATGATATCCACTTCGCCCTCGGTGTCGTTCGTGTCAATCGGGTAGATTCGGTGGAGGAAGCTTTTCGAGTTTGACATGCCGGCACGCAGACGCGGAACGATCCGCCCGGAGCGTCTAGTTAAGCACTGTCAAGTCTGTCGGAAAGAATCAAAGGACAAGGCGCCGTCAATCTGGTCATCTACCTCCAGACGAGCTGATGAGTCTGGTATTGAGGGCGTGGGGAGCTTCGGCGCAATTGTATTTTGATCTTGCCACTCGCGCACGTCCGAAGATCTTGCAATATAACTCGTCCCTCGGGAGTCGACGGGACTTCGCTTCGACTGACATCTCGTTAATTGCAAATTTTGGGCACAGTTGACCCGTTCAATTGCCTCAGTCCCTCAGACGGGCTTAGTGGGCTGCGCCACACACACCATGCTCGAAATGGGCTAGTTATTGACCAAGCAGACATTGTCCTATACATCTGAGAGCAACTTCCCATATTTTAGCCATATTATTAACTTCAGTGCAAACACCGCCAAAGTCGTGTTATTAACATCCCGACTTATAATTTATCATTCTTTTTATTTATTATCCCTTGTGTCACTGAATGTGGGACTTCTCTTTAAAGGGAATAGCGTCTCCGTAAGCTTACATCGATTTACCGGAGGAATTTTTGCTGCAGTCTTGGCAAAAGGAACATCACACTTGATTTACTTTCAAATGCGTTACTATCTGCATTACTCTAATTATTTGACTTGAGATTTTGAAAATAGTATCATGCGATATCACTTGAGAATCTGAGTATTCCTAAATCTTGAAATTCTTCAAAAATCCAATATCTGATATAGAAACATTGAGAAGTAAAAATGTACTTTAAAAGTTTTGGTGTTCTTCTTGCCAAGGCTGCAGCAGAAATTATTGCACTAGTATGGTTTAATTCATTTAAACTCATGGAAGCGCTTTTTCCTATTAAGAGAAACCGCAGCCCATTCCACTGCCCGTTCTTTTCTCGGAAGCTTCTGTAATCTTGGGGTTTGCAGCTACTACCAGCTTGTCAAAGGGGTAGGTTTGCGATTGTGTGATCTTGTTCTGAAGGAAACGAAGTAGGTGGCTGGAAGTTGTGTTTTCATTTCTCCCATCTTGTGAGGGTAATTATGGAGGCGTGAGCGATTGATGTGGATGTGCAAGAGCACTGCGACTTACATATAGATGGAACCTCAGAAATGTCCTGTTTAGAATGGCCCAGTAAATCCTGTTAGCCTCTCACGCAACGACTCAGTATGTACATCTGAAGTGTATTTCACCCGTAACCACACAAAATGAAAAAGAACGTGGGAAATGTTGGTGTAAAATTGTATGAGCGCCTATTGGCCAGTCTGCTGCTTTATCCCTGCTATTGGATCTGCGTTTGATTGGACAGTCGGTAGTGCAATCTCGGTAACTTCCAAATCTCGCTTGTACGCCCAGCTAGTTTAGTACGTATCGCTCTCACCTCCTTACTGGACAGAACAACTCGCTTCCTACTACGGTAAGGGGCATAATTGATCGTAGCACGGCGCTAGTAGCAACTAGTTCAGTTACAGCGCCACCTCAGTGTCTAGAAGCTTCTTAGACAGTTGTTGGTATCAATTGGCCACAACAATACCGCTTAACCATACAAGTCTCGTTTAGAGCCTGTTTTGGTGCAAATATACTAGCGCTGTACTACGAATACTTATGCCAGGTACCGTAGTACACACCACAATCTACGCCCAGAAGCGAACATCGAAAATGGCCAGTTAAAACCTTGGGAGTCAAGAGTCCTTGGTTGATGCCGCGTGGGAGGGGGGTGGGTAGACGATGTTGATTCAGGCTTATTGTGAAATCTAAGCCACCATCATCCTACACGGAGCAAATAGGCGGGCCTATGAGACTGATTTGATGTTCCTCTCTGCCGTCATCTATACTCTCACATTACGCAACAACCTTGCCAAGCGGCAACGCTTCGCTCTCCAACACCTTCAGTCCATCCAAACCTTTCAAAACGCCATCCGCCCTCCCGGTAGAAACATCGTTAAAAAGCCCATCAACATTCTTCAAAGCCGCCGTCTCCAAAGATCTTGAAGTCTGGTCTTCTACTAGCGTTGCTTCTTCATCCCACCCATCCGCTATCCCAGATTTCTCCTCCGTTGCTGTGCTTTCATCTTGACCGTGAGACTCAATCTCCTCCTCACCAGGCTGTCCGTCACACCCGAGAAGCTCACCCTCAGACTCCGCCTGTCTGTCCTCTCCAGCATTGTGCTGATGCTGCGTGATTGAAGTAAGTGTCTCCGCCAGTTTCTCTTGCTCGTCCGTGCTTAGGGCGAGCAACGTCTCCGCCATCTCCGTTACGGCGGGCGCTGGGGAATCAGGTGCCGGCTCGGCTTTGGGTCTGGGAGAGGCAGATGTGGCTGACGATTCTAATGGACTGGGCTCGGAAGAAGGGTCTGGTAAGTTGAGAGGTGGGGATTTGGTGCTCGTGCCGGTGTCCGTGCCGGTGTCTGTGCCGGTGTCCGTGCTGGTATGGGTGTTCGTCGGTGGAGCAATGTCTTTACTGGGAATAGCTGAGGGTGAGACCGATGGGGAGACCGATGGGTTGACCTTGGGGTTCGATGAGGTAATATCAGTGTCAGAGTTGGTAATGATATCTATCGCATTGGTGTCCTTGGTTCTAGTCCTTGGGCTTGAATTTGTCTCGTGTGAGGAAAATGTGTCTTGAGGGAAGGTTGTAGGTTGGAGGAGTGGTGAAGGAGGCAGCGGGATCTGCTCGGGCAATAGCACCTTGACTAGTGCTAACTGCGGTGCCGATACTTCTTCGCATGCCGGTTTGCTCTTGGGTAGTGGCTCTATCCTAAACAGTGACTCCGCCTTAAACAGTGGCCCGGTCTTCGTCAATGGTTCGATTTTGAACGGTGGCTGCGCTGTGAACAGGAATTGTGTCTTGGGTAGTGGTGCGATGTTGAACAACGTCGTTTTCGCTGGAGGCGGTTTCTCACACGGCGGCTTGTTCTTATACTGTAGATGGGTCTGAGACAGTAGCTCCGTTATGGACAGTGGCTCATTCTTAGAGGGCGGTTCGTTCTTAAAGAGTGGTCCAGTCTTAAACAGTGGTTCGGTCTTGAAGAGTGGTCCGGTCTTGAAGAGTGGTCCGGTCTTGAAGAGTGATTCGGTTCTAGAGGATGGTTCCGTTTTTAGGAGTGATTCGGTTTTAAAGAGTGGTTCGGTCTTCGGTAACGGCTTTGTCTTGAACAGTTGGTCGCTCTTGGGCTGTTTCTCCGCTGTGAAAGAAGGAATTTCCACCGGCGGGATTTGTTTAGGCAGTGCCTCATTCTTGAGCGGTGCGCTCTCTTTGGGCGATGCTGGCTCCTCAATTGGTAGCAAACGCACCGTGGTCTCCAGACGTCCTACCTTCGGTACAAATCCAAAGCCCACCACATCCTCAATCTTCGGCGCATGTCCCAGGTCCACCGGCTCCTCAACGAGTGTCGCCTCCCCAAGCAAAGACTGTTCGTAGTGCTCCAACAACTTTTTAGCAGTGACTACCTCCCCATTCCTGTCCATCATGTCTACAACTTCCCTGCACCAATTTTTCAACCACCCCTCCGAATCATATGGCGCAGCTTTTTTCATAAAGTCCGCCCAATCACTCAGCACCTGCGCCGCTCGTTCTTCGCTAATCTCGAACCACTCCTGATGACTCTTTCGACACCATGGGGCCTGGCACATCCGCTCCCGGCGCCATTCATTAATCAGCTCGTGGTGCGTGAGGGTCTCAACTCGCTGGGCATGCGGGACATAGCGCACGCTAGACACTAGGTTCGGATTGTATCCACATTTCGACCAATCTTCAAGACGGCGCGAGATGGAGTTTGCGGTCCAGCCGATTTTGACATGGCCCGGAGAAGAGGCCCGATTGAAGATATAGAGCGAGCCGGTCTCGAAGTCGCGGTCTTCAAGGGGATCGAGGATTTTCCGGGAGACGGAGTCGCTGTGAAGGGGGTATTCTTTGTGGGGACGGAATTCTGATAACTGACGCCGGTGGATAGACATGGGTCTAGCGGAGGTGGAATTGGTGGAGACATCGGCTTCGCGAGGGCGGAGATCGTAGCGGTTGGCTTCGGAAGGATTGAAATGCGAATTCAGTAGGGGTTGAAGATCCCGGCCATATTGGTAGCATGATGAGCTCTTGACAGGTTTGCAGGGTGTTGAATTAATACTAAAGGAGGTGGAGACGTTGCCTTGGTAGTATGATGGCCAAGCAGTAGGGGTGTAGAATGGTGTTGTGTGACTGGGAAGTGGTGTAGCTGGGGTGGTGTAAGTATATGGGGTGAAGATATTCTCCTGAGGTGCTGGGCTAGGGGTTGTATGATTGAATTGGTCGGCAGCGTTTCTCCGAATCTCATCTTGCCATCGCAGGGCCAGTGGTGTCAAAAGACCAATGTCTTCTATGCGATTTCGATGCTGAGCACGACCTGATCTGCAGCAATTGCACAAGACATACTCCTCGAGTAGATCGAGACTGACAGCCTCAATTGAGATTGCATGAATAGTTTCATGGAGTACGATCGCCTGCCTGTTGTCGCTCTCTTGGCAAGGCCACTGGCATCTTGCGCCCTTTTGGGTAAAATATATGCACTGACTTTCCCTTGAGGGATCAAGTTCGTGGAATGGGATAAAGAAGGATACACCTGGATTGTAAGTCATTGCTGGTTGGGGTCATATACAGCTGCTGGCCCGGTTCACGGAGAGAGACGAGGTATATGGAGTCCACCGCACTTGGTCGCATGGAGAGACAGGAGGAACCATCGACTTCTTAAACCGGTGATAGGTCTCAACTATTGCACTGCCTGGTGCTTGTGACATTTAAACAAAAAGCCACAAGAGCGAGGCAGGGAGCGGATGGTTTTGGCCACTGATATGCTTCAGGCATAGAGGGAGTATCCTTTGCAGATACTAGTGACTTGACCGGACATGTGGCAGAGAGTCCATCAAAGCCTTCGGCGGCTGGAGCCTGTATGCAGGGCATCGGCACGCCATAATTGGGAAGCGGGCGGACTGAGTGATAGCCATGCCTTATTCAGATTCCCAGGGGGGGGCGAAGTAGACACTGCCCAAGCGATCTTAACCCTTTCGACGCTTTGGACAATTCGAAGCGAACGGGTTCCTGCCCAGACTTTGGCGCCGAGGCGTTCTCACTTTCTGGGCTGTGCAGGCCAAACAGCAGGCATCTCTGACGATGTTAACATGTTGAGGCACTGGCAGGCCGATTAGATCTTGAAAGCTTCTGGACTCCATGGTTAATGTGGGCAGAAGGCCGAAGGTCAATGACAGGAATAGAGTTATGGGAGATGCCTGGCGACAAGGGTCGACCTCACCAACCCAAACAACCAGCTTGGTGGTGGCTAGTGTTCTGGCCAAATTCCTCTACCTTCATGGCCATCCAGTTCTTCCCTTTCTTCTGGCGTTGGAAGCTTGAGACAATCATCAGGAGTTTGCATTGGAAACCCGATTAGCCAGGAGGACAATAATAGTAACTTCAAAGCATCAAATCATCAATTTTGGGCAGCATGCCCAGGCAATCCTTAACACCTGGATTCGTAACACGATCGAGCAGAAATCTGATGAGTCTGTAATTTCTTTGCGGGCTGCTTCGTGCAACGGAGTCCCCCGCCCAAGTGACTTGAATGGGGGAGAGAAACGCTATGTCCTCGAAACATAACGGTATCAAGAGGAGCACCTTTCCTGATCAAAAGCTCGATCATGTCATCTGGACGCTGGCGTCTGGCGGCACATTGAAGAGGCTGTCCATACTGCACTGAGGCACCAAGCTCGAGTAACAATGGAATAGCTTCAATGATGCAGAGTGAGCCGCAAGGCGCAGCGGGAAATGTTGAACATGCAATGTGCATTTAAATTGCATGGTGAACTAGAGTTGGATGGGACAGAATTCTCATGTCAACTATCCTACTAACTACTAGTAGCTAGCGAGAGAAGCTACTATTCAATGTCGGCTGTGGACTTGGCGGACTTACCGGGAGAACTTGAGAGGCTCTAAAAATGACGCGTTAGTTAATGGTCCTTGGTAATTTAGCGGGTAGTCAGGAGGCTCAAATGACCATAGTCCAGCCATAATCTGACGGCTATTTTCTTTAAATAACGTCTGTAATAACATAATTTTATTAGAATCCAGATGTTTAGCTGCATAATTCTCTATAAACTAGACCATATCACGGTTAGGCTGAAACCAAGCACACCTTTATGGTAATTTAGGCATAGCTTTCGGAGGGCCTTCTCCTGGTAAGGAGTGCAGTGGGTCTTCGCTCCTGGCGCATTTGCAGTCATGCCTACTGTACTCCGTACTACGTATAATGAAACCACCCACACCCGAATACAATCGTCTGAGGGAGTCTACTGTCCCCATGCATTAGTGTCTCTTCTTCTCCCAATCTGATTGCTGCATCGCTCTTGCGATGTTGGTTCTTGAGCTGACAAGAGGCTCAATGCTATTTATACTGATACTGGTATTATTCCCTGCCTGTTCGGTCGAATCACCAATCAGCTGGAGTTGTCTATGCCCCAGCTTCTCCTCTCGATAGCGAATCATCATGTGACCAGATATGGTCTCAAAGCAACCCCTGAAAATGTGACACATGAACCACTCCACCAAAAGGACAGCGCTTATGGGTTTCGAACCACACTTAATTGATGTATCCTTACTGAGCCCCTTCGGTCCGGTTTGTTGATGGATATGGATTGCCATGCTTTGTGGACCTGCGCAGGACCCTTGCTGCCTTGTCGCTCCTAATTTCGGTCTTGATTCGAGACACCAGATCTCACCAAGTCTTTGTAATCTGTAACGGATATCCCTTACCCCTTGCACCCACAGCCGATCTACGTAAGCGCTTGCGGACGGGCCTGGATGTTGGTTTGCATGGTGTGGCTTGTGCGGCGCAGTCCAGCTGCCTGCGACATGGTCCATGAGTGCAATGCCTCACTGACATTATGAAAGTGGTGGGCTTACATTATGAACAAATTCACATCTGCCTTTACATGGCCACGGATACGTGAGATGAAAGATGTCGTGAATAGGTTTAAAGTCTTGCCAAAAAAGATATATTATTTTACGTAAGTTGATTTTTAAGTTCATGCACAGCGCTACGCTATAAGTATCCTTGCATTGCTCCGATAAGCCTGCGCTATCTTCGAGAGTATTGACGAGCTTTCATATCAACTCCATCCGGCGAGAAAAATTTCCCACAGACACGTCGAAGGGGATGACCATCGTGAGATTGGGGTATTCGTGAAAGATTGGTCCTTCAAGTTGTCTTCCATCATGAATTGCAGATCCGCCAAGGCTGTTGCCTGCGGTACTACTTAACTGGCCTGGGAGTGAGCAACATCCTGTGCAACGCCCCCGAGTCACACCCTAAGTGGCACTCCAGTCAGGGTAAGACCCGGGTGAGCTCGAGCGGCGTCACCCTGTCTTGAAATTTTATAGGCCTTGGCGGATGGTCGAGATACTAGCCTCCAGCGTCCTGCGATTGTAAGCAAAACAGGCGCTGAAAAACGGCAGGATTGGACCTTTTGTGCAGATGTCGGGAGAGAATCACCAGCAATACTAGTAGCTCAAGCCAAGCAGGCGGAGAGGGTGTGCCAGGAGCCACACAACGCGTCAAGCAACAAGATCTATGATTGGTAGAATTAATGACAGACTGATAAGCTAATTGACACGAGCACGGTAGCAGAAGCCATCGCTGCATAAAGTCTAGCAACCCCAAAACCTCCGTCACGGTCTAGCGCACGAGGCTGCTTTCTGCTCAGCTTTGGACTGGGTTGCATTCATCGCTTTGGGTGGGAGGTCTTGAAGAGCTTCCTCTACCAGGGCGAGCACATCGCCTGCACAGCCAAATGCTAGACTCCATCCAGCGCCACCTTGACCGTAGGAGTGGACAATCCGGGACGGCCCTGTCGCTGCGTCTGAGTTTCTAAGCTCCCTCTCCACACGAACATTCTTTTCGCGAAAGGGTCTGAGACCTTGAGCAAATGGATAGTCGGGGTCTACTCGTGCCTTCTTCAGATCAGGCAGGAAAGCTTCGCAACGAGCTCGCATACGCTTGATGGTTGGTGATTCAAGGGTAAGATCAAGCTCCCACTTGTGGGGTTCTATAATTCCTATGGCAAGAATTAGACGATGCTCCCGCCAATCAATTTCCAAACTTACCACCAATCAAGAGGATATTGTCGTTACGAGGCACAATGAAAACAATTTCATTGAAATCGTGAAGTGCGCCTGCTGTCATAGTCATGGCAGCTTCAACTTTCGGAAAGTCTGTGCCATCATTCATGACACGAATCAGTCCACCGCGTATGGGATAGCAAGTGTCGTCTCCAGCGAGCTGAGAGCCCGCCAAACCAGTACAGTTCACGATGGCATCGGCAGAGAAGCGCTTGCGTAGTTCCGTTTCAAGCACAAGAAGGTCGTCTTGGATAGTCTCTGTGACAAAATCCGCGCCTTTGCCCTTGACAAGGTCCAGCAGCCACTTCATGGCGACATCGGTGTCGATAACGGGCGACAGAATCTCGTAAGCATCGACGACCCCATGACGGGGATCAACAAGTCTCTCCTGAACCAAATTTCGATCACGGCGGAACCCAACTACACCACTGGCCATAATTTCCTCCATCTTGGAAAGTTCCTCCACATCCTCTTCGATCGGGCAGGGGAAGAAGAAATCACCAGATTTCATGCTGACGCCAGATGCCTTAGCGATATTGGGCTCAGAAGCAAGGGCATTATAGACATGGTAAGCATCCATACACCAGCGTTTGGAGTTCGATAAAGAAATGGTGTTGGTATGCTGCCCACACACAGCCGGTGGATACTCCCACAATGCGCCAGCAATCTGAGAAGTGAGTCGTTGCTTGTCTGACCATGTAGGCCATTCTTTGGCGAGAACAGTGACCTTGTAGCCATGATCTAGAAGAACCCAAGCAGTCACCAGGCCGATGACACCTCCCCCCACAACTAGAATACGACGCGAATTGGAGTCTGGCTTAACCAGAGGAATGGAGCGAGGAGAGAGATCTCTCCAAAGTATTAAAGGCTTGCTGTGAACAGAAGGCATTGTGGCAGAATTGTGAGTTGTTGTTGGAGGCAAGATGGTTGAAAAGAAGTAAGCAGATATAAATAACAATCCCTGGACTGATTCATTGAGGATGATTGAATTCTTTCAGTCATATTCAATCACTGCTGAGTGGACACGTTTTCTAGCGAGTGAAATGCACCGTCGCAAAGAGGCACTATTCGTGTGATTCAGTCAGCGCGCCATCGAACCAACGTACACGGTCCCATCTCCCTCTGCTACCTGAGGTAGAGAGGTGTTTGAAGGGCCCTCCCTGACTGTGGCAGACAATACTTGCTGATTCAGAGCGTCGACAATGTTCCAGTAAAAGGCCGAGATCTAGCTCTCCCTAAGGGCTGTGAAGAAGGCTGACAATAGGCGTCCTCGACTCAGATGGAAGAAAACGATGGGTTAGTTTTCACCTCCACGTACTCCACAGCGTTGAAAAGAGATGACAGAAATAGGTCGTATACAGTCGACATCGATGTTTGGCGATGGTGAGTCTTGAAGACTGGCGGCATTGGAAAGTACAGGGTTGCATTGAAGAGGTATCGCAGAGAAGGTCGATTGAAGTCGAAGTAACTCTTTATCAGTCCATGGATATAGCTACCGATAGCAGAGAAACACCATCCCCTTTCATCATCTCTCGGCGACTTCGTTCAGAACACTCTGGATGATCTTGTGGTCCTTATCCACATCAACGTTCCAATTCGCGATTGCGATTCTTGCTGCAGATCTTCCTTGCCACGATGTTCCAGAGACGTAAATCTTCCTGGTCGCATTGATTCCTCGGACCAGATCAGCATTGAGATTGTCATCCTTTGCACTGAAGAGCACCACCATGAAAGTCCTCTCCAAAGCTTCTGTCTTCGAAGTCGCATCTGACAGAACATGGTAGACTTCACTATCCCATAGGTCAGCCACCACCTTTCTAGCCAGCCTGATCTGTCTTTGCAACATGTCGAGATATCCTCCGCGTCCATACGCCAGTAGGGTAGCATAGACCGGTAATGCTCTGAAACGCCGTGAGTTCTCAATGCCAATATTCAAAGGGCTAGGTATAGTATCCTCAGATGCCGCTGAGGTAAGGTATGCTGCGTTGCCGTTCCTGAATACTTCCTCCGCAATACCCTTATGGCGACAAAAGTAGAAACCACAGTCATATGGAACATTCAGCAGCTTGTGACCATCCCCCGTGATCGAATCGGCAAGTTCGAGTCCTTGACAGCCACGAATGATCTCGCCGAATTCCGCTTCGTCTGAAAGCAGGCGGCCGAAAAGTCCAAATGCGCCATCGACATGTATCCAGATACCATATCGATCACAGATAGCGCGAAGCCTCTTCATGTCTTCCAGTCCGTAGGTGGCAAATCGTCCCGTGTTTACTTCACCTGCAGAGATGACCAGGATAGTCGCTACATTATCTGCTTGTGCCTCTGCCTCAAAACGATTGAAGTCAATTCTCATAGTGAACCCCCCCGGTTCCATGGTACCTTGTACTGATCTCAGATTTGCTCTTCCCATTCCAATAACAGAGGCGGCTTTCGCTATACTTGAGTGCGGCCAGGTGGAGACGATCTGAAATTTTCTGAGTCCTATATCTGCCATCACCTCATGTATGCCATGTTCTGCCACGCTAAGCAGATCCTTTCCTCGCTTCTCCGCCTTGCGTCCCAATACCCATTCCCGACCCATCGCTAGTCCTAGGACATTGCTTGCTGTTGCTCCAGTTGTGAAAGTAGAGCTTTGTCCCCAAACATCGCGGTCAAGACGGAAGAGGTCGAGCAGCATATTCAAAGCACAAGCCTCCACATCTGTTGCAATTGTCTGGTTTGGGAGATGGACTTGGACGTTCTGATCGTAAACGCTTGCTAGCATGTCCCCGAATAGAGCGGGAATCGTACATCCACCAGTGACAAAACCATAGTAATTTGGTGATAAGCTGGCAGCATTTAGTGCTGGGGCTATATCAGAAGTGAGATGTTCATCCCAGCCATCATGACCCTCAGCTTCCAGAAATTTTGGGAGAGTTTTCCGAGCTTGAGCGATGGTTCCTTCTTCGGGCAAGGTCGGGAGTGCTCGCCTACTAAGTTGGAGGTCGTTCAACTTCTCAAAGAAGGGCGACAGCACCAACTGATTGTCGGATGAACTCATATCATTAGCCATCGTTGAAGACCGAACTGATAACCAAGAAGGACTAAAGCTGCTCCAGGTCGGCACCAAGTCGTTGATAATATACAACTGAGATAATCAGACGAATTTAATAGAGGCCACTTCAAGTAAATATTAAGTAGAGTTGAGAGTGCAAATGATTGAATTAGCTGAGCTTGAGAAGGAGCTCAACGCAGCAGCAGCAAACGGTGGCATGACAACCTCGATTTGGTCAACTACATCCGATGTGTTTCTGTCGCCCAGACGAATCCCATTGAGGGCAATCTTCCAATGCTTCTAATCAGAGCCTATGACCAACAGGCTGAGGTCATCTTGCCAACACACCCAGCATACATTGAAACAATCTTACTTCCCAGGAAAAGGGAGGCTACAGAATAGAATACCATTCCGAAAGAGCATTTCCTGCCAGCTCTATTGATCCCAATTCGTGTCGTATTATACATGAGAACATCTAGCTTGAAAGCGGTATTCCCCAATAGGCCCCAAATGCCACCCAGAACCTTATGTGATGAGCTCCGCAGCTTGTGCAGCCACATCTTCTGGCTTGATCAATTCTTCCTCCCCATCCTCCTCAACAAACTTCCTCTCACTAACATGTCCATTCTCTTCCTTCTTCGCGCCATCCGCTGTCCACACCTTGTCACTATAAGACCCTCTTTGACCCTCGGCATGCTTGTATGGACATCGCACATTCTTGCATGGGTTGTATTTGCAAGCTGTCTGTAAATGAGTGAACTTGCAATGTGGAACTGTACAATCAGCTCCGTTGCGGCACATCGGCATGCTAGGATGCTTGAATGGACAACTTGGATTTGTGCAGTAGGGGAAGAACTTGCACTGCTCTTCGGATTGGTGTGCTTTGATCTGTGCAGGGCTGGGATGGCGAGCAGTACATTTGGCATTTTTGCAGGCTGCCCCAAAAGTGCAGGTATCTGTCATGTCGACGGTAACACCTTCGGGAGCTGCGGGGGACTGGTGGACAAAGGGACATGACTTGTTCGTACATCGTAGGTTGAATCGGCACATCGTTGTTGATGGATCTGATGCTTGTGGCTGGGACGATTCTGTCTCCATAGAAGATGATAGATTTTTGTCGAGAGGTTTGTCGGAGAGATCCATTGCTGTGTCACGACCAGTGCCACTTCCAGCACTGTTGTTCCTCAAGCTGCCATTTCGTTGTATGCGACCACCTCGTCCGCGCTTCCCGGGTCCCGCTTCTACACGGTCGAAAAGCGATTTGCCTTGCTGCACACCATTTTGCTGAACATTCGGATTCATGGTAGGTGAGATCATGCCAGGCATGAATTGTGCCATCATTCTCGCCGACTGCTCCATCATAGCCATCATCTCCATTTGCTGTTGCGGAGATAGCGGCATTGGCATTTGCCCTTGTTGTGCTGGGTTCATCATGTTGTTATTGACCATCCCATTTCCTGGCATTGCCATGCCATTCAAGGCCTTCTGCATGCCTGGTCGCACGTTGCGGGTTTGAACGTTTCGAGGACCTTTCGGCGCATCTTGCATGTGGCTATTTATTCTTCCTGTGCCAGACCCTTGACGGACCCGGTGAAGAACCGACTCGTTCGACCTATCCATCGCTCGGTTGACTTGTCCCATGATCCTTGATCCCCTACCAGATTGACTGCCGCCTCGAAGGTTTTTGGGGCCGGTAGGTCTAGTCATGTCAGCAGTTGAACGGCATATGCATGGAAGATTTACTCACGCATTACCGGGCGCTGCGGCAGATCCATCAGCCATATCGGAGTCATATGCCAGAGGCGCATCTTGTGGATCTCCTTTTGACCTTTGCGCCTCATCTGAATCTTGGAAAGATGGTATTGACTGCTGTTCTGGTTGTGTTTCAGTCGCAACAGAAGGTCCTCCATTCTGCAGTGTCCGGACTTGCTCAAAGAGCCACCGCGCAAATTCCTGTGTCCCCTCTCCTTCTGGTAGAATGTCGTTTGCAAGTTCGGAAGCGATTTGATCTTCGGTCTTTCCATTCACTAACATTAACACGATAAATTCGGCCAAAGAAGTATCATCTTCCGATCCCCATCCAACTTCTAAGAGCTTCGTATGTACCGCAGTGTTGAGAGCCTCCGCCAGCGGAGTGCCCACTGCTAGTTGAACTGCCATTGCGGCAGGAAGGGCGACTTCAGAGGAGCTGCGCCGGAAAGGCCTCGCGGACGTTTCAGCCGGATGATGGCGCCTGACTGTGGAAGGAAGAGGCGTAGTAATTTACCGAAATAGCCAGCCTGCTTTGTAAGTAGTAAATGTAGGTTGACGGGGTGTGTTTGCAAGCGGAAGGCGAGTGAGGTGAGCACTAACTGGGACAAAGCAAAATACTACTAACTAGTAAGGTTGACCTTGTCGGAGACAGCCGCTTAGTACTCCATTTACACGCGCGTTAGGTAATTATGTTTTGACTCTTGGCGGATCATTAACTGCGTACTTAGTACTGGCTAGCAGTGGTGGAGGCTAGGACATTCCTCTGAGGGGTTCATAAAGTATTGTTAGCTCAACGCTAGTATCTTTGGTGTAAAAGATACTAGAAGCATTCAAGCTAAGTACAAGATCAGCTAGTCGTAATTTTGTGGACTTGTCTGAATGGATGGTCATCAGTTAAGCTTTGCATAAACAAATTGCAGCACTTTGACGAGATAATAAATACTAGCCGCTACTAGCTCTAGACTAATAATACTTCTGCATCCCCGTGTAGTACTTGGATCCCTCCTGCCACGCATTTCATCTTGCTGACTCCGCTTCGAATGGATCTGGTACCACCATCATTAATATCTTGGTTCCACATTCTCAGCCATTACTTAGTATCACGGTGTACAGAGTACTCCACGCCGGCTTCTTACCCCTAGTCCCTCTTTACGGCTCTGTCACCATTAATCATCATTTCCGGCTCCATTCCCGCAACTGGAGCATCATCTTGACCCACAGACCTTGATGGAATTAAGCACTAACAATCCTGCTTATGATTGGATGTGCTACATATTCGTGGGTGGCACATGACACATTGTTCACAGCTGTCACGTTTGAATGAATATTGAGTGGAGGAGTCTGGACCATAAAAGCCACCGAGACCGTCATTCTTTAGCTGTTGTCACTCTCTACACTATTCAACCTGTCATTGACTCTTAGATATATAAATGGATTCTTGATTGCCCTACAACATTCTTCGATTCTCTGGCTCAAGACTTGTGCTTGCATCGTGTGGCCATAAACAAAATGCTCTCACCACAGTTTATCCTTCTATCCATCAACCTCTTTATATCTTTCGGCCTATGCCTCTGGCCACACCCTAGAGAATTCACATCAGGTTCTTCGGTTCTCTGGGTATCATCTCAGCTCAACATCCAAACCTCTTCTGGCAATGCGACGACTGGGCGGTACTCTCGCGGATCAATGTATGTGGCTCTGGCTGGTTCCTGGAGATACCTTGTTTCTCAAACATTTGGCCTCAGTGATAACGTGTCGATACCAACCAACTCTTTCTCCGAGCTAGAGATACTCCAATCGGCCATTCAACGTACGCAAAAGACAATCACCTCAACCAGATTTGTCCCATGGAAATTCTACTCGAAAACGACAGATTTTGAACCCGATTCATCTGCATCCAATCAAACTCTTACCACGGTCAAGATCTGCCAAAGTAATGCGGCAAAGGGGACCATCTCAGCAAAAGACTTCTTCAGTGGTGATGAGTCTTATACCATTACCATTTCTGAGAGTGGCGCGGCAGACATCAAGAGCAATTCCACACTGGGAACGATACGAGCATTGCAGACATTCGAGCAGCTCTTCTACGCCTACTCCGATTTATCAAGAGTCTATACACCACTAGCTCCCATTTCGATCGTCGACAGTCCAAAGTGGCCGCATAGAGGCTTGAACCTTGATATATCTCGCAACGTAGTCAGTCCTACAGACGTGATGCGCACGCTTGATGCCATGTCCACTTGTAAGATGAGCCGTCTCCATCTTCATGCCACTGATGCACAATCATGGCCGATCGAGATACCCTCTCTGCCAACATTGGCGGAGAAAGGAGCCTACCGTCCATATTTGACATGGTCACCAGAGGATTTGCGCGTAGTCCAGTTCTATGGATTGCAAAGAGGAATCTCGGTTTTCTTGGAAATCGACATGCCAGGCCACACTGGTTCAATCGCCAACGCTTTTCCCCAGCTAATTACTGCATATAATGAAACCGACTGGTCGACCTTTGCAGCAGAGCCTCCTTCAGGGTCGTTGAAGCTCAACTCCCCTGCCGTGTACGACTTTCTGGGAACTCTTTTCTCTGATCTGCTTCCGCGAGTATCGCCTTACACCACATTCTTCCACAATGGTGGAGACGAGGTCAACAGGAATGCTTTCCTGCTCGACGATACTGTCCAATCGAACTCATCTGATGTTTTACAACCTCTGGTTCAAAAAATAATGAGCTACGTGACCGGCATGGTACGCGAAGCAAGGCTGACACCGATCGTTTGGGAAGAAATGCTTGTTGACTGGAACTTGACCTTCCCCTCTGGCAGTAAAGATAGTTCTGCTACTGTCCTTGTCCAAGTCTGGAAAGAGGCGTCAACCCTGCAAACTGTTCTCCAGAAAGGGTACCGCGCATTGTTCGGCGACTATCATAACTGGTACCTTGATTGTGGTCACGGCGGATTCATCAACCCCTATCCATCTGGCGTGTCTCCACCCAGTATACCTTACAGTACCTCTGGGGGAGTGCCCACCATAATCCAGGATCCATTCCTCGATTATTGCACTCCGATGAAGAATTGGCGGCACATCTATGTCTATGATCCATTAGCAAACATCACAGCCGACGTTCAACACCTCATCGAAGGTGGCGAGGTCCATATGTGGAACGAGCAGACTGATGCAGTCAATTTGGATTCCAGAGTCTGGCCGAGAGCAGCAGCAGCAGCAGAAGTCATGTGGTCTGGGCCACGCAACGCGAGTATGATTGAAGATGCGTCACGAAGACTCGCTGATTGGAGAGAACGGGCTGTGCTTGACTACACTATTCAAAGTGCTATGGTTCAAATGACATGGTGTCTGATGGAGGGAGGATGCAATCTGTAGATTTTTCAGCGTTCCTTTGGCAAGTTCTGTACTGGTGCGGAACCTTTTCATTGAGAACAGCCTTGTATAAGTATAAGTTAATGAGATTCGACCTATTAAACCCCTGGTCCCATCCTTCGAGGACGCCTTTCTGATCGACTCGGCGCAAAAGCCTCTGATGCATGATATCTTAGGTGCTCGCATCCTGAGCCGTGCTTCAACAAGACGATCACTAGGGTACGGTAGAGACATAAGTATTGTTAGCTTCAAGCTAGATATTTCGTAGTACTACTTAACTCCGTACATTACGACAGCCTTGGCGGTTTCACATCTTTGTCGAAGTCCGTTGGTGTAGATCATCAACGACCTGAAGCCAGTCATTATCGGCATTCAAGTGTGAACTTAATATTTCTAGGCGGTTCAAGGAGGCCGCTGCGACGCAATGAAGATTAGCTATTAATTACTAGAACATGCTGACGATATGCCTCCTACCATGGAATTTACCTACTAGGTACGTACGACTTTGGTTCTAACTTAATGCATATGGAAATATGGAAGTGTGGTACCAAGGCTCTGACTAGTTTATCTCTCCCAGTCGAAGCTCCGCTCTTACATATCTGGGTTAAAGGCAAGATTATTAAATCTCTGTAAGATTCGTCGAGTAATTTAATTAATCTGAGCTCGTAGGCCTTACAATAACCAATGTCCTGGCACGGCGTCGTTGAAACAGGTGGGACCTTCGAGCCCGAGCCTGGTCGGTACCATCTGTACATCGGTACGATCACTTGCATCTACCATGAGACAATCAAACAGTACTGATCAAAGACCCAAGGACTATTTTGCCCATTTGCACACCGCGTGAACCTGATCCGGCATCTTAAGGGTCTGATTAGCTTTATTGACATCTCCATCGTCAAGCCGTACCCAAAAGGCGACGAGAAGGGCTGGCCAGGCTGGAGATTTCCAAAGACTGACGATGAATACCCAGATGCGACGCGTGACAGGCTGTTTGGAAGCGAATATATGCATGAGATCTACTTTCGCGCGGATAAATCCTATCAGGGCCGGTACAGTGTGCCTGTTCTGTGGGATACGAAGACCAACACTATCGTAAATAATGAAAGTCATGAGATTTTGCGGTTTCTGGAGAATGCCTTTAATCCTCTGTTATCTGATGAATATCGGGTACGGAATTACTATCCGGACCATCTACGAGATAAGATCGACGAGGTCTGCGACTGGATGCAACGGGATCTCAACACTGGAGTCTACAAGGCTGGATTTGCTCCTAACCAGGAGGTGTACGATGAGAATGTGGTGCCTGTGTTCGATACCTTGAAGAGACTGGAGAAACTCCTTGCGGAAAACAATGGATCTTACATCCTTGGGGAGGAGATGACGGAGGTTGATCTTCGGTTGTATCCGACCCTCATACGCTTCGATACGGTTTATGTTCAGCATTTCAAGTGCAATCTTGGTACCCTTCGGCATGACTATCCACGATTGAACAATTGGCTGAAGAATCTGTATTGGAATGTTTCAGGCTTCAAGGAGACGACCAATTTCAAACACATCAAGGAGAATGTAGGTATTCCAACACCTAAGACATTGGAAGGCGGCAGTATTTCATTGGGTCCGCTAACACTGAGACCTCACAGTATACCAAGAGCCATTACGATATCAACCCAAAGGCTATCACCCCAATGGGACCCGTTCCCGATATTGAGGAGGATGTAGAGCAGCAGTTTGACAAGTTGAGAATCGGTAACGTGAGGCTTCCGTAAGACAGTATAAGCCTGTTGCTCGACCCATTCGGAGATCTTCTTGACGAATGCGTCTAGCAATGCAGGAGTGGGCCCTCGAGAGCATGAAACGAGTATCTCTATTTCGGTGACACCATGTCGGACTCTCGCCCCAGACTTCAACAAGTGCAGATAAGATAATCAACAGGGACATCTAGATAGTGATCGGGACTCTGCTCCAGGTAGACTTGAAGAGCTGCACGTTCTGTAAGGAGATCGCATCCATAGGCGGATCTTCGCGTCGAACGGCTAGAACTATTTCTGCTTTTTTAAATGACATATGTAGCAGATCACGTAGTGTGCTGGGAGAGGGCAGAAAGATACACCTACCTAGAGAGTAGAAACTAATCACGACTTGGTTCGATGGACTGGATCACTCATTGCTCTCAGTGAAAGCTAGGTACAGCGATAGACGATATCCCAGAGTGGGGTGGGTATCAGATCTGAAATCAGTGTCGGAGAGGAAGTCATGTCATGCTCGCTCCAACCGCCACCGGTGGTGGGGCCACCAACTCTGAACGATCTGGGTGTTGTCAATTCTCGGACACAAAGCTCCGCAGCGAAATTGTCGCGGGATGCTATTGTCCGCCGGTTCTCTACTGTTGATAACCAGGGGAAACTAGCAAGCTCTGGACTGGCCAGGAAGCGTTCCACTGGAACCGTCTGAGCCCCGCTCCAATCAATGATCCCGGTGATATTGAAGGCTTTGTCGAAGAGGATGTTGTTATGATGCAGATCCACGTGAATTGGTGGAAAAGGTCCGTAACGTGATCTTCCACTACCATCGATGGTACAGCTTGCTCGAGCATCCACGCCGCAGTGGTCCATTGCTGATTCCCAGAGTGCTCCACCTTGATCGCCCGAATTTGAAACGACGAAGAGCGTAAAAGTAGTTGAGCAAGGTGCGGAAAGAGCCCATTTCATGTGCAGGTATAATGGAGATTTCGCGATCTAATTGTCTCCCAGCCTAGAGGCGTCCAATGCAATCAGATCGCAAATGGCTCAATTGGTAGTATTAGTCTGCGAGCTGATTGGCGACCTTATCTTGCTCGTGCTTAGTGACGGATCGCGACAGAACGGCGTCCCGGGCGTTACCTGGAAGGGCTTGATGAGCATGTAGCGGAACCAGAATCGATTAGCGGCCAGGATATCAAACCCGTAGAGCTGAGGCACGGAAATCTCGGTCGTGGCGCACAGCAGTCTCATCGTGGCTATTCCGCTAAGCATCGATGTTTCAATAACATCAGGCTCGCTGGATTCGTCCGGGAGCTGAATCGTCGCCATCCAGCGCTCCGAGTCCGAAAATTCGAGCTCGAGTGCGATGTTCTCGTGCCCAGTAGCGAATCTACCACAGTCGATGGAACAGCGGAGCAATTCGGCAGATGTGTGAGAAGTGCTACCGCCTCCAGGGTCGAGAGCTTGTCGAGTCTGTACCGCTGTCCAGGAGAGAAACGGAAATTCCGCCTCTTGGAGAACGTGCTTGACTTTTTGCCTGTGTACGCTATCGCTATCGCGGTCAAGTTGCTGAAAAGAGGTCCACTGATCATTGGTATCGTCCATGACGCCGTGCCTTTCCTAGATGCTTCTGACCCGTTTGGCCAATGCCTTCATACCTGCGAAAACGATGCGTGTTGGTTGAGGTAGAGTAGAGAATCGTTAAGGTAGTAGTGGGTGCTTAGGCTATGCACCCTGGTATTTCTGTTGTAGTCTGACAGAGACATTGAGCGAGTTTCGTGTACAAAGAATCTCTACTGCTCCCTTGTCCTAGCAGCCGTCCCTGACACTGTGTCCGGACGGGGGAGCAACATGGAGAGAGAAACACACTTACCCTTTCCCCCGAGCGTGCAGGTGCAGAGGGTGTTAGCAGAGATATTAGAGAATTGCCAGAGTGGTAAGATGTATTTTGTACCCTGTACAGTTCTGTAGGGGAGACACGATGAATGGGGAGCTTGACTCTAAGTAGCATAGTAAATTATTACTCATCAGCTAATGCCCAGCCTCCTCTTGGCATAAGCTTGGAAATATTGGCAGTCTCCCGCCCAGACCAGACGAAACTCCACTAACTACCGTAGTACTCCGTAGTACTACATCGCAGTCAATTTATGCGCATGGCTGGGAAACACCTCTACCACCTCCACCAAGCAGGGCAATGCAATAACATCAGATTGCCTGCCATCATGACCCAACACACGTCACCCCCTGATAGAAAGGTTGAGGCTGGTGTTTGTGATCCTCAAGTACCACGCCTGCAGCTTCTAGCTCAGACCTTCTCTCAATTCACTTTTCTTCCACACCATTATCCATCTACTTCCGCAACATTTTACCTCGCTCTCCCACAACCTTAATCCATACCTGGTGAACAGTAGATACTTACATGGTGCTTGAATAAGACCTGTACTCTTCTACTTGCACCTCTTTCCTCGTTATCCTTCGTCTTGTTAGCGATGCATTTCTCTACCTGTGATGCAGCAATTGCTGTACTTGCAGTTCTCATCTCCTCCACCCCAGTCCTAGCCCAAACCTTCACGAGTTGCAATCCACTCACCTCTGGTAAGTAAAGCACACAGATCTTTCCCCTCATTACCAACTGCTCATCCCGTACAGGTAATTGTCCACCAAATTCCGCCCTCGGCCGATCCGTCAACATCGACCTCACAAAAGGCGCCTCTGACTCCTTCACCGAACAAGGCTCACCATCCTACGGCTCTGATGGCGCCGCCTTTACTGTTGCACAATCCGGTGATTCGCCCCAAATAAATTCAAAGTGGTACATCATGTTTGGACATGTCGAATTCGTCATCAAGGCAGCACCAGGAGCTGGCATAGTTAGCTCTGCCGTCTTACAATCCGACTGCTTGGATGAGATTGATTGGGAGTGGCTAGGTGGAGACAATGGTCAGGTTCAAAGCAATTATTTTGGCAAGGGGATGACAACCACATACAATCGAGGAGCATATCATGCTGCGCCGGGGAACCATGATGGTTTCAAGACTTATACCATCGACTGGACAAGCGAGCAGATTGTTTGGCAGATCGACGGCGTTACTGTCCGGGCCATGACACAAGCAAACGCCGCTGAAGGTCAATATCCTCAAACCCCCATGATGGTCAAGGTTGGAGCTTGGAGTGGCGGAGACCCAGCAAACGCGCCTGGCACCATCGCATGGGCTGGAGGACCAACAGACTACTCCGCCGGTCCTTACACCATGTACCTCAGGTCAATCGCAGTCACTGACTATTCAACCGGGACCCAATACACCTACTCCGGCTCGGCCGGTACATGGCAATCAATTCAATCGACCGGTGGCACCATCAATCCAAAAGGCGGCTCAAATACACTAGCCGACACCGCCAACGCACCAGCCGTTACATCCGCCGCAGCAAATGCACCCATTCCATTCGAGGGCACACACCGTGATGACAGCTCCACCTACGTGACACCGAGCGTGTGGCCATGGGTTGGATCAGCCACCGCTACACTACAAACTGCTGTAAGTACTGCGTCAGTGACCACCTATCCTGGCCTTCCGAGTGGATGGGTCGTTATGGATGATGGCAGAGTCCTCCCTCCTAGCAATGCTGCACCTATGTCCAGTTCGTCCCCCCCCCAGTTCCTTCGTCTCCGTACCTTGAACTATGATTGATCTTGTGCTAACATCACATGCAACAGTCAGATTACCAGTCTTCACCCTTACAATCTCCTTCCTCGCCGGGCTCACCCTCTTCTGGCCCTGAAGTCGTGACTCGATGGAATGAACAAGGTTTTCCGGTTTTGGTCACTATAGGGCCCAACAATAACCCATCGAATGCCCCTGCATCATACGATTCAAGAGGATTCTTGATCACGGCCACCGCGCAGCCGAGTGCGACAGCTAGTGCGGGCGCGATACAAGGAAGCTCGACGGGGTTTCTGTTCCCGTCTGCTGTGCCGCAGAATGATGGAGTCAGGAAGGGGACTGCTGTGCTAAGGGATTTAGGCGTGGTGCTTGGGATGGAAGTTTTCGGGGTGTTGGTGTTGGGTGTGATTTGAGTTCACGAGAGGGAGAAGGAATTGAATTTCGTGGGAGAGAAAATCAGAGGAGATTGCAGATGCAAGAGAGAGCGACGTATTTTCTGGATAAGCACTGAGCGCTTCGGCAGCTTTGCATAGCGATCGTGAAAACTAGGGACAGGATAGATATTGGCGGCAAGCGAGCAAGCAGCACTCAAGAGGGCCTAAGTTAGGTCAGAATCATGAATCACGAATTGAACGACTAAGGTACTTCCTCCCACCATAGCCGTGAGAGCAGTGATAGCAGATATTAAAACCAAACTAGACCTTGATTATGGAATGATGAGATTAATGAACGTGGTATGCATGACATTGTTTCTCTCCCTGTTCCTCCTCTTTGATCTTTTAGTCTTCGCCCTCCCCTCAGTGGTTTATGATAGACGTTTGAGCAACACAGTACTCAGCTACCTGCGCATTTAAGAATACAGCATGACTTCCCCTGTGTCAAGTAGTATTATAGATTTGGAAAAACAGGAGATATGATGTGCTGTAATCTGCTGTACTTTATGAATGTAATCCAACCTCCGCTTGCCTGCCCAATGTGGCTCACCCTGTAGGATTCATTCTTGCCTATCACTCATTCATCAGGTGGTCGCTAATGTGTCCAAATCAACCACTTTGATGGACAGGGCGATGGCATATCATAGGACGCTTCAACCACCTCAGGCAGGATCGGGAGGGAGGGAGGGAGGGAGTTGTTGGCGATGGAAGCTGACTGAATTGACTTTTGGGTCCGCTGCTAAGTGATCAATTAGGCTGCACTTCAGGGACATTGATCTAGCACAAGAATCGTGCTGAGGACCTGAAAGGGAAGAGGGACGGATTCTGCCGATCAGTTTATTTTCGCGTCGATGATAGCTTGAGGGGAGATGACAGAGTCTGCGTGAACCACAGATTGGGGTGCATGCCCCATACGATTGAGCTGTTGTTGTCTTGACCATGAGGTGAATTGGGAGATGGACATGGAAGTGGATATGCTGGCTCCAACCACGGAGAAAATTTTGCTGGTATCCCGCCCATCTAGTACATGATATTGAATTGTCACCAAGTAGGCTGGGGTTTCAGATGGAGAGTGGAATCACTTGAGCCAGATCTGGTCGAGAGAGATGCCATTAGCACCCAAGGGTATGGCCTTGGGTTCCCTACGGGAAGGACATGGAAGTCTTGCTATCTATCGATATTTGGTGAGCGTGGACTGCCACAAGTACGGAGTAGATCCGAGTTGTTATTTCGAGCGATCTTTCGAGATCCAGCCTTACTTTGGTGAGATGGACATCCATCCCTCGTTCGGCCGTCTATGATATTGAGAAATGGTGTTGATGATGGCTTCCATCCACGGCTCGGACAGAGTTAAGAGACATTCCATAAGCTATGATTGTCCATGGCCAGCGCTCTGGCTGCCTTCCAGGTTTGAATACCATGACTGTCCGTCTCGAGAAGCAGCATGTGCTACCAACGTCATGACCGGCAATCTGCGAACAAGTGGCACGGTTCGGCGTTGTCGGATGGTGTTTGACATTATCGTAGCAGCTCAATCCTTTCGCCCAAGATCAAAAGTCTCAACCGAAATATTTGGTACGGAATAATTTCAGAGGGACATCTCCGCGTTGCTCCTAGGTTGATGGCAGTATCTGCTCTGTCACTTCCAAACTCCCCCAGTTTTCAACATATTCTTTTCGGAACCTGCTCGGATCTACGGTGGGAGGCTCACGCGGAGCTTCAGGCGCCTGCGGCAACCAAAGCGACCTCATTTCTTCGGTTATCGATGCTCTTGTTGACGCATAGACACGTTCGAGCCACGGTATCCAGTCCCAATCTATCCATGACTCGAAAGGCCCCCTAGGGATCTTCCAGCGAAGCAACGGCGATATTGATACACCAGGAAGATACTTTTGGTGCCGCCGAGGATTACGATGTCGTCCAATGGCGCATCGGCCGAAGTCAATGATGACGACGCGTCCGACTTCGGTACCACCACAGACAAGTATATTGGCTGGACGCACATCCATGTGAAGGATATTGTGTGTGTATACCAAGGACTCGGCATCGATGACGGCTTTCATGATCCTCTGGCGGTTTGCCTATGAAAGGTTGGCTGAGATCAGCTGCTGCATGGTTTTTCCGGGAATGAGCTCGATGAGGATGAGTCTCACGAAACGAAAATCCTTTTCACGAGCACGTAGTTTGATAGTAAATGAGCCAAAGTACTTCGGTAGGGTCTCTCTCCTTGCAAAGTCGAGAGAGCGCTGTAGGCTGCGGTCTCATGGGTATAAGCATAATCGACGCAAAGGAAAGGGTCTGCGTCATCCTGCTCGTGGTCAAAATACAGAGGGTCATAGACTTTTGCGACGAGATCTATATCTCTTGGTAGTTGGTCAGAGGAGGACCACTGAACTCGAACAGCGATCACTTGAGCACTATGGTTATCCCCAGCCCGTATGGTCCGAGTTATCTGCACCTCTGCTGTGTCTTGCTCATCCTTGCCTTTTAAGGGTGGATGTAGGAGACAGCGGTCAAGCGGATGGACTGACTCTCTCTCAAGAAAAGTTTGGGGATTGAGAGCACGGGAGCCGGTTGTCGGTGCGGGGGGTTGATGAGCACGAAGAACCAAGTGTCTTCCAGCAAGGTAGGGTAAGGCAGGCTTAGAGGCGCCAGTTCTTTCGCAATAACTGTCACTTAGGGAATACATGTCTCGCAAGAGTCTTGCAAGAATCGAAGGTACAGGAATGCAGCCGAGTACCGGATCTTTATGTTTGACTGATGTTGCTGGAATGCAAGACTTTACAAGGATAGTCATTACCAGTAGTCACCAGTACTAACTCTACTAGTTAGTTAGTGATTACTAGCGGTTACTGCCTGTGTGCCAAGAGTTGTACTCCTCTCAAGCCACAATTTGACCTTAAGACTTTTAAGCCCATATTAGTAGTATTGAGTGAGCCAATAACACATTGGGTCATTTTACGCCAGAAAGGTGGATACTCAACGACAGACTTGAGTCCCAGTGACAGAGGGTGCACCCGTCCTTCTACCAATGTAACAGTATGAGTATGAGTAACACCTTGACGGCAGTACAAATAATCACCAAGAGGCCGCCAAGTTCCTGTAAAATAGATTGGTGAGCATTATAATGGTGAAGCATGGGTCCATAAAATCTGGTAACGATTTTGCTGACCCGCGCCTCGGCCCTTTGATGTTTGGGCCCTGTAAGTATGAATCTATGGTTGTTTAACTAGGCCCAGTAGGCTCCAACCCCTCAATGTCATCGGTTCTTCAGCTTTCATGAATTATTACGATATGTCGAACTTGCTGACTAATCGACGGATCAGTGTTGAAATAGCAAGTTGTTCTATCTAAATCAGCGCGCAGAGTGCGCATTTATACGTACAGATGCTGCGTAACGTGAAACGCAGATACCAAAAATACATGCGGATCTTATACGAAATGCGTATCAGATCTGTTACAAAACGTATATAAAACGCATAGTCAAACAGCGCTCAAACAGTTCAACACGATACTAGCAGTCGAAAGACATGTCTCTTTGGCGAGGATGAGTATTGAACCCTGAACGTGAAATGATATACTGCTATCATCTCTATACTATGGATGACAGAATAATACGCCTCGTCGACATTGCCACCATCTACGTGCAGGAGTATATGTCAGCCTTCGATTCCTCACACGATTACAATCATGTCGCTCGTGTGCTAGCCCTAGCCAAAATGATTCTTAAAGATGAGAACGCTTCGCTACCTCGGCCCTCCCACGCGCCTCGAGGCGACAAGAATGATTGGGAACCTGTACCACCAATGGGGCTGAGCGAGCCGGTTGTGGTCCTCGGCGCTCTATTGCATGACGTGAATGATAGCAAGTACTTGAATCAGTTGGAAAGCCCTGTCAGCCTTGCAGAACTCCTCAAACGATGGGGCGCTGATCACCAGCTCGCCATCCGGGTTGAGCGGCTTTGTCAGGGAGTGTCGTATTCCACTGAGATGCGAGATCCTCAATGGGTGAGGAATCTGATTCAGGAGATTCCCGAGCTCGCTGTGGTGCAAGACGCAGATCGTCTGGATGCCTTAGGTGCAGTTGGGATTGGAAGATGCTTCACGTTCGGGGCTTCGAGAGGTAGAGGCTTGCCCGACTCTGTCAGACACTTCGAAGAGAAGCTGCTGCAGTTGGAGAGAATGATGAAGACCAGGACCGGCAGGGAGATGGCCAAGGCCCGCACTGAACGTATCAGAGAATTCATGCGATGGTGGAATGACGAGACCGAAGCTATAGCCGGAGGAATGGCATTCTAGATAGACAGTCTTATGTTGCTTCGGTGTCGCCAGGCTCGCCGGTATCTTCTACTGCTGCAGGGCTAGCGCTGGAACCGACTCTTTGTGAGCCAGTGGTAGATAATCCATCTGTTTCTCCCGTTTTGGGAGGCGGTGCGACTGGTGTCCCTTTCCTGCTTGGAACAAAATCTTGCTCCTGGCTTTTCTTAGCCCCTTCTTGAAAAATATCATCGAAAGCTCTGTTTGGAGGGCCCCCAGCACGATGCCTTGACTTCTTACTATGTAATGCAGCTGCTCCAGGTATTGAGGTTCCACCAACCATGGCACTCGGACTGACCATTGGTGGAGCCAAAACATTTGGATTGGCCAATGGGGGTGGTTGTTGCTGTATTGGTCCCTTAGATTCAGCCGGGATGAAGTATACACCCTCATTAGTAGAGGCTTTCTCCATGCTCGCTCTCTGTTCTGCCTCGAACAACTTCTCACCGGGAGCTTGTATTTCTTCACCAAGACCCACCGGCAATCGATGTAGAGCACCAAACCCAAGAACAGCTCCCAGCGCACCTTCGCCTCCCCATCCTCTTCGCGGTACTATCTCCACCTCTCGTACCACGTCAAACTCGGAATTGTAGACCCACAGGACCAAACTTCTGTTGAGATGATCCTCAACAAGTTCCCCAAGGGCAGCCTCGCCCCGAAGTGTGCCTGACGGGGTACCAAGTATGTAATCTGAATGTGGAAGCAGACCGGCAAGATGTGCTGGAGAGAGTGGAGAGGGTATCGAGAGGATGTGCCAGATGTTCTGTGTGGCATTTAAAGGAGCTAATTGAAGGGTGAGGCCGAGAGACTTGGGTGCAGGCGGCACAGCGACAGTGAGGGTATGTGACCGTTGACCCTGGATACTTCAGCCAGGATGTGCAAAGCTGATTGACTCTTCCCCTACCTTAGCGCTCCATATATCAAGGGAGAGGGAGTATCCTGCGCAATTCCTGACTTCTCTGGCAAAAAGCTGTGGATCAGGATCATCCTGCTCTTCTTCAGAATATTTGAGCTACATCTGGTAAAGGACGCCCACGGACAATGACATGACCATTGATTCCAACGATAAAGTCAAACCATGGCTCTATGGGCAACTCGGCATTGGTGTTGCGCAGTACTTGGAATCCATACGAGCTGTCACTGGGCCCGCCCGTGGCTGATTGAGGTGCTGGGTCAGAATCAAGACGTGCAATGAAACGATTCAAAGCTCCAAACATAGTGGCACCGGTTTGAGCGGGAAATGTATGAGATTAATACCAGTTATTCAAGTCGCTGATATAACGAATTGTTTGATGCATTATTATTGGCCCTTACTACTAGTACAGGGGGAGATAACTATTGTTAGGCTAGCGCTAACAAGCTTACTTGCAGATAATCTAATGACCCACATATCTCTATTCCGTTAACAAAATGACCTTGAGATACTTGGCTTATCCGAGTAAGAAGTGTAAACTTCTACAGCTCTTTTTTCTATCCAAGCTTTCTAGGGAGCAAATGCCATTCAATCAACTACAAGAATGACACAAATATACAGTACAGCGAACGTCAAAGAGGCAAGTCAAGGCTAATCAGGTTGTGTGGCGCTGTATCATAATAGCCTAACAATATTTTACCCTCCCCTTTAGTACATGTTCTATCTTCAATCCATCGTCTCAGGATGTAAGAGGGCAACTGTGGAGGCGGATAATGAAAACTGATGGATGGGTGGATGACAGTTGATGCATATTTCGAATACGAGATATTTAAAGATGACAGCCGATGAAATTCACTATCTTTGCTTTGCTAACGCCACATGGCAGGCACATCTAACCCACCACCTTTGGTCGTTACAGTCGTGAACCAATCCCTCGTTTCTAACCACGCTATGTTGGACACGAACCGAATTGTAAGTCAAGCTATTGACAACCAACCGTATATGGTTCCATGACCCCCTCCATGAAATCCAGCGACCACTTGGCCCTTTACCCTGCATAAGCCTTCCCAACAGCTGTTAGACTGTTGCCATTGACAAGTCTGCCGTCTGAGCACATGAAATAGGCATATCTCTCAATCGCATCGTTGCTATCCATCCATGGAAGGACTTCCGCCAAGAATTTGGCAATCTGCGCATCAGATCCAGCGGCAGCAAATTCCGTGAGCCAGACTTTCTGCACCCCCTTCTCCTGCGCCAACTTGATGACATCCGAAACGTAGTTTTTGAAGTAGGCAACATTGTCTGCCGAGTCGTACCAGTGGAAGGCGACGAAGTCAACTTTGCAATTGCCATTGCACCTGTCGAAAAACTTTCGCAACCAGCCAAGACCCATACCATCTGTTCCTCCTGACGGGCCGCCATTAGTGACAGCTGGAGACCCAATCTTGGCCTGGCCAGCATAAGGATTCATGTACTTGATATGAGCAGCCGCGGCAGTGGCTGTGTTCATGTTTGCTTGTTCTGCAAGATCTGGTTCATTGAACGACAGCAAGTGCTTGGCACCGGCAGCAAGAGCAGACTTGGCTGATGCCTCCCAGTTACCAAACTTCTTCTCACCCCAAAGCATGGGAACAAACTCAATGCCGGGGGCGAGGGTACCATCTGGTCTGTCCCCCCAGTTGTAGGCCCACGACATAGCTTGTCCAGCAAAGGCACCGGTCAGGGCAGCAGAGTTGTAAGCAAGACCGCGTTTACTGGTGCCATAGGACATTGATGGTGCCGCAGGAGTTGGGGTAGCAGAAGCGGCAGAGGAGACCTGGTAGAATGCACCAGGCCCTTGCATGGAGCTGCTTGGATAGCTGTCATCAGAGGATTCAACGGAAGATTCGCTAGTCTCGACTGGTGCGGCAGATGTGGTGGAAGTGATGTCTGAGATGGACTCAGCAGATGATTCATATGAAACTGCGCTGGATGTTTCAGTCGACGGGATGCTGATCACCTCAACGGGAGATTCGCTAGTCTCGACTGGTGCGGCAGATGTGGTGGAAGTGATGTCTGAGATGGACTCAGCAGATGATTCATATGAAACTGCGCTGGATGTTTCAGTCGACGGGATGCTGATAACCTCAACGGTAGATTCATCCAAGGAGATCGTAGAAGATGAGGTAGGCGCCAAGTTGGATGGAGGATACGAGGTCGTGCCAGATGGGGACACGATTGAGGATGGTGCCACCCCGCCTGTCCCGGTTGCGGTCATGTTGGAAACACCATAGGAGGGTGTGAGATTGGAGAAAGGAGCGGAAGGATTCCTGACAGTGGTGGTCTGCTCGGCAGTGACGGTCATTGTGACGACATCAGTTGAGTAGATGGTAGTGGTGGAACCAGAGCCAGGGACACAGGAGCCATCAGATTCCGGAGAGATGGCGGTGTCGACAGGGGATTCAGCTGCAATCTTGGTTGGAACGACAATGGAGGTGCCGGTGACGAACCCAGTGCCTGTTGGTCCATATCCGTAGGTACTGTTACCGATAGGATACTTCCCCCCAGTTGGGGCAGCGACGTTTCCGCTTCCCCTTCCAGTAGCATTACCCCGATGGCCATGACGGCTACGGTTGGCACGTGGGTGAGCCATGACTGATGCCGCTAGGGCAAGAACAACGATGGTCTTGAACAGCATTCTGTCGGCTGTCTTGGTGAATGTGGAAGATTGCTTGTCGAGGTGGGTCTAACAGAGATCTCTCCAGGTGTGAAGATCGTGGTAGTTAGTTACGTGTTTAGACTTATTTGAGCCGACCAGGGCAGTCAAGAACAAATGCGGTAGATCACCGATCTTTGTGTTTGTTGTCTGGTAAAGTGAAGGCGGTCAAGGAGTGGTACTTTGAATAATGATAGACACAGGAAAAGAAATGACAGTGTTTCATCAAAAACACAGAGCAAGTCAAGCTGCTAGAGCGACAAAGAATGTAAGTTGTGCAGTGTGTCGCACAAACGTGAGAGTAGAAGACAGTGAAAGAATGACTGTGACTACAATTGCGGTTGAGGGAAAAGGAAGAAGGGAAGGAGGGAGGTGTGGAATATATGGATGTGGTTGAATTAGGGGGGGGGGGGGGTGGGGGGGATACGTAGTAGGCGAACTTGGCCTGCATCCTGTTTTATGTGGGGCGGCTGCACAAAGATTTCGCTTCGCACTGGTACCACAGCTGTCCTTCGGCTGTATTCACTGCGTTTAGACGCACAAATGTCCATGCACTTCGTATCGTCTGTATTGGGGGTGTATTATCAGGCCTTGTCAGCTGTGGATTGGTGGTGGCCGTACCAAGGAGCAACTTGCCCCAGCAAAAACATTAGAGTTGGAAGTCCGGATCAGGGATCGGGATGTAATGTGATGGCAGCTTAATTCGGCAAGCAAGCCGCATGGATATACCAGCATTAGGAACATAAGGCATTCGGAGCTTGGTGTGGGACGAGTTGATTGGCTAGGAGAAAGATCTAGCTCATTAATGTGCCGTTTCATTGTGGTGTGTTGGACTGCGTGGCGAGATGGATAAGGACAGTCTGGAGCGTAATCGCTGATCGGGGATGAATAAGGATTGACCTACTGCGGGTGCCTGCATAAGCGGGAGAAATGTGTGTCGGGAGTAGCTTGGCACATGGCCCTGAGAGATCTGATTAGTTCGCCGAGCCGATATAATCATCTTTTCAGCTAAAGTTAATTAGAAGCCACCAGAAGCCACTGTTTCCAAGTCCGCCAGTCCCGCTTACTACGATATCCCGCCATCATCTTCAGGCCGTCACTCGTCAACGTGGCTGCCGGCTTCAGGGGCATGGGAAGTTGAGGCCGGGCGCTAATGCAAGGGCATGAAATCATGAAATCTTCGAGTTCGCTTGTATCCACGCTCGCAAGCTCCCTAAACAAAATGGCACGCGTATCGCTTCCCACCACTTTGGGCGACCCGGACGGTGACGGTCCTAAGCGCAGCAACAACTGTACCACCTCAGATTGATTAGATATATCGTCTACGGTGACAACGTAGAGGTGCTTATTGTGATCTCAGGATCAAACCTTTGGAGACATCAAACCAAAAGATGGATTGGCTAGATAAAGGAGAATTTTATTGCCTGCACTTGCTAGCATGTGCCGCTCCACCCAGGTCCGCTGTGAACATTAGGGAGTAATACGCCGGTCGAGCACAGGACTGCACTCAATAACGCTTGGGACTGTACATCATATCACTTCCTGCAGGCATGCACAATTGAGAGACACCTGACCTTAGACCGAGGAAGGACCATTGGTATATCATCTCATCACTTATGGTACGGTTGGTACCTCGGAATCACTTCTTGCCTCTCTCTAATACAGCCATGACGTCTCTCATTTCATGCTTGTTTGCTTTGCGCTTCTTCGGCCCTCGCTTCCGTTCACTCTTCTTTCCGCCTTCTTCACCATTCCAAGTCGGACCTTCTTCATCTTCTTCATCTCCGAGTCTGCTCCCTCCAAAACCCAGATCTAGATCAGCTGCGTCCTCTCGCTCTCTTTTCCTGAGTTTCTCGAGGAAGTTTTTACCTTGCGGAGTGGTATCCATTTCAGGATCTCCATCCCCTGCAATTTCTTGCGCCCTGCGAATGGCTGCCGCTCTTTTCAGAGCCGCCACAATCGACGGGTTTGTCATGGGCGCAGTTCGTGTATTGGGTTTGTCTTCATCTGTTGTTGATGAAAAGTAATTTCGTGGCTTGTCTGCAACCTGAACTGGCTTTGCATCTGTATCTCGCTGGGTCGCTGCAGCTTCACTTGGTGTTCCAGAATCTGAATCGTCAGAGACGTCGGCAATGCCACCAAGAGGATCATAATCTGCACCAACTCCGGCAAAAATGTCGTCATCTTCTTCTTGTTCCATCTTTTGCTTTTCAAACATTGCTTTCTGCTTTGCTGCGATCTCTGCAGGAACCTGCATTCCAAGCGCCTCGTTGACGGCTGATGCGCCTTGTGCTTTTGGTTCGGAACCTTCTTTATCAATCCATCGGACTTTTCGTTTCGTCGTACCATCGAGATTCGTAACAACAAGGACCTCCCTTCTACGACCATTGACCGTTTCCACAAACTTTTTCTTCTCTGGTTGATTGTCACCACCCAATTTTCGAAACTTCGAGCCCAAATAACCATCTACCGGCTTCGCTTGCATGGCGCCTTCTGCAGCGACCGCCCTACTAGCTTTCAGGCTCTTCAAGATCTCATCCCTTGACATCTTGCCAGCTGGCATAGCCAGCGATGACGGAGCAGCCATCTGCCCCTTCTTGACTCTCTCTTCCCTCCCTGTCGCCTTCACTTCCTTTTCTAGGACATTCTCCAGCTCCTTATCAACATCCTGCCTTCCACTCCCATCACTCGTAGCCGCATTCTCGTTCTTCGTATGCGTGACCTCCTTAGTAGCTGTAACGTCCTCTCCACTTCTTATCCTCTCCAGCAGCTTCCGATCTAAACCCTTGACCAAATGCGTGCTCTCTAGATCCCCACCGATTCCAATTTCATTCCTCAACTTCTCAAATGTGGCCTGATCAACCTGCTGTAACTTGACCATTTCCTCTAAAGCCTGGATTCTCTCTGCTTTATCATCGTGATCTTGAGGGCCATTCCTCTGCCCCTCCTTAGCTTCTTGTTGCCTCAGAAGAGCTGCACGATCTTGATATCCGACTGCGATCTTAGTCCCTTTAGGAGCTGCCCTCGACTTGAATATCTTAGCTGCTGGTTGCCCCAAAGCGGCGCGCTTATGCTCAGCAATTTGACGCGCGAAGTCATTACTACTGCTATGTCCAGCAATTGAACGCGGAGTCATGGGAATTGAGGAGCGCGCCCGGGAGCCGAGTAAAGACGTGCTGGATGCATTGTTGCGCGATTTCAAAGGGGAGGAGATTGTGGCACCATTTATTGATGTATTCTGGGAAGAGGACTCGTCTAAAAGGCGGCGGAATTGGGAATTGTTCATGGCGAAGATGGATGGCTCAAGGCAGTGTAATGGTGTCTTGTAACATGCCTAGCGTCGTGTAGAATGGGCTAGATGGCTGCGCATGTAAAGACGGAAGGCTTTTGAAATGAAGACGTGAGGTGGGCATTAAGAGTCGACTTATCGATAAAGCTTAGAGCTCTAGGACCTTCGGACACTGATCAAATCTGCACCAATGGTTGTTACCCCTTACATTTATCCATACAAGCTATCCCAATGAATCGACGGATATGATATGTTAGTAATCCGTAGGCTTGATCGAGTTCAAGAACAAGCTGCATTGTTATGGTCGTTCCGATTTCCGTGCTTGAGTCGTCTGGTCTGGCGCTGAAAATCAACGGATCCTCAACTTTCTCCACCACTTTCTTTGCTTCACGGTGAAGATCAGAAGTCATGGGCAGGAAGAGAAGGCGTCAGCAGAAAGATGACACAGAGAATCAGCTGGAAAAGAAGAGGCAACACATCGAAGTGCTACCGGAAGGTGTCCACCATTACGAGCATATAAATCAAGTCCCCTTAGAGGTACAGCAGTACGCACCCTCAAACTAAACCTTTCCATGTACAAAGTAGGCATGCTAACTCTATCACAGCTACTTCCGTCAACGGCACAATATTTGGTCCAAATACGACGATGGTGTCTGGATGACAGACAACGCTTGGTATGGAGTATCACAGGAGTTGGTTGCTGCTAAAATTGCGCAACATGTGGCTCTCATGACGCCGGACAACAAGTCCATCCTGATAGATGCCTTCTGTGGAGTGGGAGGTAACACGATTGCCTTTGCACTATCCGGTCGTTGGAAGAGGGTCTATGCGATTGAAAAGGATCCTGCTACTTTAGAATGTGCTAGGCGGAATGCTGAGATCTATGGTGTGAGGGACAAGATTACCTGGTTTCTGGGGAATTGCTTTGAGCTGCTGGGACCTGGGGAGAAAGCTGTGAGCGGACTGAGGGAGCTCGTGGCTGAATATGGAATCATATTTGCAAGCCCACCATGGGGCGGTAATGATATCTTAAACAGATATGTGAGAGCTCTGAATGCTAATGATTTACAGGACCAGGCTACAAGTTGGACGAGGTCTTCAACCTCAATACAATGCAGCCATATTCGCTTGAGCATATCTTCAATGAGTTCTCCAGTTTCACCAGGTGTATTGTACTTTACCTACCCCGGACCAGCGATCTCAGTCAGATCGCAGCATGTGTCGAAGAGGGAAAGAAAGGCCAGGTTGTTCATTACTGTACAAAAGCAAGTAGCAGGGCGTTATGTGCATACTTGGGGGACTTTGCGAAACTGCCACCAGCTGCCTGAATAAGTACTGGACGGTATTATCTATCGATCATTGCTTGGTTTAGTTAGTGTTCACAAGCCTGTGGAAGCGATACCCCGAAGACTGTGCTTCGAATTATCATAATTATGACTGCATTCAATGTCTTGGATTCAGTGCCGGGAATGTGGCTTCCCTGCGAACGAGACTGAGAGTTACAATTCAGATCACAAACAGGAAGCATCTGAATCTAAAGGAAGCGACGTGAATGAATGCATTATTGTCAGAAATGCATGCCAAGCCTTTCATGCTCTAGGCGAATACAGTACTAATTAGTAGTCATTCGTGGTAGATCCCCGCAGCTCATGTTGGTGAGAATGACAATATTCACAACCCTTTATCCGGCCATAAAACAACCAGAAGGCCCCGCAGCCTTTGACCTACCTGCGTTGATCCGACTCACCGACTTTTAACTCAGAACAAGGAATCAGAGCAAATGGTTGCAGCGCCGGATCACCTCGCTCGGTCCTTTCTGCACATTCTCCGTTCTATGTTCTAGGTACCCACTTGACTTCACTATGGCGATGAACGGGCATTACACCGCCGCCTCAGGTCAGGATGACGGTCTTTTCGAGGATGGTTATCTAGCAGGCATAGCAGACACGCCACAAGATTCATCCTTCATGGATGAGCTGAATGAGATGGCAGCTATTCCCGGCGAGGATCAAGACGGTGGAAATGAGTTGAACGACATCCTGGGAGAAGGAGGCGGAAATATTGATCTGAATACCTTGAATGATGAGAAAATTGGGGGTGATGGTGACAAGGCTGATGATGCGCAAGACTATGGGGATATCTCCGATGATGATCTGGCCGATGACGAGCCAGTGAGGAGTGGGTTACTTTCTGGCGTCCGGGAAGAAGCTGTGAGCAACGATGACTACGATGATCTATTTGGTGACGGCCCATCAAGCCCTCCCACGCTACCTCAAGATGCATCATCCTTCCCTGCCGCTTACCAGGAGGATGACGGTAATGCCAGTGACCTTGCCTCGGACAATGAAGATCATATGAGATCTGAAGTCGATCGATCGCAGCTTGCAACCCAGGACACTACCGAACAAACTTTTGTCGACCCGGCATGGCTAGAGCAGCAATCACTCCTGCTCAAAGCTAAGGAGACGCCAGAAGACCCTCAGCTGAGGCTAGAACATGCTCTGGAAGTCTGTAAACTCCTCTTTCCCGATTTCAGTCGGGACGAAATACCGTTTTGGAATCGCATCATTAAACCATTTACTGCCGAGTTCCCCCGTAAACTTCCTCCGAAGCCTCCTAAGCCAATTCGTCCTACGAAAGTTCACCTTGAAGTCCAACCAGATCAGAAGCTTGGTTTCAATTCGACGATTATCTCTGACAAACGGTATTGGGAGGATTACGATCGAATGGTAGTGATCGAAGATCCAAATGCCCATCAGGACAACGACGAAACATCTGACGATGATGTTGACATCGATGAGATACTGCCCGGTGGAGTCACAATGAAAGACCTCGACATGATATGCGCGGACTTCGACACACTCAGCGGTATTGCCGAATCAGACGTTGATGTGCAGGATGTGGTCATCAGAAATGACGAGGATGCTGATTTCTTTGCTGATGAAGACTGGATGGACACTGACAGGCCTGCGAAACGGAGAAAGCTAGGCATGGATCCGAAAGACATCGTCGCTAGATACGAATACAGCATGCCTTCGTTCGACGATCCCGAGCATCTGACCGAAAAGATCGCAAAGAAGGTGGTACTAGACCTCAACGATCCTCTTCTCCTCACAGAAGAGATCGATCCTGCTACGATCCGCGCAAAGGCCGAGCTGGCAGACCCAACAAAGAGTATGCAAAATGTCAAGGATCTCCTTCGAGAACGATTCAATTACTCCAACGACGCCGAATACGACCTTCTCAAGCAGAATCACCAGCACAAGATTCGTAGCACACTTGGTAATCTTTCCATCGAACACTCAACACCCGCTCTTCGTCTTCAATATCCTTATTACCAAGTCAAACTGGCAACTGCACAAGCACGAACTTTCCATCGACCCAATCTCACATTCCGACCAATGATGTTAGCACATTTCAGCAAAATAAACCGAATCAAGCGCAAGCACCAGAAAGGCAAGAAGGCCAAAGAGCTATATCCCTCTACGAAGGACCTTACCTTTGGTGATAACTCGACTTCACTTCTCCTGGAATACTCTGAAGAACATCCGATGATGCTATCTCAGGTTGGAATGGGTACCCGAATCATCAACTACTACCGACGGCAAACCAAAGAAGATGCTTCAAGACCCAAGCTAGATATTGGCGAAACAGCAGTCCTGCTTCCAGAAGACAAATCACCCTTCTCCATTTTTGGCCATATCGGACCAGGCCAAACAGCCACAGCTGTCTACAACTCAATGTATCGCGCTCCCATTTTTGAGCATGAACCGAAGCCCCAAGACTTCTTGATTATCAGAAGTCATACTGGGCAGTATGGATCGCACTTCTTTATGCGCAACATAGACCACATATACACTGTAGGTCAGGAGTTCCCGTCAGTGACGGTGCCTGGACCACATTCCCGTGTCGTTACGACTGCATCCAAGAATCGCCTGAAGATGATATCTTATCGGATTGCCCGTCGAAAGAAAAGCCAGCGCCTTAGTGTGGGCGATGTTACCAAGCATTTTCCTGACACGACAGATATGCAGAATCGGCAGAAGATGAAGGAGTTCATGACATACTCGAAAGAGCATAAGGAATGGGAGATGAAACCTGGAGAATTCATCCCAGATGAGGAACAACTGCAGCAAATGGTGAGACCTGAAGATGTTTGTCTACTGGAGTCAATGCAAGTTGGTCAACAATATCTTTACGATGCCGGATTTGGAGGAGATGACGCTGATGACGATGACGATGACAAGGAAGGCCAGGGTCAAGCAATAGAGCAAGAACTTGCACCTTGGAAGACATCCAAGAACTTCCTCAATGCATCTCAGGGAAAGGCCATGCTTACTCTCCACGGTGATGGCGATCCATCAGGACGTGGTGAAGCCTTTTCTTTCCTCAAAACATCTATGAAAGGTGGGTTTAAGGCTATCGGAGAAAGTGCAATGAGCAAGATGGAGGAGAAGAAGGAGCTTGGTGGACATAGCTACAACGTTGCCCGACAGCAGCGTTCGTACGAAGAGTCAATTCGCCGAATATGGGCAGCACAGAAGGAAGCGCTCTCCTCACACGTCGAGCCCTCTGCCGAAGAAATGGACGACAATGTGGATGGACCTGAGGGAGGAGGGCCATCCAACGTCTTCCCTAGGGCCTCTGCTAGATCTGAAGCCACAACGCCGGCACCTTTTGGCAGACGGGATGACGACTCCATAACTTCTTTCAGCAAGAGAAGCACAGCTAGCCAGACGAGGAACCGAACCCTCAAAATAACAAGGAAAATACCTAACAGCGACGGTGAATTGGTTGACACGGTTCATATCGAAAGAGATGCTGCTGTGATTAAGCAGTATCTGAAGAAGCGAAGTGCGAGGAACGCAGCAACCAGGGCGTATGCAAGCTCCAAAACCAATCTTATGCTGGTAGGAATGCTAACTCTCACAGACTCGAAGATGTTGTCCCCACAGGTGACGCTGAGCAGGACGCACTTGACAAGAAACGGTACCGCAAACCCAATACCTACTCAAAAGCTCGGATGGCCTGAGGTCGTGCCTCGTATTGCCCTGGGTTCCCGATTCCGAGGTCGTAACGTCTCTGGCCTCATGCTAACATGTACTCTGTTCTAGACTTGCCCTGGAACTTGCCCGTCTCGAACGAAACCGTGAGCGACGCTTCGCCCGCGAGAAAGCCAAAGGCATTACCGCAGCATCGCCCTCCGAGGCAGGAGGTGCTGGTTCACCTGGGTCCCCGTCCGGCTCTACGATCGTCACAGGCAAGCAACACCAAGGCACGCAAAGGAAATGTGCCAACTGTGGCCAGGTGGGACATATCAAGACAAACAAAAAGTGTGCCCCTGGATTTTCTTCTCATAATTTCATTCTTGCTGCTGCCCCTACTTCCAGGAAGAGGAAGGCCTCCGCCGTTGCTTCAATGCCGAGGAAAAGGCAGAGAAACACTGCTGCCCAACGCTGATGGTGACTGGCGTGGTCGTTCGTGATAAGCTCGACTCGAGAGCATGTCCTACTGGATTATGGCCCCTTCTCATTCCTTGACCTTTCATTTATTGGCTACCCTGTTCCCCCTTTTCAAAACCCATCTTCTCCAACTCAGCTATGCTCTGATAGAACAGCAAGCTAACGAGGTGTTTCTCTCCCACCCCCCTAGACTCTGTCCTCTCCTCAATGGCACGATCAAACAAGAAGAAGGCTTCAACAATGCTGCATTTATGGGCGCACCGCCCACGATGCCTTGAGGCATTACGACTTCCGGACTTTCGACGGATACGGCCCTGGAAGTCTGAACGTAAAGATGCAAGTGATTGCACGACTACAGCAGTGAGGCAGTATCTGCGGTGCTGTGGAAGTCGAGATAGTTTGATTGAGCAGAATATCTCGAGGCGAAGCTACGGGTTTCGTGGGCGGTGGGAAGGAATCGTGGATGATCTTGACCCTTTCTTCTTTCATGCATCTGCGAAGGAGTTGAGTCGAAGCATTGGACTTGTGTGGTATAAGAAGTAAAAGCGTGATACCCGGGGGCATACTTGAAATCATGGAACCAGTCCATGATTGACGGGTACTGTAGCTATTTCCTCATAGATTCTTAGCCTTAGCAAGACAGCACTCGCTGATCTCAGCGAGCCTCTTCCCCCGCTTTTTCACGGCGTGTGTCTTTAGTGTTCAGCACATACTGTTTCCCCTCCAACGTCCAATCATATCCCAAAAGCAGAACAGTATCAAGGAGGATCATAGCGTATGACATCCGCGTTCTTGCCCGCTCAACTGGAAAGTCACTCCTCAATAACATTAAGTGAAGAAGACATCAAGATCTTGCTTCCGTCTTTAAATCTTCTGTCTACTACCTTTGACCTGACATTCTAAGTTGTGGAACCGACATCAATAATGTCAACCATACACGCAAGCAACCCAGTCACCATTTACGAATCCTTTCGGAACACGCTCAATCACCTTCCAGTGGCCACGGTTCCTTCAGGCTACCGTACCATCTCCGCAAGCTCGGATTCCACGTTGAATGAGGATCCCATTACAGCTTTATACAAGAAGACGGGAATGTCCTTGTCAAGCTCGGTCTCGATTACCTTCCCAAGCCAACAAATCTACCATTCGAACTTCGACAATATATGCCACAGCTCGAGGCTAGTCACTACCTCTCCACAGAAGGGGATGTTCTCCGTGCTTCGAATCTGTATCTGCTCCATCCAGTCAATGTTGCAGTGAAGAGCTTGATCACCAACGGAGATCTTTACTGCACAAGTGAGCAGTCTTCCCGTGGGGGTTGTCGGACCGATATCAGGTGGGTATACCGGTCAAGCCAGAGCGGTCAGACGACCAATATCGCAGTTCTGGAGTTCAAAAACACCCAAGTCTTACACTGGGCCGATTTCCTCCCTGCCTCTACCGATCAACAACATGCTCAAGCCAAACTTGACGATGCCCAAGAAAAACCAAAATATACCCACCTGATCAACAACGCACATTTGCTGTCAAAGCAGGCTAAGAAGTACTGCCTTAAGCTGTCGGCGCCTGACGTTGCTATTTTCGACTGGCATGCAATGTTCGTGTTCGATTTCACTGGAATGGATGAAGATGCCTACGATCCGGTCTTGGCGAAAGGGATCTGATTTGAAGAGTCCGCAACCAGCATCAACAGTAGTGCAACATTTCGAACATTCCTTCTGGTATTTCTTGTTCGCGCTCTAAGAAGACATCGTGTCATCTCTTGACTCTCTTTCTCACAGAGTCGCCAATGCGGGAGCTTCAAGGCAACTGAGACATGTATATGAAGACGGCAGTACAGGACCGGTCATGTGAATAATACAAACTGCTCTTTGAACCCTTCATCGATTCTTCTGCTGCGATTTTCAGGGTGATTTTCATTAAGTAGTGGGTCTTGCCTCGTAGTTCTTAGCAGGCAGACTCCCCGCTCAAATAATGCCAGTAGAGCCATCAATGTACGGTATGAATATATGATGAACTGTGCTGAGTTATCCATGGAATAGTGTTGAAATAGCAAGTTGTTCTATCTAATTCAGTGCGCAAAGAGAGTGCATTTATAAGTACAAAGTTGCTATCCCCTCCGTACCCAATGTGCCAATTAGCGTAAAATTTTCAAATTAAGGTTTTTAAGCCGCATTCGATCTACACAACGCTCCGCAGCTGACTTTGCTCTTGAGATTTCAACCACGAAATATGCTACGACCACAGCGAAATACCCAGATCCCTCTGAGATATAGATCGAGCTCACCTCCGCGATTCGAACAAGTTACTAAACGGTC